CCCCCCCCTCTCCCTCTCCCTCTCCCTCTCCCTCACTCTCACTCACTCACCAGCCACATCACAATCAAGGATTGTTGTTGCATTGCGCTATTCTATTCACTTCTCTCTCAATCCCCAGACCTCTCGCTGACCATTCCATTATCTCTATCACTATCTCTCTCTATCTCTCTATCTCTCTCTATCAAACTCTGGCAAATACCTCAGTTATACTTTAACTTTTAAGTTAACTTAAACTACTTCCGTCGTTGCTACCGCTGCCCTGCCTGCATACCTGCCACCCAATATCCAAGAAGAAAGAAGATGAAGTCCTTAACAAAGTTTATAAGAAGCTCCTCTGAGAAGACTATCCGCAAACAATCTAGCGCGAATAGTCTGGCTGGTGCGCCATTCTCAAAGTCTCACAATACTATTAATCTGTCCGTGGCGGATGGGGCCAGCAGTCGGGACGTTCCATTGTCCTGCTGCTTTGCCGCACCCTCTCCCAGCTGCACTCTATCGCAAAAGAACTACATCAACTTGCTGCCATACGACATCCTCCTCACAATCACATCTATGGTGCACCAGAACACTATCCTCACTCCACAGTTTATCAATATCGCGCTGGTCTGTCAGCTGTGGCACAAGCTGGCGCGACTCAATGGCAACAACATCGTGCTGGACCGATTGTTCAGACGCATGGACGCCAGCAAGATGAAGAACAGCACGATCGAAAGCACCATCAACTACATCACATATCGATACCCTTCGCTCGACTCGGTCGTCCTGTCACGTCTGTCGCTGGGTGCCACACACTTTAAACATACAATGTTCTTTGTCGATCACATGGAGCGCATCTTTAGTGTAAAGGTCGACCTGAATAAGTGCGACTCTAAGGAGTTTGCCCAGCTCTGCACCGTGCTCAAGACCAAGCGACCACTCAAGACGATCTCTATGGACAACCTCACATCGCAACACCAGTTCTATCTGCTTGATCTGCTGGAACACTCAACGTCCGTCTCGTCGGTCACTCTGAACAACATCAATCTGGTGGCACAGGAGGACGCCACTAGTCTACACAACTACCTCGTCGAGGCCAAGACCCTCACCGAGCTTAACATGTCTTTCACTGGCTCGCAGCCAGTCGAGACCGTCAAGCAGATGCTGGCGGCAAACTCGTCTCTGCGCCACATCCGACTCACCTGCCTGCCGACCAACGCCACACAGATGCGTCCGCTCTCCAAGTTTGTCTATCCATTCCAAACACTGTCGACTCTGGTACTGTCCAACTGCGATCTTAACAACATCGAGATCGAGCAGCTGGCGCACATCCTCACGACCAACCGCAGCATCAAACATCTGGACCTGTCGCACAACCGCTTTGTCCAGCCCAAGGCCATCGCCACGCTGCTGGCCGCCATCACAGAGAATGAACAGCTGCCGCTTGTAGAACTCAACCTATCTGGACTGGCATGCAACGACGCCGTGCTGAAGCAGCTGGGACAATTCATCAGCAAGAGCAAGCGTCTGCAGCGATTGGATGTGTCAGACTGTCCTCTCCAGTGGACCGAGAGCTTTGCCGAGTTTGCTCAGAGTCTGGGCGAGTCGCGCACGCTCACCTCACTCAAGCTCAATGGCAACAAGATCAATGCCAACCACTTCCACGACCTAATCAATATCCTCTGCTCCAAAGACACGTCCATCGCCAGTCTAGAGCTGTATGGCACACTCAACCCAACCATTGGCAACCAATATAGAGACCGACTCAAGAAGAATGACAATGGAACACTTTTCATGGATCTGCTCAACAGCAGGATCTATCGAACTGTCTAAGTCAATACTATTATTAAAATGTACTATTACTATTATAACTACAAGTATCTGAGATAATATCATGAGAATGATTGAATGTAAGGTCGTTGGTGTGTCTTGCCATACAAGTCGCGCGACTTCCAAGTATTGTGGTTACCGACTCGGTAACACCCACTCATTCATTCATTCGCTCGCTCTTTCGTTCGATCATTCAATCAATCAACATATAATTAATGGCCTCGAGAGGTAACAAGAGTATATTGAGTCTTGCAACAGAGTATGTTAGGCATGAGATGCGTAACAATGATCCATCTCACGATTGGCTACATGTCAATCGTGTAGTGAGATTAGTACAGACGATCGCAAAGGAGGAGAAATATGAAGGCGATTGGGAACTGTTGACACTATCAGCTATAATGCATGACGTTGGTGATTGGAAGTATGCTGCTGGTGGCGATGAACGTGCTGGTGTCAATGCCGTCGAAGCCTTCTTGACGTCGCACGACTATCCCCTCGACAAGACCAAGAGAGTCTGCCACATCGTCAACGACGTATCATTCAAGAATGAGCTGAGTCGCCCGTCCGACTACATCTTCTCACAAGAGTCCAAGATCGTCCAAGATGCCGACAGGCTTGATGGTATGTATTGTTTGATTGATCGATACATTGACTATGTTTAGTAACCAACAACAATGCTTAGCCATTGGTGCCATTGGCATTGCGAGGACATTCGCTTATGGCGCGACAAAGTGTTCACCATTCTATGGCGACGCGTCGTTTGGTCAGTCGATCAACACAACGCTCACTAAGGAAGACTATATGAAGCGATCGACACAGAAGCAGCCAGTGGTCGATCACTTCTATGACAAGCTGTTCAAGCTCAGGGATCTGATGAAGACTGGTACCGGGCGTCGTCTGGCTGAGAGTCGCCATCAAGCAATGGTCGAGTTTATCCAACAGATGCGCGACGAAGTGGATGACGGCACAAATCCACCTGGCGACACTCAGTAGATTGGGAAGGCTTGGTCGACCTGCTCACTCCAGCCCAGCAGGCCGTCCTTGATGTGCTTGATAGCCAACGACTCAGCGTCGGTCAGTCGCTGACGTAGTATCGCTGTGGCGTCCTGCGACTTGTTACCTCGTCTACAAACTACATAAACTGTATGAATGTCGTCACAAGATTAGCCATGAGGGAAGGGATGCCGTCGGCGGGCATTGGTCGACGATGTGTACTTACTTGGAAGTGGTGGATCAGCCGACTTGACAAGCTGTTCGATTCGATTGATGTTCTCCGCCTTTGTAAGGTCATCGATTGGAATATTAATGGATAGTGGCAACGAGCAGATGTCAAACTGTTGCTTAGGCCTCACGTCCAGGAGGAGGTGAGCAGCCTGTGCGTCGAGTACCTGCTGCTTGAACTCCTGGCATGTCAGGATGAGTGAGGCGTCAATGCGATCGTCCACCTTGGTCGCCTTGTCACTGTAGGGCGAGCTACAGAATTGAGGATAATCAATGAGTGCTGTCACGCTGGGTTGGTCGCCGCACACCACGCAGGTGGCCTGCTTGGTACGGATGCGCACTGTCTTGAATGATGCGGCCAGGCCGTCATATAGCATCAGTCGTCCACTAAGCACGCCTTCAACATTGTTCGTGGCGATCTTGATAACTTCGAGTGCTTGGAGCGAGCCGACCACACCGACGATCGGGCCCAGCACACCGCCATCTGAGCAGCGCGTCACAGTCTCGGCGGGCGGGGGCGAGGGGAACAAACATCGATAGCATGGTCCGTTGTTATAGTTGTAGACAGTGATCTGGCCATCCCACTTGAGTGCACTGCCACTGACCAGTGGCTTCTTGCTGAGCACTGCCGCGTCGTTGACAAGGTAGCGAGTGGCCACATTGTCCGAAGCGTCGACAACAATGTCGTACTGAGCCACTAGTTGCATGGCAGTCTCTGAGGTGAACGTGAGCTCATGAGCCACCACAGTGATGTCTGAGTTGAGCCCCATGCATGAGGCGGCCAGCGACTTGGCCTTGGCGACGCATGACGCAGCAGCGCGCTCTGAATGTCCAATCTGACGATGTAGGTTACCAATCTCCACAACGTCATAGTCTACTATGCCAATACATCCAATACCGGCACCAGCCAGATACAATGCCACTGGGCATCCCAATCCGCCTGCTCCAACCACTAGTACCCTTGTCTTCAACAAGCATTGTTGTCCAACAACACCAACACCTGGTGTAATAAGTTGTCTCGCATATCTCTCAATCTGCTTGTTCTCTAACTGATGTCCCAGTGTGTACTCCATCTTCTTCTTCTTCCTCCTCCAGTATAAACATGTACTTGTACAACTTCAACTTCAACTATGTTGTTTGTACGTTTGAGTAATGTTCAAGAACGATTGAATGAATGAGTGAGTGTAGAATATGAGCAACTTTTGTCAAAATAAGGGGGGGATTGGTTCGGTGAGAACAAGTACACCCACTGGGAATAGTTGTTAGTAATTCCATCTCCACTGCCGCTTGGTCACCTTTGTTTGGTAACACTTTGGTTAATTAAAACACCAAAGAGGTAAAGTAATAGTACGTTTCAACCCTAAACCCGATGGTCTAAGATGATCCAATATCCTACATGGATTGGTCTTGCGTGATCAAGTTGTTTGATTGATTTAGTCGACACCAGGTAAACCGTCAAACTAGGCTTAGTTATCAGTGACCTGGACGGCCACGACATTTTCATACCTAAGAACCTAAATATAAAGATTGGAATAAGTGTGATTGAGAAGAAGGAAAAAAGATAGGGAGTAAAGATAATGATAGAGGTCGAAGTTGGCGCGATATACTACCCTGGTTTCCCAAGTTGTGTTCGACTATCAATCACCAATTGTCACTATCATTCGATTGAGATGTTCATTGTCTGATACTTTTAGTGTAAATGTTCAAAAGACAATGTGTGGTTGATGATCACAATCACCACACATATTCCTTTATGATGATCCTGAATGGTGAATGATCAATTAATGACTTTGGAATGAGTGAGGTTCAAACTTTAAAGTGTGAGTTCACTCAATCCATACCAAACAGCCACTACCCAAACATTCACCAACCAAACGGTCAATGAATCGGGTTCTTGATGTCGACCTTCTCGACCAGGCTCTTCTTGACGACAATTACCTTGATGTGGTATCCTTCTTTAGAGTCAACGGCATGTAGTTCAACCTTTGCCAATACACCATCGGTACAAAGGTACATGTCGTCACTGTGGCCGTGACCGATGACGATATACAACAAGACACCTGGTTTTCAATCACACCAATCTCAATCAATCACATTCAATCTATTAACAATGTTGACAATATCACATCAACTTAGGTTATGGTGCTGCCAAGTTTGGAGTCCTCAAAGAATCTAGACTTGGACTCCATATGGAGTAAAATGTCTGGAGAGACCATCGACTACAAGATGGACAATGTCAACCCTCATGATGCCAATGATAAGTTATCTAAATATCTAAATATATATTATTATGTTGTAGGAATGATCAATCAATGAATATATGATAAATGATTGTCGAGGTTGTGGAATGATTCCATTGAGTGAGTAACGTTATCGTCTTTCATTTATTCCATTTTTCAAATTAATTACACAAGAACTAGCAAAACGAGCGAGGAAGTTTGGAAAGAGTGTGTGAGACGGACTTTGGTTTCGCTCGACTTCGACTTCTGCATTGTGAGTCTTTCTCTGTCTCTATCACTCTCTCTTTACACCTCACTCACTCATTCAATATATATATATTATAATATATATAATATCTTCTTATACTTTCAGATATTGAATGTTGTTGTAATAACAACATTACATTAATACCAGGAATTATGAAGGATAAACAAACCACAACAACTACAACTACAACCTCTACAACTTCTACAAAGCCTGCCAAACAACAACAGCAATTGAAGAAGAAGCAGCCAAAGAAACAATTGACACAACAACAGAAGAAACAATTGGATCAACAGAAGAAGCAGTTGCAACAACAGAAGAAGCATCCCCAACAACAACACAAGAATCAACAACAAGATGTTGACCAAGATATGAATGAAGTGATGGAGATTGCTCCGATCAGTCTATCGGCCAGCATGGATAATATGGATCAGGTCGACCTCGAGATCAAGAAGAAGGACGACATCCTCCAATGCTTCTACGACATCATCTCTGCTGACGAGTCCACCCGAATCAAGGGTATCTCCCAACTCGTCCTCACTCTTCAAGACCTCCAGACCGACTTCAAGCCAGAGCATCATCGTGATATTACAAGATATGGTATGTGTCCAATCACGATGATCATTCTCAAGGGTGATCCTCACTCACTCACTCACTCACTCAATCAATCATATAGTCTCAAAGGTTATCGACATGAAGAATAAGATACATAATGAGTTGTTCTGCCCAGAGTTGGATTATACTATTCGCAGACTTATTAATGGTCTGGCATCGGCACGCGACACTACTAAGCTGGGCTACTCGCTGGCCATCAGTGAGATACTCAACACATTCACCATTGTCGACGTGGCCTGGTTCGTCGACCAGTTGAACGAGGTGATGGACTTTAACGGCAAGAACGGCGTCACCGAGGTGCAAAGCCACTTTGGCCGTATCTTTGGTATAATGGCCGTTGTGCGTTCAGGCCGCATTGACGCGAGCTTCATCACGCGTCCACCCACCAAGTCCTCGATATACAACGCCAACAACCCGTCCACCGACAATATTATCGAGTGTCTGGTCGAGCAGCTGATCTACATCTCCAAGAAGCGCGCAAGATACACCGAGCTGGCCTACGAGGTCCTTGTCGCCCTCATGCAACAGACCTCCGAGTCACTCTTTGACAAGTTCTGGCAGTTTGTCAAGCCACTCATTCCCGATGCCATCTCAGAGTACACTCCCGATCTGATCGTCCTTCTCCTGGCCGTCTCCAAGAGATACAAGGTAAGTGTGGAGCGTGTGGACACTATCGGCCAAGCATGTACCTATACTGACTCACTCGATCAATCAATCACACAGCAATTCAACTTGCTCAAGCATACCAATGGCTGGAGCCATAGATCGCCATTCAATCAATCCAATCTCCAGCACATCCGCAAGATTTACTCGGATAGCGCCGACTGCCATCCACGTGTCCACAAGATCTGGAGTCTCTCCTTTGCCATCCTGCTCAACAAGGACAGCGAGAACGTGTCATTGATTGAGTTCTGGAAGAAGGTCGTAGACAGTATGTATCATTCATCCATTCATTTATTCAATATGCGAGCGTCCAGAGGCTAACCAACTACTACTACAGACAACCTATTCAGCTCACAATCACATATTAAGAAGCAGTTGGGTCTGCAGCTGTTTGAGATGTTGCTGCCCATCATCCCAGTGGACTCGATCAAGGAGCTCTTCACCCCACAGCTGGTGTTCTACCTCGCCCAGTCGCTCCAGACTGACAGTCCCCTGCATGAAGTTGGAACTGAAGTGGTACGTTCAAGGCCTGGCATAACCTCACCACACGTCCACACCTCACTAACTCAATCAATCAATCAATTTAGTTCCAAATCATTCCAAAGACTGCTGAACAATCACAGAAGCATCGCCTGGCTTTGATCTTGTACTTCTCGGGCAAGGGTAACGAGATGTTCCACAATCATATCCCTGTTGATGTGATATCGGAGCTGTTGAAGGACATTGATATTGAATCGACTGTGGCATATTTGGAGCAGTTGTATCGTGTATTCATCACACCAAATGCCTCATCGACATTCAATGTCGAGTCGCTCGAGGGCGAGGAGCCCGAGGACACTGACAGCGAGGCTGCACAGAGCGAGGAGGTCCGCATCCTCTCGCTGCAGCGCACCTGGGTCCTGAACCAATTCTCATATATCGTCAAGGAGCTGGTCAAGCGTCCACTCGAGCACATCATCGCGCTGGAGCAGTCCGTGCTCAAGCTGCTCAAGTTCCTCTACTTCCACTCATTCTATCTGCCACTCGAGGACCCATCCGTGCTGGACGCGGCCTCATCCAACAAGGGCAAGGAAAAAGGCAAGGCTGCCAACAAGACTGCCCCAGCCAGCTTGAGCGAGTTCACCCTGGAGCTGCTGTCCATCGAGCCAACCACCGAGATCACATCAAAGGTGCGCGAGCAGTGCTCAATGCGTCTGATGTCCGTCCTGGAGATGCTCACCAACGTTAGTCTTGTCAAGGGCGCGCCCGTCGAGGGCATCCGCTCAGACAGCCAGTTCTGGGTATCGCTTCTGGTCGACTTCCAGAACGAGCTCAACACAATTGAGAACAAGCCACAAATGGCCACTCTGCTGCCCGTCGGCCTGAAGCCACTGGAGCAGGTCAATAAGGTGATCAAGAGCCTGCAGAGCCAGCCCCCAACCGCTCGCTCGACACAGACCCGCGGCTTCGAGCTGCTGTTCCTGCACGTTTCGTTGCAGTACCTGTACGACCCACATGAGATCTCCGAGTTGCTCGAGGATCTTGTGATGGCTTATGAGGAGATCGTGTCACCTGCCCCCAAGGCCGCACCAAAGAAGACCACCAAGAAGGCCGCCGCCAAGAAGGCTGAGGACGAGGAGGAGAAGCCACCAGCATTCCTGATCATCCTGGATATTTTGATCAGTTTGCTGGACAAGCCTTCACACATCCTGCGTACGGTCGTGCGCCAGATCTTCTCAGTCTTCACCGACAGCATCACATTCCCCGTGTTGGAGCACATCCTCAACATCATTTCCGCGCCTGTCACTGACATCTTTGATGGCATGAACGAGGAGGATGATGAGGAGGACGACGACGAGTTTGAGCCAATTGACAGCGACGATCAAATGCAAGACGACGACGAAGACGAGGATGGAGAAGACGAAGACGATGAGGATGCCGAGAAGGACGACGATGAGGACGAAGAGATGGAAGAGGACGACGACGATGACGATGATGATACAGTTGACCCAGAGGTGGTCGCCAGGATCAAGAAACAACTTGGCCCACATCTGTTGCTGAATGAGGACGACGACGATGAGGAGGACGATGCCAAGCCACCCACTGCGGCCGAGGCCAAGCAGCTGGACAAGTACCTGGAGCAGATCTTCATGCGCAAGAAGGAGGAGAAGCAGCGCTTCCACGACCTCAAGACCAAGACCATGACGCTCAAGATCCGTCTGATCGACCTGGTCGAAATATACATCAAGAAGTTCCAGGCAAACCCCAACGCCATCCTCTTCCAGACGATCCCCCTGATGCTCAACGCATCCGGCTCGGAGGAGCCCAACATTGCCAACCGTTTCGTGTCGATCTTCAAGAACAAGATCAGTCTGATCAAGCGCGCCGACCCAGCTGCCGTCAAGGCCGAGTCGATCAACACCCTGATCAAGGACTGTCTGGACAACATCAAGCAGGCCACCACAATGACCAGCGACGAGAAGGAGAAGAAGCCCTACCTCTTCCTCCTGTCGGGCCACACCATCTACATGGCGATCCGCGTGCTCCAATCCATGTCCGACACGAGCTTGGACGTCAAGGCACTCAACAGCCAGCTGGACACACTGATCACCAAGGAGATCCTGCTCAACAAGAACAACACTGTCGTGCTGACCTTTGTCCACGAGTACGCCCAGCGCTTCCCACAGCTGATGGTGGCTCAGATCCCCAAGCTGATGGCCATTCAAAAGGAGTGCAAGAACGACTACATCTCAAAGAAGGTGCTCAACATTGTCACCATGATGGTGCCCAAGAAGTCAGCCCCAGCCGAGCAGATCAAGCACTTCATGTCCAGCGTCCACATCATTGCCAACACACTGGTCGACACCCTCGCAACATGCAAGGAGGGCCAGCAGGCGCCCGTTCTGGCGCTACTCGCCACCGTACTACAGATGGCCAAGTCACACAGCACCGTTGCCGTGCTCAAGCAAAAGATGGACTTTGCCAAGATCGAGCAGCTGCTGGTTGAAATGTGCAAGAAGAGTGGCAAGCGTGCCATCAAGGACCACTCGCGACGAGTGCTCTCACTGCTCGAGATTGAGAGTGAGTTCCTGGAGCAGTCCAACAGGAAGCGCAAGCAGAAGGAGAGAGAGGAGAGGTTGGCCAATGTCAATGGCAATGGAAACGGCACTTCCGAAGACGAGAGCAAGAGCAGCAAGAATAACACAGGCATACTCACTGTGCAGAATGCCAAGCGCGATAAACCAGTGGCCAAATCAACACAGGCCAAGGTAGACAACAAGATCAGGAGCAGGCCCAAGAAGGTGGAGGAGGAGGTAGACGAGGCTGGCGAACTATATAAACAATTGACCGACAAGGACGAGGAGCCACAAGATAAGAGACCAACAAAGAAACACAAGAAATCACCATCTTCATCATCATCATCAACTACATCAACCACATCATCATCCAAATCATCATCAAACAGTACATCAAAGCCAAACACTCGCAGCAGTAAGAGTGCCAAGACCAAGGAATGAGGTGACTCCCTCTCCCTAATATGTTAGGCGCGGTAAATGGAAATAAACAGGACCCGACCAATATCACAATCCTCTCTATCTCCTCCTTTTTACATCATTGAGATAATCAAACAATCAATCAAATAATTACAACAACTCAACCCATAATTCAAATCAGTTTCAAACAATCAGGTACTCAAAGTTGTGGGAATACTAATGACTGGATGGGGAAGTGCACCGGTGCCCTGTTACTTCGATTACAAACATTATCAAATGAAACCTTTCACTGTAAATGAAAAGCTTACTTGCCTGCGTATACCCATTCGACCAAGGCAAGCGCCTCGGACGAATGACCACAGACACCGCCATCACTTCCCTTTTAGTCTTTGATCTTTGATAATAGATGGATCATTAATTGGACCTTACAGCAATGAATATTGCCAGATCTTGCAAACTAGTTTGGCTACATTTATTTGAGTGTAGCCCAATCAGCTGACATGTAAACATTCCCACACACACTATTGTGATCACAATCGTCAACACACTCACTCACTCACACATTCATTTGTCAAACAGATACAGATAAACAAACATACACATACACACACACACACATACACAAACAAACAGATACAAGATAATAGTGTTGTGGTCTAATCTTGTCAACCTGCACTTTACAAGTGCACCATCATTTCCCATCACTCCCTCTCAACTCATTCATTCACTCACTTTATCGCTCCACCTATTCACATATCCTTCCTCCTTAATATCACCCTCCCCTCCCCTCCACGACACGCCACGCCATGCTACGACGTCGTCAGGACAGCTTGACCCTTTATCTGTTCAATCAATCAATCAATCAATCAAATCAATCAGTCCATCAATCACAGGTTGGCAACTCATGCATGGACATGGTCATGTCCATGGACGACGGACACTCCACCCCTCCACCTCTACCACTACAACCACTTCTTCTTCCCCCGTCCTCCACTTAAGCGAGTAGCTTCAGTCAGTCAGCTGACTGACTGATCGATGATTGTTGGATGTATCTCCCTTCACGTGTCTGGCTTGCATTCATCCCACATGCATCATACTTACTCAATATGTGCTGCTTGAGTCATGAATGCACCGACATGACACGACGATGCGTCCAGAGAGAGAAGTTTAAGAACTGATAGACGGATAAAGCAAACATATACGTGTGTATACTGTTTGCTAGGTTGCTTGGTTGGTTGTTTGGTTGTTGGTGTATGAGTGGAGTGAGCGAGTGAGTGAATGAACACTCATGAGTGTCATCACTACTACTACTACCACTACTACTTCTACAGCTACAGCAGCAACAGCTACATCTATTCATTCATCAATTACTTCCCCTATCTACTATATAGTTTATATATTGTTGCCTTCAGTAGACAAGAAGACAACAAGACAGCGCCACACACTAGACAACACGTCGACAGACAAACGGAAACACGGAAACACGCGGAAACACACAAGGAAACACACGGAAACATTCAAGTTGCGACGATAAAAAAAAAGAAGAATAACAATGGCAGTGGATGATTTTGAAATCAAGCCACCAAGTAGCTACCATTCACCTGGTCTACTAAGCACGATGGTGACACGTGAGCGAAGAATGTCACACTCTTACGCCATTGCTAGCTCACAGCTGCGAAGGTTGGTCTCAAACAATCCAGATAGTGGCACGCCACGTCGACGAAACAGTATCGATGAGCGTATGGCAATACCAATGGCGCGCGAGGATCTGACGCCAGTGGGCGAGATCGAAGAGTTAAACATCAACATTGACGACGATAAGACACTTAACAACAACAACATCAACAACAACAACTACTATCATACATCATCGCCGGCGTCAAGTAGTGCGCCATTCGCACCATTTGCACCGGTTGCGCCAGTCTCGTCATTGGCGCCAATATCCTCGCCAGTCGCGCACTCTGTAGCGCACTCCAGCTCAGTTGCCAACAACAAGACACTTACCAACTTGATCAACTCGGAACAGCCACAATTACCAAACACTGTTCCATTCAGCCCCGCGACTCTCCAACAGGGCAGCATGTTCCCCATCCCCGAGTCCGAGTCAATTGGCAACAGATTCGATCAGTTCACAAAGGAGTTGACGGGCCTGAAGAAGCTGACGGCGCCAGACAAGACGGGCATGTATGTGTACGTCCACCACCTGACATACAAGGAGAAGGACTTTGCCAACAAGAAGCAGACGGTCAATCTACTCGAGAACCTGTCATTCTACGTGAAGCCGCGCGAGATGACCCTGATCCTTGGTTCGCCAGGTTGTGGCAAGACATCACTTTTCAAAGTCCTCTCTGGCCAGACCAAAGAGTCGCATCTCACCGGCAAACTCCTGTTCAACGGACATCCAATCAATCGCACTAACCATCATCGAGAGATTGCCTATGTCGACCAAGATGATATCCATTTCTGTAAGTTGGGGTCGCCAATCTTCTGGAACTATTCCAATCACTCACACTCTGACTTCCAACAACAGCCAATCTCACGGTCAAGGAGACACTTAGGTTCGCACTGGATTGTAAAGCTCGCGAGGGTATCACAGACTTGGAGAAGGAGTATCGAGTGGACCATATGCTACACACACTTGGATTATGGGATCAGCGAGATACATTGATTGGTGATGAGTTTGTTAGAGGCATCAGTGGAGGACAAAAGAAGCGTGTTACTGTTGGAATCAATGTGATTGTTGGTTGCAATCTGATGCTTATGGACGAGCCCACAACTGGTCTGGACAGCTCCACCTCACTCGAACTGATTGGCTGCATCAAGCAGGTGGTCAACACCACCAACACACCGGCCATGGTAACACTTCTCCAACCAAGCTCACAACTGGCATCACTCTTTGACAATCTGATTATTCTGTCCAAAGGTCGCATCATCTACTTTGGACCTATGAAGAAGGCTCTGGCCTACTTTGAAGACCTTGGCTTCGTATGTCCCAAGCATCACAACCCAGCAGAGTTCTTCCGTAAGTTTGACGCATGATTGAATGATTTATTGAGATGAGTGAGTGACTGACCATACTTCTATCACATCACAGAGGAGATAGTTGATGACCCCGAGAGGTTCTCTTACCTCCATCCACCCAAGTGCCAGTCCTCCGACGACTTTGTGCTGGCCTACCGCGAATCAACTCGTAAGTCCACAGACATCCCTCACCCCATCGCCAATCAATCAATCAATCATCCTAACAACATCCAATCATCCAATCAATGCAAATTTAGTATATAAGCGTATGATTGAATCAATGGACAACTGCCCGAGTGGCATCATTGGCAATGAGGTACCGGTCGAATCGTTGAAGGACGAGACACATGAGAAGCAGTTCACATTGCCACTCAACAAACAGATTAGATATAATATCAGACGTGGTGCAACGTTGATGATAAGGAACATTGGTGGTACGGCCACTAGACTAGTACAGGCCTTACTACTTGGCTTTATTCTTGGTACACTATATCTACGACTTGGATACTCACTGGCTGATGGTAGTTCAAGATTTGGTCTGCTCTACTTCACAATGACCTCAACAATCCTCACATCAATCTCATCAATCGGTACATTCATGCATGGTCGCAAAGTATTCTACATGCAACGAAGGGTAAGTTAAGTTAGTTAGCATGATGGGAATCATTCCAATCACATACTAATCAATCATTTAATCAATCCAGAAACGGTACTATGGCACATTATCATACTTCCTGTCATCAGTAATATGTGATATACCTTCAAATATGATTGAGAAGTTCGCATTCATTACAATGATCTACTGGCTCACAGGACTGCGGTCAGAGTTTGGGCGTTATATATTCACTCTAGTCATGTTCCTTTTGTAAGTCTTGTCGTGGACACCATCCGCCACACACTCACTCGCTCACTCACTGACACCATGCCAACTATCAACTCAATCATACATCCAGGATGGACTTTGTAACGAATGGTATAGTCAAGGCCATGTCATCTATATCGCCAACACCAGAGATTGCTACTGTGTATGTTAGTATCATTGCTGGACTTGGACTGATCATGAGTGGCTTCATGGCGCCAAAGAACATTATCAAGGGCTGGTGGATATGGCTATATTATATATCACCATTCAATTACTTTTACCAAAGTATTGTGATCAATGAGTTCTCTGGTGCACTGTACCACTGCACCGCCGACGAGTTGCAGCCACCAAAAATCATTGCCGATCGCGATTTCAATGGTGTCCAGGTGTGTCCCATCACCAAGGGCGAGGACTTCTTGAAGACATTCGATATCCACACGGAGAACTACTTCAAGTACATCTGCATGGTGATCATCATTGCGTTTGGTCTGGCGATGCACGTCTTTGCCTTTATCGGTCTGCGCTATCTCAACTTCCAGGACAAGCCCAAGGCCATGGCTGTGGGCGGTGGCCACAAGACCACGAGAACGAAATTGGGCGCGACCAAGAGCAAGCCCAAGAGCAAAATTCGCAAGATGTTGACATTCAGACGCGAGGGAATCGAGTTGGACATGTTGGGCAAGTCGACCGCGGACATCAAGACAATCAGCGACGACAAGAAATCACATATCACACCTGTGGGCTGCTACCTTCAGTTCAGCGACCTGTCCTACTCAGTGGACGTCAAGATAAAGGACGAGAACAAGAAGAAGAAGAAGGTTCAGTTGGAACTTCTAAAGAATGTGAATGGATACGCGCAGCCAGGCCAGATGCTCGCGCTGATGGGACCGTCTGGCGCCGGCAAGACCACATTGCTGGACGTGCTGGCCGGACGCAAGACTGGCGGCCACACCAACGGAGAGATATTGTTCAACGGCAAGCCCAAGACCAAGTACTTCCATCGTGTGTCTTGCTACGTCGAACAGCAGGACGTGCTCTCGGCCACACAGACTGTGGGAGAGGCGATAATGTTCAGCGCAGACTGTCGTCTGCCACGCGACACCAGTCCACAGAAGAAACAAGAGCTATACGATAGCATCATCGACCTGCTCAATCTGCGCAAGGTCGAGAACTACAAGATCGGTGTGCTGGGCAATGGCCTGTCGCTCTCACAGCGCAAGCGTGTCAATATTGGCATTGAGATGGCGAGTGATGCTCAACTGTTATTCTTAGACGAGCCTACAAGTGGCCTGGACTCGGGTGAGGCCTACAAGGTGATACACTTTGTCTCAAACATTGCCAAGCAATTGAATAGGACGGTCATCTGCACGGTGCATCAGCCATCGGCCGCCATCTTTGAGAAGTTTGACCAACTTCTACTGCTCAAGAAGGGTGAGGTCGTCTACTTCGGTCCACTGGGACACAACAGCGAGGACATCCTCAACTATTGCGCCTCTTATGGCCTGGAGATGAAGCCTCACTACAACCCCGCCGACTTTGTCCTGGAGATCGCCGAGGAGAACAAGCAGATCATCAACGCCAAGACCGGCGAGAGCACGCTGTTTGAGGGCCCCAAGGAGTTCCTCGACACGGAGCTGTACCGCGACGGCTGCAACAGGGTGCGTGCGCCAATGATGCCCGCTGGCTATGTCGAGGAGAGGTTCAACAGCCGCTACGCCAGCACGTGGCGCCTGCAGTTCCGCAACCTGATGGTGCGCGCATGGCGCAACAAGGCACGCCGTCCACAGGCCTACCTGGCCAACTTCAGCCGCTCGATCATCTTGGCCGTTCTGATGGGCACTCTGTTCATTCGTATGGGCTACGAGCAGGTGGACGTGCGCAGTCGTGTCTCACTCATCTACTTCTCGTTCCTGTTTGCCGGTATTGTCGCGTATGGCTCGATCGTGACTGCGTGTGAGGACCGCGCCATATTCTACAAGGAGAAGGTGTCGGGCTTCTACCACACGTCGTGCTACCTGCTCGCAATGCTCCTGGGCACGCTGCCCTTCCAGCTCATCACCACCTTCCTTCTGGCCGTGCCCTTGTACTTTATCAGCGGGCTCAATACCGGTGAGACGGGTGGTAACTTCTTCTTCTACCTGCTCATCTATGTGATGACATTCCTCATGTACGATGGTCTGGCGCTGTTGATGGCATCGCTACTGCCCAACCAGGTGATTGCCAGTGTAATCTATGGCGTGCTCATGTCCATGTCGTCACTATTCGCCGGCTTCATGATCACCTACCCATCGATTCCACGCGCCTGGCGCTGGATGCACTGGATCGATATGATCACCTACCCATTCGAGGCGGCCATCACCAACGAGTTTGAGGGCGAGTTCTTTAAGTGCACGGACAATGTTGGCGCCATCCCCGTTCCAATCTCAATGACACCAATCACAATCAAGTATTATTGTCCTGTAACAGATGGCGAGGCATACCTCTACGAGGTTTATGATTTCAAGATATCGATGCGATATATCAATGTTGGAATCATTGGTGGCTACTATATATTCTTTGTCGTGCTAACCTATATTGCACTCAAGTTTATCAGATGGCAAGTTAAATAATCTCCCATGTTTATTATTAATAAACCTCCATTTTATTTATTCATTCAATCAATCAATGACAATGTAATTGCCAAAGTATTCACCAGAGTAATTGTCAGAGTACTCGCCAAAGTATATTGTTCGTCTTGTTCTGATTGAGGTGGGAGCAGGCCACTGGATCCTCTTCATCAGTCTTTCCCTTCATCTTGAGTCAGCTTGTAGAATGGTGTAGTGTGGAAGTTCCTTCAACTTTAAAAGTGATCATTGTCTTAAAGTGGGTGATTGAACCTTTACAATAAAAATAAAATTGAAAAACACAAGTGGAGAGATACTTTAGAGAGAAAACAATTGTTTTTTTTTAAATTAATTTAGAAAGCCATCAACATCACTGAGTTGGGTGTGGGTGAGAATGAAATCATCCCACCTGTATCTGAATGAATGAAGTAATGAAGCCTTGCAACATCAAACCTGACCCACCATCCACACTTCCTTCAGCTTTGACAAACAACATTTTTTGTCCTCTCTCCACTCCAACGCAGCCAGTCAGGCAGTGCACTTCCCATCCATCCATCATCCATCAAACAATCAATCAACAAACTAATTAGTCTCTCTCATTCATAGATACAGACACAGACACAGACACACACCTCTCTATCTCATCCATCATTCATTGTTGTATTATAATACCCAAACCCACAAACAAAACCTTATTTAAACAACCTCCTCTTTCTACATTCACTCATTCAATCTAACAAATACATAATAATAGCATTAAAAGATGATCTTATTGGAGACAGCAAACAGAATCTTGTTCGACGAGGTGATCAACTTCAACGGAGAGAAGAGAGTGTTCAACACTTTTGCCGACTTTGATGGCGTCAAGTTCCACACTCACACCTCGGACGACAAGCAGCAGCTGTTCGTCTCGATGCAGTTCAAGGGTGCCGCCGACCTGCTCAAGAACGGAGGTGCCACCTACCTCAAGTCCGTCTATGGCCCATTGCTCCAGGCCAAGCCAGAGGCTGGCTTCGACCTCACCATCGTCATCGATGTCAACGCGCCCAACAAGGACGAGCTCGCCCACAAGGCCAGCCAATTGAAGCGTAACTTGATGGCCGCTCCATTCTTGATGGTCTTTGACGCCGTCGAGTCCAAGAAGACTGTTGCAGACATCATCACCATCGACTACCGTACTGATGAGTCCTTCTACATCAAGACTCAAGGTGACAACGTCACCGTCATCTTTGACATCATCTTCAAGGACTCTGATGATATCGTCCTTTCAAAGATCTTCTTGCAGGTATGTTCAAGTATAATATCCATGTAATATGTTAATCAATCACTTACTCATTCAATCATTCAATCAATCAAACAATCACATTAGGCCTTCGTTGATGTTAGAAAGACTCTTACCAACGTCCCATCTGTCAGCTTCTCCCAGCGTGACCCACCCTTGGAGTTGAAGGGTGTCAAGGGAGTCAGAGCCGGTGTTAACCACGGCTTCGTGTCAATCAACCTGTTCCCAGGTCACATCAAGAGGGCTCAGGAGACCGCCGATCTGATCCAGACATTCAGAGACTACTTGCACTACCACATCAAGTGCGCCAAGGGCTACATGCACACCAGTATGAGAAACCGTGTGGACGGTCTACTCCAAGTGCTCAACCGTGCCAAGCCCGAGCCAGTCAACGTCGTCAAGCGTACCTTCAAGGGCAAGTTCTTCAAACAACAATAAACCCTCCCAACACAACCTACCTACCTACACCTACACAAACAAACCATTGCGCTCGCTCAATCAATCGATCACCGTCAAGCACAAACATGGCATCAGATACCTGTTGTTAATGTCATACAACAAGTGTCTCTTTCTCTCTACACATACACACTACCATCATGTAACATCAACAACATACAATAATAACAAATAAAGATAAACACATATATTTATAACAAGTACAACCCTTGCCCTTACCCTTGCCCTTGCCCCAACACAAACCTCCCCTTGTAAAGATCTCTGCTCAAGCATAACGTTACAAACTTAAAAAGGGAATTCGATTGAAATGCCTAAAATTGGATTAATTATAATTTAATCATTTTAGGAAGCCCCATTGGGAACACGTTATCAGACTTGGTCTTGTGACTACTACACAATACATTCATGTACAAAAAAGGTAAGTGTGGTACACATAAATTACAGATTCTCACATGACATAAACAACAACATACATTCACAACAAGTTCACAGTCTTCCCTTTCCCTTCATTATGTTCATTCATTCATTCATTCTGTTCATTCATCTTTGTGACATAATATATCATTCATTCACTCATTCATCATTTCATTTATTTCATTGCGACGACCAGGCGGCAACAATGAATACTCAATGGGATTGGTTGTTTAATCATTCAATACACATTTGACCAAAGTATTTTGGTCACAATACCAAAGACAAAAACAACACATGTTATTTATAAACTTTGGCAACAAATGTCAAGATGGCAAAGTGTAGCGTAGATTTGAGGTGGAAACACGTGCTTGAGTGTAGTGTAGTGTTGCTTAAGTTTAGTTTGGTGTTGTGTCCACACTTGTAGTAATCTAGTAGTAGACAGTTGGAATGAAGGGTAAGGCAGAGATTAGACCGCGATAAACAACACTTTTAAAAAGCCGCCAAAGGCAATCAATCGGCGTTTGCGTGGTGGGTCAATGATCCACCACATACCCAGCTACAATTATTACTTGAGTGGACATCTACCTACCGACCTTATCTACTATCTACATCTATCCTATCCTGCTTAAGGATACATCCAGACAGCTCCGAAGATTCACCTTGTGTACCATACATGCCCTGTTGTGTTTCCTTTTCAAAACATACTTGTCGTCATTGTTAAACAACCAACCGCACAAAAAAACAGCACACACACAACGATGTTTTTTGGTGATTTTTGATCAACGTCTTCGAGCCGAACAAACAGTGTGTGCGCGCGGACGGCACACACAGATCGTGTTGGGTAAACCAAGCTCCACACGTTTCCAAGATTGGCAATGGCATTGTCTTTAATGTTTGGCAGGCAATCAATTTATATTGTTGTTATTGTTTTAAAAGTAGTAGTAGACTTAATAGTAATACTCGAGAACACGTTGTAATCTTTTTACTTTACATTATTATTACCTTTACTTTATTTATAAATATAATTCATATAATATTATATTATATTGTATGTAAGTTACTACCCCCTATCTGGGTCTGCTGGGACCAGATCAACTGCCACATTGTCTGTCCATTGTCCGTCATGCACTCATCTTATCAACAACACATCCGTCCATTCTTCGATCACATTCACCAATTCACCAACACCACGTCCACAAACACACCACACGACGATACTACTTCGTCCGAATTGGCGAGTATCCATCACATATCCACACCTCACCAACTACCACCCACCCAGGGGTGCGGGTAGCACACACATATATCCATTCCGTCGCGCGCTTCACACAGTCATGAGATACATTCCATTCACTCATTCATTCCATTCACTCCATTCATTACTTTCTCTAACATCTCTTCTTCTTCATCCTCATCATAGTAGTAGTAGTAGTAGCAGTAATAGTAGAAGTAGCATTAGCATTATAAAAGCAAAGCAAACCAAGTCGATAAACAATCTTTGACAGTAGCAATCCAGCAAAGCCATCAAACCGCTGTGCAAACTCAAAAATAATGAGCCAACAACAACAACAACAGCAAATGCCAATCGTTGCTGAGCAATCCATGCCACAGGCACCTCAACAACAACAACCGACAGTCATGTTTGATATGAATCAATCAAATGAGTCATCTCCAAATAATGATGAACAATCGGATGAAGCCGAGGTCAGCGATAAGAAGACAGAGAAGAAGTCTGGTCGCCGCAAGATCAATATAGAGTTCATCAGCGAGAAGTCAAGACGACACATCACATTCAGCAAGCGAAAGACTGGCATCATGAAGAAGGCCTTTGAGCTGAGTACTCTCACGGGCACCCAGGTGCTCCTGCTGGTGGCCAGCGAGACGGGTCACGTGTACACCTTCGCCACACCCAAGTTGCAGCCCCTCATCACCAAGCCCGAGGGCAAGCAGCTGATTCAGACCTGTCTAAACACACCCGACACGCCTGGCACCAAGTCGGAGGACGAGGAGCGCAGCAGCACAAACACCAGCCCATACGCAGCCGAGGAGAAGAAGGTCAAGGTCAAGGCAGAGAAGAAGAATCAACATCACCAGCAGCAGCAGTCATCGCAGGTGCCTCCTTCCGTCCAGGCCCTGCCCCAGCTTCCACCACAACAACAGCAACAGACCACGGCCGCCCAGTTGGCCGCCCTCCAGCTCCAGCAACAGCAACAGGCAATGCTGTCCTACAACAATGAGATCCCATCGATGTATTCATCTTATAACAATCCAACACTTAATCTCTATTATCAGCAACAACAACAACAACAACAACAACAACAGCAACAACAGCAACAACAGCAACAACAACAACAACAACAGACATCTCAATCATCATCCAACCGAACGCCACCACAGATACTCTCGACATCCCCAACATCACAGCAACAGCAGCAGCAACAGATGCAGGCTGGAGCATCCCAATCGAATCAATCATACCTCCCACCGTTTTCAACCTCCAGCACGGCACAGTCCTACAACAATAGCAATGGCAACAACAACACCTTTGCCAACACATTCAATCCAAGCAGTGCTCAGATGGCGAGGTTCAACAACGCCCTCCCCTCACATGTAAATCAATCGGGTGCCAATGCGCCAGGGCAGTCGTTACCCAAGGACTACTAGTAGTTAGCCGTCAGCGACATTCTCTATCTCCATCCATCCACCTCACCGCACTGCACTGTACAACCTCTCTCGAGGTGTATCCCTTAGGGTACACCAATATATATCGATCAAACAATCCAATCCCAATCCCTATCCAACCATAAATCACATTCACATCCACTTCCAATGCCCTGTCGGCCAAACGCATGTATTGAAGTCAGGTTACACAGTATTTATCTCTCCATATCCCTCATCTCGTTGTACAGTGCTGTGCCCCTGAACGATTCATCACTCCACCAATCCACAACCAAATAACCAATGACCAGCCAGTCCGATCGCCCGCCAGCCCAACTCCACCTAGACTTGACCAACTCCAACCTCAACCCCCAACCTTCATCAATAGGTCGACCATCCCATCCCATCAACCCTCCTTCAATAAATCAGCGACTCCAATCTCTTGTCCAGTTGCCAGGTTGGGCAGCTGGGCCACGGCATCCTTTGTTTGTTTGTTTGTTTAGTTGTTGTTGATACAGGTGATCGATATCACTAACTAATTAATTAATAGATGGTCATCGAGTCTTCAAACAGCTTGGTCAACTCTTCGGCACCAACTGGTCTTGGACTAAGCTTGGTTACTCTGTGTTGTGGAAGTGTTCCAGTGACCAGGGCTGGTATGTCGTTGTGATTGTAGCCAACGGCGGTAAGACCATCTGGAACGTCCAGACGACGCATTATCTTTCTGATCTGATCAGACAACACACGTCCACTATCCTCATCACGCACATTTGTGATGTCTGCACCCATCAGCTTGGCGCAATGTAGATGTCTCTGGGGATTGGATATTCCAGTGAAGTTAAACACGGCTGGGGCGTGTAAAACAACACTCACTATGTTCCGGTGATGGGATTAGTTGGTGTGTTGAGTGATCGATTGATTGCTGGACATGGGATTACTTACATCCGTGAGGGATCATTGGCTTGTCAGTGTTGTAACCTTCTGGTTTGTAGTCTCTGACCATTCCAGAGACTGCATATGACATTCCATGCTTGAGTATGGCGGTGCAATAGTTTGAGCGAGGGCAAGGGTTAGGGTGAGGGCAAGGGTAAGGGCAAATGCAAGTTGGAGGTACATACACATAAATGTACACCGGCATTCTCAATGCCAATACCGGCAAAGGTGGCACCAAGCATAACTTGTGCACGTGCTTCATCGTTGCTTGGATCCTCGACGGCAAGTGGTAGATATTTGTGAATTAGTTCCAGTGATTGAAGTGCCCAGATGTCTGCCACGGGATTGGAGCCTTGATAGGATGGTCGTAACGATGGCGATGCAGGTCGTGGCGAGCGACGATTGAATGGTATCGCCGTGAATGACTCCAATGCGTGGCACAACTGATCAAAGCCACTGGCGATGGCCACAGTGCGTGGCATTGTTCTTGTGTTGTCCGGATCGACAATGCCCAGTGTGGGCTTGAGCTTCCTGTTGGAGATGCCCGTCTTGGCATTCATGTCGACCAGGTGGAACACGGCCACGCCGGTCGCCTCTGATCCTGTGCCAGCTGTGGTGGGGATGGCGATCAGAGGCTTGAGAGGGCCGGGTATCGGACGACCGAGGCCAATGGGCGCGTTGACATACTCCAAGAAGTTGTCGGTTGGGTATGTAGTGTACAAGTTGGCGGCCTTGGCCGTGTCCATCGTGCTGCCTCCACCGACCGCGACGAATGCGTCGAATGGTCGTTCGTGTTGCTTGACAAACTGGATGGCATCCTTGAACGAGTGGTCGGTGGGCTCGATGCACACCTTGTCGTAGAGTACAAAGTTGATGCCATTGTTCTTGAGCGACTCGCACACTGTCCACACTGGTGAGCTGTTGCCCAGTGCCACCAAGTTGGGATCGGTGAACACACAGACATACTTGGCGTTCAGTGCCTTGAGGTCTTGGCCAACCTCACGTGTAACGCCCTTTCCAAATCTGATGTTTGCAGCAGACACTTCGAATGCATAGTCATAGTCCGGTTGTACAGTTGCCGTTGATGAGTATCTTCCCAAGTTGTTGTAGTTGTTGTTGTTTATGATGTTTGTATTTGTGATGATGCTCGATGATGATGAAGATGATGTCGATGACTTCATATCGAATATCAAGGGAGTCACTGATGATGTTGTTGTTGTTGTTGATACACTCTTGTTGTTGTTGTTGACATTGTTGAGTGATGAACTACCCTTGCACAGACCTTGTCTGATGCCGTGACAAGGACATGTTGAGCCATATTCACTCACTGAACGAAAGACATTACTAACATTCTTGAGACCTTGCTCCTTGTTACTTAACAACTTCCTAATGATCAAGTTACTGGCCATCTATATCTGTATCTTTATATATCAATTCAATTCAATCTATCAAACTAACATTCTTTGAACTTCACACATTTGGATACTTGTCTGATCATTTTTAATTAATTTAGGACCAATTACTATATTTGGATAGTAAAGTATATATTCTTTAAGTTAACCATTAAATTGATTGGTTCATTCTTTCAATTAATTGAATAGAGATATATATATAATGAAGAAGAAAGGAGATAATAGACGTCTAGAAACTATATATTTATTATAACTAATAGCTTCTTTAATATTATTGTTTACAGGTGTTGGAACTTTTATTTATGAACTTATCTCTACTAGATGTAAAATCTCTCTATGTGAACCATTGGAATCATCTTATAATGTAATTATTAATTCATTCAATCAATCAATCAATCAACTTTAAAGCCAATGACATAAATTAATTAATAATAATAAAAAAGTATATATATTATTTAGAACTAGAAGGATTTAATTACATGGTGTTAGTTCTAGAAATCCTAAAGATGATTGTGATAATTTAACATCAGTTAAATGTTATTATATTAGAGATTATCCAGGTTATTTGACACAAGACAGTTCAAAATTATTAGTTTATAGAGGAGGTCCTTTCCTTGTTATTCTTATAAGCTCAATATTATCACTTACCCTTATTATTAATTTTATTACAGTAATATTTTGTCCCAAAATACCTAAAGTTGATCCACTACAACATCAACAACAATTAGAAACTTCTGTGGAACTGCCAACTATAAGTTCCATTTCAATTCAAATAGAACAAAAGCAACAACAAGATGAAGAATAATAATATTAATTTTTATTATTCAATATATGTCCAGATCTGGACATTATTAAATAATTTTGCACCACCTCAATCTGATGAGGGAGTTATTAAAAAGTTGATGTATTCTGGATACTAAAGGTATTATTATTTCTAGAACAATACAATACATACATATATATTAATTAATTATTATAACAATGAAAAAGAAAATAGATAAACCATCTTTCATATGTTTTTTTACTCTTCTTTATTATCTTTAATAGGATTGTTTATTGCAGTAGGAATTAATATTAATGATATTATCTCCACCAGATGTAATGTCACTCAATGTGATCCGTTTGATTCATCATATAATGTATTTATTCATTTATTCAATCAATCAATCGTTCATACCTTACTATAACTAATAATTGATCAATTTCATAGTATATATATTATTTAGTACTAGGAAGAAAGAATTTCTCTGTCCAGATATATAATGTTGGCTCAAGAAATCCGAAAGAAGAATGCGATAAATTAACTTCAGTTAAATGTTATTATATTAGAAATGATACATCTACTTTGACTTAAGACCGTTCAATATTATTTTTTTATAGCCAAGTTAGTTCTTTCTTTATTTTTCTATTTACAATTTCTTCCTTTATATTTTTATTAGGTTTGATATTAACATTATTTTACCATGAAGAACCTTATGAAAATGATCATGAACCACCTAGAATTAATTAGAAAACTCTGTGGAAATGCCAACAATCAATTCTATTTCAGTTCATATTGATCAACAACAACAACAAGAATAAAATTTTTTTTGTTAATCAATTAATTAATATCAGGATTTTATTGTTTGATTGATGTTTTGTAGTTTGGACTCGGGTTCGAAGTGTGATGAAAAGGGTCCAAAAAAACAATGGATCAAAAAACACACTCAACAGGATGAATAAATCTCGATCGTACGATCGAATTTTAGATGGTTTCATGAATGGTTCATCTATCTGTGTGTGTGTGTGTGAAAAAGGGAGGTAGTTGTTTGTGGATGGTTTGGGAGGGAGGGCTCTGGACAGGCCTCTTTGTAGTTTATTATCCATCGCAACTACCTCAAACACTTAATAATCTGTTGTTGTTTCAAAATATTAATATTATTAATAATTGAATTGGTGACCTTCGAGATGAGACTGTACTACTCGTACCAGTGATCATTGCAAAAACAACCTTACCTTCTACATCATCTACATCATCTACAATACAATATATATATTTATTTATTTATCTTTTCATTCGATCGATCATTGCAACAACAACAATTAAGTTGTTGACGACGACGAACTGATCACACATTCATTCATCTTTCATTCACACACCACCAACTCAATCAAACAACCAACTTCCACCCATCTTCAAACAAACACACAACTTAACTTAAACACCACACCTCAACTCATTTCCATCACTCAATCACTCATTCATTCACTCAACATCAACTCAGTCAGTCAGTCATTCGTGTAGTACTTATTCACTGCAGTGCATACAGACAGACATACAGATAGAGATAAAGAGATAGAGAGATATAGATAGAATGGATGATCCACTAGACTTTAAATTGCCCGATGGCATAAAGGACCCTGCGACAGAGTTTGAGATATTGGAGAGTCTTGGACGTGGCTCATTCGGAGCAGTGTTCAAGGCCCGACACAAGAGATCGGGTCACATCGTGGCTGTTAAACAGGTGCCGGTCAACGAAGACTTCCAAGAGATCCTCAAAGAGATCAACATCATGAAGCAGTGCAAGTCAAAGTATGTCGTACAATACTATGGCAACTACTTCAAGGGTGAGACATGTTGGGTATGTATCCTCAATCAACTCAATCAATCAACTCATACTAATTCAATCAATCAATCAATCACAATCATTATAGATTATAATGGAGTATTGCTCAATGGGATCGGTTAGCGATATGATGAACTTGTCAACGATGATTCTTAATGAGGAGCAGATAGCCTTGGTATGTTACAGTACTCTCAAGGGTCTGTACTATCTTCACAAGAGCAGCAAGATACATAGAGATATCAAGCCAGGCAACATCTTGGTCACGAGCACCGGAGAGTGCAAGCTTGCAGGTAAGATGACCCGATCTATCTCCCTCCCCTCCCTCGCACCATCCATCCATCCATCTCACACATCCATCCATCCCATCCATCCCCAACCATCTCTAGACTTTGGCGTCAGTGGTCAACTTAGTGAGCGAACGAGGAAGAGGAATACAGTGATTGGTACGCCATTCTTTTTGGCGCCAGAGATAATCCAGGAGGTTGGCTATGATTCAAAGGCAGACATATGGGCATTGGGCATCAGTGCCATTGAGATGGCAGAGTTCCATCCACCCTATCACGACCTACATCCAATGCGTGTCTTGTTCATGATCCCAACTGCCGAATCGCCCAAGCTTAAAGAGCCATCCAAGTGGTCGCCAGAGTTCTCTGACTTTATCCGCTTGTGTCTGGCCAAGGAGCAGAGTCAAAGACCAACAGCCAAGGACTTGTTAAAGGTATGATCGATCAATCATTCATTCAATCAAACACGCTCACTAACACTCAATCAATCAATAAATGTAGCATCCATTCTTTGAGAAGAAGGTAAAGGGTAACTACGTGATGAAGTCACTGTCGGATGCAGCACAGGAGGTGATTGATCGCGCAGGTGGCAGAGAGAAGGCTATAAAGGAGGCGGCGGAGAGGAATTCGAAGCGATCGGCCGAGTCAGGTGACTTTACACAGAGCAGCTCAGTCGATCCAGACTCGGACGAAGAGGAGGACTTGTTGGAGAGGAATAACAAGCTGCGTCAAGAAGAGTTCAACAGGGAGCCTTCACCACAGCGTCAACCAATCCAGCAGCAGCAGCCACAGGTACAAATACAAAAGCCACAGTCACAGCAACAGAGAACATCAGCGCCATTGGCTACATATTCAAATGGACAACAGCAACAACAACAACAACAAGCGAGTAACAATAGAGTACAGGTCGTAGTATCAAATAATAATCATGTTAATAGTATGGCTTCGCCAAATAGGAGGAGCCCTCTGTCAAACAACACGTCGAATGACGAGCCATTGAATGAGTTGGACTCACTTCTCAATGGCATCGTGCTGAACAATAGCAAGAGCACTGCACCTGGCGCCGGAAGCGCCAACCAGCCCACGCCCGGCCGTCGCCTGCCCAACCAGCTGTCCACGGGCAGCCTGCAGCACGAGGCATCGGCAGCGTCATCGCCCCCCGGCGTGTCTCAGCCCTCGTTCACCAAGCAGCTCTCGGCCAACAGTCTGCTCCAAAAGTCCAACACGCCATCACAGACGACGGTCAAGCCCAAGGAGCCCGCCAGCGAGCTGGACGACCTGCTCGAGGAGATGCTCAACCCATCGTTCGGCACCAAGCAGCGCGGCCTGACGCCAATCAGCTCGCCCACTACTCGTCGCTTCAGTCCACAGACGCCACAGGTGACCGTTACCCGCGTCAATGGCGTGTGGTCCAGCCGAACAGCAGGAGGATGCGCCAACAGCTTTGCCTGGCGCAACAACCCACAGTACCTGCTCTCAGTGTCCGCAGCCACGACGCTGTGCATCTCTCTGCGCCAGACTGGTGAGAAGCTCGTGCACATTGGCTTCTACTTTGTTCATGCCAACAAGGACGTCACCAAGCGCCTGATAAGCATGACCCGCGAGAACCTGGTGCCTGGTGTCGATATCACCTTCCTGCGCAACACCGAGGTGTCCACCAAGGTCAAGGTGGAGCCTGGCAACTACGTGATCATCCCTGCCACCTTTGAGCCACGCCAGGAGGGCGCGTTTGAGCTGGAGGTATCGCCGTCCGAGGTTGGCCGCGCACTCAAGCTGACAGAGATCCTACCGGACCGCGACTGGCGCATGGTGTCTGGCCGCTACCAGTGGCTGGGCCAGGCTGCCGGTGGCAGTTTCAGCGGCAATTCGGCAACGTGGAAGGACAACCCCAAGTTCCTTTTGGATATCTCCGTGCAGAGTCAGATAACTATCGTCCTGGGCAAGGAGGCCGACGTCGCCAAGGACATATACATTGGTTTCTACGTGTTCAAGGTGGTCGACAAGAACATGCCATACATCTACCTCACAGCCACCAACCTCGTTGCCAAGACCAACTTCCTCAACGGTAACGAGGTCGTGTACAGCCAGTCTTACGCGCCCGGCACCTACATGGTGGTGCCATGCACTTACGACTCGCGCCAAGAGGGCACGTTCAGCGTGCTGTGCTACAGCGAGTCACCCATCAACAAGACAGATTTGCAGGACCAGGTGCTGACGATTCGCGGCGAATGGCGCGGCAACACAGCGGGTGGCTGTCTGAACCACACGACGTGGCGTAACAACGCGCAATATCTTATCACGAACAACGGACCCCTGGCATCCAAGATCACGATCGTTATGGATCAGCTGGCCAAGGACACAACGCTTCTGCACTTTGCCGGCTTCTACGTGGCCAGGTCCAGCGTGACTCAGGCATCCAACACTGCGCACAAGAAGGTGTTTGTTCTGACACCCAACGACATTATTGGCAACACAGAGTTCATCAACGACTTCCAGGTTCACTACAGCTTCGTGTTGGAGGCGTCGACTTCGTGCATCGTCATCCCCTGCACGTTCAAGCCGTCGATCGAGTCAGAGTTCACCCTGCGCGTCATCTCGTCGCAGCCCACAGCCGCCATCACGCAGCTGGCCGAGTGGTCCTCCAGGAGGCTGGCGGGCGAGTGGCGCGGCGTTACATGTGGTGGTCGCTACAGCAACACATCGTCCACATGGACACAGAACCCGCGCTACCAGTTCCATCTGCCGCGCGCTGGTCGCTACACCGTCATCCTGGCGCAGTCCGAGAAGCCCACTAACCACGGCATCGGCTTTTACTACTTCAAGACATTCCCCGATGGAAACCTGAAGGAGCTGATCTGCAAGAGCGGCTTTGTCTCTGGCAAGGAGGTCGTCGTCGAGGGTACCGCAGCTGAGTCCATCCACGGTGCCATCCTGCCGGCCACCTTTGAACCAGGTATCCAAGACACTTTCAACATCACAGTATATAGCGAACATGACTTTGAACTCATTCCACCAGCAGGTGTGCCACTCTAAATTCATCATCCGTCGACAATCAATCAATCATACTTCCACTCACTCACATCTCCCCAACCAATCAATCAAACAATCACTTTATCGCTCACTCCACTTCTTATATATAACACTACCTACCTACATATACATATGCACCAGTTGCCAAACTAACTTTATTGATTGGCAAGATAAGTTAATAAATCAAATACTCCTGTGTAATTTTAAATGGATAACCAAGGAGTCCTAGGCCTGGAACATGGGCTTGGGCTTGGACTTGTATGTTGCCAAGTCTAACAATGTGTATCGTAGTAGTTTGAGATCCTTTCGGTTGAAGAACATAACATTGGTGATTGATTGATGTTGTTGTAGATGTTGTTCTGGTGAGGGACCAACGTAGGTTGAACAACAAATTCCAAATGATCGATCATTATCCAGTAGACGTAGATTGTGTATATACTCTGGTAGTGCAGCGTGATGATACACCACCTCATACATCTCCACCTCTGGTATCATCTCAAACATCTGATCCATGAACTCATCCACTTTTGTAAACATTGACACCTGTAGTTGAAGCTTCTTAATCTTGTTAACTAGCCGTTGATGTGGTGGACTTGGAGTTGGAGTTGGAGTTGGACTTCTTGGACTTTGGTCGAGTCCTGGACCTGGGCCGGGGCTCAGCCTCAGGTCAATATGTTTGGGATACATGGCAATTTGAAGATACTTCTTGTTAGATATGAGTTCGGTAAGTGATGATGGTAAGTGTCGTAATGTTAGGGGCTTGTTGAAGCCAGCACCAATGGTCAAACGAGTGATTGATTGTGGTAGCGACTTCTTCTTGATTCGTTTGTTGAAGCAACTTCCCAAGGTCAGATCAGTCAACGCGGGCGGGAATCCAACCTCTACGACCTCCTTGTTGAACCATTCTCCAGTGTGTAGCCAAAGCAACGATGATGGGAATGACCCTGGTAACCATTCTTGATTGTAAAAGTATGCAAACTTGAGCTTTGTAAGTGACATGGGCAGCACGTCTGGCTCAAACTGGCATTTGAACTGATCACCAAAGATCAATGTATGAAGTTGGCTATTGCTGGGGAATGTACCATGCGTCAAGGGTCGATTAAAGTTGAGTCCAAACTCCAGGAAACGCAAAGATGCAGGGAGTATGTGAGTGGGAATAGACTTATCATATAATGTCCCGAACCTTAATGATGTGAGTGCATTAGGGAGCACTTTAGGATGCAGGACGCAGTTGAAATAGTCTCCAAACACTATTGAGGTGACGCTGGATGGTATGGCATCTGGAAGGAGTCCCTTGTTGTAGTATTGTCCAAATTGCAATGTGGTCAGCATCATTGGGAGCATGCCAGGCTCGATGATGTTGTTGAAGTATGATTGGAAGCTCAGATGTGTGATGGTCATGGGCAGTGACTGGGTGGCAGAGACGTGTCCATTGAGCAGGATTGTGAGTGCAGGAGGTAGCGCGCCAGGCTCGTGGCGCAGGGGCGTGGAGCACGGTCCTATCTTGAGACGAGTGAGTGATTGGGGCAAGTGACCGGGAATGATTGTGTGATTGAAGCCTGAGCCTAGCCTCAAAGACACGAGTGACGTTAGGTGATCAAAGATGCCGTCGATCGGTTGATTGAAGCCATTTCCTAGTTTGAGCTTGGTCAATGAGTCAGGTAGTGAGCCAACCTGTATCAGACTGTAGAAGTTATCATTGAATGAAAGATGAGTGATTGATGATGGGATCATTCCAGGTTTGATTTGTTCTCCATTGTATCCCTTATCTATAAACATTCTAGTTGTTGATGTTATTGTTAATGTTGATGTCGATGATTGATCAGGTTGATCAGATGATCGAGACAACAATGATTGTGGCCATCTTGATCTGATCAACTTGTGTGATCGTTTGTCAACCAATCCAAATGATACAATATCAAGTGGATCAATCACATTCGATATTATATTATGTATAACTAAGTTTGATAATGTATCCATCTTATAACACGGATTGATTAAATGATTGTTTGATATAATCAGGAACTATTTCAAACTGATTGATGGGCAGTCAATCAGTTGAATACAGTGCGAGGGTATCTTAAGCCATGATTCATGATGCCCAAGCGTGAATGGAAGTAAGGTGATGATCATACTTCCAACTATTTACTCAAGTCAGATCACGATTTAAATGATCCAAACATTTAATTTATGGGTCATACGAAATAATCACCCAACCCACAAGTGAATCATATGAATGCAGAAGAGACGACAGATACAAGTATAGTGATAAACATACAGATAATCAATCAATCAATCAATCAATCAATGATGTCAACGACAATGGTCTACTTGATGTTGATGTTGTTGTTGTCAACGATTGTGTTGGTACAGGCTGGTCCACATAATGCACCTGTACTTCGATTCTCAAAGAACTTGTTGACACTGCCCGATGGAGGACATTCACAGTTGAGTTGTAGAGGTGGCACTGCTAAAGGTTCAAACGAAGAACCACCCTACATCTTCTGTCTATCATCACTAGATGATATATTCGATCCCAATGGTAAGCAGTGCTAACTATGTTATAATGGGTCGATCACATACTAATGAATGACATTCATCGCGTAACAGCACAATTCAGGTGTCAGAGTCCCAATCCATCAAGTTACTCAACAATATCAAAGTATACTGTTGTATGTAAGAGGGGAGAGAATGATCATAATGAGTATACATTTGGTGATGAGTAAGTAATGCCACACTACATGACAACAATGTTAGCATCGACTAACGAGTATCTTTCACGACAACAGCCATCCATGTCATGCCCAGTATAGTCTTGATTGGATTGAAGTCAATCAAAGTATGTATTCATTCATTCATTCAATCAATCAATCAATCAATCATTCATTTTAACTTACACGATACATCGATTGATCACAGTCAGAGTCATTGGATGGGGCATACTAGGATGTGTATTCTTCTACCTCTTCTTAACAAGAACGAACAACTCGTTCTATCAACAGTAAGTGCTTCAACATGAGGTCTTGTTGTACTTACTTACAACTAATCAATCAATCAATCAATCAATCAATCGAAATGGTTAGGATCAACAATCCAATGTCATTCCCACGAGAACCAACCAATCCCAAGATCTTCATGTTTTGTGGCATCTTCATATCGTTAACCATTGTGGTGTCAATGGTTGTATTTGTCCTCCTCTGTCTATATATGTTCTCTGCTCCCGTTTAAACCTTGAACGATTGGTAGCTTCATCATCCCCGCTTCAAACATCATGGTCATGGCTCATCTCTCTCAAACATTGCAAGGCACATCACCATATCATTCACTCAAGTGCTGAACATTGGACATCCACTTCACTTGCTACATTCTTCCAGAAACATACTGCCAACGTCACCTACTCATTCATTCATTCGAGTGAGCAACAACAATCAATGATGTACGTGCAAGTTGTTGGTTGGAACCAATCCTTGAACTTACATTATTATTATTCAAAAACACAATATATATATCTTGGTCGATCGATCGAAGGTCACTGTTGTGATTGATTGAATGAGCCTGGGCACAAACAACAACAAAGCAGATCTTCAAGTTCATGAATTGCGAACCACGTGACGTCGTGTCACTGTTCCACCCACACTCCTTCTTCTCCCCCACCCTTCACACCCACCAATCCCACCCTTTCACTTCACTTCAAGATGAGAGGGTGTTGTTTGAAACACAACCCACCTTAATCCATTCACTCAATTCACCTATCTCCTGTCACCTGACCTCCTTACTCACATTCATTCATTCATTCATCCATTCATTGAGATAAAAATACATAATAACAGATATACATATACATATATTCATTCATTATTCACACTACTAGTTGAACAACAAATATTTAAATTATTATTATTATTATTATTTTTCTTTATTCATTTAACTCATTCATTATGAATATATTATCAACAACAGGTTAACAAACATAATAGATAATAGATACAACGAACAATAATAATAATAACAATACAGAATAACAAGCAATGACAAATGCAGCAATGGCAGTTGACTTGATAAATGATGTCTTGTCCAGTGATTCATTGACGACGATGTTGTCAAATATGACACAACCGCCAAATACAACTTCGAATCCAACATTTTGTACATTGACACAATCACATTTGATGGCGGCATATATTGTCAACTTAATTGCCAGTTGTCTATCAGTAATTGGATCAGCAGCGATCATTTTAAACTACTTCCTATTCCTAAGCCAGACCAAAAGAAATCAAGTTCTATATCGACTAATTCTATTCCTATCAATTGCCGATTTCTTTGGTTCACTTTCAATATGTATATCACAATCTGTACTCTTGATGAGGTATGTCCAAAGATGGTCAATGTAATTCCCCTGTATGAATATTTCCACTAACATTCAATCAATCAATCAATCAATCAATCTAATCAGTTACAAACAAAGTGGATCATTCTGTGTATTGATAAGAGCATCGATAAATTATTTCTTCTTGTCTAGCTTTGTTTGGATGAGCTGCATTGCCTTCCATGCTTATTGGAGCTCAAGACAAAGGAGTCAAACACCATTGTTTGTTTTCCATGTATTGTCATGGGGCCTACCAACAGTGATGACAATAGCAATGCTTTGGCAACACGCGATCGTTCAAGAACAGAATGCCAACTACTGTCATCTCGAAGCCAAGTCCAAATGGATCTATTGGTATGGCCCATTAATGTTAACATTCGTCTGGAACATTGTATTATACGCGATGATCCTCTGGAAGTACCGCCACTCTGTTCGTCCAATGTCACCAGACTACCTGTCATCCGGTTCCATCAACACGCAGCACTCAGTGTCGACACACTTTGTTAACGAGCGAAAGAAGAAGATGCATGGAAAGGTGGCTCGCCAGCTTGGCATCTACTTGATGGCTTTCATAATCTGTTGGCTGCCGGACTTGATCGATGGATTCGTTCCAATCTCTGAGCGATTCTGTCGCTTCTACTGGCTGTGGCTGGTACAGAACTTCACGACACCACTGCAAGGCTTCCTCAACTTCATCGTCTATGGTGTTGCCAGCAGGATGTTCCTGCGATGTAAAAGAAAGGAACCACTTGATCTTCGATCACTCAATGAGAAGCGACAACAAAAGATAAGTATACTCAGAGGTGTTGTAGAGTAGAGTAGTTAGTGGCTGTGGCTGCGACTACTACTTCAACATCATCATCATCATAAATATTGTAAATATATACTCTGCCGATCAAGATATCAAACATCAACTCCGACATGTAACCTAGTAAAACATTCCAAGGAATCATTCCAAACAATTTACTTTATTGTACCTCTTCATTGTTGTTGATTTCGTCCTCATTAATGATTGTGTATCCCTCTGTTCGGTTCTCTTCAAGGAATCTTACCACTTCCACATGACCCAAGGCCGCGGCATGGTCCAAAGCATAAACTGTGCATCCCTCTGTTCTGTTCTCGTGAAGGAAGCGTACAACTTCCAAATGACCAGTGGACGCTGCAAAGTCCATGGCATTCACCGTGCATCCCTCTGTTCTGTTCTCGTGAAGGAAGCGTATGACTTTGAGACTTCCAGTGGCTGCTGCGCCATCCATCGCATCAGTTGTGCAGCCTTCCGTTCGATTGCGATGAAGGAAGGTTACCATCTCCAGGTGTCCTCGGGCCGCGGCCATGTCCATCGCATCAGATGTGCAGCCTTCCGTGCGCCTGTTGTGAAGATACTCGAGCACCTCCAGTCGTCTCCTGCTCGCCACCATGTCCATCGTCTCGCCTATCACACAGCCTTCGGTGCGGTTCTCATTGAGGAAGCGTACGATCTCCAAGTGTCCCTGGTACGCTGCACCGTGCATTGCGCCCTGTGTGCAGCCCTCTGTTCGTTTGGCATGAAGATACCTTACAACGTCAAGGTGACCATTCTCGGCGGCATTGTCCATCGCTTGTGTCGTACAGCCTTCAGTTCTGTGTTCATGGAGGAATGCGACGATATCCAGATGTCCACCTTGCGCGGCCTTGTCCATGACACCTGATGTGAATGCATAGTCGAGTCCTTGCTCGTGAAGGTATCGTATAACTTGGCTATGGCCCTTGAGCGCGGCCATCAGCACGGACGACGTAGAGCATCCCTCTGTTCGATTGACACAGAGGTACTTGATCAAGTCCATATGTCCGGCGTTCACAGCATTCGACATCACTTCCCCGGTCCATGGCTCGGTTCGGTTCTGCTCGTGGAACAGTTTAACAATGGGCAGATGTCCTTCATGTGTGGCATATAGTATCGCATCACTTGTTCCGCCCTCTGTCCTGTGCTCATGCAGGAATTGGACTACATCCAAGTGGCCGTTGAACGCAGCCCAGTCCATGGCCTTTGTCGTGCAGCCCAAGGTCCTATTTTCATGCAAATACCTTAACACTTCAAGATGGCCCTTGGCCGCCACTCTGTCCATCGTGTCAGCGGTGCAGCCTTGATCACCCAGTTTGTGCTCGTGAAGGAAACGAACGACATCTAAGTGACCTTCAATCGCGGCATAGTCCAGCGCGTCTTCGTGATCCAACATCCCTTTCTCCATGTCCAGATCATACAGATACTGGACCAAGGGCAAGTGTCCGTTGAGTGAGGCCACCTCGAGAGCTTTACATGAGTAGCCCTCGGTTCGATGTTGTTGGAGGAAGAGAAAGATGTCCAAAGAGGTAGCATGGTCCATCGCGTTTGTTGTGGCCGCTGCGCCATTGTCGTGCAGATATTGAACGAGGTCCAGACGTCCAATCGATGACATTGCATCCAGTGCCATCAATGACTTGAAGGCGTGATCATTGCTTGTCGCTGTCGTTGTGGTGAGGATGTACTTGATGATGTCCTTGTGTCCTTGGAACATCTTGAATGAGCCACATTCAAACTTGATGGGAGGTGCATTGAGGCGCTTTTCAGTGTCGCGATTGTTGAAGCGTCTATCGACACATTGAGTCCAATGTGCAACCAACTCGGGCCATTTCTTGCCCTTGAAGAAGTTGATGTCATGTGTAGTTGAGAAAGAGTCGGGTCCATCACGATCATCATCTGTTAAACATGTTGATATTAACACCTTCTGATTGATCAAATGAACATGATTGAATAACAACTTATATAAATAACGATTATAGATCAATTGTCTGAACAATGAATCTTTATCTTTATCTTTATCTCTATTAGACATAATATATGAATTCAATCTGAATGATTCGGCTATCAAGTTGAAACTTATACCTTGCCCTCGCCCTTGCCTTACCCTTGTTTATCTAATCCCTGAAGTGTAATAAGCAGAATACTATTGTTGACAAGATTATAAGGTATACCAAAATGATCACTGGAATCATTCCAAACACCCCTTCACACTCACACACTCATCCAAAAAAGACACTTTCCCTCATTTCGGGCTTTGATCAAACTTTTGACATTCCACGCCAAATCAGATCACTTCATAATTTCCAACTTCAACATTTATAACAACATGTTACAGATAATAGATAATAATAATAATAAGTTAATATCCCATTCAGTAAAAGTAGTCTTGTTATTGTTTGTGGTGTTGGCTGTGGCAGCAGGCGACACAACTACCGATGACCCATTTTTATGCAGGATGTTGTGTTGGTCGTGGCAATACCTGTGTCAACGGACTACAATACAACAATGTTGGCATATCATACTTCTGTCCCGACACTGACTTTGGTACCGAACAAGATCGTTTCGGTAACAACCTTCAAGTGTGTATGAGTCCGTGTATATACCAATATCGTACGACCAACTCTACAACAGGCATTGGCAGTACTGGCACTAGCACTGGCACTAGCACTGGTAGTGGCACAACACAATACACCACAACCAATATAGTCTACAGCACATCATACTCCATCTCTGGCTCAATCTCTACCTCCACGGCCACCCCCACACCAACAAGTGACAGTGACAATGACAATGACAATGACTACTATGATAATGATGATGGATTGTATGGACTAAGTGAGTCCCAACTCCAAATAATGGTCATAATATTTGTAATATTGATCATTGTTTGTGGATTGATTATTCAAAGGAGGATGAAGAAGGCAAAGAAGGAGAGTAATGAGTACCAGCCAGTGTCAGACTTGATTGATTTGGAAGACCCTCCCGCTCCAACTCCAATCGTCATCACACCAACTATTCCAACAATGTCAAAGTCACCAGTGATTGAACAACAGGCCAAAGAAGTAGTGATTATGATGGTACCAAACAACAACAACATGATGATGATGCCACCAATGTTCATGCCACCTCATCAACAACAGATGTTATACTATGTACATCAGGCACCTTATGGATTTCCCGCTCCTGGATACCCTGCTCCTGCCCCTGTCCAAGGCCCTGCTACTGCCACCATGCAGCAATATCCATCATATTTGCCACCACCATATCCATTCCAATTTCCTTTCATGATGACTACCCAACAACAACAACAACAACAACAACAATAAGTTACTCTACTTCATGAGTTGGCACTTGGAATGATTCCATTCCCTCCTTCCCCTACTCAACAAGATCAATCACATGATGAGATAAATAATGGACTTCCAAAGGTCATTCATTTCCCCAGAACATGCCCGTTGCATCAACAGATGTGCTATGAAATATCTTGATCGGTGTTGTTTTTTTTTTTGTCGTTGGGTAGGGTCAACTCAACGGATCAAAAAACAAGATACTTGGCGCCCTTGTTGAGGTGGATGGTGTGTGATTTGATTTGTTGTTCCCCTCAATAAATCAGTCAGGGCAGTCCCGTACATTCGTAGTGCAAACATTAGTAGTACTTGCTTTGTATCCTCTAAAGTCAAGGTGTCTGTCTGTCTGTCTGTCTGTCTCTCTAGCAACAGGTAGTAATTGTATAAGTAATATAGTGACATACAAGGTAAAGTCATTCATCCCAATCAATCATGTGACCATGAGTTCATGCATGGTGAATGTGTGGGTGGCGGTGTGCGAGGAGAGGTGCAAAGCTAGCCCCCAAAGATAGAGTTAGATCGCAAGGGCGACATGTCAATGACCCACCATCCCAATCAATCAATCAATGTCAATGCAATTCAATGAATCACTTACTTACTTACATGTAATACATACAGAGATATACAGATATACGATACAGATATATAGATATATAGATAGATAGATAGATAGATAGAGATGGCAGAAGCCATGACGAGAACACAATTGTTTGACTTGTCAAATGAGGACAATAATAACAACCTCGACGATGGTCATCAACATCAAGGACAACATAATAATAACAACAATCCATCAACACCTATGGGTACATTCGAAACAGATGATTATACAACATCTTCGACATCATCATCATACTCATCATCGGCGGGATACCTCACTACACCCGTGGCACCAATCAATCATCAACCTCCAATCCCACTCAATCTACCCATTCAACCAATCCAACAACAAGTCGTACATCATCAAGGCTCACCATCACAAACAAACTCACCATCACAACTACAACGCAAACTGCAACAGCAGCAACAACAACAACAGCAACAACAGACACCATCATCACCACAGTCAGGTATCAACTTGATACCTGCACCCAAGCCATACCCATTACATGAAGCGGCATTCAAAGGCGAGCACGAGAAGATCTCTTCACTACTCATGTTCACTCAAGGCAAGAGTGCCTCGCATGGCAAGTCACACAGTAACAGCAACAGTCCCTCGCACAGTCGTGTCGATCATCATCAACATCATCAACCAAAGCCACAACCAGTAGTAGTCGATGTAAGCAAGTTGGAGTTTGTTGGCATCAATAGCTTGGACTCAAAGAAGACGACACCCCTGCATCACGCGGCATTCAACGGCCACAAACATTGTGTGAAGCTGCTGTTGGCGTCAGGCGCCTATCCCGACATCCAGGACATTGACGGCTGCACACCCCTGCACAACGCCTCGTTCAACGGCTTCAAGTCCGTGATTAGCATGCTGATTGACGCCGGCGCCAGCGTCACCTCGAGCGACATTGACGCCAATACCGCGCTGCACAAGTGCTGTTACAGCGGCTATCACAAGTGTGGCGAGCTGTTGCTGCAGCACGGCGCCGACATTGAAGCGCGCGACGTCAATGGCATCACCCCGCTGCTCAAGGCCGCGTCCAACAAGCACTATCGATGCCTGCTGATGCTGATTGAGAAGGGCGCCGACGTCAATGTCAAGGACCTCTTTGACTCGACGGCGCTCCACCAGGCCTGCTACAAGGGCAGTGACAAGTCCGTCTCGCTGCTGATCCAAAAGGGTGCGCTGGTCAACACTGGCGACAAGGATGGCCACTCGCCCCTTCACAACGCTGTCTTCAACGGCTTTGAAGAATGCACCAGGATTCTCCTGGACAAGGGTGCCAGCATCGATCAGCGGGCACTTGATGGTTGCACGCCACTCCACTACTCTGCCTCCAATGGATTCGAGAACTGTGTCAGTCTCCTTACAAGACGAGGTTGTAAATTAGATATAATGTATGTTTGATAATGTTTTTGATGGACTCTGCAGATGATCACTGGACTAACTCTTCCTTCCCTCCTTCCATTTGATGTAGAGATGAGAAGAGAGGTAGGACTGCACTACACTTTGCTGCTAGCAAGGGTACAATTGGATGTGTTGAGATATTGTTAAAGGCTGGCGCCGATGTGAATATCAAGGACCTTTCTGGAAAGACTGCCAAGAACCTAACAAAGAATCCAGACATCATTGCTTTGCTCTCATCCTATGAGGAGAAGTATGTTGTCACAACCCTGGATGATGGTCATTCAATCAATCACTAACTCTCCATCACTCACTCAATCATCAATCATCAATCACAGGAAGAGGAAACAGAAGACTACCAAGCATAAGAACTCAACAATCAAATCAAAGAAGAACAAGGACAAGGACAAGGAGAGGGATAATGACAAGGACAAGGATAGTACAGACAATGGATCAACAACAACAACAACGATTGTTGCAGCAACAGCAGCACAACAACAACAACAACAGATTATGAAACATACATCATCACCATTGAATGATTCATCAGATTCTGCATATAAACAAGAGACAAATAGTGTTGTGAACGAACCATCAACGCCAGTGAAGGAGGAAGCTGGACCAACTTCAACATCATCAACATCCACCACATCATCAGTAACAAGCACAAGCACAACAACCACCGCCACAATGACAGGATCCACCACCATCCCATCATCTCCAAACAACAACAACAGTAGTACAACTCATCCATCAATATCCAGGACAGGTTCAATGGATTCAATCAGCAGCGAGAGAGAGTATGGCGCAGAGGTCACGCCCAAGCTGGACATCTACGGCTTTGTCAAGTCGTCCAGCACAGTCGGCGACGAGACCACTGTGCGCACCAAAAAGACAGAGAAGCGCGAGCGCAAATGGACCAAGATGATCAAGAACTGGCCAAAGTTCTCAAGGACTGCCAAGCTCCGCGATCGCCTGCCCAAGGGCGTGCCCAGCTCGCTGCGCGGCTTTGTCTGGCAGCACCTGCTCAACGTGCACGACATCAAGAATCGCGCCTCCGTCTCATACCAGGAGCTGTTGGGCAAGCCTGCGCAGCCGGCCATCGTGGCGCAGATCCAACGCGACCTCAACCGCACGTTCCCCAAGCACAGCTTCTTTGTGGAGAAGGGCGGCTTTGGCCAGCAGATCCTCTGCAACATCCTGACGGCGTTCTCTGTGTACAACCCCGAGGTTGGCTATTGCCAGGGTATGGGCTTCATCACCTGTCTGCTCATCATCTACATGGCCGAAGAGGATGCCTTCTGGGCCCTCGTGCAACTGTCCGAACGCTACGGAATGGCGGATGTCTGGAAGCCTGAGTTCCCCTACCTCCAAACCTCCTTCACATTGCTCAACACAATGTTGGAGACACATCTGCCACAACTCTATGCACATATTGTAAGTCCTTGTTGGAACAATCCCAATCACTCAATCATCAACTGACACTCAATCACATGATCAAACAGCAACGCCAGAATGTATTCACGCCACTGTACTCATCACAATGGTTCATCTGTTTGTTGATATATAACTTGCCATTCCCATTGACCGTTCGCATTTGGGATGTATTCCTGAATGATGGCCTGGTGGTCATATTCTCGGCGGCATTGGCGTTGTTCAAGATGCACGAAGACGATTTGTTGAAGATGGAATTCGAGGACATACTCAATCTGCTAAAGTTTGCCAATGGCGAGGAGAACACGATGAGGATTGATCCATCGGCATTTATGAAGCAGCTCGTACACTACAAGCACAAGATCAAACACTTTGTCAATGACGGCCAGATACCTGATCCTCATGGCGGTAGTATCAATGGACATGGTAGTAGTGGCGGCAATGGTAACAGCAGTAAAGGTTAATCTTTATCCATTATATCTCCAAACCAGTGATTGATTGATTGGGATGGTTCCAATGTTGTCATCGCGCGCAGCAGCAACCTTGATTTATTGTTGGCAACACCCAGAGAAGGTGATGGATGTAGAAGGGGAGGGATGGGAGGGAAGAGGAAGATCGTACATTATATATTGTTATTGTTGTTATTGTTATTGTTCAATCAACAAGAGACAGAGTGATAAGGCAGCAATGAGAAAACGAATGATGGTGCCAAGCGCTGAATGAATGATCCCAAGATACCAATTGAGAATGCAACTGATATAGCTCCAACACTCCTAGATGATGTCATACCTGTCAAGTTCGTGTGTGTTAGTCATCCACTCTCTTCATCGCGAGTTGATGTCATCCAAACATACCATCAGCAAGTGTATATCCGACGAGAAGTAGTAATACTGTAATAAATAACTTAATAGACATTGTTGTATGAAGTTGTTGTAGTTGTTGTTGTTGTAATAGTAATAGTAGTTGTTGAGATAATGTACAAGACGTCTGTTGATTTATAATGCTTTGAATTGGATTGATTGATGAATTAGTCAATCAAGGATTGACTGTCAACTTTTTGAATTTTGATGGAATAATCAAAGAATCATAGGAAGTGTGTGTTTTTAAAGATCATTTAGATCAATAACGACTCGACCCGAATAAGACTGTTACAGATACACCAGGCTAAGTACAAAGGTCCGACATGTACTACTACGTGGTGGCAAAAGGCGTCACACCTGGCATTTATGATTCTTGGTAACTATCCTGGAAGAAGGTCCAATACTATACCATGATGATTGAACGAACGAGGAATGAATGAATGAATGAATGATCACTCATACATACTACCCATGTTCATCCATACTTAAGGGAGAAAGCTGAACCCAATGTGAAAGGATTCTCAGGTGCACTGTTCAAGAAGTTCGAATCATTAGATGCTGCTCATCGATATTGTGCTCTACATAATCTGGTGATTGATAACAACAACATGTTCATTGAGTTGTTTTCAGCTGCTCATATTCCAATGACTCCTCCTACTACTCCTCAGAAGCATACACCAGCACCATCACCAGCATCAGCACCAGCACCTGTACCTATACCTATACCATTTCAACTACCACAAGTACCTGATAACAACACCAACACCAACAACAACAACAACAACAACAACAACAACAACAACAACAACAACAAAGACATAGACATTATTGATTTGACGAATGATGATGAAGTATGTCCACCTCATTTGATGGTACCATTCCCAGGAACTAAAACACTATACTGCCAACATGGATGTGGATACAGGGAGACACTGTAGACTAATCCTATTGCTGGACACAATAAATATCATCATCTGATGTGATGACCAAAGGGTACCCTTCAAAAGTGCGAAGCCCCACACTTTGATGATGTTCATTCATTTGTTTGAAATTACTAATCACCTTGTCATCATACTTCATTTGTTCATTCATTCATTTGTTTAATTAGTAGTAGGATATATATACATATTATAACAAGGTCCTAGGTTGTGACATTTGTAGATATAGATAGATAGCAATGCTTAACACATCATCAAGGTCATTTGCCAGATTGGTCAAGTCTGGTAACCAACTGTTACAACATAGATATGCAAGACCAAGCAACAAGATGGCCATCACAACAACAACATCGACATCGACATTAAAGTCAATATCAACAACAGGTCAACACATAACAAACATCACAAAGTCATCATTATCATTATCAATATACATCAATAACAATGGACGCAATAACTACTCAACAGCAACTACTCAGTCAGATTCATCAGAAGTATGTCATGTTGCCACACGTGTTGCCGCGTGTTGCCACCTGTTACCCCGTGTTACCGTGGACCACACACGACTCACACTCTTCACTCACTTTGATCGATCATAGGTACTTAGAAAGTTGATTACACCTGAACAAAAGATACTGTTTGAGAAGAATACAACATTGTTGGAAGCATTGGAAAAGGATTTGTTGTACTTTAACGCGCCAGAGGACTCACGTCAATTGATAAAGGATGCGATTGAACAGCTAAAGGACCAACAGTTCTTATTGGTGGTGGTCGGCGAGTTCAACAGTGGCAAGAGCTCATTCCTCAACGCACTACTTGGCAACACATTCTTAAAGGAGGGAATCACTCCAACAACGTCCAAGATCAACATTCTCAAGTATGGCGACGCAGTGCACTGTGCCGCTGGACGCAGTAACGAGGAGGAAGTGATCAAACTGCCCGTACCATGGCTGCACGACATCTCGCTGGTGGATACGCCCGGCACAAACGCCGTCGTCAAGGGCCATCAGCAGATCACCGAGCACTTCATCCCGCGCTCTGACATGGTGCTGTTTGTGACGTCGGTCGACCGCGCGTTCAGCGAGAGCGAGCGCAGCTTCCTCGCCAACATCCGCGCGTGGCGAAAGAAGATTGTGGTCGTGCTGTCCAAGGCCGACCTGATCGAGCACAACCCAATGTCGGACGCGGCGGCTGACCTGGCAGAGGTGACCAAGTTTGTGCAGGAGAACTTCAACAATCTGCTCGGTGTCAGTCCCGTGCTGTTCCCAGTGAGCTCCAAGTTGGCGCTCAAGGCCAAGCTCACCGTGGCCAAGGAGGTGCCACCCCAACAGGAAGACTTTGGTGAGCACCTGGCACAGAACAGCATGTGGCGCGCAAGTAAGTTCGCTGCGCTCGAACGCTACATATTACACACTCTTGACAGCTCGCAACGCGCCAAGCTCAAGCTACTCAACCCACTGGGCGTGTCGGAGAACATCTTGCACTCATTCACTGCTGACTTGGCCGAGCGCGCCAAGGTGCTCACTGTCGACCAAAAGATCATGCAGAACGTCGAAGAGCAACTGGACGCGTTCCGCAAGGAGCTGCACAAGGACCTCGAGTTCCATCTGCAGCGCATCGACAACAATCTACTCAAGATGGAGACGCGCGCTGACGCCTTCCTCGACGACAACATCCGCCTGACCAACGCGCTGGCCCTGCTGCGCACACAGGAGATGAAGCTGCGCTTCGAGAAGGAGGTCGTGGGCAACACGATGAACGAGATCGAGGCCAACATCTCGACCCTGATCGATTGGATCGTCGAGAAGAATGCCAAGCAATGGCACAACATCATGGACTACATTGACTCGCGCTCATCATCACGTCTCGAGCGACTTATTGGCAATGTGAATCGCAACGGCGACTTTTTGCACACACGATCAATGCTGCTGCAGAACATTGGTGAGAGCACATCCAAGGCATTGTCCGTGTACAACAAGGAGAATGAGGCAACAAAGATCACACAAGAGATTAGAGACACACTGTTCCGCACGGCTGCCATCGAAGTTGGAGCAGTTGGCCTTGGTACCATCTTGACCGCATCACTCCTTGACGTCTCTGGCATCATTGGAATGGGAGTCTTGGCCATTGGTGGTCTTGGACTACTTCCACTCAAGAAGTCTGCACTCAAGAAGTCTGTTCATTCAAAGGTATGGTCGCTGGAACAATTCCAAACAGACTCAATCACTCACTCACTCAATCAAACCATATTTTAGGTACGCGATCTAAGACATGAGTTGTCAACTATAATGAATCATCATTTTGAGACAGAGTTGGAACATGGAATACAGAAGATGAAGGATGGAATCAGTCCCTTTAGCAATTATATTATTGCCGAGAATGACAAGTTGAACCAATCTCATATCAAGTTGCAAAAGTATAACGAGACCATCTCCAATCTGAAAGAGGAGATCGAATTGTTGAAGTAATATTACTACTACTACACTCAATCCAATCGACCCAAACAATTAATCAATTAATTAATCAATCAATCCATCCATCCATCCAATCACAATATTGTCTTTTTGGTGGTCATCTACACTATTGGACTCATTTTTGTAATATGAACCAGTTGGTGTATTGTTGGTTAATTACAGATATCATTGGTTGATTGGTTCGTGTGGTGTTACGAGGTTTTGAATCTACAAACTGAGATAAAAATTAATACTTTGATTACAAATATTAATGTATAAAAAGAGAGAATTCGAATGTAATTTTATTGTATTCATTATTTCATAAATATAATTAAATAATATATGTCTAAATTTAATATTAATAGTTTAATATTAGTCATCTTCTTTATTTCCCTTTTCAATGGAATTAATAGTGAAGATACAACCTACGAGGATAATTATTTTCTTAGTTTAGATAAATTCCCTAATCTAATCTATTCAAGAATTATTAGTAATTACACTTTATACTATGGATTATTCAATGTCGAATTCACTCTGTTACCATCAAGTATTACAATTGGTAATAGGTTATTTATACTGACTGGTACTCCTCCAAACTTGTACTTGGAAAACGAGAATCAGGAGAGGTATCCAATTTTTGTTGCTAATAAGACTATTAATGAATCCTATAAATATTTTGTTAAATTAGATGGAAGTTATATACATTTACCTTTTGAGGGCGGACCAAAGTTATCAGATATTTATTAAAACTACTCTTAATAATATATAAAAAAATTTTTTTAAAAATCATTAATAGTATAGTTAGTTTACTCTACCCATATTCTCCTACTATTGGAGCTATCTCTTGGATTGGGAAAAATATTAATAATCTATAATTTTGTTTGATTAAGGTTTAGTTTGTAGGTTCAAGAATAGCTTATTACCCATTAATTTAATTGATGAATTATTACTCTTGTAGCCCTAGAAGATGCAATAATTCAACCGGTACTCAAGTTGGTGCAAGCTGCAAATAACAGCACCATCAATGGGCAAGACGCGACTCTCCATCAATCACCACAGGCACTCGCTCATTTCCCATTTTATTTTTTTTTATTTTTGAGTTGTTTGTGTGTTGACCATCCATCTCAACAACAAGATGGTTTGTTTGAGGTTCGACCCACCCACCCATCTCATTCATTCAGAGTTCACTCTTTACTAATTCATTCATTCATTACATTAATTCATTACAATCACAACAAATATTTATATAAGTTAACTTAATGCTGTGTGTGTACAGCATTAATATTTGTCGAAGTAGTAGCAGTAGTTATTGTTGTTGTAGTTGTTGTTGTAGTTGATCATGTACCATTGAAGAGGACTCATAGATCACATTCATCACCATCATCAACACCATTAATCAATCAAAATCACAATCACAATCACAATCACAATCACCTACATTCAATTTAAATACAAGAGAATAGAGCAGTATAGAGATATCATAGAGAGACGCGCCAATCAAATAGACAGAGCGCCGGACAAATTATAGTATACAACATATACTACATATGTGCCGAGCGGAAGACCTATTCATAGACAATGTTATTCAACATTTAGTTTGTCCAATTGGTATGTATGAATGAATGAAGGAGATATATTGAGTGATTCTTACTTAATGTATTATACACTTACTAGGTAAAGGAATAATCGAGGACCCAGTGATCACACCTTGTGGACATACATTCTGCAGGTCGTGTCTACTCAATCTGTTGAACACAAGAAGACAGTGTCCAACCTGCAAGATACCTGTTACACACAAGCAACTGATACCAAACTACTTGGTATTGGATATACTGGCCGACCAAACAGTCAGGTGCGATCATCACAATGATGGATGTCAATGGTATGGTATTAGAGTTTGGTCAATCAATATCATCACTAACTGACTCAATCACTCACTCAATAGGACTGGCAAATGGTCCCTGCTTAGTGATCATCTTCGACAATGTCAAGCAGTGATGCCAAAGGTTCGATTCTGGGTATGCATCAATCAATCAATCAATCATTGTTGGACACCAAACACCATTACTTACACATAACACATAGACGAAGCATCATGTTCCATTTGGTCAACAGATAAAGGTGATTGGCAGCTGCGAACAACTGGGCAATTGGGATGCTCAGAAGGCATTTCCATTGACGTTCTCTCAGGGTGATACGTGGGAGGGCGACGTACTGCTGGGGCAAGCCGGCAGGATCGAATACAAGTACATCATAACCAATTTTGAAACTGGCGAGCTGATAGGCTGGGAGAGTGGTTCCAACAGAGTGTTCATGGTCTCTGGCATCCTGAACTTTAGACGAGACATCTTTCGAAATTCAACTTGACCAAGGCATGTGTCAAGTCGCGACACTTCCAAAAGAGACACGTATACACCACAATGAGCGATGTACCATCACCAGCACTCCGCACTCCAGCACTTCAAGCACTTCAAGCACTTCAGGACCAAGGACCAGAGACAGAGCACGGCAAGGCAGGGCAGGTCAGGCAAACGAATGGACGAACAAACAACTACCAACACACATCTTATACGATACTTATACGAACCGAACCGAACCGAATGAATGAATTAACGAATGGACGGACGAACTTACAGGCGTCACGGACAGACGGCAAACACTACCAAGACATAGATAATAGGGCTGACCCTATGTATGTCTGTGGCGAATCACCCTTCCGTGATGTGAATAAAACAGATGCTCGAACAAACTCACGAGAGAGAGAGCTCATATGACAAACAATACAACAAGGAAGAGATTTATTGATTATACAATGATTGTGTCGCAAAAGTTGATGATATTGATGTTTCCTTTGACAAAGGCAGAGTGGCGAGCGTAATTGGCCATTCGGACCACAAGTGTTGCGTCTGGTGATCGCTTGATTGGTGATTGATCATCACCAAAAAGGTATTGGATCACTGATTGTTGATTGCGCTCAACAGCACGGGCAATGCATTGAGTGTTTGGAATGAATGATGTTGTTTGATCAGTGGAGGTGAATCGATTGTGGACGAGTCTGATGATGTCAACATTGCCATTCTCACATGCATGTTCAATCACTCGTGTGAGGTAGTGTTGTTTGTTGACCATGTCAAGATATCCTTTGTCAATGAAGTGTGTCAACACTTTGCTGTTGGTGATCGGTGTCATATTTGAGCCTAGCAATGAATGAATTCCAAACCTGCCATTGAAGGCCCATTGGTTTGGATCTTTTTGATTGCAATCGATGCTCTGTTGTTTGAGAAGCTCGATGGCCTCAATGTCGCCTCGTTTGAAGTACTCCACAAACAAACTCAATAATGGTTCGATAGGGAGCATCCTTCCATCTGCCTGGTATTTCTCCATCATATTCGTTGAGACATACTTAAAAGTATCAAACGAGTTGCTTGTGTTGGTGGATAGATTGCGCTTGTCCAAGATCATCTTGATTGTGTCCAAATCACCAACAGAGGCAGCAGTGTTGAATGCCGACTTGTAGTGGGTCTTGAATCGATTGTCAGTGTTGGCCTCCAACATTTCAATCACTTGTCGATCGCCTGCATCAATGGCACTGCTCATGACGAAATCAAAGTCGCACTGGAAGCGTGGATCTGCAAGGAGTCTCTCCAACAATCCAACAGAGATCATTTTGGGATGAATATTGTTGATGCGCACCAATTTGTTGGGGTTGCCTTGGGTGTGTGGCAGAGAGAGGAGGAGATCGACCTTGTTTCGACAATGCATTAGGGCTCCTGGGACGTTAACACTGAAGTTTATAGTGGGCTTGGAACCATTATCTAACAGATGTTGGTAGGTCTTTGTGGCGATATCCAAAGGCATCAAGCAATTGTCTCTTTCCATTATTGTATCAAACATTATCCTGGAGTTGTCTGTGGACTGAGGCAGGATGTTATACAGCTCAAAGTAACCATGCTTTGCACAAACTGCTGGGAGCCGGGGGTCGTTGAGGAGGCGATACCTGTCAATAATGTATTGAGAAACTGGTTGGATGTCCATCCTGATTGAGTGTGCAAGAACATGGATGGCAGTATCTTTGGAGAGTGATGGACGCATCAATTGAATCATCTCAAGTATTGACTTGGATGGACATTGAAGCCACTTGGTCAACACTCCCGACACTGGAGGGGGTATTGGTGAATGTGCGTTGATCGGGGCCACAGCGAATGCCACACCCAGTGAGAGCAGCTTGCTCAGGAACAATGGCGTCTTGATCAAGAACAAGTCAGGCTCCATAAGAGTCATTGGGGGAGCGTTGGAATTGATCATCACCAACTTCATGACATCTTCAATGATTCGAGACCAGTTGTGAGTGTTGCAGTCAGACAGTTGATTGATGAATTGACGCCAATTGATTGTTTCTGGCTCCAACAACAACATTGATGGATGGGCGAGGAGTACATCCAGTATGGGTATATGACGAGGAGTAAAGTGAGCAATGGCGGCACTGATCAACTTGTTGTTGTTGGGTGGATATGAGTGTTTGAGATTGATTGATTTGAATGATTTGATGAAGTACTCAGTGGCACCATACTTGATAAAGTCCAACAATGTGTTGTTGCCAAACAGTTGTCCACCTTTGATGATCAAGCTATCTTCAAAGCCCAAACAACTCCGATTGATCCAACCAACATGCTCCATGATGATCGAGTTCAACTTGTTGTTTCCAAGCACTGAGTATATAACTGATTTAGCGGATGTATCACTGGGCTTTTGTAGAATATCATTCATATGTAAATCTGCGAAATTCCTGGAGCGAATGTTAGTTGGATGAATGAGTTGTCACTTTGATTGATTGATCGTCAAACATACATCCTAATATTTGGAATGGTAGTATCAATATCTTTGATGATATCGTTGCAAATGGTGATGATTCGAGTGTACCCATAGTTATAGGCTGAGTGCATGATATATTGGAGAACACGAAGTTGATCAATCTCTGGCAGGCGAGTGAGTGGTGGTGGGTTGATCTTGACAAGGATATACTCCAATGTTGAGACGGCATTCTTCTTGGTGGCCTCAATCAATGTATCCAGCAAAGGTGTTGGCACTGGTGAATGAGTGATGTCAATGAGAAGTTTGAGATGGTCCACTTTGTCTTGGACCACTGCTTCATTGATGATTGCACGAAGTAGTCGAGGGGACCAGGATGATGGTGGATGAATATGTTGCATCACATGTTTGAACATGTCCACAGTGTTCTTGATCGCATTGATAGACAGATGAGGAATGTTCAGCTTGACATGTTGATGAATGATCTTGATGGCATCGACTGACCCCTTGGTAAACAGTAACTCTGGCGTCCATATCTTTAAATTGTCAGCATCAATCAAGTTGTTTGAAAGGAGATATGATATGACATCCAGACAATCGTGCTCGATTGCTGCCTCCAAACAACGGTCATTGTAACTCAATGATGTCACATCTCGTATGCGCTGAAGTAATGCCAGTGACATGCCTGCTGCCCACTCCATCGATGTTCGTTTGAGTGAGTGTTCGAAATCCCCTGATTCGGCAGAATCGACAATGTTGGCCATGCGCAGGTACTCCAATCCATGCTCCAACGTTAGCTTGCCATTAATTATATGTTTGACCACGATGTATAAACCATTTGGAGATATATCATGTGGGTGACTGGATTTGTGAATGGAGAGAAAGGCGATCGTCAGCTCTGATAAATGGCTCCATACTATTGACGATAATCCATTGTCCCAGTGGTTGTCGAGAATGTCCATTGCCGTCCTCTGGTCATTTCTCTTCAGTGCAGCAATCAGTTCGTCCAATGGAGTCTTGTAGATGACCCTGGAAACCAAGGCAAGATCCCATCGTTCGCCACAATGAGTGCTCATCAGCTCCATGACGATGGCTTCCTCTTCAAATGTCAATGTGTCGTTGCCAATGTTGTTCTTGTGGAGATGCTCAATGATGTGCATATGACCATTATCTGCCGCCACCCTGCTCAGGTTCCTCCCATAGGCGTAAGCTGGGGCATTCCTTGGTGCCATCCTTAGAAGCGACTGTAGTATGTCTAGATGTCCAAGTGTTGTCTGTTTGACGATACCTGATTGGACTGCTCTATCGATTACACATCTTTGTTGGTCATCAAATTCCTTGGCCACCTCCTCAAGGATGTATTGGACACTATCAACACGGCCATTCGTGATGCAATGTTCGAGTAACCTTGAGCAAAGTCCGATACCGAGAGCGCCCATCTCTTTGAGAAGCTTGAGCATATCGACATCGATACCAGGGTATCGGAACACGTATTTTGTGTTGCCAAATCCTAAACAATAAGCCCCCATGTTGGGCTTAAAGTCGCTCGATTGACCGTTGAGTTTGAGAAGTAAGCGTACAAAGTGTATGTTGCCGCGGTCAACTGCGGCCACCAAGTTATCCAATGTTACAGGGCCAATGTAATGGTGTCCAGTCATCTTGAGTAGTGACTGAAGCATGTAAACTGAGCCACACTTGCACAGGTCTCTTATTGTGTCATCCCAACGAACAATCATATTGTTGTTGTTGTTGTTGTTGATGTTGTTGATCAAATGATTGAACACATCAATGTTGTTATAACGTATTGAGTCATTTAATAATGTGTCATTTGGTGGATAACTGTTTGACACTTGATTGTAATGTTGAATAAAGTATTGAGTGGCATGATATTGAAGCATCTGAACAAGACTACCATTATACAACAGTTCTCTACCCTTTATAACTGATAATATCACTGTACATCTTGTTGGACTTTTTGTTGTCGTTGATGTTGTTGATGTTGTTGTTGGACTTGTATCTTCGTGATGATCAACTATAACAACAGGTACGTTATTATCAATCATATATTTATGTATGATACTAACATGATTGAATATATTACGACTTATTACTATATTACCAAATACTGAATGTATTATTATCTCCATGTTTGTTTATTTGTTTGATTGTTGGAATTTTAATGAAGTGTTGGAACAAGGATCTTGTTTGTCCTTGCAAGGTTGGGGGGTTTATCCCAAAGTTGGGTTTTTTGAGATGTTCACTTCGCTCAATTTGAAGAAATACAGATATATTAAGGTTGGGTGACCTATTTTGCGAGCTGAAGATCCACCATCTCGTCTCGAGACGAACATTAAACGATGATTGTGTTGCAGAAGTTGATGATATTGATGTTGCCATTGACAAAGGCAGAGTGGCGCGCATACTTGGCCATTCGGACCACGAGTGTTGCGTCTGGTGATCGTTTGATTGGTGACTGATCATCACCAAAAAGGTATTGGATCACTGAGAGTTGATTGCGCTCAACTACACGGGCAATGCATTGAGTGTTTGGAATGAATGATATTGATTGGTCAGGCATGGCACATCGGCTGTGGACGAGTCTGATGATGTCAACATGTCCATTCTCACATGCATGTTCAATCACTCGTGTGAGGTAGTGTTGTTTGTTGGTGGCCATGTCAAGATATCCTTTGTCAATGAAGTGTGCCAACACTTTACAGTTGGTGATCGGTGTCATCATGTGGCTGAACAAAAAAAGAAGAATTCCAAGCTTGCTATTGAAGGATTGGTCTTTTACATTGCAATCGATGCTCTGTTTTAAGAGATGCTCGATGGCCTCAATGTCGCCTCGATTGAAGCACTCCACAAACAAACTCTTCAATTGTCCAAAGTCGATTATACTTCCATCTGACTTGTAATGATCCAATACCTGCGTGGCTACATCCGGATGGAGGGTCTTCATACCAATTTGATAGCCTAACGTGGATTTATGACCTGTGGTTAGATGGCGCTTGTCCAAGATCATCTTGATTGTGTCCACATCACCAAAAGTGGCAGCAGCATTGAATGCCGAATTGTAGTTGGTCTTGAATCGATTGTCAGTGTTGGCCTCCAACATCGCTATCACTTGTCGATCGCCCGCCTCAATGGCACTGCTCATCACATAATCAAAGTCACATTGGTAGCGTTTATCTGCAAGCAGTCGCTCCAACAAGTCAACAGAGATCAATTTGGGATGGATGTTTTTGATGTGCACCAAATTGTTGTTGGGGTTGCCTTGGATGTGTGGCAGAGAGAGGAGGAGATCGACCCTGTTTCGACAAACCATCAGGGCACTTGGCATGAGGAATCTGAGGTTTGAATTTAATGTACCAACATTGCCCAGAAGTTGAAAGTCGATCTTTTTGAGGATGTCCAATGGCATCAAACATTTATCACTTTGCATTATTGTATCAAACATCATCTTGGCATTGTCTGTGGACTGAGGCAGGATGTTATACAGCTCAAAGTAGCCATGCTTGGCACAAAATGCTGGGAGCCAGTGGTCATTGAGGAGTTGATAAGTTCCAATCAGGTATTGGGAAACTGGTTGGATGTTCATCCTAACTGAATGGGCAAGAACATGGTTGGCTGTCTCCTGGGAGAATGGTTGACCAAACAATTGAATCATCTCAAGTATTGACTCGGGTGGATTCCGTAGCCACTTGGTCAACACTTCCGAGTTGGGAGGAGGTGTTGGTGGATATACGTTTTTCCGTGCCACAGTGAATGTCACACCAAATGAGAGCAACTTTCTGAGGAACAATGGATGCTTGATCAAGAACAGGTCATTTTCTATAAGTGTCATTGGTGGAGAGTTGGAGTTGACCATCACCAACTGCATGACATCATCGAGGATTCGAGACCAGTTGTGAGTGGTGCAGTCAGACAGTTGATTGATTAATTGGCTCCATTTGATTGTTGTGTCTGTCAACAACTGTGATGAATTTGATTGATGCGCAGGGAGGTTATAACATGGAGAAGGGTGAGCATTCGGAGATTTGCTGTCGGTTGGAGAAAAGATCGTGTCTGGCAACAACAACATTGATGGATATCTGAGGAGTACATCGAGTATGGGGATATGAAGAGGAGTAAAGTGAGCAATGGTGGCACTGATCAACTTATTATTGGGTGGATATGAGTGTTTGAGATTGATTGATTTGAATGATTTGATGAAGTATTCAGTGGCACCATACTTGATAAAGTCCAACAATGAGTTGTTGCCAAACAGTTGTTCACCTTTGATGATCAAGTTGTCGTCAATGCCCAAACAACTCCGATGGATCCATCCAACATGTTCCATGATCATCGAGTTCAATTTGTTGTTTCCAAGCACTGAGTGTACAACTGATTGAGTGAGTGTTGCTGGAGCATCATCCATCTCCATATCCGAATATTTCCTGTTGATTGAATGAATGTTAGTTGGATGACGGAACAATTTGATTGATTTATCAACATACCTCTTCATTTTGGTGTCAGGTATACCTCTGATGAGATTGATGCAAATGGCGATGATTCGAGTGTGGCCAGAGTCATAAGCAGAGTCCAATATCGATCGGAGAACTCGAAGTTGGTCTATCTCTGACAAGCGATTGAATGGAGATTGGTTGGTCTTGACAAGGATATACTCCAATGTTGAGACGGCATTCTTCTTGGTGGCTTCGATCAATGTATCCAGTGAAGGTGTTGGCATTGGTGAGTGAGTGATATCAACGAGATGTTTGAGATGGTCAACTTTGTCTTGGACCACTGCTGAGTTGACAATTGAACGAAGTTGTTGAGAAGACAAAGATGATAATGGATTGACATGCTCCATCACATGTTTGAACACTTCCAATGTGTTCTGGATCGTGTTCACACATAGTTGAGGGTTGCTCACCGTGACATGTTTTTGAATGATCTTGATGGCATCGACTGACCCCTTGGCAAAGAGTATCTTGGGTGACCAATTCTGAATAACACAGTCAATCCAGTTGTTGGCAAGAAGATATAATATCACATCGAGACGATTGTGCTCGATTGCTGAATCAAGGCAACGGTTATCATACTCAAGGGATGTCATTCCTTGAATGCATTGAAGCAATTCTAGTGAGATACTTGCTGCCCAATTCAGCGATGATCGTTTGAGGAGGAACTCTCCATCTCCTGATTCGTCAGGCTCGACAAACGTTGCCATGCGAAGGTATTCCAATCCATGCTCCAGTGATAACTCGCCATCTTTAATATGTTTAACCAATTGGTACAAACAATCGAGTGATATATTATGAGAGTGATTGGATCTGTGAATTGAGAGAAAGGCAATCATCAACTTGGATAGACTGCTCCATACCGTTGACGACAATCCACTGTCCCATTGGCTGATGAGGATGTCCCTTGCCGCACTCTGGTCATCTCTCTTCAGTGCAGCTTCAAGTTCCTCCAAAGGGGTCTGGTACAGGAAATGAGAGGCCTCCACAAGATCGATTCGTTCATCCTTGACATAATGATTGTTCATCAACTTAATGACGATGGACTCCTCATCTGATGTCAATGTGCCATCGCCAATGTTGTTCTTGTGGAGATGCTCAATGATATGGAGGTGACCATTCTCCGCCGCTTCCCGGCTCAGATTCTTCCTTGTATAAGAATATCGATGATCGCATGGAACCACTCTTAGAAGCGACTGGAGGATGTCAAGATATCCGAGAGTCGCGCTTCTAATGATGCTTGCTTGGACTGCTCTATCGAAACCACCTTTTTGTGTGTGGTCTAATTCCTTGGTCACCTCAAGGAGGTATCGAACACTCTCAACACGGTCATTCGTGACACAATGCTTAAGTACAATGGAACAAAACCTTAGATTGAGTGCACCCATCTCATTGAGAAACTTGAGCATATCGACATCGATACCAGGGAATCGAAATCGGAACATATATTCACCATGTCTTTCTTTGTATGTTAAGCGCCAGTGGCCTTGATCCTGCGCGCCTCCGAGTTGTTTAACAGTGAGCTCATGACAATGGGATGGGCGGTGATGCCCCTGACCGAGCTGACCGCGTGATTGACCATTGAGTTTGAGAAGTAATCGTACAAACTCTAAGTTGCCTCTGTCAATTGCGTCCACCAAGTGATCCATTGTGATTGGGCCAATATATTGGTTACCAGCGATCTTGAGTAGTGACTGAAGCATGTAAACTGAGCCACACTTGCACAGGTCTCTGATTGCATCGTCCAAACGAACAATCATGTTATTATTGTTGTTGTTGATCAAATGATTGAACACATCAATGTTGTTATAACGTATTGATTCATTGATCAGTGAGTCATTGAGTGGATAACTGTTTGACACTTGGTTATAATGTTGAATAAAGTATTGAGTGGCATGATATTGAAGCATCTGAACAAGACTACCATTATACAACAGTTCTCTACCCTTTATAACTGATAATATCACTGTACTCCTTGTTGGTGATGGTGTTGTTGATGTTGCTGAAGTGGTTGTTGGACTTGTATCATCATGATGATCAATCATTGCAACATGTACGTTATTATCAACCATACCTTGGTGTATGTTACATACATGATTGAAGATATGACGACATAATAATCTATTACCAAATACTGAATGTATTATTATCTCCATGTTTGTTTGTTTGTTATTTGTAGCTTGAGATATTGAAATGATGTGTTTGAGTTGATGCGTCTAAGTTTTGTTGAGTTGGAATCATTCATTTATGAGAACTCAGTTTGCAAATCATACATTGTGAACTTCAATTCAAGATGGAATACTCCAACAACTATTATGCAATCCTGAAGGTATTACTATTCTTTATTCTTTAAGAACATGGTTATATCTCTACCATCTCGATCAAATTCCTAATAAACTGCTTCTCATACTGAGAGTTGACCAACAGACTATTTGGATCGGATGAAGGACATCTGAGTTATTGATTGAGGAGTGAACACTTCATGAGTTAGTACGGGCACTATATCAATCAATCAATGAACGGAATCCAAACAATCAATCACATACCTTAGAAGACCAGGTGCGAATACCATTGCAAGATTGTCCATGTCCATCTTGGACTTTGAGGTGTAATCGGGATGTGAGAACAACTTGAGGAATTGGACGATGAAGCACATCACTTCTCGATTGATGGCGGGCATCGAGTTGAGTAGCCTAAGACTCTCATCTTTGCTACTCGAACTTCTGATGCACTCTTCGTAGATGGCACTGGGCACCACGGGATCGGCCAACTCGCGTAGCCACATCTTGAGCAGACCGGCCACAACATGCACGTCGGTGGTGTCCAGCGTGAAGTCCCACTCGTTCAATCGACCGCGTATGCGACTGACCTCCGACACGGTGCCGGGTATCCTGAAGATGCCCTCAGTGCATGCACCATCCATCGCGATGATCGAGTCGGTCAACATCTTGAGCACGATGGGCACTGTCGCGTCGCCACCCATCTGTTGGCATCGTTGCGAGTCCATCAACTGGTCCAATGTGCTGTTAAACACGGGACATCCACCGCCATGACCATTATCCTTCTTGTTCTTTTTAGACTTCTTCTCTTTCTTTTCTTTCTTCTCCTTCTTCTCCTGTTTCTTTCGTTCCTTCTTGTTCAATTTCTCCTGTGCCTGCGTGTCCCCCGCCACCATCGACGCCCCAGATTGATCGGCTCGTGACTCGTCCGCACCATTATTCGCTGCCACCTTGTCGTCAAAGAATGGCTTGGTACTTGGTGGCGCCAGACCAAGTGACAATCTATTGTTTAACATTGAGTTGAGCTTGGAGGTGTCACAACTTAGTCGTCGAGGAGGGGTGGGCTGTGTAGCCGCTGCCGATGCAGTGGATGATTGTCCAGCCGCGGGACCACCATGAAGTATTGTGATTGGTGGAACAGATATTATTGATGAAGATGGTCTCCATTCAGCCTTGGGATCGTATGAGTATGATCGAGTGTGCATGTTAACGCCCTTTGTCCTGGGTCGCGTAGGCGGTGGTGTCGATGGCAATGTTCCCAAATGTTTGGGAAGACCTGATACGGGTGGAGGTGGTGCAGGTCTATTGGGTGGTTTACTCTGTGATTGAACTGGTGCCAACAATGGCATGCCTTGATTGTTCACGATAACGTGTGGTGGCAGTGATGAAGGTGGTTGAGTGGCAGCACTTGCCATGCTACTGATCTTTGGTGGAAGTGAGCTACATGATGCTGACTTTTGTTGAGGTAGATTCTTCCTTTCTGGAATTGGTGGTCTCAATGTGAGATGTTGTTGTTGTTGTTGGCTGGATGATAGTGATTGTGTTGGAGGAGGAGGTGGTGGATCCCTTTGAGGAGGTGAGACGACTGGATTGTGATCAGCTGATCTGTGAGCAACTGGTGAGAGAGGTGGCGATGGTGTTGGCGACATATCCTTCTTCCCCTTCATAGTTGGAAACACAGGTAAACTATCTTGTGATGGTCGTTTCCTCAACTTATCATTGAGTTGAGATTTAAAGTGATCAATATCATTCTGTATCATTCTTTAGATTTGATTGATTGATTGATTGAATAGTTGATTGGATTGATGGTATTGATGGTATTGATTGATTGATTGATGTCCAAATGTGGTGTCCAAACTCAACTTAACTATTGGATTCAAGTGTGATGGATGACTAAATGGTTAATGAATGGACTGGAGTGGATGAGATAGATGTGATTGATGTATGATTGATTGGTGGACCGCTTTAAAAATGACATCAACACAACTTGCTAGACATCTACCAACATGATCTTACAAGGTGTATAACGTAGTTGTTGTTATTGGATAGGTGGAGTGAGGAGGGAAAGAGTGAAGTTGGGATTGTTGGGCTTACTTTAATGTCAAGGAGGGAAAGAGAGAGACAGACCAGAGGGAGGGAGATGGATGGTATCAACAACAACAAGTTGGAATAGTGATTAATTATTCTATTTCATACACCTCATTCAACTAGACCTGGGATATGTATGAATGAGCTAATGAGTTTATGAGTGAGTGAGTGAGACAGATACCGTGTGAGATAGATAGATAGAGGGATGATGATGTGAAGTGGATGATGAGTGAATTAGTGAGAGGGAGGAGGAAAGATAGATGGAAGCCGACTGGTTTCCAAATTGATTGATTGATGGTGTCTTCGTCTTCTGAAAGTTGTGTGCCAATACGCCAGGGTAGTATGAAATGGCGGTGTAGAACGTGCCCTCCCACTCCAGTCCATCAAGCTGATGCAGACGTTACAGGTGTAGGTGGCGTGTTGATGAGTCGGGCTATCTATTTGTGTGTGAGTGTGTAGCATGATGATGTGTTTGTTGCTGTTGATGATCATGCCATGCCACTCACCACCCCTACACCTCTCATCAATCAATCAATCAGTCACATGATAAACGATCAGCTGATTGATTGGCTATCTCTGTGTATGTGTTTGTTTGATTGAGTGAGTGTGTGTGTTTGAATGATTGATTTGGAGTTGGACTGAACTGTTGGCTCCATCATCATTCAATCAAGATCAACATGATCAATCAATGATAATAATAATAATATTATTATTTGTGTGGTTGGATGTATGAATAGTTTATTAGACCGTCCTTTCGGTCGTCTCCTATTTATGTCTTAATCAAGATCATGACAATGAGATAAATTCCTCCAATCCATCACTCACTCATTCAATCAATCAATGAATCAATCACAATATCCATGTTGAGATATTGGTAACTCTCCTGATTGGATTGAATTGAATTAATTAAATTAACCGATGATCACACAAGGTAGGGTTGGGCAGGGTATATCTACAGGCTTTACTCATCATCGCTATCATTACTATCTGAGGATGATGAATCCTTTTTTCCAGATGATGATGATGATTCCGAGTCTGAGTCCGACTCCTTGTCCGACTCTTTGTCTGATTCCTTGTCTGAGTCTGAGTCCTTTTCTGAGTCTGAGTCCTTTTCTGAGTCTGAGTCCTTGTCTGAGTCTTCCTTGTCCGATTCCTTGTCTGAGTCTGAGTCTGATTCCTTCTCTGAGTCCGAGCTCGAGTCCCTGTCCGAGTCATCATCACTCGACTCATCCTTATCTTTCATCTTTGTATCACTGCCACCAGCTGTTTTGTTCTTCTTTATCCTGTTCAACTTCTTGAGTACTGATCCAGTCTTGACATCGTTGTAATGCTTGGTATCTGGATGTGTTGGGATGATGTGTGTTTGCCAAAAGTCTCGCAGACCAGGCAACATGAGCCAGAGGTAGCTGATGAACTTGCCCTCCTCGCCATTGGCCCGCAGGAATCTGCTGTCGTTGGGCGATGCCAGCACCTGCTCAAAGTCGATCCATTCGAGTCGCGTGACCTTGGAGCCGGGCTTGACCAGCTTGGCGTGCTTCTCTGGCAGCGACGCGTCGTACTTGAGCTTTAGGAAGAACATGACAAAGCTGCAGCCCTCAAAGAAGATCTTGGGCGAGTCGTTCATGACGTTGCGGTGGCGCGAGTTCTCGGCGCCGAATATGGGCAGCGTCTGCTCGTTGAACTCGCGGAACGCTGTGTTGATGGCCAGCTCGCCAGTGAGGCCGTGGCCACCCATGGGCTTGTACACGAAGGTGTCCTCCTTGACCTGCTCGTAGGCCATCAGCGCGAGGACGCGGCCCTCGTGTACGGTGTATGCAAAGACTCCGGCCGACTTGTACAAGTTCTTGAAGGCGCGTGGCAGGATCACGTGGATGTACTTGAACTTGCGCTCGCTTTTCTTCTTGGTGTCGGCGTCGACGATGCCCTTCACCTTGCTCTTCTTTTGCTCGCGCTTCTGCTCGATCAGTGCGGCGGCAGCCTTGGCCTTCTCTAGCAGCTTCTCCTCGTGCACCTTTCTCCTGTCCTTCTTGCTGGGGCCTGTCTTTGTACCATATAGGTTGCCCTTTCTATTGAATGTATCTTTTTTATCGAATGATGGTGTCTTTGACACTTTATCATAGCCTCCACGACCACTACGTGCGCCTCCTCTACCACCTCTTCCGCCTCTATCGCCACCTCTATCACTTCCATATCCACCTCTTGATGATGATGTTGATGTTGATGATGAAGTTGTCGAAGGAGCAGCAGCAGCAGCAGGGGCAGCACCAGCTGTATAGTATGGGTTTGATGATTCATTATCATATTTTCCACCTCTGACTCCACTTCTATCTCCGCCGACACCACCACCTCTTCCGCCTCTTCCGCCACCTCTTCCTCCTCTACTATTAAATGAACTCATATTTATAAATATATATACTTGTACTATCTGTATCTGTAACACTCGTGTGTGTGATAGTGATGAATGAAACACTTTCGTTCGTTTTTTGAACTTTTGGCTTCAAAGTTATCTAAAACGGACTTCCAAACAAATATCAAAGATTGTTTAAGTCTTCAAACGACCGACAGCCCCAACACAATGTGTAATCAATCTTACAATAGATTAACAAACATTACATTATGTAACATATACTACATGTACAAATAGATAACAAAGACATGGCTTCAATCAAGATAACACCTCGACTACTGGACCTCAAATCAAACTATGACTTTAACATGTTAAAGAGGTTCTATGATGAGTTGATGAGACCAAACTTTCCACAAGAAGATGGTATGTCACACATTTGGAATCATTCATTCCAACTGATTCACTCACTCAATCAATCAATCAATCAATCACTTAAGAACTTGAACCAATTGATAATTGGGTAGAGATGATACAGACTTCAAATATTGATGACGAAGATGAAGATGAAGACGAAGACGAAGATGAAAAGATTGGAAAAGTTGACTTTCACATATTGTTGGCAATGTGTCCAGATGATCAAAGAGAGAAGGATGACAAAAGATCGGATATAATGGGTGGCATTGTATTTGAATACTATCCATATGTAAACTGTGCTTTGATAACATATATTCTGGTATCAACTGATTATCGTGGAGGTGGCCTAGCCAAAATGTTGGTACAAGAGGCTACGACAAGACTTGGACAAACCTCGATCAATCATGGATATAATACAACAGGTGGATGTGATGCTATATTCCTTGAGACAAACTCTGCCGAGAGAGTGGCACCTGAAGACGATGTAATGGACCCTGCCAAGAGACACGCGATCTTTCACAGAATGGGCATCAGAATGTTGGACTTTGACTATGTCCAACCACCATTGTCCAATGACAGTGCCAAGTGCAAAGACCTGCTACTCACATGTCTGTTGACGCCTAATATTCCAACACATACATCACATAGAAGTGTTACCAGACACTACCTACCATCATCATTACTACGCCGGTTCATCGAAGTGTTCTGGGCTTCATGTTGCCATCGCGTGGACTCATTCAAACATACATGGCGACAAGATATCGACTACACTCATATGATTGATCAACTATCCAGTAGTGATCATATACAACTACTCGATTTACCATGGAAACGTACAACAACTACATCAGTTGAAGTCAGTGTATCATCATCACCTTCATAATTACAAAGCCCATCGATTTTTTCAAAGATCACTCCTTGTTCCGAGGTCAACTTATTTGTTGTTTGGACTTGTGATGATGTGTAATATCATTGGAATGCATAATCGGATAATAATTACCCATTCATTATGTTGTTCCAGTTAAGTTAATAACATAACTAATTATTTTCCACCTTGTTCCTGTGTGCAATTGCAAGACTATCTTTGCCGATTCTTGATGAAAAACACCCATTCATAGGTTTCGCCGATAAACTTTGATATTTTGGGTTCTTTTGCCATCAACAAAGGTCAATCAAATCAATCAGTATCTAACCTTGACGAATCTGAAAGCCTCATTCATACATACGTACATATACACTATAAACATACATATATAATTAGGGTTGTATAATCAATCAATCGGTGAAAGAACCTAAGCGATCAGATCAAACATACAACCTTGAATTGAACTTGATGGCTAGTAAAGGTAATTAATCACCCTCCACCAGACTTGGTCTGTTCCCCATCATCCCCTACACAAACATCACATTTATAACAGATAGATAGAATAAGTTATATATTAGTTGTGTGTGTTACTTTATTTATACATACCCTGAATCATATTGACATCGATCAATTACCTCTTGGTCTTCGTCAAGTCGTTTACACTCATCACACACACTCACACACACTTTGATCTAAATATCAATCAGTCACTCCCTCACACACACACACTCATCGGCGTCAATCAATCAATCAGCTAAACACAACCCCAACAATCAATCACTTCTTCTTCCTAACACATTTGCTTACCGTTTGGTGAATTGATGGTTTGGTTTAGATAGAGGCAACATCAACAACTACATCAATCAATCACATTCAACACTGAACAACAGTTATTAGAAGTAATAATATTAGTAGTAGTTGCAACAACAGCTTATTCTTCTTCTTCTTTGGACCTCAACAACAACAACAACAATATTTGGAAAGAGAAGTCATCAAGGATCAATCAATCATTCAATCAATCAAATATACTTTATTTATTATTTATTTATAACAACTTGTAATATAATATCCATCATACTTCAAGATTAAGATGGGCCATCCTTTGGATCTTTCATCAATCGAACTAAGTATGTCTCTTGTCCAAGAAGTGTGTGTGTGTTCGTGTTCATCTTGGCGTGCGTGTGTTTGGATGAAGAACAACAAAGTCCAGGAATGACCAAGACTAAGACCAAGACTAACAAACACATTCAATTAATCATTAGATTATATCGAAGAATGGATACAGAATAACTACTCAAATTGGTCAGAGACAATATGTTATAGGAGTTATGTAATGACAAAGAAGACATCATGTATATTAGTTATAACAAACTATCATGTGATACTATTCTCAGAGGGTAAAGACCTCACTCGCAAGCAACCAAAGGACTACCATCTCTACGACATCAAACAACTTATCAACAAACAAGACTTCATCGTAAGCAAGCACTACATTGATATGTGTCATGATGGATAGATGACTAACTCAATCAATCAATCAATCATATATGAAGCTCGCCATTATATTCCAAAGAGGAAAGACAAAGACAAAGTTAAAGTTAAAGACAGAGAACTTGGAGGTGTTGTTGACGGTGATTAGGAGATTGAAACAATGTCAGAATAGTGATCATTGTAGTGCAGAGTTGGAGTTGATGATAAAGTCTACACAGGCATTGGAAAGTTCGACTCCTGATGTGAAGGAGTTACCAGCGACATTGGACACATTCATGGATCAGTATCGTGGATGGTGCAGCTACTATGAGTCGACACCAAATGTAGCAATGACGGCGTGGATCACACGCATGTTTGCCGAGGGCAATCGCGAGATCGACTTGCATCGCGACCTCCAGGCATCCGAGTTCTCAGACACAACGTTCGACATGCTGCCCCTGTTTAACGCGCTGCAGCATGACCGTTACTTCTCGGCTCTCACCGTTCAAGACCTTAAGAAGGAGGTGCTGGTCAAGGCGCTAGCCGAGCTCGTCCTGCACAACTCACATCTCAAGAAGCTGTCGTTCCGCAAGTGCTCTAGCGAGGCGTTCCATCACGTGTTCTTGTCGCTGTCGCTCAACAAGCGCAGTGCCGTGCAGCTGCTGGACGTGTCGGAGAACGCCCCTGTCCAACAAGTCAACAACATCGCTGGTGGCCTGCATGGCGCAGTACCAACACGCACTCATACACCTAAATCTAGCCAACTGTATGATCGCACCCAAGCAGCTAGCGCAGCTATTTGAAGCTCTGGAGAAGAACTACGGCATGTCATTGACACTCGAGTATCTGAACCTTTCGCACAACAAGTTTGACGACCAGGCCAACGCCGCCTTTGCCAGCTGGCTGATCCGCTCGCATGGCTACTCTAAGCTCAAGCATCTTCTGTTGCACTCGTGTGGCATCTCGGCATTCAGCTTCTACTCGCTGCGACATCTGGCGCGTCTCGAGCACCTTGACGTGAGCAACAACAAGCTGGAGGTGGGCTCCGAGCTGGACAAGCTGCTGCCCGTACTCTCCACACAGACACTCTACAAGCTCGATTGTAACCATTGCAACGTCAACAAGGAGGTGCTGGCACTCATTCTCTGCAAGATGTCGGACAAGAAGGCATCGGTACAACTCGGTCTGATGGGCCTGAACCTGGCCAACGCCGATGAGAACTACGACATGTTCTTCAGCTCGCTACTCCTGTTCAAGGACAGCGAGATCTCAATTAAGTCACTCAACCTGCGACATGTACGCGGCACTGAGAAGACCATCCTCACGCTTCTCCAAGTGCTGTCCGAGATCAAGGTGAATGAGCTGATACTCGAGGACATGGAAGTGATATATCCACAGCAAACACAGCAGCAGCAGCAGGCCCAGCAACAGCAGATCTCAAGCATACCTCACAGCACATCATCATCATCGGACGACCATCCACATCAAGACCATCCATTCGCTAGCAACACTCTCAATCTAAACAATGTGCACAACTCAAGCACGGGCAAGCTGGAGCTTGGTGTCAGTCTGGACTTCAATACCGTGCTTGTCGAGATGGAGGACGAGGCAACATCTGGCACCGATGACATGGCCGCAACATCAGTGCATCTCACTGGCTCACCTACCAAGTCCCCAACACAATCTCACAAGGATAGCGAGTTGTCCACATCCACATCATCAACATCAATCTCCAACAGCAGTGACGCTGGTAGCGACCTCAATCAATCATTCAGCAGTCTGTTGGCCAAGTCTTTGCAAAAGATTTATATGAATCCAGAGCTCAAGACATTGAACTTGGCCAACCTTGGCAAGGCGACTGTGATGAAGATGTTGCCTTATATATCAAAGAACTCATCGGTAGCCTCGCTCGACATTTCAAAGAATGCTCTGGGCGACATTGGTGCGCAACTGCTTGCCAACAGCTTGGCATCCAACAGGTCGATATTGGCAATCAACTTTGATTCAAACAATATGACCAACATTGGCTGGAACCAGATGTTGATATCTCTTACACAGCAACAGACTGGCACCACTGGTAGCCGACCACTCCTCAAGGACTCGCCTTCACAGCCACCCATGCCACTGACCTCGCCACACCCGCATCTCCACTCTATGATATACCCCCGCATCGACTTTGAGAAGCTGATCGTTGCCACCAACGACCCGACGCGCAGAATGAACATATACCTGTTGATATCCAAGCTTCAGATGGCATTGATCACCAACGGCAACCTGCACTACAGCGATCGCAAGCATCTGTCCAACAAGTTCCCGATCGGCTTTTCGAGTAAGACAAAGGAGCCTTTCTTCCTGCCGACGCCCAACGTACTGTATCCGCGCACACCCGTGCCCGCTGAAGTGCTGGCACAGATGAAGATCAAGGTGGAGCAGCAACGAGGTGTCAACAATGGAAGCAGTGCCATTGCCACTATCACACAGTTCCTCAAGACATCGGGACTGAGGCCCGTCAACAAGAGTGTACCAGCGGCATCCAACGCCAACACAGTAGTCATTGGCATGCCACAACAGACGATGGCCACCACGACCAATATCATTCATACCAATCCCATCAAGGAGGCATCCTTCGCGGTCTCCAAGAAGCCCGCTACAGTACCGTCGCCATCATCACCATCATCTCCATCAACAGACGAGGCGGACAATGTTAGCGTCAGCACAACATCAAGCCCCGCCAAGCCTAGCATAGCGGCAGGTGTTGACTCACCAGTCTCGCCGCCAGACCAACGATCTGGACGTAGACGTGGTGGTTTCTACCAACCTGTTACAGACAATGATGTTCCAGCCTCATCAACAACACAATCATCATCGACGACTACGACTACAACATCAACAACACCGACTACATCGCAACAACAACAACCGGGAGTGGCGCCAGAGGTAGGCGATCGCGCTTCAATGTATAAGCCAGTGACTCATCAACAGGTGTTTGATGCCATTGAGAGCCTGGAACTGGCAACCAACTATTACTTTAGCGGCACTGGCAGCAGTAGCAGCACGACCAACACACCGAACAATCAATACACGACGCCGCCAAAGTCACCGGCACACGAGCCAGCAACCGACACCACAACAACAGACACGACAGCTGCAGCTGAGGAGCAATTCACCAGAGTGCGCAGTCAGAGCGCCATCTCGGCACCCAAGCTCGAGAAGCTTGTCGAGCAACAACTCAAGATGATGCATGTCACAACTTCCTCGCTGTCATCGCTTGAATAAACTTATAACTATTGTACAATAATAACTTTGATTGATTGAATTGACGCGATGGATTGATGGATCATTGTGGCCCGGGCTGAGTTGGTGCCACGGCAGCCATGTCCTTCTCCATGCGCTCTTGTATTTCTTTACAGTATTGCTCGCAAAATGCCTCAGGCAGCTGACCAAGCATTGATATCTTGTCATACATCTCCTCCTGGCCTACATCCTCGCCAGACTTGTACAACTTCTGGAACACATCATTCTGTTTAGAGAAGTTACTAATCTCCTCTGGAGTATATTTATCCTTGTTCTCTTCAATCCATTGAGGATACTAATGTATGAATGATTGGATAGATGTGTTAGTCGCCATATGCCGCGCAAACAAGAAGATGTCCAGAACATACCTTCTCAACGATGTACTTCATTGAGTCATCGTAGAAATCATTGATACCATCGGCCATGCCGTTGAACTCGCCACCTCCTTCACCTCCACTGCCCATCATTGAGGCAAACTGTTTGATCATGTCATCTTCGAATGATTGCTTGCCACCTTGTTGAGCGGCATTGTCGGCCAAACCCTTGAGCATGCCAGAGATGTTGCTCTCAAAGTCCTTGAAGTTGATGCCAGCTGGTTGTTGTTGTTGGGCGGCAGCGGGAGGCATGTTTGGGATGCCGGCCGCCGACGTCGAGTCGCCAGCCATCGAAGAGAACATCTTGCTGAACTTGCCAAAGCTCTCCTCCATCTCCTTCTTCTCGCTCTCGCTCATGCCAGCGTAGATCGATTCAAAGTTGCTGCCATCGGGCATGCCGGGGACGGCGGGTAATGCGGTGCCGGCGGGATTGCTGCCCGAGTCGTCTCCATCACCACCTGCACTACCAATATAATCATTCATATCCTTCATCATGTCCTCCATCTTGTCGTAACCCATATTCTTTATCAAGTCGTCCATGCTCTTGTCATTGAACATCTGGCTGAACATGTCCATCATGTTGCCCATGCCTGCTGCTGCATTACTACTTGATGCTGCTGCTGATGTAGTTGTTGTTGTAGTTGTCGATGTAGTTGATATAGGTGTAGATGGAGTTGATGAAGTTGATGCTGTTGCCACTGTTGTTGTTGTTGTTTGCTTCAGAGTTGCAGGGGTGTCTGCGGCTGTTGCAGTTGCCGCGGCACCATCCTCCTTCTTCTTCTTTTCATAGACTTCCAAGTCATCGAGTGCACTGTTTAACAGTGCATCCAAGTCCAAGTTAGACATTGTTATATTTATATTTGAATATATATATATAACTTTTTAATTGTATTTGTTTGTTTGAGTGAATGTGCTTGTTTTTAGTTCATGAAGTTGAGAATTTGACAAATTAAATCAAAAAAACAAAAAAGTGAATTGCAACGACAGAACTCAAAGTCGTGCAACCTCTTTCTATTCTCGTCATTCAACAACATTCACCAATATACTTCACTCACACACATAAACAAATATTTATATATTTATATAACAATACAAACAAAGAATTAGAGTGATTATATATTATTTATAGCACAACAAACATTCAAACAAATAATAATGTCATATAATAACTCTTCATCTTCAAGCAGGGGTGGATACGATGGTTACAATAGCTCCAGTAGGGGCGGTGGCTCAAGTGGTGGCCGCTCAGGTGATGGCTACAGCAGTGGTGGTCGTGATAACTATGGCAGCAGCGGCAGTGGCAGTGGCAGTGGCCGTGACGGTTCATCTTCATACTCAAGCAGCAGCCGTTCAGGCGGTGATCACTACAGCAGCAACAGCAGCACTACCACCACTGGAGGCGGCAGCAGCAGCCGCGGTGGTGACAGCAGAGACTACAGAGACTCGTACGGTGGTGGCTCATCATCATCGTCCTCATACCGTCCATCCGACTCATCCAGAGACTCGCGCGGAGGTGGTAGCAGCGGCTACAGCAGCAGTCGCGACTCTGGCAGTTACCGTCCATCGGATAGCAGCAGCGGCGGCAGCAGCTACCGTCCCAGCGACAACTACTCCAGCACCAGCAGCAGTACCAACGGTGGTGGCCACTCATCATCGTCCTCTTCCAACCCTGTGTCCTACCAGCCACAATATAACATTACGGCTCCGCCACCCTCATCGTCGTCGTCGTCCGCGTCAAGCATCGTTGCCCCACCACCCGCCTACGGCTACAGCAACTACAACTCCTCGTCGTCGTCGGGAGGTGGCGGCGGCGGCAGTGGCAGCGGCACCACTGGCTCATACAACCAATCTGGCGGCGGCTACTCTAGCTCCTCGTCGTCCAACGGCGGAGGCTATCAATCAAGCTACTCCTCAGCACCATCGTCTGGCATGGGCTCATCATCATCGTCGTCCTACCGTCCATCAACCTCAACATACGGCAGCTCAAACAATGGCTACTCTGGCAACTCCAACTCATCCTCCACATCCTATGGTGGCGGCAGCACTTACTCTGGCATCGCGCCAATTGGCTCGTCTTCATACGGCGGCTCATCTTCCTATGGCTCCGGATCATACGGCTCATCATCCTATGGTGGCGGCGGCGGTGGTGGTGGTGGTTCATCCTATGGCTCCTCATCCTACGGCTCGTCGGCCTACCGTGGCGGCGGTGGCGGTGGCGGTGGTGGCTACGGCGGCGGTGGTGGCTTCGGTGGTGGAGGAGACTCACTCGGCGCCAACCTCGACCCAATCAACTGGGAGCAGACCACTCTGACCAAGTTTGAGAAGAACTTCTACAAGGAGGACAACGACGTTGCTGGCATGACTGGCAAGGACATCGAGGAATACAGACAAACTGTAGCCATGTCAGTGCACGGCAAGGAAGTCCCCAACCCCATCATCACGTTCAACCAGTCCCAATACCCCCCATATATCATGAAGGAGATCTTGAACGCCGGATTCACGGCGCCCACACCCATCCAGGCCCAGTCATGGCCCATTGCACTCAAGGGACGAGACATGATAGGTCTGGCCGAGACTGGCTCAGGCAAGACCCTTGCCTTCCTCTTGCCAGCGATCGTTCACATCAACGCCCAACCACTGCTTCAATACAACGATGGACCAATCTGTTTGGTGCTGGCGCCAACTCGTGAGCTGGCGCTCCAGATCCAGGCCGAGTGTGACAAGTTTGGCTCGAGCTCCAAGCTCAAGAACTGCTGCGTGTACGGTGGTGTTCCCAAGTACCAGCAGTCGCAGCAGCTGCGCAGTGGAGTGGAGATTGTCATTGCCACACCAGGCCGTCTGATCGATTTCCTCGAGTCCAAGAAGACCAACCTGCGTCGTGTCACCTACCTGGTGCTGGACGAGGCTGATCGTATGCTGGACATGGGTTTCGAGATCCAGATCAGAAAGATCCTCAGCCAGATCCGTCCCGACCGTCAAACATTGATGTTCTCTGCCACATGGCCCAAGAGCGTCCAATCCCTCGCCAACGACTTCCTCGTCGACCCAATCCAAATCAAGATTGGCTCTGCTGAGCTGTCTGCCAACCACAACGTCACTCAAATCATTGAGGTCTGTGAGAAGGAGGAGAAGCAAATGAAGTAAGTAGTACCTGATGATGCCAAATTCAAAGCAACCATGTTACTAACCATCAATCACAGGATGTTCCAGTTCTTGGGTACCATTGGTAACTCGGCCAAGGCCATCATTTTCTGTGAGACCAAGAGTGGAGTGAACAACCTGCAGCGCAGCATGCAACAGTATGGCTTCAAGTGCATTGGCATTCATGGTGACAAGTCTCAGAACGAGAGAGACTACTCCCTGCAACAATTCAAGGCCGGCAACATCCAGTTGCTCATTGCTACCGACGTGGCATCACGTGGTCTAGGTAAGTAACAACAACAACATCATATTGTGATGTGATGTGATGGACACGTCAACCATGTCCTTGTCGTCGTCGTCACCATTCGATTCGCCAACACATCGTCATCGTCACCTTCGCGTCTTGTCGCGTCTTGTGTATTGATGATGTCGGGCGGACATGCGGACGGTCGGGCAGGTTGAAGTGTCGGTCGCTCTTTCAAACAAGTCTTAGTTTATAGGTCCCTATCAGTTATCTATCTCTTCTCTTCTCTCTTGACTTGACGCGATCCAACAAACGACAAAGACAAAGACAACGACAACAACCACAACTACGATGCGCGAACAACATACGGTCTGGACTCATACATGCATATGTAGTAAGGAGAGGAAAGCCACGTTGTCTTGTTTGGCTTAATAATTCTCAAGTCTCTCTCGTCGCGCATTGATCGATCGATGACCTACAAGCGGTGCAAGGAGTGAGGTGGTAAGCGGAGTAGGTGGCTGGAAACCAAACTCGTAGCGGTAAGGCGAGGTCGGTACTGCCACCAGGCATTGCACTACCCTCATCGTTGTCATCGCCTGTTGCGAGGATGAGGACGGAAGATCTATTACATTCAAGTTCATTGTAGGCTGCCTCATATATCGGTCGCGAAGCAGGTGCGTGAAGTGTGCGTGACCAAGTTAGCAACAGTAGGCATGCATGTAGGCATGCAGGCAGGCGAGGAAGATGAAGAAGAAGAAGAAGAGGAATGATAATTGTGCAAGGAACTCTTACTTGGACGTGTATGTATATGTATTTGGAACTCTTATTCATTTGTCTCGCTCCACCTCTCTCTCCCCATACCCAACAACAAACAACCTATAGATGTCAAGGATATTATGTACGTGGTCAACTTTGACTTCCCCAATACGATCGAATCCTACATTCATCGTATTGGACGTACCGGCAGAGCCGGAGCCAAAGGTACCGCCTTCACCCTGTTCACGTTGAACGACATGCGACTTGCCACCGACCTGATCTCCATCCTTACCGAGGCCAACCAATACGTTCCACCAGCATTGACCCAAATGGCTCCAAACAGAGGTTTCAAGAGTATGTTGTTTGTTTGTTTCCTCGATCAATCAATCAATCAGACTTGCTAACTAACACTCCCTTCCCCTTCATAGACATTACCGACTCGTATGGAAACAAGAACAGGTTCAATCCATACAGGAGAAAGTATTGAGCGCGAGAGTGAGAGACACGATCGGTCGGTGGATGGTCGGTGTTGGCTCCAATGAGGTTTGGGTTTCCGGCAGGCTGCCTTTTGCGACACACCCAACTCCTAAATGCCGCCGCCAAGTTGGCAACAGAAAGTATGATATACATCGCTACAACAGCAAGACGTTTGTTATTATCTGTTTGTACCAATAAATAAGTGACATTTAGGTTTATTTAGAACCGGGTTCGAGTAGCTTGAGATGGATCAATCAATCAATCAGTCAGTCAACTTGGGCCTGGTTGAAGCCTGGGTGGACAAACTGAATGTGGAGGAAGTGCGGCAAGCATGGTTGGATGGCATCCTCGCGTGATTAGTTATCTTCGTCATCGTCATCATCATTATCAAATGAATTATCCGCTATTTGAGTGGCCTGTAGTTGTTGGAGGATCTCCTTGGACTCATCGATGTTCTGGAGAGTTGGCTTGCGTGCTGGTATGGGAGGCGGGTTCTTGACGGCAACCTTGGGCGAGGCGTTGGGCGACTGCTCACGCGTCGACGAAGGCGACCCGCCGTTGGGCACCTCAGACTGCAGCAGCAGTGACACACGCTCGCCCTTGAACACCAGCTGGAACTTGTCCAGCGGGTTGAGCTGCTCCTCGGAGGAGGGCGCGCCGCCACTACCCTTGGACAGATTAAGCTTCGAGTCGGTCTTTTGCTGCTTGAGACCCATCATCTGACTCTTAAAGTCGGATATATCACCTTCGAAGAAGGTACTAATGCATCTAATCCACTCGTCCATCTCCTCTGGTGAGTCTGCAATCAAGTGAAACACTCTCTGGCTTGAATCATTCTCGTTGTTCAAGAAGAAGTAGTTCTTCTTTGTGTTGTCCTTGAAACATTTAGTATATTGAGATAGGTCTACTGCTCCAACTGGTTCAGTACTCTAAATATATATGTTTGTTTGGTTGTGTTTCTGTTAGTTTCCGTGTTTCCGTATTTCCACCCCATGTTTCCGGTGTTTCCGTGTTTCCGTCACACAGCCACGAGAGTCCAATGTCTAAACTTACATTTCTTTGTTTAAAATAATACAGGATACCACTCTCGGTCAATACAAAGTATCTTCTTCTCCAGTTCTTACTTATTCCTTTGCCTTTAAGGATTGATTGATCGATCAAATGAATGAATGAGTGTCAGATGTATTCTGGAATCACATACTCCTGTCTGCTACCAACTAACTCCTGTTATACATACCTCCTAACTTCTTCAAGTAACCATTCTTTTTATCTACAGGGTACAGTCCAGTGACTGTTACATTCTGGATGATTGAATGGATGATTGAATGGATGAGTGGAAAGGGTGAGTGAATAAGTCTTTGAAATATCCAAATTGGAAACAAGATTGATTAAACATACCATTGGTATTTGAACTGGAGGGTTTACAGCGGCCATCGTTATATATGATTGATGATTGAATGGAGAGAGCTTAATAAATAAATAAATAGATAGAAATATATATGTATATGTATATATATATTGAACAAAGTTATGGATATCTGATTGTTTGATTGATCACTTGGTTAATGGGACGTCTGTTATCAAACTGATGGAAGAAGAAGAAGAAGAAGAAGAAGAAGAAGGATATGAATGATTGTATGAGTTTGATGTTTGGTGAGTTGTTTGGTATTGTGTATCTACAGGTGATGATGAGTTGTTGTTGTTGTTGTTATGTGATAAATAGTTTATCTCTCTATCTCTTTGTACTTGAGTTGACGTCAATGTTTCAAAGTCACTCTCTTTGTCAATGTTTATATCTCTGTCAATGATGTCTCTCTCTGTATGTACTACTAGTTTGATGAAGCTGACTACTCTGCCTTGATGTATGTGACATAGAGACAAAGGAAACAGAGTGATTGGTGGTGGTTGGTGGTTGATGTGGATAGTAGTCCATCCATCCATTCATCAATCCATCCAGGACCTCCAGTGTGTCCACCACTCACACACTTGCACTCTCACACATACCCATTCATCATAGCCTTCAAAGGGGATTGTTGATTTTAATAATCAGTTTTTGATTATTGGATTTTTTGCACTGTGGCCTAAAAGATATTTTGGGCCTTGAAGAGGTCACCGACACACTTAGGGCTCATCAACATCGTTAACTTACTCACACCAACCTTCACCCACCATGGGCGCATTTCAATTTGGGTCACCCATTCTCATCATGTGATAACTTGGCAGGTAATCTTTGTATCTCTGTTCTTGGATGGATGTGGATGGATAGGCAGTGCATCAGATCAACATCACCCACTACTCAACTCACTGACTGCCTTGATCGGAAGTAACCAACTCCGATGTGGTGGGTGGGTTGTACTAACCTTACTCATTTGATTCTACAACAACAAGGAGAAAGACAGAACAGTTGGACTTATGTGAATGGGCGAGGAAGAAGTAAGAAGGAGTGAGTCTTACATCTTGTGTGAAGTCAGTTATTGTTCAAGGTCTCATTCATTGACGCGCCGAACGCACACACACAATCACACAATCAACTTCTTTATTTAAATGTACCAAATCCGAGCCGACTATTATCATTATCGAATACAATGTATAACTCTGATGATCGTACGGGCGAAAGTTAGTAAGGTCTGCCGACCGACGTGTCCTCAATCAATGAATGAATGAATGAACCAATCAATCATTTTATACATACCTCTCATCAGGTTTACACCTATGATCGCATAGGATTGTGGAGTCTCTTGAATACCAAGACAGTGATATAACGAACCATCATTGGTAGTCACTGGATAGAAGTAGTTTGATGGTTTCAAATACAACTTGAACTCTTCTGGCATTGCCAACTCAATAGTAGGGAATAGATCAGTGTTGACCTTGAATGGTGGAGGACACTATGTTTGGAGGTGATCAGCTTGTGGATAACATGAAATGACATGGCTTGATCTAAACTTACTTTGTTGAAAAGACTTGTAATGTTGGAACATGATGTGCCATTACAATTGTCCAGTAGGAATTGTTTGAATTGATCATATGCATCGGATGGCAAATATGATACTGCTGATGTTGAATTGATCACTACTCTAGAAACCTTGGTATTGTTCATTTTACCTCCATTCCAAGTTGAACTCTATTCATTCATTGTTTGATTAGTTTAGTTAATATGATGATGGATTGTATTGACTTACCATTCCATTAATCTTAAAAGAATATACACCATCGGTTTTGAGCATTGATGTATAGTTGTTAACTTGATGAGAGAATAGTGGATCAAGGTATCCCAATGATATTCCACCAAAGTAATTCTTATCCAATGATATACCAAATATATCTGGAATTGGAATAATATTAGTTCTGTAGCCGATCAATTAATCAATCAATGAATCAAACATACATGGTTTCTTCAATGTTGTCAACACAGTATTTAGGGGACTTATTGGACAATTTGGGCACTATTATTTAATCGTTAGTAATTTACAAACAATATTAAACAAAGATGTACTTACATTTGGACCAACTCCAAATATTGCCTTGTTCAACGCTGTCAGTGATCCAGTTTGTTCTTTTAAATTATTAGTATATTATTATATTAATTATTTGAAGTATTTTACTTACGATATATAGAAGTTACAACTATTGGTATATTCTTAAAATCATCAATTGATATTATATCTTTGACAAGATTACCTCGGATTGATGAACCATCCTCCATATCTAATACCAATGAACATGTTGAAGGTCCTGTCTTATCCTTCTTCTCACAAGTATTTCCATTAGTATGACATATTGATGAATCACATAATATATTCTCCGCTGTCAATGACCTTGAATACAAAGGTGGAAATTGAGTACATCCAGTACACTTCTTATTCGCTGTCAAGAACTAAGTGTATCAAAGTTGTTAGGAGATATTTGATTCTTTGTTTGATTGAATTAGTAACCTTACAAAGTTATGATTTGTATCGATTAATACAGGTATACTGTCTACACCTGATAGTAATACACTTGATAGAGCATCTTGGTTGCCACTAAATATTAATGTCTCTGTTAGCTTGTTCCTGAAGTTGTGTTGAATGAAGATGTTTGTTAGTATGTTGGTCATGACTTTCCAGGAAAGTACTACTCGTAACTTACACTTCAACTTCTGATACTGCAACACCAATGAATAATAATAATAATAGAAGATATAACACTATATTAAAGTTATATTGTCGCCTTGTTGTAGTATCCATTCAATATCTGTCGGTCTGTAAGTATCTTTTATGTTAGTTTCGTATGTTATTTAGATATTTGATATCTTAATGATGGAGGAAAGAAGGATTGTTCGTAGTTGTAGATATAGTTGTTGTTGGTGAAGAAGATGTAAATGATGTTGGCAAACTGATGAATAAGAAGTAGAGTGTCACTCACTTCAGGACATTCATTGTAATCAATCAATGCAATGATTCGACATACCTTTTGTGTAGCCAACCATCACAATCAGGTACTACTCACTCTCTCACACTCTCTGGTGATTGATTTATTGATTGTGCGCACCATTAGGTGCTGAGCGAACATCGATCAATCATTGATTGATTAATTGTTTGATTGACAAGTGAGAGAGAGAGAGAGAGTGATTGATTGATTGATTGATTGATTGAACAATGAGGTGCGCACGCAATAATTCATTGCATCACCCAACAAATGATCGATCATTGGATTGTGATACGAATGGTCTTTCGGTCGTTCGGTCAATCACACGTCTCTCCCATATCATATCCAATTGACTTCATTGACCCTCCTCCACATCCACATTCATTAACTTGATTGCAGATGTTCGAACCCCATTTACAACTTCAACACACACAACACAAACCATCACATCTTTCAATCAACCACATCCATCCATCCATCTATCCAGGATATCATTCAATCAATCACTTGACAAGTCAATAGATTGATAATGTTTAAGTATTGTCGGTGATATCATACCATATATGATGAATCTACACTAAAATAATGTAGTAGGCGATTTGGTGTAGGATCGACCTGGAACAGTCGATTTAATCATTGTTGGGCCATACCCTTCATTGCTACCCAAATCTAAACATATGAAGATCCACCTATTACATCTTATTCCTCTTCCTATTCATATTCTGTACAATACATCTGAAACTACCATACCTTGATTGGATTGGACCCAAACAAGGTAGATAGTTGATTGATGGATTTATTTGCCACTCCTGTATAACATGATCGTGGTAGTGATGGTGATGTGTGATGTATCTAGGCATGTACTCGTGAGCCAAATTATGTGATCTTTCTTGCATTCTTGCATTCATCTCTTGGTCGGTAACGGTAAGCCAATCATTCGGTCAGTCGGTCGGTAGGTCAATCAGTCTGTCAGTCAAAGTCTATGATCAGTCAGTCCAATGAAGAATGATTGAGTTATCCACTTCCACTGAGAGTCTTGACCTCTCTCAACTTGGTGACGGACTGCTGGTAGTTGCGCTCCAGTGAGTCCTTGGAGTAGGCAGTGATCTCGAGGTCGCGAAGATAGCCATCTTGGATACCGTAGATCCAGCCGTGGATGCTGACCTTCTGGCCACGCTTCCAGGCCGACTGCATGATGGTTGAGTTGCCAAGATTGTTGACCTGCTCGACGACGTTGAGCTCGCACAGTGCATTGAGCATACGCTTGCGTGGGAGATCGTGCAGCACCTTCTTGTGCTTGAATATGATGTCGCGGATGTGCAGCAGCCAGTTGTTGATGAGGCCCAGATCGGGGTTGTCGTAGGCGGCCGCAACACCACCACAGCTGTAGTGGCCACAGACAATGACGTGCTCGACCTTGAGCACCTCGATGGCGTACTGGATCACAGACAGACAGTTGAGATCGGTGTGAACGACGAGGTTGGCGACGTTGCGGTGGACAAACAGCTCGCCTGGTCCCAGACCGGTGAGCTTCTCGGCGGGCACACGTGAGTCTGAGCAGCCAATCCACAAGAAGTTGGGGCGCTGCGACTCGGACAGCTGGGTGAAGAAGGTCGGGTCCTCCATGGTCATCCTCTTGCTCCACTCGTGGTTGTTGTTTATCAATCTTTCGACCTCCTTGCTCATTGCGCTCTTTGTATCTGTTTCAATCTGTATCTGTTCGGCTTCGTCGGCAGCGGCAGCGGCAGCAATAGAAGCGGCTGTAGTTGAGTTATTAGTTGTATCCTTTGTAGTTGAACAACAATCGTCAACAATAACTATATCTTCAACTTGTTCAATAAGTTGTGATTGTGATAATGATGATGTTGTTGTTGTTGGTTGAGTTGGTTGAGTAGTTTGATCCATTGTTATTGTAATATTATTATTGTATTATTAATATTATATTATTATTATTATTATTACTTATAAGTATTGATAAGTTGATTGAATGGAATGAATGAAAGATATGTTGAATGAATGACCTAAGTTGAGTCGTCAAGTGTGTTGGGCGAGACAAAGAGAGAGAGAGACCGAGAAGTTATAGTTTGTGTCGGGGCGTTGCTCATTAAGGCTGGGAACAAATGACACCTTTATACCAAAACAGGTTGACACGGTGATGGGCACACACTAGCACTGCAAACGAGTGATCTTTTGAAACGAAAACTAACACAATGTATGGTGCCTGGGGTGTTGTGTTTGTCGGTTGGGGCTATCACGACTTTGTTTGTTTCGCACGACACACAAACACACAAGCTTTACATCATTGGTGATTCTTACGAATAATCAAACCCCCCAATAGTACTAATAAAGAACATCGATGTTGACTTGATGCCGATACGATTCACACCCACACATAGATACACATCAATTATTACTTTGATCCCAGGATACTGATCAAAATCAAACATTCATTCTTTCAATCATTCATGTAATGGAATGGAATGATTTGATGGTGCAATGATTGAACATGGAATTGAATTCTCCTACCAGGGTAAGTAGGATGTCTGATTGTTTGGTTGATTGATTGATTGATTGATGGATTCCAAGTTTGACATGTTACCAGGATGACACAAATGTTTGGATGAGAGATTGAGTGATTGAGTGATTGAGTTCCAAAGTCTTGTGATTGATTGTAATATTGTATGATTGAGTGATTGAGTGAATGAGTGATGGAGTGACTGGAAGTTGTTTATTGTTTCTTGTTGTTGACAAGGAGTGATTTGATTTGGTCTGGGGTCAAACGATCACGTGGTCCACGGAGGTATGACTCAAAGTCATCGGGCAACATGCAAAAGTCTGCAGAGAGTGGACCACTGGCAATACCACGCTGGGACAGACGACAGGTGAATGGACTGATGCGAGTGAGTGCGTTGTTGACGTCGGTCTGGTTCTGTGCGGACCACAGACGCTCAGACACACCGATGGCGCGTGGCCACACACGGACGTCGATCGACAACTGGTCGACCTGCTCGCCCCACATGCATGCCTCACCACCGAGGATCTTGTCCAGGTTGCTGTTGATGCCGTCGAATGGGTCGCTGTCGTAGAAGTTGGTCCATGTGTTCTCAAACATCCACTGGACGGTGCCGGTGGGGTCCTGCTGGTCGAGGTAGTAGTTGTACGATACGATCACGTTGAAGCCTGCGTTGACAATGTCCTGGAACGAGGAGTCCCACACCTGGATCACGGTGGTTGGGTCCAGCTGCACGCCGTTGACGAACGGGTCGTTCCAAACCAGCTTGGTCTTCTTCATTGGCGCGAGGATGGCGTCGAGACGGTCCTCAAAGTACTGCTCGGCCTCGACGGTGGTCCAGCCGAGGTCGGTCATCCACTCGACGATGGCGGGGTCCTGGGTCCAACAGGCGAGGGGCATCTCGTCACCACCAGTGTGGAAGTAGCTGTCGATGAAGTAGCCACCGTACTCGGTGAACAGAGCGTCAAGCACCTCAAAGGTCAGGTTGTTGGCGGGGGTCAGTGGGTACTGGCCAATGTTGCCGTTGAATGAGTCGGGGCAGTTGGAGATGATCGAGGGGAAGGCAGCGCCCCACGAGTAGGTGTGCGATGGCACGTCAAACTCGGGCACGACACGCACTCCTTGGGTCTTGCCGTAGGCGACGATCTCTTGGACGTCGGCGATGGAGAAGGTGGCGGCGGGGTCCCAGGCGCCCAGTGTCATGTTGGGGAAGGTGGCCGACGAGATGGGGTAGGACTGGCCGTCAGTCACATGCCAGTGCAGCGTGTTCATCTTGTTGTATGCGAGTGCGTCGATCGTGTGCATGATGAAGGCGGCGGGCAGGAAGTGGCGAGCCGAGTCGATCATGATTCCACGCCATGGGAAGCGAGGGAAGTCGACAATGACGACGGGCAGGAAGGGCAGAGTGTACTGCTGTGAGGCAAAGTCGTAGATGATCATCTGCGAGAAGGACTCGAGGCCGCGGATCGCGCCGTACACCGTGTCGGCCATGATGGCCAGGCTGTCAGTGGTGGCCGAGATCGTGTAGTTCTCGCTGACGCCAAAGTCGAGTGTGTCATCCTCGGACGCCACCTTGATGTTGAGTGTGGCGGCGGGCGCCGAGCTCTTGCCGGCGCCAAACAGGAAGAACAGCTGCTGGTAGCGCTTGATTGCGATGGCCAACACCTGAGACGATGACGACGTCTCAATCTGGAACTTGTCTGGGTTGAGTTGCAATGTCTGGTCGCCAAAGTTAACTGACTGTGGTTGTGGTACGATCAGTGGTCCAGCAACAGGTGTCTGAGCCTCTGTGGCTACAATGGCAATCAATGCCACTGCAACTAATATTGACAACAACTTCATTTTATATATATGTATAAGTAGTTGTTGTGTGTATGTATGAATGTGTTTGATTGATTGAGTGAGTGATTGATTGAAGTTGGATATTGTTCAATTTGGACTTTGGTGGGGGTGGTCCTCTTTTTTGAACACACACTCAATCACTCAATCAAAACTTGATATCCTGTGCTAGGTCCCAAGTCATTACTTGTCAGATATTACAATGTAGGCAAAGAACATTATCGAAGTTGTGGGCATGGGAATAATAACAACAAATGCCAATACCACGGCTACTTAAGTGAATGACTGGTCATTAGAATGACCCCATCAGCCATTTAAACAATGGGTTCGAGCGAGTGATGCAAAGAAATGATGGTATCCAGGATCATCAAGGCCATCACCCACTGCAAATAATACAATTGGTTCGGTACCAGCCTAATAAAACTGGACCGAGTAGATACTGTTTGGGACCCATGAACACGACCATGAATCAAAAAAAAATGATCAAGTTGGTTTTTGATTGAGTGTGGGGACCAAAGCCTACATCAAAGGACCATACACACAAAACTAAATCCAAATTGAACAACCAATATCAATCAATCAATCACATCATTCTCATTCAATACAATCCACATAACAAATATATATATATATATATATTATAACAATGATGTACAACACCAGCAGCAACAGAGTTGCCATTGTTGGCGCAGTATTGTTGTGTGTTGCTTTGTTGGCTTGTGCCCAGCCAGGCCCAACACCACAGGCAATTGGACCATTCTTGGTGCCATATCCACAGCACTTGCAGCAGGGCGAGGTTACCCTGCCAGTCGACCCCAAGCAGTTCACCATCGCCACTACCAGCAGCTCGCAGATCTTGAAGATCAACATCCAGCGCTACCAAAAGTTGTTCTTCTCGGCTGGCCCTGCCCAGCAACACACCTCGGCCGTCGCCGCTTTGACACTCAACATCAACGTGGCCTCGGACAATGAGGACCTGTTCCTCGGCGTCGACGAGTCCTACTCGATCGTGGCCAACAGCCACGAGCTCACCATCACCGCCAACACTGTGTACGGTGCCGTGCGTGCCCTCGAGACCTTCTCGCAGCTGATCACCTTTGCTCGCCCAGCCAACACCTACTCGATCCAATACACACCAATCACCATCAAGGACTACCCACGCTTCCAGTGGCGTGGAATGTTGGTGGACTCTGGCCGCCACTACCTGCCCGTGGACTTCATCCTGCACATCCTAGACACATTGGCCTACGCCAAGTTCAACGTTCTGCACTGGCACATTGTGGACGCTCAGTCGTTCCCCGTGCAGTCCAGCACCTACCCCGACCTGACCAACGGCGCATACAACCCCATTGCCATCTACACCCACGACCAGATCCAGCAGGTGATTGCCTACGGCAAGACGTACGGCATCCGTGTCGTGCCCGAGTTTGACATCCCAGGCCACAGCGCATCATGGGGCGTCGGCTACCCACAGCTGCTCGCCAGCTGTCCATCGTACGCGTCCAACACCAACAACTTGCTGTTGAACATCGCCGACCAGTACACGTACACATTTATCAAGAACCTGTTCACAGAGATCACGCCCCTCTTCCCCGACAACTACTTCCACACTGGAGGTGACGAGGTTATCCTTGACTGCTGGTCGGAGGACCCCTCGATCGTCGCCTGGATGACCCAGAACAACTACTCGCTGGTCGAGGCCGAGCAGTACTTTGAGACACAGATGTCCAACATCCTTGCATCACTTAACCGCACCAAGATCGTCTGGAACGACCCGTACATCAATGGAGTCCAGCTCGACCAGAACACCGTGATCCAGGTGTGGGACGTGTCCAACGTCACTCAGCAGATCATCAATAACGGCTTCAAGGCCATCGTGGCCAACGCCTACTATCTCGACAAGCAGGTGCCATCGCCCTTCAACAAGATCCACTACGAGTGGCAGGACACATGGCAGGACTTCTACTCGTACGACCCAATGTACGGCATCACCGAGAATGGCGACAACATCCTGGGAGCAGAGGCATGCATGTGGGGCGATCAGCTCAACCAGGTGCAGTTCGACGTTCAAGTGTGGCCACGTTCGCTGGCGATCGCCGAGCGTTTCTGGTCCAATGAGGCCATCGTCAACATTGACGACGCACTCGTTCGCATTGAGGCTCAGTCTTGCTCCATTGCCAAGCGTGGTGTCAACTCTGGCCCACTCTTCCCAGACTTTTGTTTCCTGCCCGCCGACGTTCCATCCGGCCAACATCCAATCCTCAGGCTCACTCCAGAGCAAGTCGCTTCAATCCTTCGTAAATAAAAGGTGTCGAATGGGACACTCCATCCTTACCCAATCAATGAACTCTATGAATGTTATGTATATTACAACCTTGTCGACAACACTTGGCAACAACTGTCTACAACTTGATCGATTGTTGAATGATCAATGTCGATGGATAGGACATCGGTCTCGATGGAGGGGTCGGGCTCCTCGAGAGCATCGAATTGGCTTTGGAGTAGGGTCGAGGGCATGAAGTGTCCGGCACGTCGGGCCTCTAATCGCTGTAGTATGACTTGGTAGCTTCCCTTCAGATATATGAATAGTACTCCAGTGTTGTCTCGTCTAAGACGATCACGATATCTCTGTTTGAGTGCTGAGCATACTACAACACCTCGCTCCTTCTTCTGTGTTAGAGAGTAGGCCACATCGTTCAAACGTTGTAACCAAGGTTCACGATCATCATCGTTCAATGGTTGTCCCGATGCCATCTTCATTATATTAGCACGAGGATGAAGATCATCACCATCAATGAACTTGCAACCTAATCTACATGACAACTTATAACCAATAGTTGATTTGCCTTTTTGATTGATTGAGTGATCGAGTGGAGTGATTGATCGAGTGATGGAGTGATTGAATGAGTCAGCCATTGATGGTCATAACATCTTGAGATGATCTAAACATGTCCATACCACTTCCAGACACTCCCATAACAATCAATGTATTATAACTATTCATTCTTGATGTTAAGATCTTGGTTGCTTCGAGTGATTACATTTGGGACTCAAAGGGACTTCACAAAATATATCACATGTCATCAAAACTTTTCCAAAGGGCATTGCAAGATTGGTCAATTTTTGTAGACTAATCATTATGATGAACACTAGTGTCGTCATCAACTCGAGTTCAAAGGTTCCTTTTCAATCAGAAATGGATATATCAATGTCTTTTGCATTGGAATTGATTTGGAAATATCCGAATGGGCACCAAAATTCTAAAGTGATCATTCCCAAATGAGGGAATCGAGACCATCTCAAACCATGTTGCAAATATATCAATCAACATTCATAACAATCAATCATTAAACATCAACTCCCAAACATATATATAATATATAATTATGTCTTTAATGAATATATATAATATAATATTAGTACTTTCTGTCTTTGGTTGTTACTTTGCCCAAGGACAATCAGAACCTAGATACTTATGTTCTATGTATTATAATACTACTGATTGCACTGGTGACATTCAAAGAAGTACTTGTTATATAATCAATGAATGTGTACCTGGTGCTGCTCAATGGCAAATAGCCTGTAATCATAATCAATCCGAGTGTGAAATGTACACACCCTCATGCCTGCAATCACGCAACAGGATTCCCTATCATGAACGAATGCAATGCTGGCAACTTCCCTCAACTAATGTCAATGGATGAAATGGTCAAGACCTTCCAAGGAATGATCGCCTATAATCAAGATCTACTTTTGAATTCAAATTGCAACGCCTTCAACAACCCAATTATCGAGTACTCTCTAGGTCCTGCATGTCTCTACCCCAATCACTCCTTCAGCGAGTATTTGTTGTGTAAAGAAGGAGTGATCTACCAGCAGATCTGTGACATGGGTATGAACTGCACTCAGTGGAAAGTTTAAACTCTGGAACAAATTGTGATCAATTAATTGCGGCTACTTGTCTCTAACAAGATCAATTAAACATAAAACCTAATTATCTGATGATTACCACTTGTCAGCTGATCATTACCATATTTGGACAAAGATATTTTTGATGATTTTTGACGTTTTTGGTTTTCACAGAAGTGCTTCTTCATCAAGATGTCTGCCCTCAACAAAACATTATCTCATTCTTCCAATAACTCTAACTACAACAAACAAACATGGAGATAATAGTACATTCAGTATTCAATAATAGATTATTATGTCGTTATATCTTCAAACATGTTAGTATCATACACAAAGAAATGATTGATAATAACGTACCTGTTATGATTGATCATCACGATGGTACAAGTCCAACAACTTCAACAACATCAAGAAATACAGTGATATTATCAGTTATAAAGGGCAGAGAACTGTTGTATAATGGTAGTCTTGTTCAGATGCTTCAATATCATGCCACTCAATACTTTATTGAACATTACAATCAAGTGTCAAACAGTTATCCACTCAATGACACATTGATCAATGAATCAATACGTTATAACAACATTGATGTGTTCAATCATTTGATCAGCAACAACAACAATAACATGATGGTTCGTTTGGACGAAGCAATGATTAACCTCTCCATGTGTGGCTCAGTTCACATGCTTCAGACACTACTCGAGATGACTGGACACCATTACATTGGTCCCGTCACAATGGATCACTTGGTGCTTGCTGTGGACCGCGGAAATATACACTTTGTACGATTACTTCTCAAACTCCATGGTCAATCGAGGGACTTCAAACCCAGCGCAACAAACATATTGGGTAGAGCTATATACGTGTTTCGGTTCCCTGGCATCGATGTCGATATGCTCAAGCTTCTCAAAGAGATGGGCGCCTTAAGTTCCGGACTTTGCTCCAGGGCACTTGAACATTGCATCACGAATCGCCGTGTTGAGAGTGTCCAATACATCCTTGAGGTGGCCAAGGAGTTTGATGAGCAACAAAGAATTGAAATCGATCGAGAGGTACAAACTAGCATCATGAGACACACTAGGCTTGGACATCTGGACATCATCCAGTCGCTATTGAGTGTGGCACCATCCAATCATCGAACAAATTACAGTCCTGGTAGCAATCTGAGCAGGGTGGCGGCAGAGAATGGCCACATGCACATCATCGAGCATCTCCACAAGAACAACATTGGCAACGACTCATTGAGATCTGCCGAGGAGTCCACCATCATGGAACTGATGATCACTCGTTGTGGCGACCAATGGGATCAGGTCATGGTCTCCAGGGTCCTCTACAAGAGGGTATTGGACCAAATGAATGCTGCACTGAGGAGAGGCGACCAGAGCACTGCAATGGACATTCTCAACAGCCACTGGGACAAAGGACTGTCGTCAAAAGCATGGAGCTATCCGACAGAGTTGTTGATCACCTTTCTCTCCATTCACAAATCAAATCACACTCATGGTTTAACTCCCGGTGGTTTGTGTCACATTGTCCAACGAATAAGTGATGGCAGGGTATCATTGGAGCATGGTTTGGAGTACCTACGTAACGCCATGGTTGTTGCACCTGACGAGCCAGACGATGACGATGATGGATCAGGGGGCGAAGAAGAACACATTCTCAAACAATCATCGATGAATTTGGCGGCAGGCTTCTCACTGGCATTACTCCTTCGAGTTAAGGAAATGACATTGTTGGATTACGATTACCGTTGTCTGGAGGCAGCAATCGAGCATGATCGCCTGGATGTCATATCATATCTACTTGCGAACAACTTTATCAATGGTAGCTTCATGCAAAGCTGGACATTTGAGTTACTCTTCACCAAGGGGTCGGTCGATGCCATCAAGATCGTTCATCAACATGTCAAGTTGGACAAGCCTAATCTATGCGTCAATTCGATCAAGAACTCATTGGAAGTGTTCAAGCATGTGATGGAATATGTCCATCCACCTTCATCTCTGTCACCTCGACAACATCGTTCAATCATCAATGCTGCGGTGGTCCAAGACAAAGTTAACCATCTCAAACATCTCATTGACATTCTTTACTCACTAATACCAATGCCTTCATTGGATACATTGATTGAGGCCACCAAGAAAAGTGCCGTCTCAACATTGGAGTATATCTTTGTCAAGATCAAGCCATTACCACTTACTCGCCTGTCAGAGATTGAACAACTTCGTGTTCTCAAATCGATCTTGCACTCAGCCTATGACTCTGGAAACACTCGCATCATCACCATTTGCAACAATCTTATCAGAGATATCAATACTGCCAATCCAAATATGAAGAGGTATGTGTGATCAATCAATCAAAGTGACCCAACACTCACTCATCCGACTAACATTCAATCATTCAAACAGGAAATACTCAGATGATACTCCAACTGCACTCGCTCAATCAGTTATACACTCGGTTCTTGGAAACAACAAGTTGAACTCGATGATCATGAAGCATGTTGGATTGATCCATCGGAGTTGTTTGGGCATTGATCAGAGCTTGATCATCAAAGGTGGACAACTGTTTGGCAACAACTCATTGTTGGACTTTATCAAGTATGGTGCCACTGAATACTTCATCAAATCATTCAAATCAATCAATCTCAAACACTCATATCCACCCAACAACAACAAGTTGATCAGTGCCGCCATTGCTCACTTTACTCCACGTCATATCCCCTTACTGGATGCACTCATCGCCCATCCTTCAATGACATTGTCGCCAGAAACAATCAGTTGGCGCGAATTCATAAATCAACTCTCTGACTGCACGATTCACAACTGGTCACGCATCCTTGATGATGTCATGCAGTTGGTGATGGTCAACTCAAACTCTCCGCCAATGATACTCAAAGAGAATGACATATTCTTGATCAAGCATCCATTGTTCCTCAGCAAGATGCTCTCATTTGGTGTGACATTCACTGTGCCACGAATCAACGTACATCCACCACCTCCCCCTCCCAACTCGGAAGTGTTGACCAGGTGGCTTCAATGTCCGCCCGAGTCAATACTTGAGATGATTCAATTGATTGGTCAACCACTATCCAAGGAGACTGCCAGACACGTCCTTGCCCACTCAATCAGGATGGACATCCAACCAGTTTCCCAATACTTCATTGACACGTATCAACTCCTCAATGAACCCAGGCTCCCAGCATTCTGTGCCAAGCATGGCTACTTTGAACTGTACAACACCCTGCCTCAATCCACAAACAACTCCAATTTGTTGTTTGAGACAATATTGCAATGTGAGAAATGTTTGATGCCATTGGAAGTCGTCACAATGGCCTACCAGCATATGATAGACAATGGTGTTAGGCCAACCACAAGCTTCAGTTCCAAAATGCCAAGAGGCCTCATTTGCCCAAACAAGATCAACCTCCTCGTATCACTGCCACACCATAATGGCAATAACGACCAATTGGTGCGCATCACCAACATCATTCCAATTATGATCTCGGTTGGATTGTTGGAGAGATTCCTCGCAGATTCACGCTACCAATGCGACTTTGATTATGTGATGAGCAGTGCCATTGAAGTAGGCGATCGACAAGTTATAGAAATGTTGGAGGCCAATACCGACAAACGATTCAAGACCGACTACAGATCGGCATTCAATGCTGCTGCCTCTGTTGGAGATCTGGATACAATCAATATGATCTTGGACAAGCGACATCTATCGACAGCGACCGACCACAAGATATTTGGCAATAGGCATAGCACTCTTCAGAACATCCATCCGGATGTGGCCACGATCGTGATTGATCAACAAAAGTTGGATGGACGCACTACTATGTTCGAACAAGTTATGAGTTTGTTTGTGGAGTACTTCAAACGAGGCGATATTGAGGCCATCGATCATCTAATACGACAGTGCATAGATTGCCGAGTTAATGACCCAGGCGAATTGGACAGCAATATCAAGTTTGGAATTCATTCATTGCTCAGCCACAAGATGACACCGATCACCAACAGTAAAGTGTTGGCACACTTCATTGACAAAGGATATCTTGACATGGTCAACAAACAACACTACCTCACACGAGTGATTGAACATGCTTGTGAGAATGGACACATCGACATCATGAGATTTGTCCACTCCTTGGATCAGATTGATCAATCAATATCATTCATTCCAGACCTTCGATGCATTGCCCGTATAGTTGAACGCAATCAACTCTCAGTGATCCAATACCTTTTTGGCGATGATCAGTCACCCATCAAACGATCACCAGACGCAACACTCGTGGTCCGAATGGCCAAGTACGCTCGCCATTCTGCCTTTGTCAATGGCAACATCAATATCATCAACTATTGCGACACAATTATCGTTTAATCAAGCAATCCAATCAATAAATCCCTTGAGATGGTGGAATGTGTTTTGGTATCTATCTTGAAGTTCACAAAGTCAGGGAACTGATCAGTTTCTTCGAAATATATAATATAATCAAAATTCAGACTCACTAAACATTCATCTACATGGCATGACTCATTCCAATTACTCCAGTATACAAACAAAAATGGAGATAATAATACATTCAGTGTTCAGTAAAAGATTACTAAGTCGAAATATCTTTGATCATGTAAGTTTCATTCATAAAGGTATGATTGATAATAAGGTAACGGTTATGGTTGATCATCATGATGATACAAGTCCATCATCAACATCAACAACAAGAAGTACAGTGATATTATCAGTTATAAAGGGTAGAGAACTGTTGCATAATGGTAGTCTTGTTCAGATGCTCCAATATCATGCCACTCAATACTTTATTGAACATTACAACCAGGTGTCAAACAGTTATCCACTCAATGACTCATTGATCAAAGCATCAATACGTTATAACAACATTGATGTGTTCAATCATTTGATCAACAACAACAACAATAACATGATGGTTCGTTTGGACGATGCAATGAAAGACCTCTGCAAGTGTGGCTCAGTTCACATGCTTCAGACATTGTTTGAGATGACAGGACACCATTACATTGGTCCCATCACAATGGATCACTTGGTACTTGCCATGGACAGTGGCAACATACACTTTGTTCATTTACTTCTCAAACTCAATGGTCAATTGAACGACATTCAACCCAACGTGAGTCCATTTATTCCTTTTAGAGAGATGTTCCGATTCCCTGGTATCGATGTCGATATGCTCAAGCTTCTCAATGAGATGGGCGAACTCAGTCATTGTGTTGGACTTTTCAACTTGGCACTTCATCATTGTATCACGAATCGCCGTGTTGAGAGTGTCCAATACCTCTTTGAGGTGACCAAGGAATTAGATTCCCAAAAAATAAGAGAGTTCGAAACAACGGTCCGTGATGGCATCTTCAATCAAGCTAGACTTGGAGATCTGGACATCCTCCAGTCGCTTCTATTGATGGTGCAACGCAATAGTTCAACTTCGCGTGGAAATCTGATCTGGGATGCTGCGGTGAATGGTCACATGCACATCGTCGAACATCTTCACAAGAACAACATTGGCAATGGCACATTGACGTCAGATGAGGAGTCCACCGCCAATCAACTGATGAGCACCCGTTGTGGCGACCAATGGGATCAGGCAGTAGTTTCCAAAGTCCTTTACCTCCGTCCATTGGACCAACTGAATGATGCACTGAAGAGAAATGATCAGATCACCGCAGCGGACATTCTCAACAACCACTGGGACAATGGACTGTCGTCAACAGTATGGGACTATCCAACAGATCTGATGATCGCCTTTCTTTCAATTCATCGATCTAATCACATCCATGAATTAACTCCCAGTGGCCTGTCCCAAGTTGTCTATTTTAGTAGTTATGGTCTCAGCATTGGAGCATATTTTGGAGTACCTGCGCAACGCCAGATTTGTTCCTCCTCTTGAACCAGGCGATGATGATGATGGAACAGGGAGTGAAGAACGCCGCCACAAAAAAACTTCGTTGAGGATGGCTTCAGGACTCTCTCTTGCATTACTTCTACGCATTCAAGAATTGATATCGTATCGTTACGATGACGGTTGTCTGGAGGCAGCAATTGATCACGATCGTCTGGATGTCATATCATATCTCCTTTCGAACAACTTGATTGGTCTTGAATTCATGGAGAGATGGACACCTGAGGTACTCTTTGCCAAGGTCAGTCGATGCCATCAAGATCGTTCATCAACATGTCAAGTTGGACAAACCTGATTTATGCGTCAATTCGATAAAGAACTCATTGGAAGCGTTCAAGCATGTGATGGAGCATGTCCATCCACCTTCATCTCTGTCACCTCAACAACTTCGTTCAATCATCAATGCAGCAGTGGTCCAAGACAAAGTTGACCATCTCAAACATCTCATAGACATCCTTCATTCACCAATACCAATGCCTTCACTTGATACATTGATCGAAGCCACTAAGGTGAATGCCGTCTCAACACTGGAGTATATCCTTGTCAAGGTCAATCCATCGCCACTCTCTCGACTGTCAGAGATTGATCAACTTCGTGTCCTCCAATCGATCTTGCACTCAGCCTATGACTCTGGAAACACTCGCATCATCACCATTTGCAACAATCTCATCAGAGATATCAATACTGCCAATCCAAATATGAAGAGGTATGTGTGATCAATCAATCAAAGTGACCCTACACTCACTCATCCGACTAACAATCAACATTCATTCAAGATGTTATGGACTTTTTTGCTCAGTTCTAATTAAAGGCCTCTCAATGCATCCTCCTCTCGTGCTTCATCATCAAGTGCCGCGAGATCAACTTGCCGCAGACATCGCACGGTATCCTCTCTGTGTTGTAGGCCTTGATCTCCTCTTTGAACTGCTGGTAGTACTGCTGCATGTATGTCTTGTCGGTGTTTCTGCCACTCCTGTCGATAGTATTCTTTACGTCCATATTGATGGATGTAGAGATTATAATGTTGATCCTGGGCCATATTTCTTGTAGATGGAGAACAGCTCGGCAATCATATTGTTCAGTTTAACCTTGTATTGGTCTCGCTCCTTCACCAACTGCACTCTTTGCCTATGGATATCCTCCTGGGCACACTTATACCATCTCTTCAACTGTCTCAATGCCCAGTGTCTTTTTTGTCAAGATACCGGAACATGGAAGGGTCAGCGTCCTCAATATCATCGTCAGACAGGTCGTCCGAATCATCGTCTGACAGGTCATCGCAATCGCTGTCTGAATCATTATATTTAGACACTGCTGCTTTGATATCCTGTTCACGCTCCTTTAGAATGCGATCAGTGATTGAATTTATCTTGTTGGTTAACTCTCCCTGGCTATTGATAAACAATTCCGTGCTGTCTTCCATTATATCCAGTAGTCTATATTTTAAACTCTCCTTCGCCTTGCCATATCCCAATGGCGAACGATCCAACTGGCTTGGTCATGTTCTTGACTCTGGCGTCGGGACAGTAGCCCTCGTATCGCAGGTCGCCACACTCGCTGGTCTCTATCACTTCTTCATCGCACTCCATATTGACGCACTGCTTGGTCTTGTTGCGCTTGGAGAGAGCGCCCCAGAGTCGTTGATAGAGTTCCTTTGATCGTGGGACTCCTGCCTTGATCCAGGCGAGCACCTGATCCATGTACTTGCCAAAAAGAATGGAGCCATTGATCCTGCATGTGCTATCGTATAACAATGCGTTGGCCTTGTTGCCGGTCTTCAAGTTGAATGTCAGTCCTAGCTCCTTAGCAAAGATTAGGTCGTAGTGAGTGTAGTAATCCTTCTTGTTAATCTTGAATGCTCCGTGCTTGCCGTTGATCGTTGCGCGATAGATACCGAATGGTATTGATTTCTTTGCGGTCAGCTCTTCGTCGGTCAGTTGTTGGAACTCGCCACACTTGATTGGGATCATGAAGCCGCCGCTCTTCATGATCGCACCATACATCTTGCAGACGTCATACATGTAGAGACCTCCTGTATGCTGGATGGAAAACATCAATGCGCCAAAGGTTGACTTGGATATCCACTCGCCCTCCTTCTGATCGATTGGCTCTGGCTTGACTGTCTTGTTGTATGATATAAACAGTTTGATCGCTGCCTTGTTCTGTCCTGTTGTGTACATGTCGATGATACCGTTAGTACCTTCCTTGAGCGCGTCGGCGTCGGCCTTGAACGAGTCCAATGTCTCCTCCAGGGTCATTCCTGAGAGGATGCGGATGTCTCGCACTTGTCTTGGTACTTGCGTCTCTTCTTGTTGATAAAATGTTCCAGGCTGATGGTCATGTACTCGCCGTCATCATAGAGCTGGACCTGTTCGCCCTTGAGGTACTTAAAAACGATTGGCTTGATGTAGACGTCCCTCTCGTTGTGTCGTGTGTATCTGATGCCCTTGCCTGCATAGGTACCTTCCTTGTCTAGTTTGTAGTGTCCATTTGTTAGTATTAGGTTGACCTCTCTGGTTGCCCTCGACGCGGANNNNTAGCAGTGATCACCTTTGACGTTGATTTTGATGTTGAGTCTCTCCTCGAGTTCTGGGATCCGCTTGATAGAGACCTTCTGATCGACATCAAGGTCGAGGAACTTCTTGAGTCGTGATGGCCTGCCAAAGTGCTCTGTGACCTGCTCTGGATAGGCGTCGTGGAGGCAGTAGTAGAGGCAGTTGTTCCATTCGCCGTCGCAGCCGCCTGCCTTGCCCTTTGCTTGATGAACGTAGATGTAGAACCATTTAAATGTGTCAGGCTCTGCGATCGGTGCTCCGTCATACTCGTGAGGATCAAACATGATGATGGGCTCGCCTACCTTGGTGAACTTGCCCGATCGATACTGATGATTGCCGTAGTCGAGCACGACCTCTATCCTTGCGTTGGCGCCGTATCGTTGGAGAGTGTTGCTGTCCCGCTGAGCGATTCGTTCGATGTCTGCTCGGCTGTAGTTACCGGTGAGCTTGATCTCAGTCACGCCCGTCTTCTTCAGTCTGCCTCTAATGTCTCTTGTTGATCTACTCATTCTATATATTAACACTGAGATGTTAATTTATATCACTTTGAACCTATTTGTTGGCCATCAACTGCTTGTGGATGTAGCCTTTCTTGTGTCGATTGAGATTGGTGCGACCAACTTCGAAGCCGCATTCGCATCTTACCTTTTGTTTGATGTAAGCTTTGTGACGATCTCTGAACTCTGAGTTCTCGTCCCAATAGTACTCTTTGAATAATGACATGTTATATCTGTTAGAGATAAATTGTTTAATTTAATTTATTTGTAGTTGATTTACCATATTGGGACGAACATATCACCCTTCACCCCATCTACAAGATAACTTTGAAACTCACTCATTCATTTATTCACAACAACAACAAATACTTCAACAACAAATACTACAACAACGACGTCATCAACAGTTACGATTTGTCTCTTCACATATATTTATTACTCAGTGTCCAATGGCCGACCAACAACAATTCCGGGCAGTTGTTACGTTCGGTGACAACGAAGCCGTGATAGACTTCACAGCTAGAAATGTCCAAGATCTCATCAACACAATCCGACAATCACTCGACCTTGCTGTTCCTGCCTCCCCACTTCGAGTCTATGCCACCAATCCAGCCGTTGACAACAACGCTCATCATCTTGCTCCTAGTACCAATGTCCCTCAAGGAGGATATCCTCAGCTCTTTGTGCAAGCCCAAGCCCAAGCTCGTAAGTACAAACAACATCAGCGCAATGTCTTCATTCAATACTAACATGCATACTCAAGCCGGTGCTGCAGGAGGAGGTGGTGGCCAAGCGCGTAAGTAGAAGTGAGAGCGAGCGATGTGTTGGGTCGAATGTTACTAACACTAACTTCCTCTTAGCCAACAAGATCTTCAGAAGCTTAGAGTCTGATATTGAAAGTAAGTATCCAAACTCTAAGATTCCTCAGAGTATACTGACCCCATTCTCAGCGATAAACGGACTCAGTATGCAGAACAAGTTCGCTTGCTCCAGGACAGAGACAATCGACAAGATGTCAAAGACGTTGTTCGAGAAACATCTGATATTTGTTAGATCACCACCTTCCTCAGGGAAGACCTCTCTACTGGTGCTCTTTGCCCATCGATATCGCGCTGACTGTGATGTTGTGTCAATCTCCTTTCTTGGCATCAAGCACGACAACTTTGAATCGAAATGGGTCCAGGACACTGGAAAGACGTTTGCTGATTGGATTTCAAGCACCTCCAAACCAACATTGCTTCTAATCGACGAAGCTCAGATCGCATTCAATATCCAATCGCAGCCCACTGAATTCTGGGCCCTCTTGAAGGACCTATGTACATTTGGACCCAATCAAGATGCCAAACCACCATTGTGTAAGTTCGATGATATCATACAAGTTCGCCAGCATTTCACTGACCGAATCCTCTTGTGTGTAGACGTGGTGGTGATGGCGGCCTATGGAGAGCATTTCGATGTGAAGACCGAGTGTTCAACACCCATTGGCTTTGAGGGAATGAAGTTTGGCATGGAGGATATGAAGCTGAAGGAAGGCGAACTCCAAGAGATGACAGATAAGAGAAACAAGTTCACATCAAGTGGATTTAGGCTCACAAAGAACACTTGTGATCGCATTTGGAGCTCCACTGGTGGTCATGTTGGATTGGTGACTCAGTTCATTTGGACACTATACGATCAATTCAAGGACCTGGCTGATGACAACGATGTGTTATCATTCATTCTTGGCGGTCGCTTCATGGGTGCAATGGCAGCCAACCGGGCAGCATCATTCCAGAATCTTTCACAAGGCCAACTTCTTTTTCTGGATCAGTTCGATGCCCACGAGCGTATCTTCAAACAACACGCCCCAGTCAACATCGTCACTCCTCTGATCAAGCATGGCATTTTAGTTGTCTTGAACGACACACACTTGTCCTTCTCATCTCCCATCTTCAGAGCACTGTACTTCCAGTTTCGAGTCTCGCCAACAACAAGAGGACATACTGACTTATCATTCGATGACTTCATTGTCGAAACGATCAGCCACTTTGACAGAGATACATTGCTGAATACCAAAGGAAAAGGAACTGATGGCAAGCCCCTCGAATCAACGTGGCAGGGCGAGTTCTATAGATGCGCTGTGGCTGTTCTTCCTCCAGACGTCTGTAAGTCGTCATCTAGATCTCATTTAACTCTCAAATCCTAATATCTTGCTTCAGACATCAGCCAAAATGTAGGACAACTCTTTGGAATAGATTGCTACCTGGACTTCTACGTGGATGATGGTCACAAATGGGGAATAGAATTACTTTGCGAAGGCAAGGGAATTCAAGAACACGCAGGCAGATTCAAAACTGGTGGCAAGTACAAGGAGTTCACCAACAAACGTGCCACCATTGATTTCAGGATCTCTGATGTCCGACCAACTCAGAAGACAAAGAGCACATCTTCTCTCTGGCTGGTCACCTATGACGAAGACATGACTCAGCTCCGTATCTCCAACAGTACAGGACTCTCGAAGACCATCACAACGAAATCGAGAGGTGCATCGTCCATTCGCTTCAATGAAGCCAAGTAAACACACTCACTCCCACTCATCAACCACAATCGGTGAACTTTTGGTGAACAGTTGGTGAACAATCGGTGAACAGTGTGTGAACAATCGGAAGTACGTGTTGACCAACGTGCTGAGTACACTCCTGGTAACTCTCTTGGGCGTGCGCTGATCACTCTACAAGCGTGCGTACTGGTAATGCGTTAACAGATCCGATTGTAGAATTGTAGAGTAGTTTTCAAAAACTATTTTTAATTTATGGATTATTAATGATTAAAATAATATTTTTTTTGTTCTACTACTCTACAATTCTACAAAGTTGATACAGATACCTTTTTTAGTTAATTTTAAAGTATATAAAACTAAAAAGAGGAGAATTTGGAAGTCCAAAATGAAGGAGCGCCAGCTCCGGAATGTGAGCGAAGCCAGCGGCCATGAGTCATCCACACACAATGCAAGTAGATAAATGTTGGATGCCATTGGAATTGGTCACAAAGACATATCAGCAACATTTGGACAATGGTACCACCGACGCAACCATTTGGCCCGTAATGGCAAGTAACCTGAATTGCCGAAACAAGGTAGACCTCCTCCTCTCCCTGCTTCAGCCAAGGCAAACCCAAAAGCCAATTGATGAGCGTCACCAAAATTGACCACACAATGATCTCTGTTGGATTGTTGGAGAGACTTCTCTCAGATACACGCTTCCATTGCAACTTTGATTATGTGATGAGCTGTGCCATTGAGGCGCGAGATCGACAAATGATTGAAATGTTGGAGGCCAACACTCACAAACGATTCAAGACGGACTATAGGTCGGCATTCAATGCTGCCGTCAATGTTGGTGATGTGGACACAATCAAGATGATCATGGACAAACGACATCTAGTTAAGTCCACAACAAACAGAAACAACTATCACTATCGGAATAATCGCAACATACCCATCAAGAATATCCATCCGGTTGTGGCCACACTGGTGATTGATCAACACAAGTCAGATGGATGTACAATCAAGTTTGAACAATTGATGAGTTTGTTTGTGGAACTAGTCAAAAGAGGAGACATTGAGGCCATCGAGCTTCTTATACAACAGTGCAAGGATAACAGTTTTAAAGATAGACTTTATTCCCCAGATATCATATTTGGTATTCATTCATTGATGAGCACAACAATGACACCGATCACCAACAGTAAAGTGTTGGCACACTTCATTGACAAAGGATATCTTGACATGGCCACCAACAAACAACACTACCTCACACGAGTGATTGAACATGCCTGTGAGAATGGACATGTTGACATCCTCAGACTCGTCCACAACCGATTCACCCATCCAGTCATTCCAGACCTTTAATGTATTGCCCATGTCGCTGAGCGCAATCAACTCTCAGTGATCCAATACCTTTTTGGCGATGATCAGTCACCAATCAAACGATCACCAGACGCAACACTCGTGGTCCGAATGGCCAAGTACGCTCGCCATTCTGCCTTTGTCATTGGCAACATCAATATTTTCAACTATTGCGACACAATCATCGTTTAATTAATCCAATCAATAAATCTCTTGCGATGATGGAATGTGTCATTTGAGTTTTCTATCTTCACAAAGTGAGGGAACTGATCAGTTTCTTCGAAATTTATTATTATATTTCCAACTTTGGTTCCATGTCGTCATTCAAAACAACTCACTCCGGTGATCAAAGACACATCCAATAACTCCAGTATAAGCTACAAACAAACATGGAGATAATAATACGTTCAGTGTTCAGTAATAGATTACTAAGTCGTAATATCTTTGATCATGTCAGTCTCATTCACAAAGGTATTATTGATAATAAGGTACCTGTTATGATAGATCACGATGATACAAGTCCATCATCAACAACAACAACAAGGAGTACTGTGATATTATCAGTTATAAAGGGTAGAGAACTTCTGTATAATGGTAGTCTTGTTCAGATGCTTCAATATCATGCAACTCAATACTTTATTCAGCATTACAATCAAGTGTCAAACAGTTACCCACTCAGTGACACATTACTCAATGCATCAATACGCTATAACAACATTGATGTGTTCAATCATTTGATCAACAACAACAATTTGTAGTTTAGTTGGGATACTGCAATGAGAGACCTATGCAGGTGTGGCTCTGTTTACATGCTTCAAACACTACTTGAGAGGACTGGACATCATTACAATGGTCTCATCACATTGGATCACATGGTGGATGCTATGGACTGTGGCGACTTACACTTTGTTCGTTTACTTCTCAAACTCAATGGTCAATTTAAAGATATTAAATGCACTTCCCGATTAACTAAAAATTATTCGCTCCGATTCAATGGTATCGATGTCGATATGCTCAAGCTTCTCAAAGAGTTTGGCCAACTCCATCCCCTACTCTTCTCCATTGCACTTCAACATTGTGTCACCAATGACCGTGTTGAAAGTGTCCAATACCTACTTGAGTTGGCCAAGGAAATAGACCCTCGACCAAAAGGTGGATTCAAAAAAACAGCCCAGCTAGGCTTCAGCAGAAAGAGACTCTCGGACATCTATGCCTCCTCCAGTGCTTCTAAGAGTGGTGCCACCAAACAGATTATCTAGCAGAAGAATTTAATAGTTAACAAATGATACTGATTCAATCATTGATTCGATTAATAATACAAGTGCAGACTTGGGACCAATTGGTCGGACTAATGCGCGTGCCTTTTGATACCTTTTGATGATGTATGTCTCAACGTTAGGTGCTTGGACTACGAGCCTTCTAACCATATCACTTATTGGCGTGATTGGAATATAGTGTAGTCCAACAGCCAGTGATCGAAGATGAGCATTCAGTACTACTGTGGGATGTCCCAAGAGATTGTCGCTACCCAGGGCAGCGATATCTAGATGTTTGATTGATTCCGGGAGGTTGTCAAGGTTTTGATGAGACTCGCGAAGGAACGTAGTGAATGATGTCACCGTTGGAGGGAGATGAGAACAAATGTTAATAGTAAACGATGTTTTCCAAACCAATGTTCTGAGTCCAGGCGGGAGTATATTGCGAAGGATTATTGTGTTGTTGAATCTCTGTCCAAGCTTAAGATAAGTGACCGACGTTGGGATGACTCCGGGTACGATTGGATAATGATAGTTTGGACTAAAAGACAAACTGGTCAATGAGGTAGGGATCATTCCAGGTAATATTTGTTGATCGTACAATCGACCAAACTTTAACATCTTAAGCGACGTCAGTGATGAGATGTCAAGCACTTTGTTGTAGTGATAACCAAAGGTCAACTCTGTGAGCGAGTTTGGATACGACAATACTGAACTGTTGGCCTGTGAGAACGACTTGATATTGTTGGGCAGCTGGCCAAACGAGACGCTCTTGTTTGAGAAATTCTCAGTCATGATCAATGATGTGAGAGAAGATGGGAGTGCTCCATCACTGATCATTTGAGTGTACTCGGGTCCAAACTGAAGTGTGGTGATTGAAGGCAGGTCCCCCTTCTTGATCACCTGATTGAACTTGAATCCCAGGGTCAGCTCCATCAATGACGATGGTAGTGTACCTGTTTCAAAAGGCTTGTTGTACTTCTCACCAAAGACCAACTCGGTGATCGATGATGGTAGTGATCCTGGAATGATCACTTGATTGTAGCACTGACCAAACACCAAAGTGATGAGTGAGTTGGGTAGAATACCATTCTTGATCTGTTTGTTGTATCCACGACCTAATATCAATGTATTGAGTGATGTCAAGTGCTGAAGAGTTGTGATCACTTTGTTGAACTCATCACAAAAGACCAATGTTGTGATGGACATTGGAATCATGATGGACTTGAACGAGACATTGTTCTCGAATAGGTAGTTGGTGGGATTGGTCAAGTCTGGTGTGTAGCCCGGTGTGTCAACACCTTCATTCCTCTTCCAATACAATGATCTTTTAGTTGTGATCCTATCAACTATTTCAAACAGTCTTCTATTTGTGAGTGCCAATGACAATACATCAATGATTGCACCATGTTGATTATCAACCGAGTCCAACAAGTCATTGCATATTGATGTTATAATCAAACTACTTAATTTATCCATTCATCATTATTATTATTATTTGTTGATCATTGTTTGGAATGAGGCCAAAACCCAGCTGGATTAAGTGATCACTAAAAAAAAAGACGACAATTTCCAATAATAATAATAATCGATGGATCAAGAATGATTGTATGTACCCTTTATTTGTATGTAGATGGTAAGCCAGCCATAAGATGAATGATTGTTTAGATCTTCAGGTTCTTGATGGACTCGCCAACGGTGAGCACACGCAGTGAGTTGGTCTTGCCTGGAACACCCTCCATGACACCAGACACAATGACGACACGCGAGCCAGTCTTGACAAGACCACGCTTCATGCCCTCCTCCAAACACAGCTCGACCAACTTGTCAGAGCCGTGGAGCGAGTCGACCAGGATGGGGATAGTGCCTCTGCTGGCCAACAGATGCTTGACGGTGTACTCCCACGATGTGACGGCAAAGATGGGAATGGGTGGCTTGTACTTGCTGACCAATCTGGTAGTGAGTCCAGTCTCTGTCATTGTAATAATGATGTCGGCCTTCAAGTCAATAGCAGTGGCAACTGCGTATGAAGCAACAGTCTCGGCTATATATGTTTGATTGAATGATTGATTAGTATGAGTGTGGGTGGAATGATCCCATGGACGAGATAATACTTACCAATTGTAATGGGCTTGACGGAACAGACCTTGAGGGCAGAGAAGAGGGTGTGGAAGTCAGTGCTGGCCTCGACGAGCTCAGCCTCACGACAGATCTTGGTCATGATGTCGACGGCCTCGATTGGGTAGTCACCACTGGCAGTCTCTCCGGACAACATGACACAGTCAGTGCCATCGAGGACAGCGTTGGCAACGTCGGTGGCCTCGGCTCTGGTTGGACGAGGAGCCTTGATCATGGACTCGAGCATCTGGGTGGCGGTGATGACGGGCTTGCCAGCGGCATTGCACTTGCTCACCATCATCTTTTGTGCGACGAAAATCTTCTCCATGTTGACCTCGACACCGAGGTCGCCTCTGGCCACCATGATGCCGTCAGACACCTCGAGGATGTCGTTGAAGTTGTTGACGCCCTCCTCGTTCTCAATCTTGGAGATAATCTGGATGTGTGCGGAGCGGTCGCCCAAGATGTTTTTGATCTCAATGACGTCCTCGGCCTTTCTAATGAAGGAGGCGGCGATAAAGTCCACTCCCTGCTCCATTCCGAATCTAATATCCGATATATCCTTCTCTGATACTGCTGGCAAATGTACAATTGAGCCTGGCAAATGGACATTCTTGGTCTCTCCAAGTAGTGAATTGTTGTTAACTCTACAAAGTACGTTGCTATAAAGTTTGATTGATTGTGTGATTGAGTCAGTGGGATAGTTCCAGGACGTGGTGGGGTGAGGGTCGGGGACTTACCCTTGCTCCTTGTTTACAGAAATGATGGAGAATGAGATGACACCATCGGCAATCAAGATGAATCCTCCCTCCTTAACAGAGTCGATCAATCCTTTATAGTCCAATGAGATACGCTTCATGTTACCCTGTTTGATTGATCAATCATGTGAGTGAGTGTGAGTGCGCGGTCGATCAATCAATCATATGACATGATATACATACTGGAACGGCAGTGTTTGTATCGACGAGGATCTCTTGTCCAACAGCGAGTTGGATTGGTGTACCATTCTCAAGTTTACCAGTGCGGATCTCTGGACCCTTTGTGTCCAACATGATGGCACAGCCCCTGTTGGTGATCTTGATGGCCTCTCTGAGATTCTTGATGACGTTGCCATGGTACTCATGTGTGCCGTGCGAGAAGTTCAGACGACAAATAGCCATACCACTCTGAATCAGCTTAACCAACATCTCTACCGACATTGTCTTTGGACCAATCGTACAAACGATCTTTGTCCTAACAAAGTCCTGTGTTGGGGCATCCAATGAAAGACGCAAGTTTCTTGATAATGTTGCCATCTGTATGAGAGATTGTTTGAGTAAGTGAATGAGCGAGCGTGTTTGATTGAAATATCCATGAAGTTCACCAAGGTCCACTCACATTGTTTGATTTGATTGATCGTTTGATTATAAACTACAAGTTGTGTGATGAATGAATGAATGAATGAACAAATGAACAAATGAATGAATCAAAGTATCGTGGATAGGTAGAGGGGAGTAGAGTGTGTGGTCTATCATCATCATCCAAGGGTACCAAACAAACAAACAAACAATTGATTATCAAAAAGGTATTATTAAGTGAACATAAAAATTAAATCAAATCAAAAGGTGGTGAACCTTGAGGTCCCCATCTTATAAAAATACATAAAAAATTAGTCAAAATGGGATACAGGTGGTTTTGAAAGACACGCCTTGCAGGGGTTGATGCCTTTTGCCCAGGACACAGCAGACACTCTGGGAGCGGTAGAATGAGGGGGTGGCTTCCAAGGAAGGCGTATCAGTCCTAGACGACGACACCAATACCATCATATCCCATCATTAGTATTTCTGTATACTTTATGTGTGTGTATTGAATAATAATAATGGTCCATCCATCCAATCAATGAATAGATGTTTGCTTGCTTAGTCGTCTGATGATCCATCATCTTCGTCGTCTTCGTCATCGTCGTCTTCGTCTTCATCGCCTTCTTCCTCTTCTTCAGCCTCTCGCAGCCACTCTAAGAATTGTGAACATTGCTTTAGATAGACTTGGTTCTCGGATTCGTTCTCTGCGTCCTCTTCCAGCTCCTCGGCCCAGTTCAACAAGGCCTCCTCACTAAGTATGTCATTGTTATACAATGCATGCAGAATGAACTGTATCACCTTTTGCAACACTGGATCCTCGTCACACATATCCTGTATCTTAAAGATAAAGTCAACCTGTGTATCTGTGTCTGTCAAGTAACGACCGAGTATCTTTGAATACTTGTCGATTCTCTGATTGATTGATTGGGTGAGTAAGAGAATGGGCGAGTGAGGTGATAGTCCATGGTTGTCAACAAACCTTGTTCAAGAGCGCGACATATTCCTTTTGTGTGATGGCTGATCGGTCTTTGGTGACGTCTAGGAGGGCGGGCAGGACGGCTGTGGCACAGTCCATGAAGTCCTTGTCGAAACCAAACTTGAGGCCGTTGATCTCCAGGATGATGTTCTCAATCGAATGGTTTTGGTTGATGCCAACCTTGACGGTCTCTATTACCTCGCTTCTAAACTTGGCCAGATCGGTCTTATCCTTTGATCGACCGCCCTTCTTGCCCTGATCGTCTTCGTCATCTTCGTCAGAGTCCTCGTCTTCATCATCCTCTTCATCGGTGTAGTTCTCGACGGGATCCGATTCGAGACGTGGCACCAGCTCGTTGAACTGGCCACTGGGCAGCTTCCATCGCCAGCCGACGCCACCGCTGCCAATGTTCATGACCTCGGTGGGCGAGCGGCCAAACTCCATGTCCTCGCCTCCGTCTGGGTCCTCGACGGCCGTGATCTTTGTAAATGCATCCACCATGACATTGTCGCCAACGGTCACTCCCAGACTGACTATGACACCCTTGCAGATCGTGGCATTGGCGCCTATAACAGCGCCCTCGCAGATCATTGAAGATGTAATGGCCACACCGTCATTGATCACCACATTGTCCCAGATGTACGCTCCATCAATCCTAACATTGTTGCCAATCTTAACATTCCTTCCAATGATGGAGTGAGACACCACTGACTTGTCGCCAATCACTGTGCCTCTTCCAATCACAGACTCCTCGGCTAATGGGGCAGGGGTTAGTTATGGGATCGATTGATTGATCCATATTCGGTAACTTACTGATTGTACAATCCTTCAATGTGACGTGCCTCTCCTTGTAGATCATTTGGCGCGAGAGGGTGTAGGTGGTGTTGCACATGAAGTTGTTGTCGGGGACCATGGGGAAGGTCCATCGATGGATGATGTCCTTGGAGACAGAGTTGTAGGTGCGCAGGTCTTTGACGCGGGCAGCATACTCGCCCTGCAGGATGTAGGTGAACAGCTTGTAGTCGGTGATCTCCGACTGCATGCAGTCGTGGATAAAGTCCTTGCGCAGGTCGCCAAAGTCAAAGTTGTCGCTGAACAGCGCCAGCACCTCGTGCGAGCAGATGTCGATGTGGCAGTCGATCAGATCGTAACGCAGTTGGATCGATGGGTGCTTGGTGAACAGCTCCGACGACAATGACACACGAGTCTTCTTTGGTGAGTTCTCGTAGCATGCCAGCTGCAATGTATCGCGATCAAAGCCCACAATATAATCGTCCTGCTTTGATCTCGTGCGATGACTTGGTGATGCCTGCTTAAACACCATCGTCATAATGTTGTTCTTGTCCTTCTCTCTTCTTGCCCTGTGTCATGATGATGATAGTGATGAGTGATGGTGGTGGGTCAGTGTGTGTCGAGCCTCGCATGGCTTTCCCCTTCAGCTTGGCTACGGCTACATACTTGTGGACCTTGAGTGCGTTTGATAGGTTCATGTTGGAGATGACGTCGCCACTGATGAGTACAAAGTCAGATTGAATGATGTTGAGCGAGTAGATGAAGCGTAGTGCATCACCTGTGGACTTTGAACCAAGTGCAAACACAGTCCTCACTTGAACACCAGGCAAATGAGACCATCTCGAGTTGTCCAAGTAAGTCTTTATCTGATCGGCATGTGCACAACACAATACATATATCTCCTGTACACCTGATGATGCAAGTAACTCCAATGTATAATCCAACAATGGTATATTTACCAAAGGTAGCAATGTCTATGATTGATTGATTGATTGATTGAATGAATGAGTGAGTGTAGTTGAGAATCGATCATTCAATCAACCTTACCCTTGGTCTCTCTAATGTGATTGGTGCGAAACGTCTGTCGAAGCTGTCACCAAGTACGATACCCTGTAGGACCTCTTCACCCTTGAAGTTATCCTGTGATGCGGCATGTGTAGCCTTCTTATCCTTTTCTTTCTTTGATGTCTTTTCGTTAGCCATGACTATATCTCTATTTATCTCTATATATATGTATCTATAATCGAGTAATACACACAAGTAGTAGTATTATATATATAAGTAACAAATGAATGAGCAGACGAATGAACAACAACATCAATGGATGAAAGAAATGTGTGAAGTTGATCAATTTCGCAAGTTTTCTAACATTCTTCCTCGACTCACTCTGATGAGGTGATGTGCACTTGGAGTTTGGAATGAGGGCAGACTGGCATCATCACGCCAGCCAGCCAACCATCCATGGTTATTATTAAGTTGTATTAGTTTGTATGTTATTACATCCACAATTAGTTGTGATTGTTGCTCCTTGGAAACGAGTCCTTGGCAGGGTCCTTGGCAGGGGCTTTGTCCATGTCCAAGTCCTACAGCTGCTGATCTGGAATGGGTGGAGCACTTGGAGTCTCCATATCCAATATCTTTTGTTTGTTGTTCTTTATCTTGAGCTTCTTGTGATCGATGGACATCTTGTCGGCGAGATGCTTGGCGATTGGCTCGTTGCCATAGTGACAGGCCAGACTTATTGGTGTACGTCCCTTGTTGTTACGTTCGGTAAGTGATGCATTGAATCGCAGCAGTAGCTCCAGCACACTAAAGTGATTCCAGAACACGGCCAGATGTAGCGGTGTGCTGCCATTGACATTCTTCTTGTTGACATCGATGCCCTTGCGCAGCAACAGCTCGATCAGTTGTAGATGTGGCTCCTCGGTGGAGATGAGAATGTGGATGGGTGCATAGCCCTTGATCTCATCGTTGGTCGCGTCCAAGTCCACTCCATGCTGGATGAGATACTGTGTCACAAGGTCATTCTCGTTGTAGCAGGCGATGTGGATGGGCTTCCAGCCGCCAGGCTTCGAGAGCTCGGGGTCGGCCCCGCTGGCAATGAGCAGCTTGGTAACTTCGAGACTGCCCGACGAGCAGCAATGGTACAGTGCGGTGGTTCCCTGTGAGTCCTGGAGGTTGACATTGGCGCCATTCGCGATCAACACCTCGGCCACCTCGGTGTGGCCTTCGGATGAGGCGGCGTGTAGGGGCGCCCAGCCATCATGATTGATTGTGTCGACCTGTGCACGCCTGACCAGTAGTGACTTGACTGTGGCCACGTTGCCCTTGTACGCTGCGGTGTACAGCGGCGTCCAGCCATCCAATCGCTGTGTATCCACGCTGGCGCCACTGTTTGTAAGCGACTCGACGATGCCAGTGTGATTCTCCTCGGCAGCCACGTGCAGCGAGGTTGAGCCGTCGGCATTGACGGCGTTCACATCGCTACCGGCCTCAAGCAGACGCTCGACCACTTTGTTGTGTCCACGCAGTGATGCGTAGTGCAGGGCGGTGTTGCCCTTCTTGTTAGAGGAGCGCACGTCGGCGCCCGCGGCCAGTAGTAGGTCGACGATTCGCTCATCGCCGTTGAGTGACACCATCATGATGGGTGTTGATCCGTCCTTGTTGATGGCGTTGGCGTCGGCGTTGTGCTTTAGCAGCTCGTCGACTGATCCGAAGTCATTCCTCAGCAATGCCAAGTGTAGTGGTGTGTTGCCGTCCTTGTCGGTGGTGTTGATCTGTGCGCCGGCCTCGATCAGAATTGGAATGACCTCGCTCCTTGCCTTTGTTGCGGCTTCATGAAGAGGTGTGCGGCCGAATATCGTTGCGGCATTAATCGATCTTGGCTCCTCTTTCAGCAATACCTTTACACACTTTACATGTCCATCTCCAGCTGCCACATGAAGGGCTGTCGTGCCCTTTGGCAAGTCCTTCATATCAACTGTAGTGTGTTCTCTACATTTAGTATCCACTGGTGCTGGTGCTGGTGTTGGTGCTGGTGCTTGTACTGGTGCTGGCGCAGGTGTTGGCGCCGGGGCTGGCGTTGGAGTTGTGTTTCGAGTAATGTTTGTTGTGATTGGTGTCCTCGATGTGATAAGAATTGGTGTTGCTGTTGGAGTTGGAGTTGGAGTTGATGGAGTTGGAGTTGGAGATGTTAATACAGGGGATGTTGGTGTTGTCGCTTTGTTTGTTGATGTTGATGATGATGATGGTGTTGTTGATTCAGGAGGTGACTGTGATGACGACGAAGATGATTGTGCAATTGAATGACCTGTTTGCTTGGAAAGGGAGCTGCCCTTGGAGAGGTAGGAGCCGTAGAAGTTGGAGCCGGGCAGGATGGATGGCTTGAGACCAGAGGTGTTGTTGTTGATGTTGGACGCATTGAGTGAGTTTGAACGGTATGGACTGTTGACACTGCCATTGTTGCTGCCAATGCTCGAGCCGAATGGTTTGGCGACGGCGCCTGGCACCACAACGGGTGGCGTAGGATTGGTCGATCGTCCATTTGATCCAGCCTTGGCACCGGCGGCCAAAGCCGATGGCGACTCTGTATAAATGAATGAGTTGTCCCATTGGATTGGAGTGGCGTGTGGTGTGATCTTTGATGCGCCGTTGCCATTCTGCTGCTCCTCCTCTTCTTCAATATCGTCTATTGATGGCCATTTGATTGGGAAGCCTCTCTGTACCACTATACCAGCAATCGTACTCAATGTAGATATAACCTTTGGCATATTCTTATTCTCGCACAAGTCCGTCTCGACAAAGATCATATTACTATTAATGCCCAACTTCTTGGAGAATGTTATAAACCTATTCAATGTTTATTATGGGTCAGTACATCCATCCATTCAATCAATCAATCAATCCAAACTAGATGATACATACGAGTTGATATTCTCTATCAGTTTGAATGTTACTGATGTTGCACTCTTGTTGTATCGTGGGATGATGTTTGGGAACATGGCATTGGCGAGACGACATAGGATTATACCATCTTTGAGTGCGACGTGTAGATCTTTATCGATTTCTTCACCTAATACTTGTTCGACCCATCTTCTACATTCTGCTGACCTACTCTGCATCTCATAAGTGTGGAAGTCCGACCTAGTAATCGTCAAAGATTTACTAGAAGTCGGCTTCTTATTAGAAGTAGGTCTACTAGGCCTACTCATACTCATCTTTAATATCTATTATATATATGTATACTATCTATCTGTATGAATATTAAACAACAATGAGATACATGTATCTCTCAATTCACTCATTCATTCATTCATTCATGCCTTTCCAATCACACCACCCACCCTCTACAACACTGAACACACCCACCAACTACCATTCAGATATCTGATTATGAAGATTTTTGGCTGTTTTGGTCCGAACCCCTACCTTGGGTTTTGAATTTTGATCAAGTTCGGGTCTACTCCAAGTCCTTTCCAGTCTTTATTTTGACGATCAATTTATAAATAATCATTATCTGTCATAAAATAACAATAGTAACAAATAATAACAACAAATAATAATAATAATAACAAATATGATTGATAGACATCCACAAGTTATAAGTAGAATTATTGAATTTGCTTGGAATGATCAAACTAGATCTATAGGAGCAAAGATAGATTTATCATTAGTTTGTAAACAATTCTTTATTATAATATCTAAACATCATGTTAATACTATTATATTACAATATGATTATGAATTGAATGATAATTATTTAAATAATATTAATACAACAACAGATACATTAGATATAATCAAACATATAAATTCATCTCATTGTTTATTAAAGACAATCAATAGGATACATCTTAAAGATGATGATTATTATGTTGATCATCATAATAGACATAACTATGATGTATTGATTGCAAACAGTAAACTATTCTTTGGTCAACTACATGAGTTGGTATGCATGTACACGCTCCCCGTCGTGCTACTACGCGATCACTTTGACGTGGAACACTCAAGTCTCAGGTCAATCAAAGCAATATACCTCAGACCATTCGATGCATCATCATTCCTTAGTGATATAGAGGCGATGCCAGTGGCAGTGAGGAGATCGCTAGAGTCGTTGACTCTCTGTCTACAGACAAGTCGTATGCCACTCGATGACGGCATGCCCATCACGCATGACATGCTGCCTCAACTCAAACATCTGGTTGTGAAGGGTCCTGCTTGGCCCAGTCTAGCATGCGATGTCGATCTTCTCAAGGGACTGGACACTCTCATACTTGGAAGTAGGATGAGGAACTATGGCTCAGTCAACTACACATTGAATGATCCAAGCCAGTTCTTTGAATCACTCAAACATACAAGACTTAGATTATTGGAGTTGTGGCCAAGTAATCGAACAGGAGATAATGATTACAAACAATCATTGATCGATTATCTATTGAGTAGTGGAGGCAGTACTCTGGAGTCATTAACCATTGGATTCATACGTGATCGATCTCAAGTTGAAGTGATTGCCAACAAGTTACCAAGATTACAACATCTTCAGATAGAGACAAATGAGTCTGACATTGTCTTTGCACCTTTGACCATCAAGTCACTAGTACTCTCATCAAGACGTGATAAGAATATCTATTACACTGTGCGCACCATTCGCGATCATTCACTCAAGTCACCTCCATGGACATATCATCTCAGCTCACTACATCTCATGTTCTATCAATGGGGCCATTCATCATGCTATGTCACCATCAAGATGCTTCCAACACTACTCATTGATGTTGTCTCATTGAACAATCTTACAATGGAGTTTCGATCGGACTATGTAGATTACAACGAGTTGTTACCAGCTATGTGTGCATGGCAACAGTATCTCGCTGCTGGTCATCTCGAGACTCTTACACTCAAATTGAACCCATCACACAATGATCATCACTCACAATATGACGAGGTGATCAAAGTACTGGAAGATGGCTATGATCAACATCCTCACCATCAAGTTGAGTTTGCAACGCCTACATCGACAACAGGATTACAACATACCAATAATACTACGATCATTTTAGAAAGACATTATCACCGTGACAATGTTAACAATATTGTTAAAAACAACCTTACCAATCGATTCAAGTATTACAAGTTGGTCAATCATACTACGACATTATCTCCAGTTGATCAATATGCCTCAGTTAAATACTACTATCAAATGATGTTTGCTCGATCAAATACTGTATGTTGGTGCAACACTTCCACCTACATCGGGTGTAAAACTCAAGAGATTGACGTGCAACTGGGCAGAATACTCAATGAGTCTCTTGTTGGAGGACAAGACATCTTCTATTCATGTGAGAATGATGACGACTTCCAAATAAACGAGACGTATGGTTGACCACAATGATGTAAATTATAAACGATTGATTTATCCCACACATATCTGTAATAATAACAATATTAATATATATAAACCAACTTAAATATCATAATAAATTAATTAATACTAATATTAGAATGAAGATAAATAATTTATTATATATAGCAATTTTTTTCTTTTATTATTTGTTTAATAATAAATAATATTATGTGAATGCAGAGTAAGTTGGAAATAGTTTGCTAATAATAATAATTAATAATTTTAACATATTAATGTACTTTTTTAGTTCTGAGGATGGGTCTGGAGATATGAAGAGATCAAATAATAATAATAGTGTTGGTACAGGTAATAGAGAGGATAATGTTACCGAGGATAGTCAACAACTAAAAATTCTGATGGATGAACTATACAAACATATCATTCCGAAATTGGATCGGAAAGTAAGACTGATATTAATTAAATTTAGGTTTGGTAGAATAAGACTCTTATAAAGAATGAAATAATTTTTTAATATTCTTATAATAATATGTTATAAATTATAAATTGAACTCGGTACACCAAGATTGATCTTGACTTTGGAATCTACTCTTTGATGTTTCCAATACTTTGGCGAATCCTGATGATGAAAGAATTGGTACGTTGATCCATTCTCCAAGTAACCTGGCTTGAATGATTACCTTGTTGAGATTTTTGAAACACTTTGATTGCTCAAATGATCGGAACAAGGATACCAACTCTTGATGTAATGTTCCATCGACAGTGTTTGTGATCAAATGTGAGCTGTTGATCAATCGTATTCTCAATGTTTGAATACTCGCTCCTTTGACGGTATTTCTTGGTAATAAATGATTTGCCAATGTTTCCAAATCAATCACTTCAATCTCCAATGTTGTCAAGTGTTTGGCCACATCATATAACTTTTGAAGCCGGTCTAGACTCTCTGTGGTTGGAAACTTCACTGCACTCAATAGCTTGGGACATGGATGTGTCTGAACTGGATGTGCCAAGTACTCCAATCTCAATGAATGTATATTGTAGAATGCTTCCAAACATGTGATCTGATGACTTAGGTTGAGATCCAATGTTGTGATATGTTCAAGCTGTCCCTTCTCAATAACATTGGAATAGAAGTGTGGGTCATTATAACTTCTGAATTGATGTATGATGTTACTGGCCTGCTGTGTGGGTTCTCCTTCACCTTGGCCTTGTGATTGATTGAGTGTGATTGGATTGATCAATGTTCTTGACTTGATAATGATTATATCCAACTTTGGTGATGTATAATGATTGAGTAAATGCTGTAAACATATTGGTTTCTTATTACGTTGGAATTGGTACGTATCCTCTACCATCACTGGCAATGGACAATACTTGGCTTGGAGAAGATGTTTGTACTTCTCATCGAACCAATGTTCTTGTCCAGGAGCAGCAGTCTCCAGATCATCATCATCGTTGTATTGATCATGGGTGGTGCTGAACAAGGGAAATGAATTGGGACCTTGCTTGAGGATGCCCAGGCCAGACACTTGAATCAACTCAATCCTTTTTAGATTGGGAGCATTGACATGAAGTAGTAATGCATTTTTGATGTTGCCATTATTGTTTATATCCTCTGTGTATGGCAATGATAGTGATTCCAAACGTTCGATACATGTTGACCAGTGTTCAGTTGGTATTAGGTTGATATACAATGCATTGATATGTAGTGGAGGTAGTTTGAACAGGCAGTACTTTGATCCAATATGCTGAATTCTTGATTGTATCATGAGGTGAGGTAATGCTGTGTTTGATAAGATTGATGACACTGCGTTGTGGAACTGACTGGATACCCTTGCCAACCAAAGTACATTGTGACTCTCAAGGTATGGATCCAGAAGTATATGTTGTATAATATGTTTGATCAACAATGTTGGTATGAGTGATGATGATCTGTTGGCATGATCACCCATGCTTGCGATCTTGCCATTGATCAATCTGATTCGATGCCAAAACAACTTGGCGTAGGTGTCCTCTTTGAACTGTTTGAACAGGCCATGCTGATGAGTAAAGTGATTGTCACGAGGTAATAGCTCCAACATCTTTCTCTTGATCAATCGATATGAATCGGTAACTCGTATACAGTATACATATTTGAGTAGTTGGAACACAACCTGTGCATCACCAGTTGATTTGACAACATCCATCAGTGCCTCCACGAGTACAGGTTGTCCATTAAACACCTGCATGTTATTGTCCAATATGTTGGCCATGACCTTGTCCACCAGCTTTGTCATCAAGTCCATTGGGCTGATGAATGAGTTGATGATGAGTTTATGTACCTCCTTGAGTTGATCGACTGATCTGACCTCACTCATTATGCCCTCGATATCACCAAGTGATAGCAAGTCCAATCTACAACATCTTGATAGGAATATCAAGTTAGTGGCATGATTGATAATGAGCCTCTTATCAGTCCTGTTGAATCGAATGAACTCTTGATGATATCTCTCCAAGATATTGTCGATATCTATCTTGTTTGATTGATTGGTGGTACCATTATCATTAACATTTGATGGCCATGTCATCAGAATGGAGAATGCCGAGTTGATGAACTTGCTATCGTCAATGCCATGCATATCATGGATGTGGATCAATGGCATGATGATAGACTCCTTAATTGATAATGACTTGCTGATCACAGTCATTGGGGACACGTCCATTCTATTCAATCTGTCGGACAATATGCCTTTCACCTTGCCCTCGAAACACAAGTCAATGTCCCTCACAAGGTAGACTGTCTCTGTACCAATCATGTTGATGAGCTTGGTTTCATACATGTCATAGTGCTAAGTATGTATGTATTGAATGAGTGAGTGAGTGAGTATGAGTGATCGAATGATGTACATGGATGGTTTGGTTACCTTTTGGAATGATGGCCCAAGACGTTGAAGTAGAGTGCTGACATGTTGTGGACTGAGTGATTGAATGCATGATACACATTGTTCAATATCTTTGATATGTCGTTGGAACAACTCAAACATGTAGTCTAATCGAGTACATTCTGTATCTGATGTGTTGCCAAATTGCTTTGTCAACAATGATATAATTCTAATTTGATTCTCCTCTTTTCCAATCATATCAACAAACATCTCCAACACCTTATCCATTGCCTTGTCACCTGGTACTTCATATTTGAATGTCATGATGAATCTGTTTGAATGAGTGATTGAGTGATTGAGCGAGTGAGTATGGGAATGATACCACTGGATCGATTGATTGAGTACTTACTCAAATAGATCATTACGATGGTTGGTCAATAGATTGGTTGCCTTGCCTTGTGATACACTTGTGATTAGACATTGAGTGAGGTACTTTGTTAGGGAACGTCGTTCTTCTTGTAGTTCGGCAGTGTCCTTGTTTGAAATGAACCATTGACATAGTTCAGAGTCAACTTGATCATGTCCAAATGTATCAACGACATTGTTATAGTATGATACAATGGTCTTATCATCGTATACCCAACCAAGATAACATTGAAGGAATCTTAAGTATGCTGAGCGGAGTTGGTCGACCTGCTCTGTGGTCAGAGGATATTGATGTTGTAATAGATTGATATAGTCACTCTCTAGTATGAATGATATATCAACTCTTGGTCTATGTATAACAAGTTGAATGAGTGCCATTGTAATGTCGTACCAACCAACTGATATGTTGTTCAACTTTGATAGTCTAGCAACATATGATCTTGGAAATGAAGTATGAGGCTGAGGTGGCCAACGACCAGTTACCAACGATAGACAATCCATCATCTTCTGGATACACTTCACAACATAATGTGAATCATCATCACCAGTCTGTCCACTAAAGCAAAGTACCTTTAATCAATCAATTAGTTAGTTATAAGAAACAGAGTGGATATTGATTATGTTGCACAAACCTTTGACATTAGTGGAATGATACTGATCAATGATGCCAGGTTGGTATCATTGTCATCCCATTGGTATTCACAACATGCATGATATAGGTCTTCTTCAATGGCATGGTCTGTTAGGTATTTTTTAAGTAACTCTGTCACTTTGTTAATATCCATTAATACATTAATATATATATTTATGTTTATCTATTAGATTCAATATTCAAATGAGTAACATCTCCACTTGTGATCATATTAATTATATACTAGATATTTTGTGATTTATTCTAGAATTGTTTTACCATAAAAGGATGAAAACACGCACATTTTGATCATTTTGAAGCCCACTTATGTGTAATGCCTTGAGGCTGTGTTCAAGATCATAAAGGATACAACCCAAGATTGATGTTCTGTTATATTTATAGTAGTAGTAGTAGTAGTTGTAGTTGTAGTTGTTGCTGTAGACAGGATGAATGACGATGACAAAGGTAATATAAACATTAGACATTGACAGCTTGTTGTTACACATTGATTACAATACCATCGGCCAAGTGGTGAGTCTAACATATATGCCTTTCGTCTATCTGTGATGGATGGATGAATAAAAGGTCTCACAGACACCTACCGATTGTCGAGATGGGTTGTGCATGGCTCACTCCAACAGGTATGTACCTCAAGATTGTTGTCAATGCTAAAGAATGATCAGAGTTCATTGTACTGAACTGTACATTATCATTCATTTTGCTTGAAGATTGACAGCTTTGGAAAGCATTCAGAAACGATGGTCCAAGAATAGGCCTTGTGTTGTGCCAAAGATTGGGCACCTTGCTGATCTAATCTCTCATCAAAAAACGAATCATGATCTTTTCAAACTAAGATCTTGTCCGTGTGTGACATCAACAGGAGGAAGACGGTTCGCCCCACATTTAACATTTAATTGACAGCTCCCATGGATTTGATTTACACATTCCTAGGACCCGATCAAACATGCCTACATCATCATCATCATCATCATCAGCATCATCATTTCAATCATACATTACATAGATAGATATTACAACACATAATATGATCATCTCCAACTACTCACGACTCCCACAACTACTCCAACTACTCCCACTACTCCTACTGCTCATTGTCACATGGGCGAACAATGCCAATGGACAGGGGATCGACACAAAGATCATTGTGGAATATCATAATTTCACAAGTTGCGATGTAGAGTTGGTGTTGATCATCAATCATACTCAGCCTATAAATAGGGTCTTTAGAGATGCTGAAAAGGTGTACCAAATGAGCGCTCAGGAGGGTGTAGTCTTCAACCGACTCCAATACTTAAAGTTTGGATTCATAGTGGCCATGCAATCTTCTCCAACAACATACAATGGTGTTGCCTTGGACAAATTCAACTTTACCATACCCTGGAATACTTCCTTCCTCTGTAAAAGTATGTATCTACATTGAACACGCATTGATGGTCATCACGTGACTGAGTCTGACACCCACCAACCTTGCCCTCGACCTCAACCCTCAACCCTCGACCCCAACCCTCGCCCTCGATCGTACCATGGAATTAGGCATGCCAACATTGTCAATAAGCATACACACTGGACCCTTGGTTAGGAATAGGGTGATACCAACGATAGCGATGTCCCCGCCAAACTATGATAGCTTCCAGTCGGTGTTGAGGATAAACGATCGGTTGAGCGATATGTATGGAACGTACGTGTGTAGATCAACGATATATGTTTGCTCGTTGTTCCCTCTGCGACCATTCGGCCCCGACGCCTCATCCACGCTCTATCAACTGGTGCTCTACCCCAGTGACACACTCACCGGAGACTACACACAGCCTATCAACCTCACCATCACCAATCACGATCGCACGGCCAACATCATCTTCCCTCCTTTGACCAACAACACTGTCTCTCTTACCAAGAACTTCACATTGTGGACGCTCAATGAGAAGACTGGTCTGGTCAAGACTCGACCCAACTCAAACTTTGGCATGATAGTCAACTCGCAGCCTGGCGCCACCTACTTCCTCCATCCCAACTCGTCATTTAATGCAGAACTCCAGGTCTACTTCAGGAGTATCAAACCAGTTTCCAACTCGCCCGATGGCACGGTTCAGACCCTTGCACTGGCCTCAATCGACTTTCCCAGGATGGGCCTGTTCGAGGTGTTTACCTCCCCATTAAGTTTCCCCCAGGCCGCAACATCAGCAAGTAAGTAGTCACACATGGATATGGTATCCCTTACTGACACACATGGAACTATTCCACCACCATCATACACCTCACTCAGACAAGCCTCTCGATAACTTTGCTCTGACCAAAGACGTACAGGTCTTCCCCGGTGGTAAAATGTTTGGATCAACATTCAATTTGCCAAGTTACCGTTCGTGTAGCTATGGTTATCCGGGTGTCCGAGATGGCGAGGACGATCGCCTTACCTATCCATTTGGAGTTACTGGTGTGAATGCCAATGGCAACATCACCATGTCCATGGCATTCTATGTAACTGGCTTCATCAGCAATGGGCTCACATCAACACTTCAATGCTATTTCGCCGATGTCCACATCCCTCTCCCCACACCACTTAACACATGTAAGTCCATCGCTCACTCAATCGATCACTCAAACACTAACTCAATCAATCAATCAATCATATAGCTGACTCATCATCATCTGTGATTGAATCATTCTCAATTTTGCCACTTGGTGGCTACAGGTTCTTACTGCGAACGACTGTTAGTGATAATATGGCTGGCATGTCAAAGATGATGATTATATTCTCATCTGGTGATATATATAATGTGGACATTCGCGATATTTATAAAGGCAACGCACAATATGGTTACTACGAGAAGCTTTTGAATCTCAACTTCCAACCTGGTGATGAGATCAAGTTTGACATCAAATTGTTGGACTTGGCCGGCCTGGAACCAACCTTTGATGTTGGCTACGACTCAGTCATGATCAGGCCAGTGGGAATCAACACGGCCAACTGTAAGCACCATGCATTCATTGGAATGATTCCATTTCAAGACACACACTAACCAACCCAATCCAACCTGGAACATCACTCACTTAGATGCCCTTGGAGCCGAAGACTTGACGACGTTCTATTTTGAAAAGTATGTGATGGACGTGAGCTCAGCTCCCATGACCAATAGGTTGTTCATCGGCTCGCCAAAGATCATGCCCTCCTGGAAGGTGTCCATCATTTATGGAGCGAGGGAGGAGAATCCATACTATCAGGCCGATGCCATATATGATGTGAACCTCGGACTCTTTGTCATCCCATTCACCGTGCCAGCTCGTACAATGACCCGCCAAATGCAGTTCTACATCAGAGTGATGCTCCCTCGCGGAAGCTTATTTAGTCTCGCCAACGAGGAAGTACTTGGCACCCTCATCATTGATGGCGCACTGATCCAGGTTCAGTTCCCCAACACATCAGTTGTCAATATCAAGTCAACATGTATGTATCCAGGAGGCCTGGCTCATCATACTCATTTCCCCTAACTCACTCGTTCAATCAATCAATCAATAGATGGTGATGAGATGCCACCCATGATCACGAGCTGTACAGCTCATCCGGCGACTTCATTGGACCTGTCATTGATCGGTGGAAATAGTACTATTGGCTGGAACATCACAATTGAGGACAGTGTCAATGGATTCTCACATGGAGTGATCAATGTCGTCAGTAACCTCGATGGTGAGCCTCGCAGATTCGAGTTCACCGCAGCCAACAGGACAAGTGGCGACGAGAAGAAGGGCACCTACCAGATCTGGTTCAATGTGAACTCCAACTTCCGCACACAGACCTTCACATTCCTGGACATTGAACTGTTTGACACTTCCATGAACCGTGCCTCCTACGTCTCCTATGAGCAGCTGACAAAGGTTGTGTCGCCACTCGCCAACATTATGATAACACTCCTTACTTTTCAATTCAACATCTTGTTGATAACCAGTATGTCCTCCACACCCTTGCCTTCAAACTTCGAGACACCCATACTCACCCTTCTCGCCTCGATTGATCAATCACAGATTTAAATGACATCACACCTCCAGCTCTGGAGAGCTTTGAATTACTCACGCCATCAGTGGATGTTGGAACATATAACCGAGAGGTTAGGGTCACATTCTCAGTGCGCGAGTCTGGAAGTGGATACAGTACTCGTCACATGCCCTACGTGTATATCACCGGATACGTGTTTGAGACCTTCAGGATGCAGGCCTCATCAATCTCTCAAGTAGGCGATGTCTATACATTCAATGCCACGGGCACACTGCCATACGCATTTGCAGCAATGACTAGTGGACCCCAGGTCAACGGCCCATCAGTTGCCTTTGTGTCAATATACGGCCTCGTGGACAACAGCCAGAACTTCATTGGATATAGGACTGACGAGTTTCCAATTAGTCCTTCGATCAAGACTGCCATCCTGGGTATCACTTACACTCACCTCACACCAATCATCGATGACTACACTCTCAACAATGGAGTGATCACTCTTGTTGGCAAGAACTTTGGAGAGGGTGCATCATTGGTGGACACGACTCGCATCCCCAACCCGATCGCCAACTTCACGATGACCTTTGGCTCAGTGGTCATTGCCATGTTCAAGATAACAATGGCACCCGTTGATCATGTGCCCGTGGCAATGTCGATACAACTGAGGAACCAAAAAAGCAACTCAACCTACTTCTCCAACACAATCCAGATTCAATACACTCCGCCACCCCCTGTCATCCCTACAGTCAAGTGTCCAGGCACGCCAGTCTGCTCCAACAACGGAGTATGCTCAACCTCATTTGGATGTCAATGCACCGGTACATGGTATGGAGATGATTGCTCATCACGTATGTATCACCATCCTGGGGGATCATTCCAAACATATTACTAACACAAATACCGTGATCATGAACAGAGGCTGTACCCAATGTACCAGTGATCAATGTTGACACACCAACAACAGTGTACACATTCAATACGAGTGCTGGCATGATGATTGTTGGTGAGATAGAGATTGTGAGATTGAAGGTGTTGGATCAACTTGGCGCAGAGTTGGCATCATACCCATTGACTCGATGGAATACTTCGATCATATCCAATCAGTCATTTAACTATATGGCTCAATTTGGAAATGTTGACAATGTTGGAACGATCAAGGTGAACGTGCGATGGTTCACAGAGGACGAGGACATTAGGTTCGCAGGCGATGTGCTCCCAATGAAGAAGAACACAATCAAGTACACAATCACACTGGCCAACTATACATTCCCAAGCCTACTCAACTCGATGCAAGTTGTGATGCGAGCCACCATCAACACGACCGACACCAACTCATGTTCTGCTCAACAATATGGATATGTGGACGGCGCTGCTGATAACCTGTTCTGGATGCGTGTCAAGGTGCAGAGTTACAGTGTCTACGGTCACTTTATCCAAAAGGCAATGGTCGATGGTCGAGTGTCAGTAGTGTCCAACGTGCTGATCAATGATACAGAGACAACAGTCAACAACACACAGTCCTCTCAGACACTGATTGGCATCAATGTTCCAGGCTTCACTCAACAAGCTATAATGGATCCTGACTTCTTGTTGTTGCTGGATATCGATGATGCCAAGAACATTGATGGCGCCACGTGTTCTCCATCTGGATCATCGTCATCATCAAGCAAGCTGTCACCACTTGCCATCGCTGGCATTGCCGTCCTCTGTGTGGCCGTTGTTGTTGCTGTTGGAGTTGGAGTTGCCTTTAGAATGAAGGCCATCAAAAGGCATAGAATGGAACTGAACCGCATCAAAGTGAGGCTGTCAGAGATGAAAGCCCAGTGAGTGAGTTTGTGAATGATCACTCAAACAACACTTTAAAACTTAAATAATTGAGTTTCAAATTAAATTAATCAATTTAATTCTCTAATGATGATTGATAGAAGTATAAGTAATATTAGAAAGAGAGAGTGATCATTATATCTCAATTTACTTTATTATATTAATCAAACAAGGAGTGACAGGTAAGATATTTATTAAATGGAAGAAATTATTGATGAACAACTGTTGTTATGTTTGGTGAGAGGGAAGCAGTGATATATTTCAGCGTTAGGAATGTCCAAGGTATCATAGACAAAATCCGACTATCACCAAATCTATCAGTTCCCTCATTTCCACTCCTTGTCTATGACAAATCCAAACAAAGATGAAAACGCTAAAGTTCTTCGTCCAACCAAAGTCCCTCCAGGAGGATACAAAGAACTCTATGTTGTTGGTAAGTAAATTCTAAATCAGCCTTATATATCTTTATTCAATTCTAACAAACAAATAAGTCCCTGGGTACAAGTTTACATAGGTCACTCAAAATCGATTTTGATCAACCAAAATTGTTTGTTTTTGATGGATTTCATTGAATTGAATAAATGGGGGAACCATGGTCCGACAATCTAGATTAGAAGAACGATCTTCTATTTCATTTTCAGATCTATCGCATTCCAATATATAGATATACTAAGTACAAATAATAGAATATACAAAGTAATAATGGACCAACAACAAAGAATATTAGTAGTTTTTAGAAAGTTATTTGAATATCTATGTGATAATGATATTGAATCAGTTTGTTTAGGAATGACTTGTAAACAATTGTTTACAGAGTTATATAACAAGAGACAACTCAAACTCAATGTCACACCAAGTGTTGTTAAACTACCACTACTAGATCCTTCAATAATTTTGTTAGCCAATGGATTAGTGCTATTTCATGATTCGCCAAAGTCATTACCAAAGCTCCCTCCAACATTGACCAGCTTGGAATTGGGTTACCACTTCAGAAAGAAAGTGGAGCTGTCCAAACTACCTCAATCACTTACAAAGTTGGCAATCTATAATTATGACAATGATCTCACACCAGGTGACCTACCAGAAGCACTCATAAAGTTGAAGATCAAATTGAACTCCAAAAAAGATCAAGTGATCATAATTCCCACCTTTCCATCATCACTCAGATCCCTAGAACTTGGAGATTGGTCCAATATTGGATTGGAACTGCTGCCTGGTCTGCTGCCCTCATCACTCACCAAGTTGAAGTTGGGATATTTCAATCAACCGATCCAACCTCGATCACTGCCACCATCACTTACATCGCTCAAGTTTAACAATGGTTACCATCACGTGATCAACATTGGAGTGCTCCCAAACAATCTCAACACATTGACCTTCAAGGGTGGACATGTTCAAGAGATCATTCCCGGTGCTTTACCAGATACACTCGAGACACTGGTGATTGAAAGAGGCTTACTTCAACTTTTCAAAGTTGGTTCCCTTCCTCAATCACTCACAGTATTGAACCTTGAGAATTCAAGCTACGACCAATCGTTTGCACCTGGTGTGTTGCCAACCGGTCTACAGAGGTTGGTCCTCACACAGGTATTCGTTCAACCTTTGCTACCTGGTCATCTTCCCTCATCATTAAAATCGTTAGATCTTGGCAGGGATTACAACCATCCATTGACAGTTGGTACTCTCCCCAACTCGCTGACTAAGTTGGTGATTGGACCAGGATTCAAACAGGCACTCGAGGTTGGCTCACTGCCCGACTCATTGGTCGAGTTGGTGATATTGGCAATGTCATTTCAATCCCTGGTCGTTGGCTCACTTCCATCCTCACTCAAAAGATTATCTCTTTCTCCTTATTTTAATCTATCAATCCCAGTTGGATTTATTCCAGATTCATTGGAGGAGTTGAAGTTTGAGAAGATGATCTATTTTCGTGGGCGTTCTCTTAGATCATTCAATCAGAGTATCATCCCAGGCAGTCTGCCATCATCACTCTTGACGTTGGTGTTTCACTGTGAATCATTTAATCAACCGATTCTACCAGGACAGCTACCCATATCAATGACCTCCTTGACCTTATCACGACTCTTCAATCAAGAACTAACAATTGGAACACTGCCTGAATCGCTCATATCATTGACCTTTGGAGATTCGTTCAACCGCCCAATACCTATCAATGTGTTACCTTCATCTTTGACCACATTGGCACTTGGTTCAAAACAAAAGTACTCAATCAAATGTCCAGACATCAAACATCTCCAAGTCCGCCGTTTCCATCAACTTAAATTGGTCAAGACAGGTAGTCCAATCCCATCACTCACAGTGGACAATGTGAGCACTAATGTTAGAAAGGAGACACTACCATTGTTCGAACGTCACTTGACTACTCTGACCATTAAGGCACATACACCCTCCACTGCATCCAGTTTGATCGATCGACGTCGAGCATTTTTCCTAAAGTCAATCATTCATTCATTTCCAAACGCGGACACGTACCACATTAGTGATGATAACAGCTGGAGTGCATCAATACGCAAGATTGATCGATGGCATGCCATTATGATACTCAAAGAAGTGTTGGATTCATATTCCTCAGGTAAAAAGGTACAACCTTTTCGACAAACTATACATTACTTCACGTTGGACTCGGCAGCTGGGTTAGTCATACAGTTGGAAGATATTAACAAGAGATTGAAACAAGACAATGATCATCTATTACAATGTGGAAAGGAGATCAACAAGTTGAAGGAGGAGAATAAGCAAACCAAAACTCGTCTGTACGAGCTTGGTGAAGGAGTAGCGGATTCCAAAAGCACAAGAAGAAGGAAATAAATAAATATTATTATTATTATTGTATTATTTTAATTGTTATTGCTATGTTTACAAACAACCTATATTGTGTTGATTGATAATGGCGCCTGACTCTTTAACAGAGAGGCATTCGAGTTGTTGGTGGAATTGTTCTTGTTGCCACCCACCATGTTGATGTTAAGGTTGTTGCTACTGGTTGTTACACCAGTGTTCATCTTTGACAAGTGAGTCGATGATGCAGTTGTCACGCCAGAGTTTGCTGTGGCACTCATTGCTGATGATGAACTAACTGCACTGCTCTGCTGTTGTTGCTGTGACACCATCTTTGTGAAACACTTCATCTCATCAAACAACTCAAGTGAGTTCAAGTTGACATTATGAAGGAATGGATGTGCTAATATCTCTTCAATTGATGCTCCTAGGTGAGTTTCAATGTTAGTTATAATGTTATCTAGTGTCACGTGATCATGTGTCACGTGATCAGGTGTCACGTGATCGGTATCATGTGATCAGTTGATGTAGGACTTACTCTTTGTTGGATCGAGAATGAGTATTTTAGAAAGGAGGTCCAATACTTCCTTGTCTTCTACATTGCTGAATGTATCGTTGAACCTGGACTTGACTGTTGGTATATGGAAGTTGTTTGACTTGCTTGGACGCATTGCCTCCATATCGTCATGGGATGGACTACCCAAGATATCTATTATTCTAGCGAATTGATCTGCTGAGTTGGTACCTGGGAACACTGGCTTTCCCTTCAACATCTCTGCCAAGATACATCCAATCGACCATATATCCTATTTGAAAGGTTGATAAGTATTAATATATGATCGATTGATGATGATGGAGTGATTGATAGAGTTCAGACTTACTATTTTAGTTGTGTAGGTTTGGCAACCCACTAGGAGTTCAGGTGCACGGTAGTACCTGGAGCATATATATGACATACTGGTATGGTTGTGTTCTAATATCTTGGCACTTCCAAAGTCAGCGAGTACAAGCTCACCCTTGGCATTCAACAATATATTGTTGGGTGTAATATCTCTGTGACAGATGAACTTTGCATGTATATGTTTGATTGACAGACACAACTGATAGAATAATACTCGAATAAAGCCAAGTGACAACTGTTTCTTCTTCAACAAGCTTGCCAAAGTATATGGGATAAAGTCAAATACCAGATACTAATGAATGAATATATGCTTGTTAGTGTCATGTGATATATCTTAAAATCAAGATATATAAACTATAATATTATAATTTTGGTAGTTACCTGCATCTTCTTATTCTCTTCATTGGTCATGTACATATCTAGTAGCTTTAGACAATTTGGATGATTGATCACTTTGAGTATGTCATATTCTCGACTGATGAAATGACTGGATTTCTCAACCTTTTTGATGGCAACACGTTTGTTGTCAGAGTTGGTAGCCTCGTACACCTTTCCAAATGTACCCTGACCAACAATCCTTATGATCTCATAAGGGAACGTTGCCTTTGAAGCATAGTTATGATTCTTATCTGCACCAACTGGCTCGTTTTGAAACTTCATCGTGTCAAGTAATGTCATATTATATTAATGAATAATTATTGGTGGAATATTAAATAAATATAAGTTTGTTGAATAAATATATATATATATATTATATCTAATTGATTGATTGACAGGATTGATTGAATGAATAATGATGATTGAAATGGAAGGATAGATAATGTCAGAAATGAAAAAGGGAAGTCACCTCCAATCTCTCACTCACTCGCTCTCAATCAATCCATCAATCACTCCAACCTCCTACATTCATCCTTGAGTGATGATGGATTGATTGAATGTATCCATTTAAAGGTGGACAACAACAACAAAGAGATGTCACACCAAGTGATAGAGTTGTAAGATTAGGAGGTGGAGTTGACACACAGTCTGTGTTGTACTTACATAGTAGTGATAGATATTACAAACACGTGATGAGTATATAGTGTGTGTTTATGTGTATGTGCTTATAGTTTGATTGATGCCGCTGCTTCCAGTTTCGGTACTGTTTGGGAAGTATCTAGTGGATGTATATTGTGAGCTGGAATCAAATGATTGGCATGTGTGAGTGGGGTGGATGGAAGGATGGAATTGACAGTGTCACTGTCTGATGTCTGGAATGTGAGTGTGGGTAGTTATATGTTTGAATTGATATATTTAAATATGTAAACAACATGAATAATAATAATAATAATAATCGTGATAAGCAGTAGTAGCAACAACAATAACACATGTATGTGTATGTTAATACATTGAAACAATCATGAGTTAAACAAACACATCAATCAATCTATTTATAATATATACCCAATGGCATCTCACTGTGAGTGAGTGAGTAAGGTGATGGATGAGTGAGGTAGTGTGTAGTACTACTCGATCATATGACTAAGGAATTAATCATACTCCATCGAACATAAGTACACACCACACTTATACCCCTACCCCCAATGGTGATCGTTTGTTATTGAGTTGGAAAGTGATCGTAGTATGTGTGTGTTGTTGGCGGTGTGTGGGAGTGTTCATGAGTTTGTCAACAAGTTGGAGCATGTTGGAATGGTGACACATATATATACATCTAGTAATGCTTCACAGCAGTCCAATCTGAATTTGAATGTGTTGTTGATGTTGACAAGTGGATATATAAGGATAAATTGGATATGTGTATGAGTGTGAGTGAGTGAGTGGTCTGACTGTCCAGTCGACTGACTGACTGACTGAATGATTGACACATATATCTATCTAGGTGTAGCATATTGGTAAACTACAATTGAAGCATGCCATGTCTGGTGACAACTCCTTTCCGAGCAATGCATTGTTGGGTCAATGTCAACAAACATGTTGTTGTCAATTTCAATCGTCTGTGTTCAGCTGATGGATGATGACATGATTGATTGGATTGGATTGGATTGGATTGGGTGTTGGATGGATTGATTGATTGAGAAGTTTATGGAGAGTATAATTGACATTGTTGTTGTTGTTCTACTTCTGAAGTTGGGCTCGCATTTGATCAATCTGTCGAGTAACCTCAGGGTTTGTACATCTATACATGATGATAAAGTTTAGGTCAGTTTGAATGATTGAATGAATGTAGAGGTGATGGGATGATGGGACGACTTACTTCTTGGCAACGAAATTCAGAAGTTCCATATTCTTGTCCTTGAAGGCGGTCTCTGCAGCCTCACGGAAGTAGTTGACTTGGACGTAGCACTGACATCGGTTGACAACGTCTTGAATCTTTGGTATATATTTGAGCGCCTCGACATGCTGCGATTGATCGAGACAGACTTCAACAAATGGCTCGTAGCCAATTGGTGACTTCTTCTCGTTGGCAAACAGTGACAACTCCTCCCATTGACGCGAGACTGACAGTGCCTTGATCTTGATCCACCAGAACCTCTTGTCGCTCACCTTGAACTCCTTGAGCATCTTGGCCACTCGCTTGTGCTCGCCCATGAGCACCAGCTGGAAGATGGTGTCCGACAATGACAGACCCATGTAGCTCGGCTCCTTGTTTGGATCCTTGCGCATCGTGTCCAGCTCCTTCTGCAGCGACTCGAGTTTGATCTGATCGTCCACCATCTTGGAGTAGATGTGCACGTCCTTGTCCTTGGAGGCGTTGAATATCCTCGAGGCGTCCTCAAAACTACGCTTGCGCATGTCCATGTCCATGCTGCGGAAGCCCTCGCCCAGGTGTAGCAGGGCCAGGTCGGTGGTCTGGCCACGAATCTCGTATATCTTCTTGAGCAGGCCAACATTGCCCTTCTGCTTGCTAAAGGAGAGCAGCAGGTCGAGTGCCACCTTTCTCGAGAACACTGTGTCTAGGTAGGTCCTGGGCTCATTGCGCTCCAGGTTCAGTAGCACAAGATGTATCAGGTTGGTGTCACCCGACTCGATGGCCTTGTTCAAGGCCATCTCGCGTTGGTTCATCGTGAGCAGGGGTGGAACCTGGTCGGCGGCCTTTGGCTCAAAGTCCAGTAACTTGGTGGCGATATACTTGCGGCCAGCTGAGTGTGCTGCAGAGGCGATGTTGGCGTATGAGATACCTGGCACTGCTTGGAGCTTGTTGATGATGATCTTGCTGAGTACCTCTTCGTCCTCGTTGGTGCGTACCTTGGTGCATGCCCAGTGCACCAATACAAAGTCGGCCTTGATCTTGAGGTAGTCGCAGATACGCCACGCCAGCAAGTGAAGACGACGCTCGATCAAGCATCGGATTAGACCTTCGGCGCCAATATAGTTGTACTGCTCCAATGTCAAGGGAATGCCAATCTCATAGTAACGCACTGCATTGAGCACACGCAGCGCCTTGCACGTCTGTACGAATAGTTGTGGATTGTAATTGTCCAGGAAGCACTTTCCAAATGATGCGGCGCGCAACAACTTGCTCTGCTCCGAGGCGTTGTATTCGAAACCGGCTGCATTGATACAAGTGTTGACGGCCACCTCCAAGTCGGCCCTAATGCCTCTAATGAACTCGTCAGCCTTTGGGCTATGATTCTGTTTGATTGATTGGGTGAGTGATCGAGTATGGAATCTTTCCAATGATTGATTGATTGAGTGGAGTTGACTTACCAAGAACTCCTCTGTGGCGGCATAAAGCATTGAGGCTGATGTGAATGAACCGATGGAGAAGATGTCTCTGGTCTCGCTGGGTACGCGACAGAAGAAGTCGGTGGATCGCTCTGAAATGATGCGGAGTCCATCAATCTCTGTTACAATGTGTAGTGCCTTACAATCATTGCTCGATACACTGGTGCAATCAAGTGTCAGTAGGCGTGTAATATAGACCAGGCGTTGATAAGTATACTTACACGATGTTCTGTCCTTCCTCAAAGTACTTGAGACTGTTGACTTGATTAATGTTCCAGCTGAACATCACTCCGTCTGAGCCAGACCACTTGGTGGAGCGCGGGAGCTTCTTGAATGCGTTGAGATACTTGATGTGACGCGAGCAGTCTGTGCGATAGATGTACAGGTCGTAGCAGTCTTGTGTCGCCGATGGACTGATACAGGCCATCTTGAAGCCACAAGGACTAACGACCAACTTTACAAAGTTGTGTGACAACAGTTGGTTCTTTGCCTCGGATGAGTTGACCCTGTAGATTGAGCCTCTCGTGGCAACAAGCAACTCAACATCCAATACCGATGTTGCTGTCATATGTGGCTCCACTATATCCCATGCAGAAGGACCATTAATATCCATATCCATGATATCTGCAAACTGTATTGGTGCCGCTGTTGTTATCATTGTGACATTGATTGAGTCGTTAGTTAATTTGAGCTGAATCATGGATCAATCAATCAATCAATAAAACATACGTTTGTTCAACTCGATGTAATAGAATCGCCAACCAATCACTCGATCATTGACAACACCAGCATTGGCTGATATGATGGCAGTGAGCATCACAACTCCACCATTGAATATCTTGCACTCTCTAACCTCATCTCTTATAGTTGGATAAGTGTAATGGCATTGCTCCTCACAGAATATATTATACATGATCACTGTTCCATTGCTATTATGTTATGTTGGTAACGAGGCCGAGGGCAAGGGCGAGGGTTAGGGCGAGGGTAAGGGCAAGGGTTAGATTGATTGAATGAATGAATGAATGAATGATCGTTACCTTAGAACTAATACTAATCTCTCTTCACTGATCCAGTCCATACCGATTACACTGGCCTTCCATTCAGTCTCTTTGAGCTCTATCGATGAGATGTGTTGTCCTGAGGCCGAGTAGATGTGAAGGTATGGCTTGCTGTTCTGTGCAGTGAGTTCAACAGCCTTTGACTTATCACGTGTCACTGCTATTGGACCACCATTAGGTGCCGCCACCAATATATTCTGTAACAAGAAATCATCCTTTACATCCCAAGTCATCTGATAGAACTCTCTCTTACAGACGAACCAATCGCCAATCTCAATCCAGCTACTTGTTGGATTATTCATTCTTTACTTCTTCTTCTTCTTCTCTATCTGTTGTGTACTGTACTATTATATGTATATATATATATATTTATGTGATGATGTGATTGTACAACAAGATACTTTCAATGATCAAAACACCCGCACAAGAAAGATCTGATGAAAGTTTGGATGAGCACATCAATTTCAATTAGTTTATGGGTTTTGGCATGACTTTGGCGATTCAAGCTAAAGAACCACAACAATGTCATACTCACGTGTCGGGAGGGTTTCATTCATTGTGCTTGTTGCAAAGTAAACAAAAACAGATAATGAGCAAAGATACAAATAAAGATTGATAACATAACAAACAACAACATAATTTATATACACAACACAATGAACAAAGAACAATCCGATGAATTGGAGAGAGCATCCCAATTGTTTTGGAGCTTCAATATTCAAGGTAAGTATATTCATTCAATCATTCAATCAATCAAACATAGTCGAGTTGCTTACACATAATATATAGAGTGCGAACAGATACTTAAACAACTTAATACAAAGTTACCATTGTATGGTTTATTTTATGCTGATGTGGCTTGGATGAAGTCAACGTTGACAGAGGATAAGGATGATCTTGAAGAGACTGCAAAGAGGATAAGTGATTGCAAGAAACTGGCACGTTCAATTCAATTGTCACAGAAGCCACTATATCTAAAACAAGAGAAGGATGAGAAGAAGTCGGGTAACAACAGCAACAACAACACTGATACAGCAGCAGATGCTGCAGCGGATGGTGGAAAGCAATGTCCACCATCACAATTCACAAAGGCCGAGTATTTGATCGGCAAACTTGTCTATGCTGAGGCAATGCTGATGCGTGGCATCATGGAACTCAAACAACAGAGCAATATCAAGGCGGGCATATCATTCAGGAAGGCTTGGAAGCAGTTCTATCAGGCGTTGGAGATCGTGCAGACATTGCCACAGACATTCCCCTGCTACCAACATATTGCCAGCTCAGCATTCTACGGCGTGGGCATCTTCCATTTCCTTGTGTCGGCCGTCCCTCCCCAATACGTATGGCTGGTCGAGGGCATTGGATTCAAAGCCAATCGCATGGAAGGTGTACGCGAGCTAAAGTACTCTGCCGACCTTGTCGTTGGAATCAGATGTAAGTGTCACACTCACTCCTATGCCAATCAATCAATCATACTCATATTCATACTCATTCTCAATCAATGCTAGCTACACTATCCAAGTGCTTCTTCACAATGATATACGCATTCTTCTTTGAAGACTTTGAGAGGGCTGAAGAGACAATGAGAGAGTTGCTGGTGAGCTTCCCAGACAGCGCAATGATCAACTATATGGCCGGATCAATCGCAAGAAAGAAGGGCGACATTCCAACGGCCACTCTATCATTCCGCAACGCTTTGAAGACTGCCGACAGACTCAAACAACTGCAGCTTTACATCGAGTCGGAGCTGGGCTACAACGAGTTCCTCGACCTGAACTGGGTGGCGGCCGAGCAGTACCTGGCCAAGTTCCTGAAGGAGACGACCAGCTCGGGATTCAAGGCGTACATCGCCTACCAACTGGCCTACTGCTACGAGATGCAGGACATGCGCGAACAGGCGCTCGAGATGATGAAGTCCGTCGACAAGACCGTGCGCAAGGGCTACGACTTTGACGAGTTCTCATTGCGCAAGGCCAACCGATATATCAAGAACAAGCAGTTGACACAATTCGAGCGACACTACACAAGAGCTTCGCTACTGAACGAGGCACACAGATTCCAAGACAGCATCGTTGAGCTTGAGGCTGCATTGGCGCTCACTCCACTCACTCACGAGGAGCTAGGTGCAGGAGAGTATCTCATGGGCTACAATCTACAAATGTTGAATATGTTGGAGGATTCAAAGAAGTATTACTTGGTATGTTTGGTCCACTCATTCAATCATTCAATCGTTCAATCATTATACTGACATCCACATCAATCATACAGTTGTCAATGGCACATGAGAAACACTTGCAGTATGATCATTTCATATTGCCATATGCCAATGTTGGTATGGCAGAGATAATGCTTCATGAGGACAAGAAGGCAGAGTGCAGGGCTTTTATCAAAAAGGCAAAGGGCTATCATTCAATTCAATATGATTTCCCTGCATTATTGGATTGGCGAGCAAGGAAGTGTCTTCAAATGCTTGGTGAGCAGTAACCGATCGCATATCCAAGTCAAGTTAGCCATTCAGCCAGTCAGTCTGGTCACATCACAGCACGAATTGGAGTAATCTAGTCGATTAACTCTTTTTTTGTTGTGCCTCCCTTCAATCCATCAATTCATTCCTTCAAACATCGTCTTGTCAACATTATCCATGTATAGAAGTTGTAATTAATCAAACAATCAATAATAATTATAATAATAATTTATCCTTTTTTGGATATTTTCCAATAAGGCCCTCATCCTTTACTTTGTTGATCATACACCACACTCATCTAGAACACCACAACATAACCATTTATGTACATGAACGCATTCGTCATTACAACCCCACACACACACTTAAGTGAAGATGAGATAGAAATGAAGAAGTAGTACTTGTGTGAATGAGGTGTGAAGTGTGTATTGCTCTATGACAATGGACAATACATTACATGACATGACATACTACATTCTTCAGTCATCCATCCAACTTACATACATACATACAATACTATATATATATATATATTTATTCTAATACTCTTTGGAGTTAGAATAATACAATACTATTAAAGTAACAATGATGTTGATGGTAGAATCATCAGTGTTTACCACTTTGATGTGGGGCACCATTGGAGTGATACTTCTATTCATCTTCCTATTCCCATTCAAGTTCATGTCACTAGTTACCAGAGGAAGGTAGGTTCTCAACACATCAATCAACAGCCACAGTATCAGGAATACACTCACTCACTCAATCAATCAATCAATCAAACAAACAATTGAAGGATATTATACCGAAACTCTGGTATACTTTATCAAAAGAGACATGTTATTATACCGAATTTATATTATTTGAATAGAGTTGATATGTTGTTATTGATTGATAAGGTACCACAATTGGAATCAAAGTTACCAGAACTCATTGATGCTCTACCGATACTTGCACCTCACTTGGTCGAGTTGACACGCAATAATAACCTCGAGAAACTATTGCCATACACTGATACATTGTTGACAAATATCAATCAATATCAACCATATATACCGGTGCTCATTCAACATATCGATTCACTACTGCCTCATTTGGACCTGATCTTGGCAAACTTTGAAAAGTTGGAACCTATCATCAATGATATCATTCCATACATTGATGATCTGATACCATATCTACCAATGTTGGTACCTCACCTGGACAGTATCATGCCAGGTAGCAAGGCCATCCTGCCCTACGCCAAGAAACTGGCACCATACATACCTCGTCTGTTACCAAACTTGAGCATCCTCCAACCTTACTCACCACATTTGGTGTTGTATCTCGATGGACTGTTGCCACACATCGATGTGTTCCTACCCCGACTCTACCAGATGCAGTCCATCTTGCCAGACATTGTTACCAACCTCGACGTCATGATGGTACATATCAAGGACATTTGTGACAACTTTGATCAGATACTACCATACGCAAGGATATTGTTGCCCAAGATCAGACTCATCTCACCCTACATCCACATCATCAAACCCTATCTACACTCTCTCCAACCCGTGTTGGAGTTGCTGATCAGACATGGCGATCCACTCATTCCATACCTGCCCCATCTCCTGCCCAACGTGGAGAACATCACTCCCTATGTCAAGTTGCTGATGCCCCACACAAAGAAGTTGATCAAGTATAGCCATATCCTAATGCCCCGCATCCATGTCCTACTACCATTCACACCCAAGTTGTTGCCCTACATTGACCATCTGCTGCCGCATCTCTCACTTTTAATGTTCCATTCACACAAGCTGATACCTTTGATCAACAAAGTGCATCCCTACATCCCTGTACTGATGCCCCACTTCACATTCCTGGTGGAGCACTGTGATGAACTGTTGGAACACAAACATTCATTGTTGCCATTCATTGATGATCTACTCCCTCACATACATACACTTGGTCCACACTTCTCAACATTACTGCCATATAGTGAGAAGCTACAACCATTCTTTGGCGTCCTTGGACCATATGCTTCGGTATTGGTACCTCACAGCAAGTACCTGCTGCCTCACATGGATGAGATTGCCGAACACATGCATGAAATATCTCCCTACGTACCTGGTATACTACCACATCTTTCGGCGATTGCGCCTCAACTGGATGACATTGTTCCAATGCTCGATCGTCTGGCTCCATACTATAGCCATATTGTTCCCAACCTGCATTATCTCCTGCCAAGCTTTCACGAGGTGCTCAGCGGATCGAAAACAATCACGAGTTACCTACAGGAACATCAAATGGTGGCCTATCAATCTGCCACTCAGATGAAGCCGTCCAACAGCAATTATAACCTGGCTTCTAACAACACTGGCAAGGCACCGTCAGGAGCAGCAGCTTCATCATCTCGCACAGCTTCATCGACCAGTTTAGCATCACACTATGGTACACTGCCTAAGAAGAGTTTTCGTTCAAAGTTGAAGAGCAAACTGTTTGGATCAACCGACAATGACATTGACGATTTAGAGACTTTGCACGAGTTTGATGAGATGAATAGGAAACTAGCGGGGAGGGCTCGTTCACCAACTCAATAATGTCTCAGACCAAATGTAATAATAAATATTTATATTCATGGAAAAAAAAATTAGTTTTTTTTATTATTGAGAGATAGATAGGAGGAGATCTATTTTAACTTATCGGTTCATCGGCACAGGCAGTTTGCATGTTGAAAAAAAAGTTTAGAAAAAAAAAACAATAGAATTTTGCTCGATGCAGGGATCGAACCTGCGACCGCGGCGTTATTAGCACCGTGCTCTACCGACTGAGCTAATCGAGCAAGTGATATGCCAATCACTGTTGCACCTGATTTATATTGAAAAAATCGGGATCTTTATATATCTTTTATTTTTAGTAAACTTTACTAAATTATGAATGGTTGCTCTTAGCCTTTCTATTCTCCTCCATGTTTATGTTCTCCTCTTTTCCTGAATCAAAAGTTGTACAAATGATGTTCATTGCCACAGTTTATTTTGTTCCCCCATTTGTTATCAAAAAAAACAAAAACATTTCTCTCTCATTATCATTTATCTTTTAGTTCGAACATCCTCCTCATACTTATATTCATACAGATAATTCATATATATTTATTCTGCTTAGTAGTTAAGGTATGCTAAGAGTACATTCAAACATTCGTGTTGTTGTTCATCTTCAAGTTGAAGAAGTAATACTAACATCAATCAATCAACTCAAACCATCAACAGCTACAGACGTTTGACAGGAGTATAGGTATCAGAAGGTGAACACAATCATTCATTCATTCGTTCATTCATAATAGTAATACACAGCAGCAACATCATTCATTTATTCAATCGATTGATCGAAAGTATTTAAACGAACAAACAGCGCACAACAGCGCAACAACAATAACAAAGTAAATAAGAAGCAGCAGAAGAGATGGAGCATCAACATCATCAACATCACTCCCCGCCTCAGTCACCGCTGAACGCGTCCGACCCAATGACTGGGTACTTTCAGAGTCTGCAATCGCCCGACACCAACACCAGACGAGCAGCCCTCGAGAACATCATGACCATTCTACAGAACCCAGACAACGACAAGCTATTAAGGAATCACATCGACAATATAGTAGTCCTCGCCACAGAGTCTCCCTACAATGACATCACAGATACCTTCTCAAGTCTATTCAAATCGATACAAGTAAGGATGGACCTTCATGCGGTGACTCAACAACAAGCTACTAACTTCAATCAATCAATCAATCAATCAAATGATCTTAGGAAAAATATCACATACCCAAACAAAAGACAACATCATTCATCAATGAGACACAGTTGCCACCATTGAATACTAATGATGAACTGACGAGGAGACTGTTTCAAGAGGTGTTCCTACAGAGTGGACGTGTCAACCATGTTATCCGCCTACTAGGCTGGCATCCATTGTATTTAGAGAAGTTCCTGGCGAGCTACAACAAGGTTATGCGCGACCCAGGCCCTCTGCCACTGGCTTGGAGGAACTATATAGGTGTGCTGTCGGCGGCGCGCTACAACTGCCACTACTTGGTGGAATTGCAGGAGCACGAGTTCCTCCTCAACAAGGGCGACCCCAGCTGGTTGGTCAGCATCGACAACATACCACAGAAGCTCAAGAACCTGTTGCAGGTGGTGCAGCTCATGGCGCACCAACCGTGGCTGCTGCCCACGCTGGACATTGGCAACTTGGTCAAGGGCATGGATGCGTGGTCAATCGCCGAGCTTGTGCACGCGATGATCCTGATATGCACGTTTCTCTCGCTGTCTGGCTTTGTGTTTGCCTGCGGCATCTTGCCCGAGTACGGGCTGTCCAAGGAGGAGAAGTCCAACTTCCCCCTGTACGACAGCGACTGCGAGGTGGAGGATAGCGCCGCCTCAGAGAACACGATCAAGGTGATGGAGCTGCTGCTAAAGAGGAAGCGCGAGCAGGAGGAGGAGGACGACGAGCACGACGTCGACCACCAGCAGGAGTTTCACAACGCCGGCATGGAGTCGGGTCCGCCCTTTGACACGGTGGCCAGCAAGATCAGGAGCAGCAGCAGCAACTATGACGACGACGACGAACTGGCAGGAGACCTCTCGCGATACATTGGAAACTACAAGATGTCGCACACAGACTTTGACGTGTCGTCGCGCGACTACTCTATATTCTCGATACAGGACTACAGCTGGAAGGAGCACGGCTACGAGTTGGTCAGTCGCATCTTCCCGGATGCGGCGCCACTGCTGGACGAGGAGTTCAACCTGGTCTACACGATGACCTACTACCGCTTCAACAACAGCACCGACATTGACACGCTGCCCTTCCGCCGCGCCGTCTGGTACTACGTGCAGCGTGTCAAGGGAATGTGTCACGACGACTACAACTATCAGGAGGTCAATATGTTCCTCAATCGCAATCTCAAGTACTATGTAAAAAAGGCTGTCTGCTTCCCAGACAACATCTCCAAGGTCGACTACTCCAAGCTGGGCTTTGACTTGAAGCCCGACGAGAAGTGCCATCTCGCTCTGCTGGCCGTCTGTTCTCATAAACAGGCAGCTCTGCTCTATGGACTATATACTGTTATGTGCTATCAGAACCGAAGATAGAGTGTTGTGCGCAGCGGTCTTGTAAACGACAGCGGTAGTGTGGTGTCCAATCACAGACAACAACAGCAACAGGCAACAGCAACAACCAACAACAACAACAGTAATAGCGGCAGATACATCCCCCTCCTCTCTCCCTCTCAGCTCCCCTCTCAATTAGCATGGTAGTTGGCTCAACTTCCGATCCTCCTCATTTTTTCCCCTCCTCATCAATGTACTAGGTCTCTTCCCCGTTCAATCAATCATTCAATCCAATCAATCAATCATACAATCCACTTGTTCTGTTCACTTCCATCATGGTCCACATTACCTCCAAACCTCAACAAAGCCTCAATTGGTTCTCGCTCTCAATCATCATCATCATCATCCAATCAATCCTCAAACTCCAACTCGACATACGATTCCCAACATCCAACCATCCAACTTAACCAACCAACCAACCAATCCATTCAATTAGATGATGATATTACAAACATACACACATCAACTTTATATATATATATATATATACATTGAATAAACTCCAAAGCGTCCAAGCGATCCAATCTTTGGCCTCTGTCCTCTGTGTTTCCCAGCCACAGCCAGAAGTTAACTTCGAAGTGCCTTGCTGTTTGACTTTTGTTCCTTCTCCTTCTTATCCTTCTCCTTCTTCAGTCGACTGTCGGGCGTTGAATCCTTCTTGAGGTTAAAATCATTGCCTCGGACCATCGAGTCATTGATGGCATCCATCTTGGTGCCTTGACGACCGACTTCATTCTTTGTAGCAATGGCAATATTCTTCAAATCACCTAGCAGCACATTCATATCGTCCAGATTCTTGTCCTCCTCCTTTATCCATTGAGCATTCTGTATATATATATTATCCTTGATGTCGGCTTCATTCTTCCATACTGCGCCATCATCACCAGGTTGACTTGTGGCTCCTATTGGATGTTGTTGTTGATTGTTCAACTTATTCTCATCCTTATTATATCTTGACTTTATCTCTTCAACCTTTGGGTCTCTCTGTTTCATTCATTGGATTGGTCAATAACATGATTGAATGAATGAATGATTGAGTACCTACCTCCTTCTTTGTTGGTGATGCTCCACCAATGAAGCCCAAGTACTTCTGGAACTTCTTAAACTTGCTCATCTCCTTTGACAGCCTGTTGATGATGATGTTAGTTGATACTGCAATCAATCATTCTTTCAATCAAACATACTCTTCTTGTTCTTCAGTCAACTTGTTGATTCGATTCAGTTGCTCTGATTGTTCATTTAGCTTATTGAGGTTGTCTTCACCAATGCCTTGTGTCTCCTTCAGTGTCTTGACCATCTTCTTTGTCTTGTCAACATTTGAATAGTCCTTCTCCCATTCCTTTAATTGTTTCTCATCTGACTTTTCCATTATCTTATTCTTTATAAGTATATATGTTTGTTATTATTACAACAATGTTATTATGCATAAATGATTGATGTGCAGTGTGTCAAATCATCTGGGACAACAACAATCTTGATTGATTTTGTTTTGTAACCCAGGGCAAAGAGGGAAGTGATTGATCAATTCAGTGAATTGGTTAAGGGTTACTTATTAGAGTCCCGACCAATAAATATGTAGTTTGATTTGTCAATAATCAATTAAATATATTGATATCCTTTTATGGAAATGTTAAACGTGTATCATGAACCCTGTCCACCTATGTGTGTGTGAGAAGGTGCCATGGTTCGGGAATGGCAGAACGAAGACGACGAAATTGAATTGAGTGTTTGAGGAATCCTCTCCTTCCTGTGAGAACACCTCAAAATTGAGTTCATGGTTTGGAACATTCTGACATTGATACACATACAGACATAACAATTATATAAATACTACCTTACTTACTATTGATATATAAAGAATGAGCCAACTTCAACCAATTATTGCTCCATCGATGCTTTCAGGTGACTTTGCCTACTTGGCAAGAGATGCTAACTACATGGTCGAGTGTGGTGCTGAGTGGCTACACATGGATGTAATGGTATGTTGTTGTCTTGTTGTTGTCTCTGATGTGACTCAATACACCATCATCATAGTCAACTAACTAACAACATAACTCAAACTAATAGGATAAGTATGATATCATCTAGGTTCATTCACTCGCAGAGTCACTCATTCAATCATTCATTCATTAACTGACTCTAACAACAACACGCATATGTTAAACAAACAGCCACTTTGTACCCAACTTGACAATTGGAGCACCTGTTGTAAAGAGTCTTCGCAAGCATACACAGGCATATCTTGATTGCCATCTGATGGTCACACATCCAGAGACGATGATCGATGACTTTAAGGCTGCAGGTGCCAGTGGTATTACATTCCATCTCGAAGCCACTGAGCGTGCCGATGGCTCGATCACTGCCAACGTCATCCAGCGCATCAAGCAGGCCGGTATGAAGTGTGGCATCAGTCTGAAGCCCAAGACGCCAGTCGAGCTGCTCTTCCCATTCCTCGACCAGATCGACTTTGTCCTCATCATGACTGTTGAGCCGGGCTTTGGCGGCCAGGCATTCATGGGCGACATGATGCCCAAGGTAGAGACACTGCGAAAGCGCTGTCCAAATATGGACATCCAGGTGGATGGAGGTCTGGACCCAGTCACCATTGACGCCGCCGCCAAGGCTGGAGCCAACGTCATCGTCGCTGGTTCTTCACTCTTCAAGCCAGGTCAGAACCCAAAGGAAACAATGCAACTGTTTAGAGATACCATCAACAAGTATAAGGTCAACTGGTAGATAGATTGTACCAACACTTTAACATTAAACACAACGTGATCAACTCTATGATGGAAGTTCTCATTTTTGAATTTGAATTTGAAAAACCGTTAAACAGTTGTTGTGATTTGAACCGCCATCACAATGTGTGAGAGCGAGAGTGACAACCAAACAATCAGGGTTAAAGTGAATAAACACGAACCAAACAATCAAACAATCATATATACATACACAATCATTCATTCAATCATTCTATTAAACAATGTCATTGAGCGATTGGGAAAACGTAAAGGAGAACATCCTCCCCATAAAGTCAGGTAGAGACCCTGCCAAACTAGCAATGATGTCTCAACAAAAGTCAGTCGTCAACGAGAAGTTGACCCAAGAGAAGGCGTAAGTGATATTTACATACATTGACTCTACTCAACAACATGACTGACACTTCAACATAGTGAGTTTGAAAAGTCGATTGCAGAGTACAAGTCAGATGATCCATTAGAGTTGTGGACCAAGTATGTTAGATGGGTACAGCAATCATATATTGGTGGAAATATGAAGACAGAGTTGATTGTACTCTTGGAGAGATGTACAAACATGTTTGTCCAAACCGAGAAATATAGGAATGATCAAAGATACCTGAAACTTTGGATAATATATGTATGTTTGATTGATTGATTGGAATGATTCCACTCACATACTAACACAATCAATCAATCAAATATTAGGCCGATATGTGTAGAGAACCACTAGAGATATTCGCTTACTTGGAGACTAATAAGATTGGCTCTACATTGTCATTGACTTATGAGGCCAAGGCAATAATTTATGAGAACAAGTCTAATTATCAACAGGCCGATCAATCATATCAGTTGGGAATACAGCGTGGCGCACAGCCATTGGATCGTCTAAAGAAGAAACACGAGGAGTTCCAGAGACGCATGGTGATGGCCATGAAGAAGGCCGCCGCCAACGGCACCACTCCCATCGGCTCGCTCTCTGTTGCTGCGGAGGAGGCTTCAACACCAGTTCAGCGCGCAGTCCTTGGCACAATATCAGGTGGCGGTGCAGTTGGCTCAGAGAGAAAGTCATCAGTAGTCAAGCCTGGTGTTGGTACCAGCACACAACAACCACAACTTGGTGATAAACGCAAGATGCCATTGGGTAGCAGCAGCATTGGAGGTGGCGGTGGCGGTGGACTCGGTGGCTTCCAGATTTATGACGATGAGAAAGGAGCCGGAGATGAGAATGTAAAGACCAACACCAAGTTCCTGGGCAAAAAGACGGCGATGACGGGAGAGCAGCCATCGATGAAGTGGGATGAGTTGGAGCCAGAGCTCAACAAGCACAAGGAGAACACACAGATACCTGCCAAGTGGTCCGATACCAAGGTGGTCCAGAAGAAGCTCAAGAGTGACACTGGTGCCGTGCCCTCATTCGAGATATTCTGCGATCCTGCCACCTCACAAGACATCAGCAGTCCGATCAACCAATCCGGATTCGATGAGCCACACAGGCTGTCTGAGCAAACGAGCAAGTCACGTGTCGAGCAGATCCAGAGCAATCCATTGGCCAACTTCCCAAAGTCGATTCAGTCCAAGCCAAGTGTATCATCCTCGACGTCATCATCATCATCCAAGAGAACAACATCATCAACGTCGGCGACGACACCATCAAACGAAAGGATTGGATACAAGAAGGAGATATTTATGGAGGCTGAGAAGGAGATGTCATTCGAGGAGCTTAGGGCTAGACATTGGAAGTTACGCCCACATGCACCTCCAACCACCGCCGGCAGACAACTGCCACAGCAAAAGTACAATGCTCCACCCTCGCCATCCATCACCATGCACACCAAGGAGGCTCTAAAGGCTGTCATGTCCTGGTTCCACACACCCATTGCTTTTGACGAGGAGGAGGAGAAGAATAAGTCGCAGGTCTTCGAGACCAAGAAAGTGATCCCACAACAACAACAACAACAGATTGTGGCTCCATTGGCACCAGTACCAATCACACAAAAGACAGAGAACAAGGTGACCAATGGTGACATTCTGAAGAAGGCCTTGTATGGCCAGGATCAAACTGAGGAGTTCTATATTGACAGAGGTGACACTGTGGACACACTGGATAGGATTGATCAGTACATCAAACAGAGTGCACCACCAGCATCCTTTGAAATATTCGTTGATGATGCCGCCACCAAGCCAATGCCCAAGTCCAACCCATTGTTTGGCGGTGCTCCTCCCTCATCAGGAGGCTTCACCATCTTCCATGACGCTCCAGCTCCAGCTCCCAAGTCCAACCCATTGTTTGGCGGTGGTGGCGGTGGTGGCTTCACAATCTTTGAGGACGCGGCTCCAAACGTCCAGGCCAAGCCAGCTCCAAAGTCCAACCCATTGTTTGGCAATAACAACAACATGGGAGGCGGAGGTGGCTTCACAATCTTCCAAGATGCCCCAGCTCCAACCCCAGCGCCCAAGTCCAACCCACTGTTTGGCGCCCTGCCACCCTCATCTGGAGGCTTCACAATCTTCCAGGATGCCCCAGCTCCAACCTCAGCACCAAAATCCAACCCACTGTTTGGCAATAACAACAACATGGGAGGCGGAAGTGGCTTCACAATCTTCCAAGAGGACGCACCAGCACCAGTACCAGCACCAACTCCAGCGCCAGCTCCAAAGAATGACAAGATCAGACAGCAACAACAACAACATATCGATGCCAATACTACAGCTGCCATCTTGACCCAATACCTCGAACTTAATATTGTTCCAGAGGGAGGTGTCACCGAGCCATTCACACATGAGAACAAGGAGAGCCTCGAGGGCATCGTCGTGCAGCATTTGGAGGCGGTCGAATCATTCTTCAACAACTCCACTCAGACACTGCCATCGATTGACAACAACAATGTACTCCAACTCAACACCAGCATTGCCAAGATGGAGGCATGTGTCTTCCAGAGCGCCAACTCCTCCATCTACAAGGTCACCGACGAATCACCCATGGCCGCCAAGATCAGTCGACCGGCACTCGTATGGCCGTTCTATGTGCAGGGACAACTTCAAGCGCGTCTGGCCAACTCTGACTCACCAGCGCTCGCCGCGATGGCTGGCAAATACATGTGCTTCTTCTCCCTGTATCACTACAGCAATGCCAGTGTGACGCTGATGGAGTACATGGAGCATGGATCACTGCATGACATCATCCACAACATCAAGCGCGCCAAGATAACCATGGAAGAGCCATTTAAGATTTTCCTCGCCATCGATCTGCTGCGTATCGTTTCATCCATGCACCAGGTAGACATGATACACGCCAACATCAGTCCCAAGAATGTGTTTGTATCGTTGAGCACCGAGCCCAGCGACCACGATTGGACGCCAGCAAACACTGGCGGCTGGGAGAACATTGGACTCAAGCTGGGCAGCTTCAAGTCGGCGATCGACACACAGTTCTACGGCACAGAGGTGAGGTTCACTGCAGCGCCAGGCGACTTGCCAATCGACGGACACAAGGTCACCAGTTCCGTGCTGTCCACCCGCGCCAACTGGGCACACGACATTGATTACATTGGAATGGTGCAGACATTGTACTACCTGCTGTGTGATGGTGTTGAGCTGGGCGAACAGTCCGTACAACTGGACAACACATGCGGCGAGTGGCGCATTGATATGACGGGCATTCGACCAGGATACCAACTGGACCTATGGGCCAACATACTCAACACATTGCTCAATCTCACAGAGTGCTCTACCGTGTCACTGGATGGTCTGATCAAGACACTCGAGTCCTACCTTTTGGCCAATCCCACCAAGTCCAAATCCATTTACCGACACATCAGGAAGCTGAGGATCGACACCACTCTGGTTCAGGCATAAGGTGCTTATCATTGTACAATCATCACTACATACATACATTCATACATTTCATGCAGCGACACCAAGTAAGATTAATAAAATATTTGGACACTTCACTTATTATTTAAATATTCAAATATCTGTGATTCCACCACATGGATGTGTCGACAGCATCAATCAAACAAACTGGAATCACTCACCGCACCCTCTCAGGGACCCAACCAATCAATCAATAACCCAAAAACAGTATCTGTCTACAATCAGGGAGTCGGGGAGTCGATGGTGGAAGAAATTTAAGAATACAAATTCTATTATTAAAAAGTTTCCACCATTGACTCCCCTGGTTGCCAGCCTCTTGGCCCTTGTCTAAAACCACTGTTAATATATTAGTTAGGGCCATTAGTCGCAAATAAATGTACTTACATCCATCTTTGCTTCAACAAAAGTGTAATCTCCAGCGGGATATGGAGCATCTACACAATCCGGTTGTAACTCAGCAGGTGGCACATGCCTAACTCGGAGAGATCCACTGGTCACATGCATGCCCTTCTCGATGGCTTGCCATGATACTCCTTGACGGAATGTCTTTGCAGGAGCTGCATCAGCATCTCTCAAGAAGATCCTCACTTGTGTTTGTGTTAATGTCTTAATCAATATTCTGTGATGTAGATGTGCTCGGTGCCAGCAGGGATCAGATCTGTAGAGTTGGCCAGGGCAGCATTCACAGCAGCTGGACGGTACTCGATGACACAACCTTGGAGATTGCGCAAGTTGTGCAAGCTCACACTGAGGGGACTCTGGAGAATACGTTCTCTTAGGTCTTCGTACCTTATGTTGCCGTTGACAGCAAAGTAAAAGTTAATGTTGGCGTAGTGCACTGTTATATGACGAGGGACAAGAGGGGCAGGTTTGGCGGCAGGTTTGGCTACGACCAGCGCACCGACAGGAGGACCACCAGGAGGAGCAGGAGCACCGAGGGGAGCAGGCTTAGCAAGAGGGGCTTCAGGAGCTTGAGGGGCGGCAACAACTTCAACTAGAGGTGCACCAGCAAGCGGAGCGGCAGGGAGAGAACCAGCAGGGGCAGGAGGTACTTCAACAACATCCTCAACTGGAGGTTCACCAGCATTGACAGGGATAGCACCAGCAGGGACAACTACTTGGGCAGGTTGGTCAACAGCTTGTGGATTATTCATTATCTAATATCTGGATGGTTTGTTGAATGACCATCTTAAGCTTCGCATTAGAGTTTATATACTGACAAACATACAGTTCTCTCTTTGTAAGTAGGTGTTTGAAATGAATCTCAGGTCAATCAATTGACTAATAGGGACTTCACACAACTTCAAACTGGTAAACAGGTTCATTCAAACAGCACTAAGAGTTATTTCAGCTCAGTCAACAGCCCTTCACCATCCCAATATCAATATCCTTCGTCACTATCACCCTCTCCCTCTCCAATGTCTACCCAGCACCAACCAATGTCCTCTCAATATCAACACCGGAGATGAACAACCTCAAGACCTGGATAGGGAACCAAACCCAACAATAATGTTGAAGCTATATGGCAAGGCGTGCCTAGTGCGTGGCAAGAAGAAGTCAGGAACATGCAGGATACCAGTCATTCAGGGTAATGGGAGCCTTGGTGAAGTGATAACCCAATTAATCACTTTAATAAGATCTATTGTTTGATCTCGAGGATGAAGAAGAGTGGATGTTTGGCTCTGGTACAGCTGAGGCACTGCCAAACCAAAGGGAGAGGTCGATATGGACGTATACGTTACAGCATGCACATAGACGATTCATACCGGTACCCTCCTCGTAGGCAACAAACATGGTGTTGTTCTGGGAATGGAAGGTGGCTGAGATGACATTGCCTCCGTTCCAAGCCTCCTCACAGCTGTAAAAGTCTGTGTTGTTCTTGTCACCAGTGATAGATGTGATATTGACTGCAATGAGCTCATCGATGGCATTGGCACCAGTCGACTCAAAGTGTACAAAGTTGTCGTGGAACAACATGTAGCGAACCATTGAGTCTCCATCAGGTGATTGTACAAAGGTCTGCTCCTTCCTGATGGTGGCATCATAGCCGTGATTGGTGCGCCACACTGCCTGTGGGATGGGATAGCCCATTTGGATGGGTGGGTTGCTGTTGGCATAGTAGAAGATCTCGTTTGGATCGTTGTCTGGGAAGAAGGCTGTGTATCCCTGCATTGTCTCCAATGCGTATGCTGGATGCGGATTGCTCAACGACTCGAATGCCGATGACAACATATGATTCATTCCCATTGTGTTGTTTGTTGAACGCCACAACTGAAGTGCCTCATCAATATTCTGAGCATGCTCCATTACCCATCTAATACGCATTGCCCATGCAAAGCCCTCGAATGTCACCAACTTGGAGTCACTGTCTGACTCTGCCGTGAAGATACCATTTGAACTGATGCCAGTCATTCCACCAACCAATCCTGCAAAGCTAACACTAAGGTGTGAGTAACCATCAGTTGGATGATACACAGCGAGCACCTTGTGTTGAGATATTCCAGTGCCAGCGAACCAGTCCAGATTCCTTCCATTGAACATATCGCCATTGACAGTTCTGTTTCCCCAGACACTAAAGTGAGAGCATTGTAGTCCACTGAACTTTGAGTTCTTTACAGACTGGACCAATTTTGTCAACTGCTCCATTGATAGTTTCCTATCATTCCTCATCATATATGTGATCATTGATTCGGCCTCGCTATTATGTTGTGTTAGTGAATCAATCATTCAATCAAACAATAAACAATGGTACATACTTCATGAGAAGGTATTCGATGTTGGCCTCGATATCACCTGGGAAGTTGGCAAGGGTAATAGCACGATGGAGGATGGGACCAAGGTCTGGCATACCGACGGATGTGGCGCCATCGACAACACCTTGCATCTCATCGACAAAGTCTTTGGGCATTTGTTTGGAGAGGAAGTCTTGGTACTGCCAATCGATGAACAACTCCATTGCATCGATATCCTCGGTATTTGGAAGGATTGAATACATTAGATTATTGTACACCTCTAGTATTGCCTCTGCAAAGAATGTACCATATGCATAGCCCATCTCATAATGACTACCTGTCATATTAGCAACATAGAATGGTATTTGATAACCAAATGATGCTACCTCATACAATGAACTCTGGTTACTATATGTATGTTGTTATTGGTCAATAAGTTGGTAATGATGACATAAAGATAGATAGATAGTTACAATTGTTTAACAAGAGTGACAGTTGGATGATAGTCAACTTTGAATGATGGAGTGTCTGATTTGACATGCTCAATCAAACATAGGAGTGATATCACTAAGATGATGCTTGTGGTTACCTTCATGACTTGTTATGTATGTGTCTGACTGTAGAATGGATAAGTACTGATTGAATGATACATTGATTGACTGTTTGACTGATTGACGATCAACAAAGAGAGAGAGAGTGAAAGAGATATTATTACAACAATAGTTGTAAGGTGGGTCGTAAAGACTGGATAGTCAAGGATTCCACATAAAATATCCTTCGAATTGAAGATGACGTCCTTGTGTGGCAGGAACTACCCCAATCGAAGAGTCGCCAAAAGTGCGGGACCTACATCATCATCATTCTAGAATGACCTATTCAAATAAGTGATAAATCCACATCGATGTCTATGACGATAAATTAATGTATTAAATGACAGTTGGCCATTCATGGCCTCCCGTTGGTGATGGTCATGTTGTTATGATCTTATTTTGGTAACGGGAATTGGATGCGCCTCAGTGTTGAACACGTACTTGTCCAATGGGACGATGGATGGGTCGGCAAACAAGAGGTAGAGATACTTGAGTGTCTCTGCCATGAAGAAACTCTGTTGCAGATCGTCATTGCCACGACCTGGGTTGTTGACATCTTGCAGTCCGGCATAACCAGACTCGATGCGACAATGCTTCTCGATGGCCTCAAAGATGGTCCAGCCCCACTCTTGATAGATTGGATCGCCCGTCAGACGGTACATCACAAACACAGACTCGACCACCTCTGGACGGAGGATGTAATGAGAGAGCTGTGGTGTCATACGTCCGTCGTCACTGAAATGAGTGACCTCTGGTCCAATGCCAGACTGAGTGTTCAAGTATGTCATCACACATGTCTTTGTGAGCTCAATCGCGGCGTTCCAATGTCTCTCATTCTCTGCCTCATTCCTAGTGATTTTTGATGCTGCGCCAAGACCAAACATTCCACCTGCAAAGCACATCAAATGCTCCATATTATGTGATGGATTGCCCTACAGTAACAAAGTGTCAGTCATCCAATCAATCAATCAATCATTCAAATGGTGAGTGATGTAACATACATAGTTCAACTGAGTGATGTAGGCTTCACCACGCTTTGATACAAAGTATAGGTTGTCAAGGATGCCATTGGCAGACTCCAAGTACATTCGGCGATAGTCCTCATTCTGTTTGCCAGTGTATATCCACATCTTGACGAGATACTCGTAGAAGGAGTCGGCCATGGCACCTGCAGAGTACTCATCTGTACAGAAGCCAGAGGCGTCATCCTTTAGCCAGATGGAGTAGAGACCCTCCCTCTTCTTTGGGATCGAGTCCATTGCCTCCCTAATCTTCTCGGCCTTTTCAGCATAAATTGGGTTACCAGTGACCTTTGACAAGTGTGTATACTCCAAGAATGTTGTTCCAACGTCTGCCAAGATCAGACAATGTGGCTTATCTGGATGTGTGGATGTTTCGCGTCTACAGTGTGATTGTTGTTAGATCATTTATGAGTGATCGCGATTGATTGATTGGTAACTCACTTGAATACATTGAGATGAGGCTTTGGGAATGCCATGCCTGGAGTGTCCCATGCATCGAGTAGGATGTCACCAATATCCTTGGCCTTTTCCAAGTACATCTTATCCTTCTGTCCAGTCAACTCATACATTGTTAGGTATCCTCCAACCAAACGAATGAATGATTCAAATACTGATATGTATTCGTTCTGAATGATTGATTGATTGATTGAATGAATGAGTGAGTTTGTGATTGAATGATTGAGTGACGTCTAGAGTGACCACATACAGTCTGTTTGTGATGGTTCTGTTGATTGGCAACCCAATCTCTACCCTTCTTATACTCTTCCTTGAGATCCATCAAATAGAGTGTGTCGAGGGAGTCAACGATTGTGAGACCCATGAAGAACCAATGTCTGCTGGTACGTGATGATGGCTTCAGCTCATCATTGCCCCAGGCGTACTTTACATAGCTATCCCATGCATGTTTCATGCCCTGTCTAACAGCCTCTGCACGCTTCTTATTCTCCTCCAGATTGTTATAATAGGCCTTCTCCAAACGTTCAGTCATAATACTCTCATGATCCTTCTCTGAATTCTCTGTTTGTGCGCCTTTGACTGATTGATCATCATTGTTGTTGTTTAAGTTCTGATCGATATCCTTTTGATTCTTTTTATCCTTATCATTCTTATAAGTATCTATATCCTTCTTCTGCACAATGTTGAATGTCAGCGTAGACAATAACAACATGATATCACTATGATACATACAAATACATTATCCCAATTACCCTTTGGCTTTTGAGCATGTTGAGCTCTCAGCTCACTAGAGTTCAAAGAGTAGATACCTATAAGCAATGTTATACCGATAAAGAACAATATGATCCTTATCAAGTTTGCATGATTGGCTGCCATCTTTGTTGTTGTTGTTGACAACACCTGTGTCAGTCAGTCAGTCAGTCGTCTGTAATGTTATATATATATATTTGTAGTACTAATACTAATAGTGTTATAATATTATAAGTAATATAAGTTATGTAATTATTAAATGAATTAATGAATGAATGAATGTCACTGTGACATGACGAAGTTTGATTGGTGGGGTCACCACCCATGGAACAAGATGCATCTGTTTGACAAGTTGGGGGTTGGAGTCTACGAATGACAAACCTGAATGGGTTCTAACAAACACAGCAGCATCAACGACCACGTATCATGTCATATAAGCTTATACAAATAATAACAATAGATAGATAGATTGTAGTTTAGAACATCAACATCAAATGGTTAATTTAATGATGATAAAGGTGAATGACTGAGTCGACTTAAACAGTGTTGATATCGATCACTGGTGCACTGCTTTGGAGAGCAGATGGGTTGCTCATTGTGTTTGGAGTGAAGGGTGGGAGTCCCTCACTCTGCCACTCGTTGACGGTGCCCCAGCTGTTTCTGAGCTTCTGACGGAGATCGTTCCATCCCTCGGTGTACAGTACCTGATCGACGGTACGGTAGGCAGAGTTGAGTGCTCCGAGGATCCATGCGTGGTGAACACTGGTGGCCTCACCGGCAAAGTGGAGTGTGCCGTTGAGCTCGGACTTGGTCATCTCGGCAAAGTACATGGAGAACTGGCAGGCAGAGAATCCGGCGAATGAACCGGTCTGGTACTGGTAGTCGGACCAGTCCCAGAGCTTCCAGGTGATAAGTTGGCTCTCGAGGAAGTCGACATCGACCTGATGCAACTCGGCGAGGTTCTGGAGCAAGAGTGCCTCCAACTGCTTCTCGTCGTCGACGAGCGATCCCAGACGGACAGCCTCTTGACCTGAGGTGTAGCCGACGAGCAGACCGTTGGCATACGAGTAGGTAGCGTTGATACCATACGATGGGTAGTTGACAGAGCGGATTGGCAGATCTGTGGATGACGAGCCTCCGTAGATTGGGCGGCCCTTCATGATGATGGGGTCCTCCCACCAACGAGTCCTGAAGCTCATAGCAATCTTGAGCGAGCTCTCATAGTGCAGTGCGCGGATGGCCTCTCTCTTGATAAGGGAAAGACGGCATTGCTTGGTGTCCATGCGCTCCAACATACCGAGGGCGGCAGTGTTGATGACGTGGTCATACTGACGTGGGCGACGCTCACCCTTAATCTCGAGTTGGACGGTTGGACGACCCGATGGCTTGGGTGTGCCTGGGGCGATCTTGGTGACTCTCTTGCGGGCCTGGACGGCGCGGTGGCCAATGACCTCCATGATGGCCTCTGGGAATGAGTGCGTGCCTCCCTCAATGTGGAAGTACTCGGCGGCGGTGAAGTCGATAAAGTTGAGCACGGCCTCGGTGATGGACTTGAAGTCGAACCAACCGGCACCGACCAACATGTTCTCGACGTAGGTAATGTGTGCTTGGGGGTAGCCTCCGACGGTGCCGTTAATCTGGCACTCCGCATCCTTGAGGATGTTGGCCATGTAGTGGCGGACAGAGTGACAGTCGTTTTGGAGCAACATCTGGTAGCCTTGGTCAAAGTTGCTCATCATGGCACCAATGAACTTGCCGATGGCCTTGCCAACCCAGTATGCTGGAGTCTTGGCTGCGTAACAGTCGGGAACACCGGTGCCGTTGCCTCCGTTGTACTTGTCACCAAAGTGAAGTGGGTCGTTGGCAAGTCCGTCCTCAGAGTAGATGTGGATACCGTTGTAGTAGACTGGGTTGTTCTTGACGTTGAGGTAGTATGGCTTGGTGGAGACGGGATGGCCGAATGCGCGAAGCTTGTTGATGAGAGACCAGCTCTGGGAGCCTACGACACGGTCCATGACGGGGGTCCTTGGGAAACGCATGGCGCCCAGGTCGACGTAGTCGTAGTCGCTGTCGGTGAAGTGGTGAGTCATGACACGGCCACCAACACGGTTGGAGGCTTCCATGATCTCAAAGTCGATGCCCAACTCCTTGAAGATCATTCCGGCGTAGAGTCCCGCCATACCGGCACCGATGATACCAACGGTGATTGGTCTGCGAGGTCTAGATGAGTTGGTGACAGGTGGAGCGGCATTCTCTTGCAAGAGAGAAGCGGCCAAGTAATCACGGGCAGATGGTGCTGAGTCTGCTGCCATCGCCACAGCAATCACTGCCAAAACAGCACAAAGCAGCATGAACTTCATGTTTGATTGGTAGTCTGTGGGGTGTGTGAGAGTGTGTGATTAGGTGGGCGAATCAATCAGTTAGTGTGTGCGCGTGATGATCGTTTGTTATATTATCTGACGAATGTACATACATAGTGATAAGTTATAGTGTTACAGAGATAATAGTATTAATAATAATGAATAAACCATTGGTCATGACCATTTTATGTACCAGAGAGATCACAGGGCAAACGTCGCCATCCTCCTAAGCGTTGGAGGTGTGAGGGAGAGAGGGAAAGTAAAGAGGTGAGTGTATGGTGTTTGAATGAGATGATGTAATTAAGTAATTAATTATAATATAATTCCATGATCAGATCACCTGATTGGTAGTTTGTTTGTTAGGGTCAGACATAGAGTACTGGATTGAATGAATCAATGTGAGTGTGTGGGTGTTAGGGTGTTCCTGTGATTGGGCCTGTCAATTCAATCAAAGACACCTTTTCCCAGATTGTTTCGCGAGACTCATAGCAGTGTTTGAATGAAATGACCTCCCCTCAATCACATATCTGCCAGAGGTTTGTCTCGTTTGGTATCGGGCCACCGATAGAGACTTGATAGCCCTTAGGGCTAGTCTGCTCGCTTCCAAACCATACGCATCACGGTTCAATCTGCTTTGGTTCATCACCCCTCGACCCATTGCAATGATTGACACGATTTTTGAAGGTTTGACGTTTGGGCCATCCGCGATATTGATCAGTGCATCCGAAGTGTACCCCCTTTTGTTGTTGCCTGATCGTCGTGATCACAATCTGCAAAGGGTCGACGAAGTGATGGGCGTCAAACTAATAATCTCCCTAACCTTGACAAGTTTGAGTTACATTCGACATTGTCTAGAGAGTTTGGAAAGATAGTGTCCAAACCAAGGCAAAGACAAGACAGACATTGAATGTGTGTAAAGTATAAGGTTGTATTGTGTTTATATAAATATATCTTTGTACATCCATCCGATCAGACCTTGTAAAGTGATTCAGTGTTGTTGTTGTAGTTGGAAAATGAACTGAACGAGACGACATTGGCATCGCCTGGTAGTTGTGTGATGATTACGATACGTCCATCGTCGATCTTGCCAATTGATGTTCGTCCTGGTACGCCTCTATATACACTGTGCTCCAGATGATAGACACTGACGTTGGGAACCATTCTTGACAGAGATCTGTAGCGATCAAACACATTGCCACACGTGTCTGTGACCACTGTCAGTGAGGACAGCTGGTTGTCCAGTGGGATGGGAGGCAGGTTCGTGCCCACCGTACGACACTGCACAGTGAGGTGACACACAGACGACGCGAGGGACTTGGGCCACTTGGGGATGGACAGGTTCTCGAGCTTTGGTGGAAGCTTGTTGAGGGTTCTTTGGAGGTCGAACGAGGTGTTGACTTTCAAACTGGTGAGCGTCAATGGGATTGGCTTGGTGAAGTTGTACATTCCATGCACTGAGATCATCATCGACTCGAGCGACTCGGGCAATCCATCAAAGGTGATCTGACGATAGCCACTGATTGACAGCTTAATAACTGAGTTGGGGAGGTCCTTCAAAGTCTTTGTCACCCAACCCTCTTGCAGGTACAACGATGTGAGCGTTTGTGGCAGGAATGTAGGCGACATGGGTATCTCATGATTCCTGAACGAGAGACTGAGTGCCGTGACCGTCTCCGGTATCTTTTCCAAACGTAATGGCTTCTCCTCCCCTGACTCAATGGTAAGTGTCTTGAGCAATGTAAGATCGGTAGTCTTGTACACATGCCTGGTGCCCAACTCTGTGATTGACTTTGGCAGCACAGACGGATCCGTGAGAATGTTGGGCTGATTGCCTAGGATCAGTCGGGTGAGTGATTTGGGCAGCGTGTCCTTGGTGACTGGCTTGTCTGTGAATGAACCTTGCGGACCAAATGTCAGTGACAGTAGACCGGATGGAAGACGACCACCTCCAATAAGTTGTGCAAAGCAGCTACATAGTATGAGTTCGGTGAGTGAGGCAGGTAGCACACCGGGCTGGAACTCTTGATTGAACTTCCAGCCAAACTCCAGACGCAAGAGTGAGTTACCCAGCACGCCGGGTCCGATCCTCTGATTGTAGTTGCGACCAAAGGTGAGTGTGATCAGAGATGATGGCAACGTTCCAGCCCTGAGTTGACCGACGAAGCCATCGCTCAGTGTGAGCGCCGTGAGGGACTGAGGTAGTGTGTTCTTGAACAGTGCCCTCTTGAACTTGTGGCTGAATGTCAGTGTTGTCGTCCTTGAAGGTATACCACCTGCATCCTTGATCGATTCCATGCTTGTGAAATGATATCGAGTCCTTGGTAGCTTGGAGTAGAACATGTCCTTCTTTGATGTCGTGGCTGCAACAGTTGGGGAGTTGTTACTAGTGGGAACTGATGGAGGTGTGCTAACAGCTGCTGGTTGTGTAGGAGGGGCAGTTGAGGTGGTCGATGTGGACACGGGAACGAATGGAGGAGTGGAGGCAGGGACTAATTCAGGCAGGTCAAGGGGTACAGCTGGAGAGGGTTTGCTGATCGGCACTGAGGCAATAGCTGGTGCTGATGTGTTGTTGGCGATGGGCAACAACACTGGAGGAAGACTGGATCCAGGTATCAAGGGAGGGATGTTGGTGGATGGCACAGCAGGGACTAAGTCAGGCAGGTCTAGGGGCACAGCTGGGGAGGGTTTGTTCACTACTGGCACCCGGGGAGGTGGGCTGCTACTGGACACGGGGGTGCTTGGCTACGGGTTTGAATGGAGGAGTTGAAACGGGCACCAATTGAGGCATGTCGTCAAGTGGAACTGTTGGTGAAGGTTTGCTGACTGAGGAAGTTGGAGCGCTGGCTGGGACAAGTGGAGGAATGCTGGCCTCTTTTAACTAATGGAGGAGGGCTGCTCGCAGGGATCAATGGAGGGATACTGGACGCAGAGACCAAAGGAGGAGGGCTGCTCACAGGGATCAATGGGGGGATGCTAGTTTCGGCAATCAAAGGGGGAGGGCTGCTCACTGGGATGAGTGGAGGGATGCTAGCCGCGGGAACCAAAGGAGGAGGGCTGCTTACAGGGATGAGTGGAGGGATACTGGACGCGGCAACTAAGGGAGGAGGGCTCGCAGGGATCAATGGAGGGATGCTAGCAACCAATGGAGGAGGGTTCGCATGGATCAATGGAGGGATACTGGATGGGGTGGCCAAAGTTGGAGGGCTGCTAGTGGATACAGTGGTGCTTGCTACGGGTACAAAAGGAGGGGTAGTGACGGGCATCAAGGGAGGTATGTCGCCAAAAGGAACAGCAGGAGCTGGAGAGGGTTTGCTGACAGAGGCCGATGGGACACTGGCAACAGGGATTAGTGGTGGTATATTGGCGGCCGCGGCAACCAAAGGAGGAGGGCTGCTCACAGGTATCAATGGAGGGATGTCGGCCGGGGCAAATAAAGGAGGAGGGCTGCTCACTGGGATGAGTGGAGGGATGCTAGCCGTTGGTACAGTTGCGGCTGGTTTGAGAAGTGAAGGGATGTTACCAAATGGCATGGCTGGGTTGGTCGCAGGTACCACTGGGGAAGGAGCAGTCGCAGGTATGAGAGGAGGAAGGCCCACTGGCACCGACGACGGAAGGATAGGGTTCAAAGAGGGAAGGTTGTTGATTAGTGGGGCGGCTGGCTTGCTTGTTGTGGCAGCAGTCTTTTTGGCTGGCTCCTTGAAGGTGGACACAAAGGCCTGGATCTTTGAAAGCAGCTCTTTTTCAGCTACTCTGTTTCTTGGCAGTTGATCGTCATCAGAGTCGCTGTAATCGCCCTCATAGTCCTCGGATGAGTAGTTGTCATCATCATCATCAGAGTCAACCTCCTTTATGTTCTGCGCCCTCTCTGTCATCGACCTGAACATATCCTGTAATTGTTTCTGTACTGATGGTAGCGTCTTGCTGATCTCGCCACTGACACTGGCGTCGCTGTCGTCAGAGTCGTCATCGTTCCCATAGTAGCTGTCGTCCGTGTCGTCAAAGTCATGGTGATAGTGTCCACACTCACAGAGGTGTCCATGGGGGCCGTACGACGACTCGTCGTCGTCCGATGACATTTCCGAGCCATGGTTCAGTAGGTTGTTGATAATGTTTTGTTGCCACCACCAGTTGTCTGCACCGTGGTGATGACCGCCGCCACCGCCGTATGTAAGTGTTGATGTTGGTATGAATGGATAGGGGCAGTTCCATGTGACGCTGTGCTGCTCTGGATACGTTGTTCTGTATCTATATTGGTACTTTTGATAAAATGATTGATTGGGATGTTTATCATAATGAGGATGCTGAGTGAATGAATAGACAACATTGAACCATTTCTTGCAAGTGAGTCCTGCACGAATAGTATCAATAGGATTGAGATCTTTACATATCTCTTTAATTAATATATCTGATAATGTATCCATTATTATTCTTAGTATTGTATATCTCTTTCTTTGTGTTGATGTTGTTTGGAGAGATTGAATGAATGGAAGGTGTGAACTTTCAGGTTTTATCAATTATTTGTTCATTTTCGAACATTCATTCGTCAGACTTGACAAAGATAATGATGATTGGAGTGATACTACCTGTATATATATCATCAGATGGTGATGATGGAGTATGTTCAAGACAGTTACTACACTTTAAACAAGCAGTGGATAGTATATTGAATCAATCATATACAAATTGGTCATTGTTGATTGTGGATGATGGTTCACATAATGATCAACTCACTCAATCAATTCAATCTTATGTGGAGAGTGATCAACAACAACGTTGTTCATACATAGTCAATCAATCTAATATAGGCATTGTTGAGAGTCTCAACAGAGGCATTACACATCTCCTCCAACAATCACCACTCATCAAGTACATCGCACGGATGGACTCTGATGACATTGCCGAGATTGAACGATTCGAACGACAACAGCAACATATGGAGATCAATCAACATATTGATGTACTTGGCACCCCTGTCACAATGTTCTCAGACGATTGTCATGATAATACAAGGGATAATACAAGGGTGGTTGCACATCCATCAGGTCGCGATATAGTGTCATGGTCAATGTTCCTCAACTGCTGTCTAGTACATCCATCTGTCATGGTTAGGAGACGAGTGTTTGAAAGGTACCAATACTCAAACAAGTATGCACATTGCGAGGACTATGCTTTATGGCTCAGGTTATTGTCCAAGGGATACCATCTTGATAATATGCCTGTTGGTACACCACCCCTGCTAAGGCTGAGGAAACATCCCGCTTCAATATCCAAACGCAATGCCTCGATACAAAGAGCTAGTGCAGCCAATGCATCATTACACTATCTTCAAAAGTTATCAAGTCGTCTTGGAGGTGGAGATGTATCATCATTCACACTGGAATCAATCCAACATCTTCAATTCCCCAAAACGATCAACACTGCTGAATCGTTTGAACAATCATTCAATCATCTTATCAACATTGAATCAACAATCATCAAGTTATTGTAAGTCATCCATGATGTAAGGTATCACTGCTTGGACCCTTAACTTACACCAACCTGGAATGATTCCAATCACAGGTCACAGTACGACAATAACAACAATCATGACATCATCAAGGAATCAACTAATTCTAGGATGGGAGAGTTGATGGCATTATTCCTTTCCAAGTGTCCAGGCGCACCCAATACCAGTACTCTTTGGTCAAAATGGCTAAAGAGGAATCCAACAGCTCAGATCTTCTCATTGCTCTCGCTCTCAAACCAAGGCAGCCCCACATTTCCACTCATCCCCAACTCAAGCACTCAATCATCAATGACCAAGATCAAACCGAGCGAATTGAACATTGGCGTAAAGATAATATGTTTCTCCAAAGACCGTGCCTTTCAGTTGGGCGAGTACTTGAGGACATTCTACAAGTACAATCAAGATGACCAGACGACATTCCCATTGCAGATGACCATCCTCTATACGTATTCAAAGGAGACATATGGACAGAGTTACGCGGAATTGTTCACTGCCTATCCTCAAGTTCACTTTATCAAGGAGACAGACTTTACAACACAACTTCGTGAATTGGTCGATCGTCCCAAGTACAGATACACTGTGTTTGGAGTGGATGATATACTTTACTACAATAACTTCACATTACAAACTTATTGTGAGCGATTGGATCGACATCCAGATGCCATTGGTTACTTCATCAAGTTGAACAAATCAATCAAGTATTGTCACACGGCCAATGAGCCTATCGATGTACCAACATCACTCAAACAGTTGGAGGATAGCAAGGGCACTTATATTCAATGGGATCGATTGGATGGATCAAAGAGAGACTGGAACTATCCATGGGACATGTGCTCAACAGTGTACAGGAGCGAGACAGTCAAACACATCATTGACGCCATCATCAAGTACTTGGGCATCAAGACTGGCATCAGCCATCCCAATCGTCTAGAGGCCAATGGCAATCGAGTGATCATTCGTAAACAATACGACAGTCAATGGCCAATGTGCCTGGGCGAGTGTGATCACATAATGTCAATGATAACAATCAATCGTGTACAGGATGTCTATGCCAACCCTGTATATACCACCACCGGTGGTGATGCCAATGATCTCGCCCTACCGACACTGGATGAATTGGATCAGCTTATGCATCAAACTCCACCACTACACCTGGATGACGATCAATATCATTCCAAGCGATCAACATTCACTAGTTGTCATATTGGCGATTACTTTATAAACTAGGACTTTGCTATTATCTTGGTCTGGTTCTTTGATATCATCTCAAAGTACTCCTTCACTTGTTGATCATTCAGTATTGGTAATGGATGTGCCTCTGTGTTGAATACATATTTATCCAAAGGTATCATTTCTGAGTCCTCAAACAACAAATACAGATACTAGTTAGAATGGTTAGTATGTTGATAATTGGTATAGCCGATGGATGGATAACTTCATACCTTTAGGGTCTCGGCCATAAAGAAGCTCTGTTGTAGGTCATCCTTCTTTGATGGATTGTTGGTGTCTTTGAGACCAACGTATCCTGTCTCCACTCGACAATGCTGCTCGATTGCTTTGAATATCTGCCATCCCCAATCTTGATACATTGGATCACCAGTAAATCGATAGAGTATGAATATTGACTCTACAGTCTCTGGACGTTGTATAAAGTTTGGTGCAGTTGGCAATTGTCTACCATCCTTTGTGAACTCAAATGTCTCTGGACCCAATCCAGACTTTGTCTTGATATATGAATTGGCACATGTCTTTGTCAACTCCACGGCAGCCTTCCAATGTAAATCATTCATTCTCTGATCCATCGTAATGTTAACCTGAGCGCCAAGTGCAAACATTCCTCCAACAAAGCACATCAGATGTTCCATCTTATGAGTTAGGTTACCCTATTGATTGATAAAGTGATTGAGTGAGTGATGGAACTACTCCAAATGATTGATTAATATAACTTACATTCTCAATGTTTGTTATATAAGCTTCACCAAGACTTGATACTTTGTACATATTGTTGAGGATTGAGTTGGTGGCATCTAGATACATCTTGCGATAGTTGTCATTCTTTTTGCCAGTGTATATCCACATCTTCAAAAGGTATTCATAGTATGAATCACCATTGGCACCAATTGAGAATATGTTACAGCAGTAGTATGTAGGTGATAACATTGTAGGTAGTAGACCTGGATATGGTGTCAATCGTGTTTGTAACGATTCTCTAATCAACTCCACCTTCTGTGCATATGTAGAAATGCCAGTCAGTATTGACAAATGAGTAAACTCCAAGAACATTGTACCAATCTCTGATAATATGAAACATGTTGCTTCCAAAGTCAATGAACTATATATATGTGAACCATGGTCAGTATGTAAGTAGACCGCGGTCCCTGAATGATCACTTGTACTTACTTATTCAAGTTCAATCTTGAGTTGGGGAATATATCCAATGTCCATGACTCCAGTAGTCTATTTGCCAAAAGTTCAGCCTCATCAAGGTACAACTGATCGTGAGTGAGTTCATATGATGTTAAGAATCCTCCAATAACTCTAATGTTTGTCTCAAACACTGATATCACTTCATCCTATATGTATATGATTGAGCGTTAATCACTTAACTAGACTTGATTGATTCAGAGAAACATACATAATAATGATGCTTTGTAATATTATCATTTACCCATTGCCTAGCTTGTTGATACTCCTCTTTGAGATTCATCATGTATAGTGTATCTAATGAGTCTATGACAGATACACCAAGGAATAACCAATTGGTATGGTTACCTGATATTGGAGAATACTCATCCGTGCCCATTGCATATAGGGCATAGTTGTCCCAAGCATGTTTCATAGCATTTCTAACATGATTGGCTCTTTGTCTGTTTGCATCAACATGATCATCAGTGTCTATATCCAAGTATGTTATATCATTTCCAATGTACTCTCCATTAACATTAACAGTTTGATATACTATTGAAGGTGTTGGTGATGGTACTCTCGGTTGATCCTCCACTGATGACTGTGAAGATGAATCGTCTTTTGAAATTTTTGTTGGTTCTGGAGTCTCTTTGACAACTTGTTCCAATAACTCTGGATGTACTATTGTAGCAGTTGCATCAACTTCAGGTTGTACATGTAGATTCAAAAGTACTTCAACTTGTTTACTATATATAATTTTAGGATTTCTTCTTGGTTTAGAATCTATATAATTATCTGTATTGTTTGGATCCTAATAATGATGTGTGTAAAGATTAAATTCATTCAATTCTAAACAATGATGATTTACTTACGTGATTCATATAACTATTGGTATAGAATATGATTAATAAATAACAAACTAGTGCAACAATTAATAATTGTGATAAACACTTCCTTGAATATGTAGTCTTCATTCTTTGTTTGATAGCTAGAAATACAATACAATAATATAATTTATTAAGATGTGGAATGTATAAACGATTAATTTATAACATCCAAGGTCTTTCAATTCAATTTAAACTGATGGGCATTGTCAACCACATCTGAACAGACACTTAAACACACCCGATAATGATCAGTCACACACCCTCCATACACACACACACACACACACACACTGAGAATGATCAATCACACAAGAGAAGTTGGTGGTGATGCACTTTGAGAGGAAGTGCATAGATTATGGATCAAATACTTGCCATTGACTGTTGGTGGAACAGTCAGAAGCAAATACAGGCCAATGAATAACATACATAGTTTATTTGTGTCAGTAGTAGTAATAAATAGATAAATAGGTACAGTAGTAGTAGTAGATAGATGGGTAGATAGAGTAGTGTGTCTGTCTAACTCAGGTCTTGTACCTTAGACAACAATTGGTGTACCTCTGGCAGTGATGGACTTGTGAGCCTTGTCTCTACGGAACTTGAAGATATCGATACCGATGGACTTGCGCTTCATCTCAACCTCTTGGTGTGGTGTCTCAACAGCAGTGGTGTCGGCTCTCTTCTTGGTCACGGCGTAAGTAAGACCACCAACGAGGGCAATAGCGGCAACACCTCCAACAACAATACCGGCGATGGCACCAGTGGACAAGGCAGCACCAGCAGCAGCACTTGGAGCCAATGAAGCATCAGCACCCATGAATGTCTGGCTGAATTGCTCATAAGTCATATCACTGAACTTGTTCATGGACACTAAATTTGAAGAATTATTGATTAATATATTTAATAATTCCCAGGTTAAATTAATTATTAATTATTTTAAACTTACTCTTTGGAAGATCAGCCTTTGGATAGGTGATAACTGGTGTGGCAAGGGCAGCGTGAAGAGCACGGAGGTTGGAGGCACCGCCAAATTTGAAGACGACATCTCCTCCCTTGAGGTTTCCGTTGGTGGCAGCAACCTTGTCTAAGTTGGCCTTCCAAGCGGCAAAGGCATCTTGGAACTCCTCACTGGTGTATTGTTTGTCATAGGCTTCAGCCCAATTCTGGAATGCCTCCTCATCAGTGAAGGCATTGGCAAATACATTGGAAAGTACAATGAATAATATTACACAGTTTAATAATTTCATTATTATTATTATAATTAATTATTATAAATATTATATGATATATATGGATTAAAGGATAAATAAATAATTGTTTAGTTGTTGTTATTGTTATAAAGTTATATTTGATTAATATTTACACTCGAGTTAAGGTTAAATAGTTCCAAAGTGATCAGTAAAACCATGGACATTGATGATTGTTTCGAAACATTCAACAACTCAACAACCCACTTGTTGACTTGTTGGATGGTTTCTTTGACCATCGTGGTCCGAACAGTGAGGCCACCGAAAATGGCTGTAGCCAAAACGGAGTGGTCTAAATGTCCAATTGTAGCGCCCAGAATGCGCACGTGCAAACAAAGTAAATCAGTGGCTTGGGCCATAAAACACGATAAAACACACGATAAAACAAGAACAGTCAGCCCAAAAATTTCAAAGTGGTTATGCGCCATCAGTACAATACCAGCATGATACTGATTGATTTCTATTAATACTGGGGAGATAATATCCGTCGGGTCCATCACTGTTTGTTCGCCTTGTAAGTGGAGTGGTGTGATGGACTTGTTGGATTCAATTGGGTCTGGACTGGTGCACCGTTTGGTTTTATTGGTAGACAACTCGACTGATCGATGGCTAACTTTGAATTTTAAATGGTTTACTCGACGTGAGGACGGTCTTACCAACATCCATCCAATCATTCATTCACCAACAATATAAATATTGGTCTTTAAGTTGTTTAATATATATTCAATCAATCAATCAAATCAAACAAAGACACATATTTATTTATTTATTTGTATTTGTAAAATACTATTATTATTATTAATCAATGTATAAACAATTATTATTAATCACTGCCGTATTGGCATTGATCGCTGGAACTTTTGCCCAGTTGACCCAGACCGATATCAACACTATTGTATCTCGTCACAACTCATGGAGAGCCAACCCATCGCCCCCATCCGCCAAGCCAATCCCCAAGCTCACCTGGAACGCCACCCTCGCCTCCCAACTCCAAGCCCACTCGGACAAGTGCAACATTGACTACAGTCCCTCCGCCTTGAGATACCGCGTCAGTGAGTGGATCGCTGTCACTGGATACCAAAACCTTGATGTCAACTACGTTTTGGACTACATCGAGAGCACTGGCCCAGCCTACAACTTCAACGATCAGTCCTGTGACGATGGATCCGCCTGCTATATGTGGTCCGATGCCATGTGGTCCAAGTCCAGACAAATTGGTTGCTCTGCCTCCCTCTGTGACGACTGGTACATCCTCTACTGTGACTACTACCCCGCTGGAGGCTACTACGGTGTCAACCCATACACCCCAGCTGGCGGTCCAACCCCAACTCCAACCAACACCCCAACCCAGACCCCAACCCAGACTCCTACTCAAACTCCAACTCAGACTCCAACCCAGACCCCAACCCAGACCCCAACTCAAACCCCAACTCAGACTCCAACTCAGACCCCAACTCAGAAGCCAACCTCTACCCCAACTCAAACCCCCAAGCCAACTTCCAGCCCATCTGGATCGATTGATTGGAGAAACTTCTCATCGCCAGTGAGAGACCAGGGCGGATGTGGAAGCTGTTACATCTTTGCCGCCGTTGCCAACATTGAGGCTCGCTCCATCATCAAGTATGGCTACAGCCCCAACTCGATTGATCTGTCTGAGCAGGAGGCTCTCAACTGTATCTCTGGTGGCTGCAATGGAGGATGGCCAACATCAGTGTACAACACCTTCAAGACCAACGGTCTCACCTATGAGAACAAGATGCCATACCAGGGTCAGCAGTCCTCATGTGACACCTCGAACACTCCACGTCTCACCTGGAATGGATACTCAGACAACTTCGAGGCCACTAAGGCCGGATTCATCAAGGAGCTCCAGAGCGGTCCATTCGCCATCGCACTCATGGCCGATGATGGATTCATGAACTACCAAGGTGGTATCTACTCGTGTCCATCTCAACAGACCAGTGTTAACCACGCTGTAACACTCACTGGATACAATGCTGATGGTGACTACTGGATCATCAAGAGTAAGTAACTTAATATTTGATTGAATGAGAATGATTGATTGATCAGTGACTAACATACTATTTTCATTAAACTATAGACTCATGGAACACATGGTGGGGAGAGAAGGGATACATCCGTATCAGTGCCTCCAATGATAGATGCAACTTGTTGAAGTATGGTGGCAGTCATGCCAACTTCTAAACAGGTTGGCGCGTACCAACACCACCAACCACAGTGCAGTCACTCCAAGTAACACCTAACTCAAATCAAAGATTAGAGTTAACTTAAGTGCTTATATATGGACTATCAAACTCCACTACTTATAATACAATAAATGTATTCATTATTTAAATAAAATTGTAACTTATTACTATGATTGATCACTCTTGGAAGTTCCTTTGATTATTTGAATTGATGACAGTTGAGCGCGCTCAAAAATTTGAAAAACACACCATTTCAAACAAAACTCAATCATCATTCCAACAACCCAACTTGTGAGTGTGATCGACCGAACTGAATCTCATTCACATCCCAACTACTACCATTACTACTACGACTACAAATACAAACTATTAATAGTAACATCATTCATTCAATAGATAGATAGATAGATAATAATATGTCAGACAATGATCAACTGCTGAAATGGCTGCAGATGGGAGGTCTGGAAGACTTCCATCCAAACTTTGTTAGGAGGAGAGTCACCTGTGATTCATTCCTACTCTTTACAATGCAAGACTATGGTAGGACACCCCCCCCCCTTTCATCAATCAACAACAACATTATATGTCTAACAATCATGTTACATCATCATCATCATCATCATCACTCAGGACTTGTTGGAATATCATCACTTGAGGACAGAAAGAAGTTGTTTCACTTGCTACAACAACTAAAGAAGAATGGAGGTGCATCTCTCTCAATGCCAAGTCCTTCATCATCAACTACAAATAATAATATAACAGCAACAACTGATCAGGTCAAGAGCACACCTCAGTCAACAACGAACAACAACAATGTTAGAAAGATGATGTCTCAGTCGGTCGATGTGTCTGAGCTTAGGTCGGTCGGACCAGCTAGTGCAGTCAAGATGAATGCCTCTATCGATCCAGTGGCACAGGCAAAGGAGTTATTGCTCCTTAGAGAGAAGTCCAATGTTGTTGGCGGCAACACAGCCTCATCATCAACATTTGAGTACAACCTGAAGGACTTTGACGTGTCAAAGAAGAAGCACAGCATCGATGACTTCTTGAATGAGAATGATATGTTCACGCCATCAACTCCACCACGCAAGCAACAGCAGCAACAACAACACCAGCTCCAAGAAGAGGAGGACGAGGTGGAGGAGGATGTCGAAGAGAGTCCTGAGGATGGAGGCTTTGAGTTTGAGCCAGAGGACGAGGAGGACCTTGACTCAGACGACTACTTTGAAAAGTACGATAACAATCTGGAGAWTCGTTACTGATGAGGAGGAGGACCTCGAGGTGGAGGTGGAGGACGAAATCATCGATGATGAGGTGGTCGACGATGACTACGAGTACGTCCCCGCCTCAGAGAGTCGTGCTTCATATCAATCATTCATCCCACAACAGCAACAGCAACAGTATCAACATCAGGTCATTCAACAACAACCACAATACAGACCTGCACCTGTACAGTCTTTGAAGTCAAGCAATCTAGTCCCACCACCACAAGCTCAGGTGCCACTGCAGCCACAACAACCACTTCAGTCACAGGCGCAACAAGCACCAGAGAATGACTTCTTTTTGGATCTTAGCGAGTATGGTCAGCGTATACGTGTCTGTGTTCGAAAGAGACCTCTGAACAAGAAGGAGCTGACAAAGAATGAAAAGGACATCCTGGAGAACAGTGGAAAGAAGGAGTTGTTGGTCCATGAGCCAAAGTATGTTTCCATTGACATGATTGAGCACGCACGCGAGGTTGGTCGATTACTAACATGAACCTACACATGACATACAGAGTCAAGCTGGACATGTCCAAGTACACAGAGAAGCACAAGTTTGTCTTTGATGAGGTGTTTGATGAGAACTCCAATAACTATCAGATCTACTTGCACACTGCCTACCCACTGGTCGACTCGATCTTCCACAAGGGCAAGGCAACCTGCTTTGCCTACGGCCAGACTGGCTCGGGCAAGACCTTCACAATGATGGGCTGCAACGGCGATGGTATCTATGCGCTGGCCGCACGTGACATCTTCCACCGACTCAACACCTACTTCCAGGATCAGCTGGAGGTGTACGTCAGCTTCTTTGAGATCTACGGAGGCAAGCTGTTTGACCTGCTGCACGACAGGAAGCAGCTGGCTTGTCGCGAGAACGAGAAGAAGAACGTTATCATCTCGGGTCTGGGTGAGCGACGCGTGAGCAACGCACAGGAGCTGATGGGCAGCGTGGACGAGGGCAACAAGAGCAGGTCGACTGGCTCCACCGGTGTCAATGCCGACTCGTCTCGTTCGCACGCCGTTCTCCAGATCTCGCTCAAGAACATCAAGACGACCAAGCTGCACGGCAAGTTCTCCTTCATCGATCTGGCAGGCAGTGAGCGTGGTGGAGACACCTACGACAATGACAAGCAGACCAGGAAGGAGGGTGCCGACATCAACAAGAGTCTGTTGGCACTAAAGGAGTGTATTCGTGCACTGGATCAGTCGTCCAAGCACACACCCTTCCGTCAGAGCACGCTGACACAGGTGCTAAAGGATTCGTTCATTGGCAACTCGCGCACTGTGATGATTGCCAACGTGTCGCCCAATCATTCATCGTCCGAGCACACACTCAACACTCTTAGATATGCCTACCACGTCAAAGAGCTTGGATCCTCCGAGGCCAAGACCAAGATCGTTCACTCATATAACATCCCTGCGCCACTTCCTCCACCCGATCATCTTGCTGTCAAGCCAGTAGTCTCCTCAACGCCAGACATCAATAACAACACCACTACTGCCGTCGTCGCCAACAACAACAACAACAACAGTAACAGCAACAGTAGCTTCAAAAGCAATAACACCGTTGTCGCCAATGAGCCACAATATTACGATAACAATAACATCAACAACAACAGCAGCAGCATGGTCAACAACAGTGCCAACAGCATGCCATCACAACTACAAAGGCCAAAGTCAATGGCACTGTCCCAGGCTCCACAACAGGTGTCCCAACCACCAGCAGTCGTACCACAACAACAACAACAGCAGCAACAACAACAAGTACCGATTACTCCAAGCGGACCGATCAAGGCATCACCAAAGTTTGACTATGTCAACCATCACCGCGCACACCTGGATCAACTGGCAGACATACTAAAGAAGGAGATGGTTGCGATTGCCCACTTTGAGAACCGCAACATGACGATAGACACGTATCTGGCCACGATCGATCAGCTGTTGGACAACAAGCAGATGCTGATAAATAATATGCGGTCGGTCATCCAGCACCAACAGATACAACAACAACAACAGTTGCCACCACAGGTACAACTGCCGTCTCAGCTCGTCCAGCAGCCACCCGCAGCCACCACTGCTCCAGCAGCACCCGCGACAAACGGACCGGCACCATCTGGTTTGAGGGAGCGTGCCCGCAGCCTGATCCAGCCGCCCAAGACATTCACTCGCAGTTAAGCATGTACAGTTGTTATTCAATTCTGTCCTGTCCACAACAATGCATTACCAAACATCCACTCGACAATCCAACACACAGATTGCAATTGGCTTCATCTACATCTTCTCATTCTCTCTCCCTTTACTTGTAACAACACATCATTATAATAAACCAATAATGATGCTAGCATCCAGAGACGAGGCAAGAAAGCACTGATGATGTCCAAAGTTGACAGATATATAAGAGCCTCATGGATAACATGTTATCCACTCTTTATTGTTGACGTTGCTCATAAGTAGAGGTTGTGGTAGTTGATGATATACTTGCATGAAATGCCATCGTCATCAGCGACATCCTCTTGCGTCTCCACTTGCTCCTCACGCTTACGCTTATGACAGAGTGCAACCAATGCATCGCTCAATTGCCACTCGAGTTGCTCTATCCGCTTGGCCTTCTGATCCTCATCGAGCATGTTGCGTGTCCAGTTGATCTCGAAATCCTTTGGTGTCAGTGGATGCAAGAGAAATGTTTCTTCGAACCATTCACTATAATCTTCCCCCACCTCCCTTGTGAGGTAATATTGGAAGTCAGTTGGTGTATTCGGATATCCATCTTTAGGCGCGTTAACTTCATCGAAGATAAAGTCCATGGTTGCTCCAACCTTGGTTGCCTCGGTTAACATGATCCACTTGTCAGCCCAAACTTTATGATGTTTGAAGAAGATAATAATTGCCTTCTTACAGTCCTCGGTGCATGCCTTGTCCAAAAGTATTGCTTTGTAGTCCTCGTCATCTTGCTTTGAAAAGTTGGGTGGTAGCATAGCTACTACCGAAGCACGATTCTTTATACCAATACCTAATGGTATGTTTGATCTATGTCTATTGCATAGATTATTAACATTGACTCCAAGTTTGGTAATAGGGTATTTCATAGTTCAATAGATATTAGAAATTGGATAGAGGAGACAGGGTAATGATTAACATGCCTGCATGAGGTTGATTGAATTTTGTGGTATGTTATTTAAATGTAAATGAGCTAATTTGTGGTTAGAGATGTAAAATAAATGGTGGTTTACATCCATGATCAACGACCCTTTGTCCTACGGTACTGCGAATCCCGATGACCCTCGTCACTTAATGGGTTCAAATGGTCTCCCACTTGACATTTTGTCAATGATGGAGGAATTCATAGTAACATACTGGGAAAAAGATGTCCCGCCAGTCAGAGAGCTGGAGTTTGTTCTTGGCGACCTCACTCAAACATGCCGAACCAAAGATCCTCTATTTAAACCCTCGGACAATGATGATGATGATGATGATGAGGAATATGACAAAACCACAAACTACTGCACCAACAACCCCGGATAAACTGGTGGAACTGGAAACCAAAATAACATCAACTATAGTAAGTTTATCCCTGGGGTCTACTACAGTAAGGACCAGATGCATGTACGATTCAACAAGTGGAATCTTGGCAGACTTCGATTCCCTGTTAGGTGGACTCTGGAGAACGCGGCCGCAGCTGTTAACAGATTTGAAGAAGTGTGTGGTGGATACTATAGAACTCTATTGCGCTAAAATGGTACCTCTAATTGGCCAAAATCAACTGATTTATCCCCTCAGATGCAAGCATTCAGAGAGACCCAATCATACTTAGAATCTCTTCATATAGATATAAGAATTCCGTATGAATTAGAAGGATATAATATTGTTGGTACGGAACTGGATTGGAAGTTTGCACATTGGAAGAATGTGAAAGGTGAAGATATGGATGATGAGCTTTAAAAAATAAAGAGTTGTTTATAAATTTAATAATTAACATTATTTGTTTATCAATCGATAGCAGTGACAATGAAGACATCCAACTCAGTTCATGGTCTTCAAGCGTACACAGGTGAGGTAGACCTGCGCACCTCATTGAGGACAGATGATCGATCGACAGGTATCAATTGTTCAGAACTTGCTTGGGACCCTAGACAGATCGATCAAACAATGTTCACTAGCTATCAATTAAATCATCAAGTGTGTTTATCAACATCAATCAATCAATCAATCGACCAACAAGTGTATAGAAGTGAGCCATCGATGCAATAACAGTGACATTGAAGACACATGACACTATAACTCATTTATGTTGGCAGCATCAACCAGTTGTGTTGTTGTTATAAACAGAGGTTGTTGGATTTATTGATGATTTCGAGCTATCCTCTCTGACTGCTGATGCTTCTGATCATCGATGTTGTTTAGTTGTAAAGTTGAATGGCATGTTGGATGGCGAAGATGTGGTTGTTGTCTTGTGCTTCTTGGTCTTACTAGCAGCAGTTGTTGTTGTTGTTGTTGTTGTCGTTGATGTCTTGTGCTTCTTGGTCTGTGCAGCAGCAGTTGTCGTTGTCTTGGGCTTCTTGTTCTGTGTAGCAGTTGTTGTTGTTGTTGTTGTCGTTGATGGCAATGATGATGCCTTTCTTTTGGTTGCTGACTGATGCTGCTTCAGTTCACTCACGCTGCTCTTTGATCTACAAGTGGAGGTTGTCTCTGGTGTGTTGGACTTGGTTGACAACCGACACTTCTTGTTATTCGCCTGCTGCGTTCTCTTTGTGGAGCCATCCTCTTCTTCGTTGGTCGGTGAGTATCCACTCTTGCTGGTGTGTCATAAATGGAGCCATTGTTAATGTGGTTGTCCAAGAAGGTCGTCAGGTGTCTGTCCACAACTGTACTGATTATGTGACTTGGTTGAGCATCCTCCAGTTCGCTGATGATTGCATCCACCTGTTTGCTGCTTGTTCTGCTGCTACTTGATGTCCTGTCCCAATGCTCGACAACATACTCGGCAAAGTAAATGGTCATCAGTCCACAACTCCAGTTGTCAGTTTGGATCGGCTTCAAGTTGTGATGTAGCTCCAAATGCCTGCTGCTGCTGCTGGCGCCTTCGTTGTCAATAACATTGTTGAATTGGTTAACAATCGATGTGGCCATTGTCAAATGATGTTTCCAAACCAACGGATCAATGATCACAGCCTTGGATTGTTGATGGCCAATGAGGACGGAGTGATGATGACCTCCGCTCAATATCGTAATGATGTAGTTGTTGTTGCTTTTGTTGCTACATCGATTGATTGATCGGACTGTTGGTGTTACTTGTTGTTGTTGTTGTTTCTGCTGCCGTTGAAGATGGTTTCAATTTCCATCTCCTCAATCAGTGTCGTATTAATATCAATAGAAGTGATTGAACAGGGTATGTGACTTGTCACGTACCCTGATGGTAATAAGGAACCCTATGTTTGTTGGTTAGATATATATTAGTGTTTTGGAGATGATTTGGACTTCCAAGGTAGTAGGTGGATTTGGTTCCAAACCCTCGCACCGAATGAATGGTGATCGGATCAGTTGGAGTGATTGGAGTCATTGTTCACTGAATCCATCAAATGCACAACTTTAACCTTTGCTATTTTGTTAACAAGTCGTTGATTTAACAACAAACTCTGTCATTCTCACAATACACAAGTTGAACCGTTCTCTGGATTTCAATTGCACCTTGGAGAGAATATGTCAATGTGAAAGGTATGTGCTTTGGATTGATGGACCAGGACCATTGTAATGACTCCATTCAAAACCAAGCACATATGTCCATTGATCTGGAACATTATGTGTATTCATCATTCCGTCGTTCATCTTCTTGGGGGTATGTACTCTCTCTCTCTTGACCAATCATTGATAAATTAACTACTTACTTGTAAGATTAGGCGAGCAAGTCACTTGTGTCTTCTAGCCATCAGAAGGGCTCCGCGTGTAATGATCACTCTCATGGGCACAGCAACGATTGAGATAAGGATGATCTCTTGGAATTACATATGTTTGGTTGAATGTAATGACTTCATTCTTTATCTCTCTCTTGCTACCTGTATCTGTCTTGTTCAAGATTGAATAAACAAAGAACTAAATTTTCGACTTTGTGTGTGCTCAAGATGAAGTTCTTGAGTTGAAAGTCAATTACTTTGTTGCAAGTTCATCACCCAAGTTCATTATTACAAGTTCAAGAACATATACACTATATTTAGTTCGATATAATGAGGTATGATGATACCTGTTCAGACAGGAACGACTTATGAAGAGCTCACCTAACAACAACAACAACAATACACAATAACAACGACATAGTCTACATCCAAATGTAACATGGTCAGAGAGACCAGACAGCTTGTTGCTCACTGTTGACGTAGCAACACAAAACCAATTGAAATGGGATGTCAAGCCAACACACTTCACATTCTCTGCCACTCAAGGTGACAAGAAGTACGAGGTGGACATTGAACTCTACAAAGAGGTCATCCCCGAGCAATGCAAAATCGCCATCGACATGAGACTTCCCACCTTCCTCTTCAAGAAGAAAGACACTGGTTACTGGAACTACCTTTTGGCCAACAAAGCCAAGTCAAGATTCGTCACTATCGACTGGGCAACATGGAAGGACGAGGATGACCTGGACGATGACGAAGAGGAGGGAGGCAAAGGCCAGGGCATGTTTGACCCAAGCAAGTTTGCTGCCATGGGTGGAATGGGAGGCATGGGCGGCATGGGTGGCATGGGCGGTATGGACTTCTCATCGATGGGCATGGATGATGACCTCGAGGGTGAGGAAGACGAGCATGACGAGCATGACGAGCATGACGATCACGATGGACATGGACACAGTCACGGAGATGGACATGGTCACTCTCATGGCGGCGGTCATGGTCACTCTCATGGCGGCGGTCATGGTCACTCCCATGGACACAGCCACGGAGGAGAGGATGAGGAGGAGGGCAAGGAGAAACCAGAGAAGGACGACAACATCAACTCTGTTGACTAAAACAGCAACCGACCACCTTGTTTGTAATGTATATCGTCAGTTCTAGATGACTATGACATCAATGAATAAAGAGTTTATTTCCAATTGTACATATTTGGATGGGAATGGAAAGTCCGTCCTCAGTCAAACAATCAATCCAGGTCCTCATCATCGAGGTCGTCATCATCCCCACCAAACTGTGAGGCAAACATCATTGCAATCTTGGCAGACATTGCACGTCGTTGGTCATCTGGCAGACCTTGCATCTGTCCACGTAGCTCTTGAAGTTGTCCAACGTATCCCTGCATCATATCGAAATATCCAAACTCCTCATTTACCTTGTTCAAGTCGTCATCTTCATCCTCGTTCTCCACCTTGTCTTTAGGTGCAGAAGGTGATGGCTTTGCCAACTTCTCAAAGTATGTCTCCAGTGATTTCAATGATTGATTCAATGACTGATCCTGACCACCTGTTGCCGGTTGCTTCTGTGATGACGATGTCGATCCAATCATTGTCTGTTCCAATATCTTGACAATATCATCCTGCTCTTGTTGCTTCTGTTCCAGTCCAATAGCAGAAGCAGCAGCAGAGGCAGTCACATCACCATCCTCTTCCTCATTCTCCTCTTCCTTGACATGATGGCTAGAGGCTGTCGGTCTACTCTCAGTCTTATACTCCATATCATCCCACATTGTAGTCTCTAGTATCTCAACCAAACGTTCTGTTCCATACTTTATCCTTGATGAGTCTGTGTTGTCAGTGATTGATTGGTGGGAACATCAAGTTAGTTCATGTTCATATCAATCAATGAAGTGATGATGATGATGATGATGATGATATGTACCAGTGTCAGAGTCTCTTTGTTGCTCACGTGACCTATGCTTCTCATTGTCCATGTATATATTCTCTATTGCCATGTCAGCACACCATTGTTCGATATCTGATGATGTGGACTCTGGATTGGAGCTCACCTCCAACAATACGATTGACTCCACAGCATCATATGACTCTTCCAGAGCATTGTAACGTTGTTTGATTGTATCCAATGTAATGTTTGAAGCATCATAGAGTACAAAGACAATCTTTACATCATCCAATGATGATGCTACCACACCTGATGATGAAACAGCATCCTCTGCAGAACCACTGCTAGACTCTACTATATGAAGTTGTACATCACAACTATAGTATTTAGTGTCCAAGTGTATAGTAGGCTTCTGTTGTGAGTTCCAATCAACGCCTCGCTTGGTCAACTCTATGTGTCAGTTGGAGATTAGTATGTTTGAATTGACGAATGTAAGTATCGATGTTGTTACAACCTACCAGCTTTAAACAAACTGATAATGTTTGTTGTATTATCTGTAGTAGCTGTAACTATATTTATTATGTTGTTGTTCATTGTAATATATTTATGTGATCACATAATGACTCGTATGATTGTGTTTCTAGTTGTTTGATTTGAGGGACCAAGGGCGAGGGTAGGGTAAGGGCAAGGGTTAAGGTCAAGCCCTTGGGCATGGATGTAGTAGTAGTATGTATATATATATTTATTTAGTAATAACAGAGGCACTCTCTTTCTCTCTAGATATAGATATATAGGTTTGAAATGGTACCATCATACATTATAGTCGTGTCTAGTCGTGTATGATGAATGATCGCCAACCAATGAATGAATGAGACCATGTATATATATGTATCGCAAGGTGTGTGTCGATTGCCATTGATTCAATCAATGATGTCCTAATGATGCAAGTCCACAGTGTACTTGTACTCGATGTTGTGCTTTGCGCACTCGACCTTGTTCATTCTGTATCCTCTGAGTCTCTGTTGTACAATATCGTATTGGCTCAGGTATGAAAGTGGGAAGGCGATTGCTGCCCACACTGCTGTAGTTGGCTTGTGACGGTCTGTTGTTTATAATGGTCGTGTTGTTGTGTTAGTATGTATCGTCATTCGTTCATTCATTCATTCATTCTTCACATCAATCAATCAATCAATGAACTGATTTGAATGAGTGATGATGTTCATGAACAGAACAGCAGTCCATACATGTAGCAAAGTAGTAAGCGGTGGTCAGTGCAGTTGGGATAGTGATAGCTCTGAGATAGTCTGAGGCTCTGAAGCTGCTCGTTGTGAGCGAGTGTGAAGGGTCTCTGTCGATCACGGGGAATGGTGGGATGACAACCTTCTCGATAGATGACTGATTAGCAATCTGCTCCATTGTATAGTTGGTCTCTGTCATTTCTTATTCTTGTTATTGTTATTGTTATAATTATATAAATATATGATGTATGAGTCAAGTAATTGGGTAAACTGACTAGCTCATTGATCAACACTCGAAGGGAACTTCGTTTGTTTCTTTTTTTTTTCAAACACCAATGCTCTGTTCAAGTTGTTGAACTTTAGGTTTCAGTTGAAGTGATAAGATTATTAATAGTGTTATTTATATATTAAAGATAGAATAGAACATAGACAGATAAAGAATGGCTGAAACATTAGGTGCATTCAACTATACCCCTGAGAATATCAACTTCATCATGGGGGAGATAAAGAATTATATCGGTTGTGATGATGTCCTCTCTGTATGTACTTTAATGAAGGATGTAGTAGTAGGAGTAGTGTAGGTGGCGATAATAATCATATTACAACAAGTTTTAAACTAACAAACACATATAATGTAGGAGTACATCATTGTAATGGTCAGGAACAACAAGTCAAAGAAAGAGATCATTGCAGAGTTGGCAGACTTTATTGATGGTGACTCTGAACCATTTGTCAATTGGTTATGGAATTTCATTAGATCCTACTTTGAACAGCAACAGCAACAAGCAGCACTAGCATCATCGACATCATCATCGTTATCGGCAATGAGTGATGGAAATGGAGGTAGCAACAGTGCCCCAACTCCAAACGATAGGAAACAGGATCTGCCGTCAAAGCCATCATCAAAGCTCTTTGTCAATGCTGTGAGACAGGCCACCGAGGACACCAAGAGCGCATTGCATCAGCACAACACATCAATGTCAGACTTTGACGACGACTCACACAATGCCAGTGGCCATCACAACCACAGCAGCAGTAGTAGGGGCAATGACAGGAGGAGGGATCGCGACAGACATCAAAACAAGCAGCGATCGTCACGACATAACGACCGTGAGAGCGGTGAGAGAGGCAGCGACAGAGGTGGCGAGCGTGGAGGCAACAACAACAGATACAACAACAATTCAGACCTGTCATCGTTCAAGGTGACATTCAGCACGACTGATCGCAAAAGGAAGATCAATGCCTCGGGCGAGATGGAAGAGTCAGCTGATCAGGCAGAGGTCGACACTGCAGTTCAAGTCGATGAGGACGAGAACAACCACAACAACGCGCGCAACAACAAGAGAACCGACACAAAGACCAAGTGCCAGTTCTGGCCACTGTGCAAGAATGGCACAACCTGTCCATTCTATCATCCCACCATTCAGTGCAAGTATGTAGTTAACGATTCAACGTCGCATACATCAAATATTGACCACAACCTCATGTCCATCCATTAAGCTTATTCCCCAAGTGTCCATATGGTGAGAAGTGTTTATATATCCATCCCTCAATTCCATGCAAGTATGGAGCAGGCTGTACAAATATGAGTTGTGCCTTCAATCATCCACAACGATCAATGATGATGTCATCACCATACGGTGGTGAATATGGAACGCCATGTCGCAATGGTTTCGCTTGTCCCAACAAGAAGCATTGTTCATTCCAACATCCACCAGTAAGTATTACACAATATCATCTTTATCATCACACAATCTCATCCTAACAACTACCTCTATTACTACTATACTAGGTCGCTTGTAAATATGGAGAGGGTTGTATGTATGGTGTCAAATGTCCATTTGGACATGGTAAGCCATGCATGTATGGTGCAAGTTGTGCCACTCCTGCATGCAAGTTTGCCCATCACACTGGCGCAGAGGCCACACCAATAACTGTTGAATGCAGAGTAAGTATTTGATTAGTGATGGAAATGAGGACAGAAACAGAATGATCCTAACAATAATCAATCAATCAATCAATCAATCAATCAGTTTGGAAAGGAGTGTACCAATCCAAATTGTAAGTTTGTTCATTCAGATAGGGATGAGAGCATGTCAACGACAACACCACCAAATGAGTCTACTACTGCCGCCACCACTACGAACGAGGAGGTGAGCACCGATGCTCTTTCATCGACTCTACCACCAACACCACCTCAAACTGCACCAGCCGATGAGGAGGCACAGATGAGTGCCTAAAGTCCAAACCAAAGGTTTGGTGCGATCTCAAGACAGGAGCAATCAACAACAACAGACAGCAGAAGCAGTACATTAGCCTACTGAATGAATAAATATCTAGCATTCCACAGCGGGCAGCCTGACAACTACCAATGGATAAGGACGAAAGAAGTCCATCCAAACAGGCTGCCAAACCCTCTAAATATACCCTACATGTATGCAGTGCACTTAAGTATTATTACACCTTTGAATGGACATATGTTCGATATATAAATATACTATAGAGCGTATTATGTGTATTTATTATTACTAACTTAATAAATATTTGAATTAAAGGCCGAGTTCTTGTTGGAGTTCTGCGAGGCGGGTGGAGTGTTGCGCTGGTAGGTAGATGGCTTCTCGTGGTAGAAATACTTGTTGAAGATGGCCAGACCAATCAAACTGCCAAACACTAGACCTCCGACCAGACAGATGATGATGATGATCTGTGTGGTGGTGGGTGGCTTCTGTTGGTTGTGCTCGCACTGGGCCACTGTGGTCATGCCAGTGTACGCCATGGCAGAGGTGGCTTGCTCGCGGATCGTCACGTTGAATCTGCCGTAGAGGTTGGTGAACTTGGCAGCGACATGTCCGATGGCAACATTCTTGGTGATGATGTTGGAGTAGTTGGTGGTGTCGTCCACCTGACTGAGTGAGATGACGTATGAAGTCGATGCCTCAAAGTTCACTTGGAGTGTCTCACAGGCGGTCGAGCTAAGTTGGGCGTCCAACGATGCGGCCTCAATGGACAGCAGCTTCTTTGTTTGGTATTTGTTGGTTGCGCTGGACTTTGGTGCTGTCCATTCAATGTCGACGAGTCCACAGCCAGCACCCTGGTAAGAGACAGAGACCAGTTGGTTGAAGGCAAAGTGTGCGAGCACAGACTGTGCGCCAAGAGGGCCGTCCAACTCGAGCTGGACACGACCGTCATTAGAGAACTCGGATGATGGCTGCTGCAGAATTGTGGACTGAGCAACACGCACCAGTGACTTTATAATCTGTTGATGTGTACGGCTTTCTTTGTACAGGGTGACCAGCATGGAGTGTTGTGTCTGGTCTTGGTTGTCAGTGTAGAGGAGGGTGTAGTGGCTTGCAATGGGGATGTCGCCAAACACTCCATCGTCACCGATGGTGTAGTGCTGCTCTCCATTGGCACTCAGCAGCTGAAGTGAAGTATATAGTGAGTGGTTGAGTACTCTAATGGTGGTGGTCGTGCGTTTGAAGCATTCCAGTGGTGACAACTGTTGTGACAGGCGAATAGGAAGCTCGATTATTGGTGAGTGGCTACTTGATGCATTGGCCATTATAATACATTGCACCACTACAAATGCTGAAATCAGCATCAATATATTGTTGTTGTTATATTTGTACATTGTCTATATTTGTATTTTGAGTTGAGTTGATATATTATATATATATTTGATTGACGTCGTCTAAAGATATATATATATTACAAAATGTATATATTATATATTGAGTGCGTTGTATATAAGTTAATAATAAACAATAATAGATAGATAAATAGATCTATGTATGTGATTGGGGAGATGTAGGTCAAACAGAGGGCGCTAATAGGAATGATCAAGGTGGACTGGACAACATCAGAAGACCTCAAAGACAATACCATGAGCTATGGTTGGATGGAGGATCAAAGGCAGGGTCATATCGTACAGGCACGCACACATTCATTCAACACACCTATTTACATTGACAACAACAATACAACCACTCAACTGTTGGCAAGATGATTGAAGCGCTCCACCCCATCCCGAGATTTGTTTATGCAGCTGACAACCATCCACCAACACCACACACACTCAGCCACTTGACTCGGATAAAACGACTCATTGAGCTCATTTTTATGTTGAATTGTGAGGCGATTTTGCCCTTTCAGGCCACTCGATTGGATGGCACATCAACTTGTTTGAAAAAGAGACAAAATATGGCCTACGCCCATAGGGAGCTCACCTTTGTGATTTAGATACTGATTGGAGTGTGGGCCTTTGATGCTAACAAAACCATCAATCTCGTGTGTCGCCCCAACATCTGCACGCGCCTCTGTGTCTTTTAAAGTGCGAACGAACATTGAAACTGTTTGATAAAAGCACATCTCTAATACGTCCGAGGTGATGGGTGGACAGCGGCGGGTTGGACGAGATGATTGGAGGACGGACGTGATGGGCGAGCGGAGGACATAGCATTGACAGTACTTTATTCGAGATCAAGGTCGTATAGTTGACGTCCCAGCTCCTCGATGGTGGTGACATCCAGTAAAGCAGGCCTCCAACAGACGATGGTTGACAGTGCATTGCAATGGTGAACCAAAGTGTAGCAGGTGCATCGGTAAATGAATCGTTGGGGGTTTGATTTGTAAACCTCTAGCCATGTCTGATTGTTGGGCAGACGGTAGCTATTTAGGAATGACCTGAGCTTCCTCTTGTTGCCGGCAAAGATCGATAAATGCAGTGATACCAGTTCGTAGTAACGGTCACCATAGTTGGCATCACCAAGATCAATGAACTTGCTTGCTCTCCAAACATCGATCTCGTTGTCATCATCTTCGTCCTCTTCATCACTTGGCACGGCACCTTTCTTTGTCTTTTTCTGATGGTTTACCTTGTTTTGTTTCTTCTTCTTCTGCTTCTCCTCTATGATTACATCGCCCAAGATATTCTCATCGGTCAGATCACCGTGAATGAAGCATGGAGGCAGGGTAGTGTCAATGTATCCATTGATGTCCTGTGGAAGATAGGATTCCATCTGGCTCAGAAGTTGATTGGGCAGACCACCCCAGTTCCACTGGTTCTCCTTGAACTTGCCGACCAACTCGGTGGTGATATGGTTCCTCCAGTGCAGCCATGGGTCATTCAGATCGGTAAGGAACGGATTGTTCTCTTTCGGTATGCTTAGAGTGTGAATGTTGGACGCGGTGTTAACCAACAATGGAATAAGTACACTATCATCGATGATAGTGAGCTCGCCATCATCCTCCTCCTCCCCTTCCTTTGGTGGATAGGGGAATGGTAGTGAATCTGGTACCTCTTGGACATCGATCAAACTGGTGGCATCAATGAAGCTCGTGATCATGTATGGCCAAGGCCAAACGTTATCTCCATCGGCCTTGTCTGGAGACTGGGTCAAATGTGTGAGGTGTCCATGTGCCAACACCTCTGGGAACAAAGGAGACAACTGCTTGTGCGTCTTGATCTGCTCATACATGTAGACCTCATGCTTGAAACACTTCTCTCCGCCATACTTTGAACTGAAGAACTTGATCACATACTTGGAGTTGACAATGAACACAGGCGACTGACCTGTCTCACTTGTCGTTATGACCATCTCACTCTCATTCAGTTCTGGGATGTGATGTCCAATCACACGCTTCACCATCGGATTCCAGTGTGTATCATCAGTGAACTTGACCTTCAACTGCGAGTCAGCCAGCTCGAATGCTTTAAACTTGGGTTCATACTCTGGCTTCTCCTTTAACAATGCCTCCTTAAAGCTATGATAATCAGATTCTCTTCCGTGTCTATTTATACGAATACCATGACAATGTTAGTATTGATTGATCGATCGATTGATTGATTGAATGATTGAATATACATACGCTAAGTCTGTACAAACACGGTCAAAGTTCTGAGAGTCACAGAAGTTCTGGGTGACTGCAATGGACTCCTCGAGGTTGAGTACCATGTGCCACCATCCACCTGGAACAAAGATTGTCTCGCCTGGGTTCTGTATGCATTCAATTGGACGTTGGTCTGGTGGCAGGTAGGGATACACCTCGAGCAGCCAGAGCAATGAGCCTGGTGAGCCATAGAACTTCTCAACAATGTCCTCTAGCTCCACTCCTATTGGATTGATGGAGGGTGGATACATCAACCATCGCTTGCGGCCAGAGACCAGACTGTTCCATGCACTTGTGCCAGCTGGATCGATGTGCCATGGTGCTCCCGAGCGAGGAGGACCAATCACGATCCATCTGTAGTGAGGTCGTTTCTCGCCTTGATACTGGAAGAGGTCCTCGGGGAAGAACTTGTCGTGAACGGCGTAGTCTTTGAGCATGTTTGGTGCCTTCTCGCCAAAAGACTGATCAAACACGTAGAGTGGCTCCTCGTCCAGCTGTGTGGACATGTAGTTGGCGTAGTCTTTGAGCTTCATTGGAATGTTCTTGTGATCATTGTGACTGATCTTGAAGGTGATGTCGCCATAGGTCTCCACCAGCTTGTCTTTGGCCCAGTTTGTGTTGGCCGACCACTCGGTCTGTCCGTGTGTGAGCAGCACTGGTATGGAGGGCTGCTCATATCTGTCGACAAACTCTTGGTAGGTCATCTCGTCGGTGCGTCTGCGCTCAACCAACTTTGAATCGACAAAGTAGTCCTTGACGTCCATGTGTCTGCGAAGCCATCTTGTGTAGATCTGTATCGATTGGAACTCTGGACAATGGATGAAGGACCTGCGCAGAGTGCTTGGGTCACGGCCATTGGCATAGAGATGGATCATTGCCGTGGTCTTCCACGAGCCACCAATGTACACCAGTGGTTGTTTACTGTCCTTGATCTCGTCGATAAAGACATCCATCCAGAGACGATCATCATTGAGCAGGATGTAGAATGCTTTGCTGATGGCTTGCAAGGTGAGCAGGTCATTGACGCTCAACATCTGAAAGACGGCCTCTAGCAAAAAGTCATCCTCCAACACATTGAACAGGCCCAGTCCAGCAATCCTACATTCATTTGTCTTGTTGTCATATTGATTCACTGGTTCTGTTGATATTGTTGTTGCAGTCACAGTTGATGATGATTTATCTTTTGACTTTGTTGTTGTTTGTTGTTTCTTCCTCATATTGGTATTGTATTGTTATAACAAATATTAATAATAAAATATATAAAGTTTCAACGAATCTCAATGTTGTTGTTGTTGTTGAAGATGAAGATAGGTCAACAATATAATTATGTTTAGTTCTAGAATCGGACGTCCAACCAAAGCAAGGTTGAATGATAAGTTCAGTATCCCCCTCAATTTGCAAATGAAACTGATAAAAAGTATCTCTCTTTTGTGTCATCATCCACATTATTCAGTGAATTGTGTGTGTGTGTGAGTGGATACTTGGACCTTTGAGGTCAAAGAACACAAACACCCCTTTGCTTTTGTGTCAACATCACACAAACACCAACATTAAAAATCAAATAAATATGGTTATTTTTGAGAGATAAATTAAATTATAATTAAATAAATAATGTAAAGATACATGAATAGATCATTATCATGCTTGTCACCATCAACACAACCACCACCTCACCCACTGCAATATCATCAAGCCCAACTCAACTTGTCAACATCACTTCAATTTTAATTTAATATATATATTTATGTAGGTAGAGATAATCACTTCATCATGACTAAATATGTTCACCATCATACAACAGGAGGATGAGGAGGCTTGATATCAAGCACACATTGAACAAGTCATTCTCTCTCTACTTCTTATGATCTGTTGATCATGTCACTTTATGTCACTTCATGTCACTTCATGTCAAACCATCATCACCATAATGTCAACAACAAAAGATACAAATGCTAACATACAATTTGATTTACCTTTCCAATCAATTAGATAATCACAAACAATGAGCGGATACCCACCCCCAGGAGGTTATTACCCACCACAAGGAGGTTACCCACCAGGAGCTTACCCACCTCCAGGTGGCGCCTACCCACCCCAAGCTGGCTACCCACCAGGAGCCTACCCACCCCAGGCTGGATATCCTCCAGGAGCCTACCCACCAGGACACCACGCTCCAGTTGGCTACCCACCAGGAGCCTACCCACCAGGTCGTGCCTACCCACAGGGAGCCTACTATGGACATGGCCACCACAAGAAGCACAAGTTCAAGGGATACAAGAGACACGGATACAAGGGATTCAAGAAGGGATTCAAGAAGTTCAAGAAGGGATTCAAGTTCTAAACAGGTCGGTATACTGCTCTCTTCAAACAACTGTTGTCTAATTACATCCAATCCTCAAGTCTGGTCTACTCACTCTCTCCTTCTCTAGAGAGGTAGTGCAGTACTCAGTCTTTGTTATCATAGCAACACACTAATAAACCCTAATTGACTAAGGTTATTATGGTACCAATATAATATAAATATATATGTCTTTGTGTCTTGACTTTACTAGCTGTATCAATGTAATCAATTATCCAACCAAGGATTTAAAGTTAATAGTACATGTTATGACACATTGGTGTTTATTGAATCAGGGACTAACTAAGAACATACATTAGTCATCCTCTACCAAGTGAGTAGTCTGTGCCACATTGATGTTTGGAAACTTGTCATTCAACAGAGATTGAAGTGTTCTTGTCTTTTTAAATATGTATTCCAGGTCTCTCTTCATCTCTTTGAGCATCTTGGTGTGCTTCTCAAAGTCGTGTGACACCTGGGCATACTTCTGAGCCGAGTAGTCGTTAAAGTGTTGCAGTGCAGTGTTGGTCTCGTATTGTTTGGCCAGTCTATTTGATGGTGAGGTGGTGGTTGTGATTGTTAGTGTCAGCATATGGGAATGAATCAGTTGTAGTTGTGTCATTGACAATGTTACCATACATTTCAGTCTGTGTATTCAATATATTGTGTATATCATTCTGATTGGTGATACTAGATATCTCATTGGTCACCACTGTAGACGCTGTTGTAGGCATAGGTACAGTATTACTGCTCTGTTGTTGTTGTTGTTGTTGTTGTTGTTGTTCATGCTCTACATTTTGTTGTTGTTGACCATCTATTGAGGATGATGTATTTATATTGTCATTCAAGTCTATCTCTTGTTGTTGATCATTGATGTCCAACTTTTGAATTGATGTATCGATTGATGATGTAGCAGTAGAAGTCTCTTCAACTCCTAACTGATTCGTAGTGTCTGTCATTATTATTATTTATCAGTATGTATATATGTAGATATCTTTATGATTAAGTTTCGAAAGGCACTTTGATTCTTTAGTCAAACACAACGACTCGATGGAAACTTCCAGTTTACCCTATTTTAGGGGTGTACTTGTGATGATCATCATTCATTCTTATTACATTGTGCTGGTACTCCAAGTGATAGATCGTATATTCATCAGATGTCAGAACAAGAGGAGTCAATTGAATCATCATCATCATCATCAAACAATATCAATGGTCAATCGATACCATCGTTTGCCGACTTTAAGATCACCATCTCAATACCACCAGACAATCCTCCAATCTCTCAAGTCGATCAGTCAGGTCTAGAATACCATGCTGTGTACGTCTATACCCTTTGATACTTCCAGTAGTAATGTAACTCTTCTCTAACTAACACATCATCAATCAATCATCAATCATCATCATATCATTATCAGCCAACCAAACAGCGAGGGACGTTTCGTTCAAGTATTGAACCAGATCAAACAACAGGAGTACCTTCAATCACTGATCGACAAGAAGAAAGTGAATAAGGATGAGTCAAAGGATGAGGCTGACTCTCTACAGGCTGCTGCCAACCCAATGGCAGAGTTCACCGATCATATGAACTTGGCTCGCATTGAACTCGAACAAATGATCTTCTTGATCGATATGATCAGAACAGAGAAGCACATCACACTGGCCAGCACTGACAAGCCACCTCCATCAGAGAATCGTGAACTATGTGAGACTGTACAAAAGGTCTCTTTAAAGCAAAAGGTATGTTTGTTGTTGTTCATTCAGTCTGGAGCTCGCTCACTCATTCTTTCATTGATCGACTACATAGGCATTGAGTGATATGGCCAATAGACTTACACAAGGAGCAGCTAGGATGAAATCAACTGTTGCCACGGCATCATCATGGTGGGGCGATGTATCTACACTACGATCAAAGTGGAGACTGAAAGGAAAGGAATCTGCTGGCTCAATGATGGCCCCACTTGGCGCTATTAAGAGCAACAGCAAGCGACTATCCATTGACTATGGATCATATACATGTACGTTTTGTGCATCCATTCATTCATTCATTGACCATATACTAACTAACTAGCATGACCATTGGACTATGCAGCTGGATCATTTGTCGAACAAACCGAGGCAGACCTATCACGAAATGCTAAGGGAGAGATCAGTATATCATTCCCAAACCTGTCGACACAGTCTGCGATCAACAAGCGACTGTATATCAAGGTCAAAGCAAGAGACTCAAAGACATTCTCCAACAACTCTAGTCAAAGTATAGTTCGATTGCCAGCGACAGATCACAGCAAGTCATACCGTGAGTTTGAACAGCTGCTTCAGCGCATTGACACATTGTCTGTGGATGAGGCACGCAAGCTATCCTTCCTCAAGTGTTCCAACCTGTTGAACAAGGCGCAAAAGTATCAATTCCACTCTGAACTGTTCGAGGCCGTAAGTATCTAGTCCATTCATTGGCCTGACAACAAGATACTCACACCTGTCTGGCACACTATAGTTGGCAAAGGAAGCTGCACTGGGAACAACTGGAGAGATCGTTATGCAGACAGAGAAGGAGATTAGGATAGATTGTGGTGGATTGAACCTTTATGTTGGCATGGAATCAAGGAGTGATGCTGGTGGTGTAGATGATGATACTGATGAATCAATGGATACAGACAAGGCAACTCCAACCACAACAACAACACCATCCAATAAGCTACAACTGGGTGGCAAATGTGTATATAATGGACAGACATCCGCAGCATCATCAGGTGTTAACCCCGATGACGTTAACAACCGACTTCTCTTTGTTGTGAAGATGGCACTGAAGAAGATGTCAACACTTCAACTTAGACGATCACAGAAACAATTGCTGCTCAATCCCAACAATCGCAATCCAAAGATTGTATTTGGAAGGAAACACACAAGCTCCTTCAACGACGATCTGATCTCAAAGACAGCATCCATTCTTCGACACTTGGACATGTTCCTCCGAGTGTCCACTGTGATTGACATCATCGAGCAGCGTCTACCAGTCAGGGCCAAGTACATATCAGCTGGCTCACTGTCCTCATCGCTCATCGTGCTCAGTCTGATCAAGAGTGCACAGCTGTCTCGAGCCATGGTTGCAATCGAGGTCGAGGTCAATCAGAACCAGGTGATGGTGGTCCAAGGCCAGTCCAAGTCGACCATCAATGATGAGAAGCTGGTAGGATGCTTCATTGTAAATTTGATACAGAGCTACTTTGTTGAGGAGATGTCCGTCTCTGGCAGCACTCTATTGGAGATATCAGCATCATCAGCGTTGGCACTCTCCACCTCTTCTTCTTCTTCGTCAAACAAGACATTGACATCAACAAAGAAGAAGCACAAAGGAATGAATGGATATATGAGCAAGCAAATAACAAATAACTCTCCTGCTGTAAGTGCTGGATCGGAAGCAGTTCTCACATTGACCAATCACTTCCAGTCGGTCATCAACCAAATAAATGTCGTATAGCATAAGCATGATGTAGAACACAACAACAACAACAACCGAAGGTAGTTCACCCAGTTCTGATTAGATCCCACCAATGATCTTATACGTTCTTTACGAGTGATCAGAGAGACAATGTTGATTGATTCATGTGGATCACTAGTAGTTAAAGACAGCAAACATTCCAACTTGTAGTGCACCATGGTTAAATGTTACCCCACTCGTTTCCCCAACTGCACCATCAGTAGGTGTGAAAGTGAGTGAGAGATTTAACCAGGGAGGTGTGCGTTGATTGATCAATCACTTTCCCCAAGTTGCACTAACTGTTTGAGGTGAATGTGGGGAGTGGTATGAAAGTGATAGGGTTGGGTATATGATTATTTGTTCAGTTTAAGGGATTTTGATTTAATGATGGTGCACTGTTGGTGAAAGATAAAGATCATTCACCGAATCCCCTTCGCATTCTTTGCTTTTCAAGTGAAGCACACCCCTTTGATTATTGGGGGGCCGTCAATCATATCTTGAGCTAATTTTAAGAGTGTGCCATTGGTAAGGTATGAATTGTGGTGGACACGCGATGCAATTCAGGAGCAAAGGGGGAACATCCAAGTATTGACAGCCACCCATTGATCCATCCATCCCCGGTGACAAACATCCTCACTTTCAAATTCTATTTAATTTAAATTAGAATCAATCTTATCAACAACAAAAAAACTCAACACATACATATAAATAATAAAAGAAGAAATAGGATTGGAGCTCATTGTGTTCAATTCATTTCGACATCTCATTGGATCATTTACATATCTATAATAGGAGGACAACAACCACCACCACGTCTTCCCATCCGAAACCAAACACAAATTCCTCCAAAATACCTTTTGCCAAACATCCGTTCACTTTGCCAACAGCAACCAGCAGACTCGTCTACACTCAGCTCTTTGGTTTATTATAAATAGCCTTATTTGTACTCGTCGCTACTTAAACTAGTAATAACGACTGCATCACCAGAGTGTCTACTCTGAATCCATCAACACTTCTCCTTCGATCACCACTTCAACATCGACATCTTCGCGCGGCATCCCATCAACATCTGTCAGAGGGGGGTACACTCGACATTCAATCCCTATCACACACACACATTCCATCTCTCAAACACTCTTATTAGAACCTACCAATCCTTTCACACACACGACTACCCCCATTTGGACATTGTGTCCTGTCTCTCCTCACTCTGTCCATCCATCATCATTATTCCTCCAAAGTACACACTCAACATTACAATCACACTACCTATCTATTTAATAATAATCGACCAAATCAATCATAATCATATTCATAAACAACAATTGTTTATATACTTATATACATATAAATAACATTTAATATTTAATATATATTATTTATTATTATTATAATCAATATACTATTCTATCCATACTACATATAATATTTTATAAACATGATGCTAAAGAAAGAAATGCCAGAGTGTCTAAATTATTATTGTATGTCCACTATTGTGGAGTTTATAATGAATGACTTAAAGTCACTTCAAAACTCATTGTCAGAGAATGATAATGATGACCTTCCTGATGACGCCAGCTTCGAGGAGGATAACATTGATTTGCCAAGCACCAATAACCGAACTGAAATTGATCAAACACTTGGAAGCAAGGTACAGTACCTTGGTGATAAGGTACTTGTAAAGTTGTCCTTGGTCAGTTGGCGTTGGTTCAATATGGTTTCATCAAAGATCAATCACATGGACGTCCGTATTGCCTCAGAGACCACCTTGTCATTCCCTGGTCGTTGGGTGAACGGAAAACAGACATGGAGTGGCCCAGTACCATTTGCTCGTCTCTCCTCCAAGTTCTCAATTATCAACTTTAATCACATCACAACTTTGACCATTATGTTTGATAGCACCATCCGATCGTTGGTGACCAAGGAAGAGTTCCTTGAGTTGACCAAGGATTTCAGATCAGGTCCAAAGGTACACATGATCCCAGTCATCAAGAGAAAGAGAGCCTCCAAGACTATTGAGTGTGCTGCCCAGGGATTATTCCAGTACTTGCCAAAGCTGAGAGTTGCCAACCTCCATTTCAAAAGATGCTTCAATGATGTCGGTCCAATGGTGATCAATCTTCTCAATCCATCGATCGACACTCACATCACATTGTTGCAAGATCTCTACCAATTGTCCAAGGAGAATCTCGATGTTGACCTTCCTCCAAGGGACATGTGGATGGACATCCCATTTGTCAAGTCTACTACAGTTCTATCCCAATTCGACACATTCGAGGATGAGAACATGTACTTTAGATTCCTCCAGGCCCACCGTCCAGACAACCTGGTCCTTTCATTGAACACCACCGGTTCCTCCAACCACGCTCTCTACCAACAACTGTTCATGCTAGACTCGATCAAGAACTGCACCATAAAGACCGATTATGTAGAGATGGCCGATCTCTGGATTGCGATGAAGACATCAAACCTCGAGACATTGAACGCCTGCATCCTCTATCACCAAACACTCCACGACTCCAAGTTTGCTCATGACAACACCAACAATGCCCACACCGATGACCTTTTCAAACAACACACAAGCGAGGACCCGTACTACCAAGGAATGAACTTGGAGTGGATCACCAACACCACACCACGTTATCACTACACCAACATCTGCCAACACATCGATGGCTTCTTCCAATCACTTTCAGCCAACACATCACTTAAAGAGTTGTCCTTGAAGAACTACTCTATCAACAACGACAACCGTGCTCCAAGTGGTCTTCGTCCCACACTTGCCTCGCCACGATCCAATCACTTGAGTCTTGGACTCTCCCAGGTGTTCCTCACCAACAACACCCTGACTCAACTTTCACTGTCTGGTCTAATTGGAATCACGTCGGCTCATTTCTTCATCTCACTCGAGAACAACGAATCACTTCATTCTCTCTCCCTGACTGATGGCACTGTTTTGGATGACAACGATGTACTTGCGGCACTTTCCCGAATGCTCCAGAAGAACAAGACTCTCAGACACCTGTCCCTTTCAAATAATGAGCTCAGAGATAACGACGGACATATCTACCAAGGCCTTCATCTTAACTCTGGTCTGACCAGTGTTGACCTCAGTCTGAACAAGTTTAAGCGTGTAGACACCAGGTGGCTCAAGGGCAGCCAGATCAAGACCGACATTGTCAACAACGACGACCATCACCAGAAGGAGTATGCGACCAAGAAGCAACAACAACTGCAACATCAACGCCACGGTAGTCATTTGAAAAGACAAGTTATTAGCGTCACTGACTCGCAACAAGTGTATTAAACATTATATTTAATTATAACCAAGCATTCTATTGGTCACATAGAATGTCTATTTTTATCAGCCAAAGTGAGAGAGAACTTAATGTTGTCCCTGGTGGGCGAGTTCCCATTTTGTCCAATGACGGTTGGTAAGGGGTGAGATACAATTGGACATTGTTTTGATACAATGGCATTACCCAGTTTCATTAATATTGGGCAAAAATGATTCTATGTATACATTGTGTAACACAACGGGGAAGGATCATCCATCTTGGTGATGATGGATATATCCAAAAGACGTTACATAAATCTTTGTTGTTGGGTCCAATCCATGTATGAGTGTGTGAGTGAGAGGATATTTACTCACATTGATATTTTCTTTGACCTTTCGCTCCAAACCAACCAAATTGACTAAACACACACACACTGTTTTACAAACAAACAGTTTGTTGTATCTACAACTCGACTGAACCCTAAACAAATAATATATATAATCTCTCTTTCTTTCTCTTTCTCTATCTTTGTACATATACTACTATACATATATATAATATTTATTCTAATTGTTGTACTCCAACAACAACAAAACAACAACAACAACTATATTAAAGAATGAACGTAACAGCGGCAGCAGCAGCTTCATCAACTACATCATCTTCTAATGATGATCTTTTATATCAAGACGATGGTCAGGGTGATGATGTTAGGGAGCAGGATCGTTATCTTCCTATTGCCAACATTATTAGGATTATGAAGAAGGCTCTACCAAACAATGCAAAGGTGGCAAAGGATGCCAAGGACACCGTACAGGACTGTGTCAGTGAGTTCATCAGCTTCATAACGAGCGAGGCTAATGAACGGTGTCAACAAGAGAAGCGCAAAACAATCAATGGCGAGGATGTCATCATGGCCATGACTGCACTTGGCTTTGACAACTATGCCGAGCCGCTAAAGATCTACTTGGCACGCTATCGTGAGACGGAGAAGAACAATCAGCAGAATGGCAAGAAGTCACCAAAGAAGGGTGCCGTTGGTGGTGAGCTGCAAGCTTCACCCAGCAACTCATCATCTCCGAAACAAGATGCTATTAACAGTGTCGGCGGTATATTGATGCAACAACAACAACAACAACCTGTCGAAACCAATCAACAACATCCCGACATTTCGAATGGTCTTTCACACCCATCCCTCTTTGACCTGTCTCAACAACAACAACAACAACAACAACAACAACAGCAACAACAGCCAATCCTAATGGCACATGGCAACAATATCTATCTTAACCAAATACCCGACACACATGAGAGTTTGAGTGGATTGGTAAGTAACAGATACACTTCAGACAAGAAATACCTGTCTCTCTAACCTAAACATTGTCATTTAGAATCAACACTATTACCAGAAGTAGGTGGTGACTATTTGGTCAGTATTCCCTAACTATATATACACATACACATATACATATATACAACATGTAATCTAATATATACAATGAATGAACGAACGTTTGTTGATGATACATACCCATCACGAACGACATATATACACATATTTATAACGCCCATATATATACATAACATAACGACACATATAATAAAGTCAATGAATAAGGAGTAGGATAACAATATCGTCTAATAGTAGTATTATTATTATTATACATTTCCATTCCAGATAGGCCTTGTTACGATACCAGGTGGATTGGCTTGTGTGTGTATGAGTTATGTATGAGCTGTGTCTTGGTTGGAGTCTCCAAAGGGCTAATGAGTGATTGATTAGGTGGTCTTTGTCAGACCAACAAAGACATTCATCGATACACCCATTACGATTCCAAACTTGACGTTCCTCGCTAGATAGTCTTTGGACAGCCAAAATAGACTGATCGGTCCAAAGAAGAAGCCAGAGGCAAGTCCAAACAGTAGCTCCAGTGAGTCTCTAAGTATATTGGTTTGCAACGACATTGCAAATGCCTGATCATCCTCTAATATAATAGCTGATTGTACTCTTCCATTCTGTATGCGATGATGGTATTAATATGTAATGTTAGTTGAGCACAACTTTGATGATGAAGCTGATGATGATATATTGCTCATCTTACCATTTCCAAAACAAAGTCATTGTTATTTGTATTGCTGTTGTTAACAACATTCGATATGATTGGTGGAGTGCTAGGAGAGCTGTTGACTACAGGCACAGCAGCAATAGTGTTGTTGTTGTTGTTGATGATAATGTTGTGATTGGTAATGTTGTTTAAACATGTATTGTTGCTATTGTTGTTGTTTGTAGAGTCACTGCTAGGTATTGACAGAGGCATTGTAATAGAGCATATTATAAAGGCACCATCGATTAGTTTCGACTCCCTGACCGTTTGATTGTCGCTGAGCATTCGTCCATTGTAGACCATTCTCAATCGATGTGCTTTCTTGTTCTTCAACTCGAGTATCCTGTGCTTGACCTGCTCGATAGTGTCACTCAAGCCAACATCGATCGTGACAATGGGGTCCTCTGCACTTCTAATGTTGACTCTAATAGTATCGTCCAACTTTGTTGTGGACGTGATAACAGCAGTGTTGTTGTTGGTGTATGGATGTTCTATCTGTTGCTGTTGCACCAGTTGCAAGTATGAAGGTGACTTTCCCTTGCCATTTGTATCATCATCATCAACATCAATCCCTATGTTCATCATATTATTATTACTAGTATTATCTTTCTATCTATGTTTCAAACTTTTGAGATATGAGTTACGACACACTCTTTATTCAAAACCAGTATTGAGAGTCTCCAAAATTCTGTGTTCCAATTCCCATCCAACACACCATGGTCATTATGGTTGTTGCGAATTGGTTGTTGACAATCAATACATCCTGTCAGACATGAATCTATACTTCTTCTTTGTCTGTGGTGGTGGTGGTGGTGGTTATCATCGTTATTTCATTCATGTCGGCCATCTCTCTAGGTAGTGTATATATATGAATGAATAATCATATATATATATAATAAATATAACTACTTGATTTGTGTGTTATTCTGTGTAATCTGGGTTAATGATGGTGTGAGATGTTTGTGTGTATCTCTGTCTGTGATCGATCACGTGTTATTGTTGGGGGTGTTGGAGGGGTGTGTGTCAATCAATCAACCAGGTTCAATTAGTGATAATAACATATGATTTCAGGATTGTGAGATGATGATGATGATGATGTTGAATTGTTGTTGTGTTATTGTTGAATGTTGTCCTACCTTTCATTTATCAATTTCAACAACAACAACAACAATATAATTAGTTAAACTATTCATCATATAAACTATTATTAACAAGCTGTCTAGGTAATATAAAATCAAACTCGCATGTACAAATAATTGGCACACCTCACACATCAGTTCTTCTCCAAACTCTACCCAACATCTACAATAGCACTTCGAGGTCACTTTCATCAATTTTAAAACCAACCCACCTATCTATCTATCACTACAATATTCATTTATCTTTATAACTATACGCTGTATTCTCAAACTAAAGTCTTCTAACGACAACAACAACAAACCAGCTGACAATCAATCATTATCAACACAGGTATCACAACTGTAACAGAGTAGCATCTTACAACAGACATACATACACGTACAATACCCATAGACTTCTATGTTGTTGTTGTTGTTGCCTCCCCTATTGAAGAATGCTCCCCAGTAAAAGAAAGGATTCGTACACCTTTGCAAATACAGGAAACAACACCAAGAGGAGACTTTCAACTGTATGTATTATAAGTTAGATAGTTTGATTAGTTCAGTATCTCACTCACTCACTTTACTCAATTGCATAGAGAGATTATATAATGGAAGACGACGATATGTCATCACCAATCGCCTCACCAGCTTCAGGCCATGACGAGACAATGGAAGTCATTGAGCAACAGAACAACGAACAAGAGTATATACTCTTTTGCATTGATCTTGATGAGGAGATCAACTCGATATTCAAGCAGACCAATCCCAGACTGGATCACATCAAGAAGGCACTGTCATTGTTTGCTCGTAGCAAGTTGCGTTTGGACCCCAACACCAAGTTTGCCATATGCATCCTCCGTGTCTCTGCTATCTGGTACATGGACTTTACCAGTGACTTTGTCGAGATCAAGTCAAAGTTTGATAGCTTGAAGCATGGTGGTCGATTCACTGCTTTCGATATGACTACTCTATTTGATACAATGTAAGTTACAGTGGACAGAGAGTGATGAGAGCATGTATCACTTACATTGTTACAAAAATTTAGCGAGGATACATATCGACAGATATCAAAATCAAAGCAAATACAAACACAGACAACAACATCATCATCATCATTAGCATCTTCAATATCAAAGAACTGGAATCTTCGTGTAATATTCATTTACTCTCGATCCACAACAGTCCCTCAATACTTTGGAGGTACAACAAGCTTGGAGGCCCTAAAGAGACATCCAAACTTCTGCTTTGAATCTATATATATGTATCATGTCTATCACACCGATCACTCAAAGGTATTGTATTATGTATCATCATCATAAGATTCACAGAGTTTATTCATACTTACAATATTGTCCATTATATTACCACCACCAGATCGTTGAGGCCATCACACATGCAACAAGAAATATATCAAAGATTTCTGATCAATCATCGATTAGAAAGTTCTACTATTGCTTCCTTGGTATCATGTTTGTGCCTCCCTCGCAACGACCAACCACACCCAAGTACCAACGCTTCCCAGTTGGTCTGATTAACGAGCATTTGGATCGATTGGCTCCAAGTGGCAAGAGTCTGAGCTCACTCTCGTCGATGGGTGCCAAGGCTGTACCTCCCCAACTTGGTTTGATATCTCATGCCCCCTTCATCCAAATACCTCACCTCAATCAACTACAGGTGCCAACTCCTCAGATCATTCTACAGGTTCAACAACAGCAACAGCAGCAGCAACAACAACCTCCAGCACCTCAACAAGACCAACCAGCTATTGAGTTTGATGAAGATGTCCCATTGGCACCACCACAGGTTCATTTGATTCCTCAACCACAACCACCCCAACAACAACAACAGGCACCAGCAGGTGCCAATATAGATATCAATCAGGACAATGCGAACATCCAGATCGATAATAATGTAGATGACCAAATGAACAACAACAACAATAATAATAATAATGAGAACAATGGTGTAGAGGATGAGATACCTGCGGCACCACAAGCTGCACCAGCAGTAGCTCCAGCATTGCCAGTCGTTCCCGCTGCTGCTGAGCAACAACAACAACAACAACAACTGCAACAACAATTACAAGTACAACCAATTCAGATGTTTGTCCAACCAGGTCAGCAAGCTGGAGGTAATCAGACCATGGTGCAAGTCCCATTCCTTTACTACCCATTTTTCCCACTGATCCAGAATGGAAACAACAACAACAACAACCTTCTGGCACCCAACCTAATCGATCCAACTGGCGTTTCCATCTACCATCCCTATCAGTTCATGGCAACCAATGCTCAACAATTACAACAGGCGCAACAATCTCTCAAGTCCAAGTCAGCCCTCAAGACCTCGAGCGAAAACAGCACAGAGGATCCAAACGCAACCTCCTCTCTTGGTTCCATGATGCGGCCATATATCAACAATGAGCAGTTTAGTGATGTTGTGTTTCTGGTGGGCAAGAGCAACGACTCACCTGGCGAGCAAATCTATGGTCACAAGGTCATTCTCAGTGCCAGGTCAAAGTACTTTAAAGCACTTTTTACCAACGGCATGCGAGAGAGCGGTGGAAATGGTGAGATAGTCGTTCCAAAGGTGTCCAGAGATGTCTTCCTGGCTCTCTTGTGCTATCTCTACACAGATGACCTGACACCTTCAGAATCATCATCGACATCTTCCACCACGACCACTACCACAACGACAACAACGACGACATCATCATCATCATCCACTGCAGTCACCACAACATCAAAAGGAAATGGATTCTCATCGTCATTGCTGACGGAGTTGCTTATATTGGCTAACCAGTACATGTTGGACGGACTGAAGATCAAGTGTTGTGAGCTCATTGGTGAGACCTTGTCACCTAACAATCTAGTGTCGCTCATGTCCTTGGCCAGTGTTCACGAAGCCACCGAGTTGCGTAACGCTTGCATATTCTACTTCTATACAAACCTGCCCAACATCTTGCGCGATTGCCTCTTTGAGAGGGAAGGACCGAGCGAAGGATCTGAGGCATTGGGATTCCTCATTGTCGACTACTTCAGCAAAGTTTCTAAACTGTCATCATCCGATGGCAAGTCCGACGACTCCAACACCAACCCAGAGATTAACGCCAAGAACTTTGAAGAGCTTGTGTCGTTGTTTTGATCAACCTGACAACCATATCTCTCTCTCACTTATCACATTGAATTATTTATTCAACCATAACAACAACAGTAGTAGTAACAGCAGCTACCCAATCACCACAACTTGTAATAAACAACAACAAACAAACTTGTCCAGCTGGTGACAAGTATTTGATTTAACTATCTGTAGCTCTTTTAGAGCTCCTTACAACACAGGTTTATTGTTGTTGCCCTTCTTTATCTCCTCGATCCTGGCCAACAGTGCATTGTCAATGACTGATCGCTGCCTAAAGTTATCTCTCCACCTGAAATAGTAGTTGCTCCAGAACTGGATGTCGTACTGGGCGAATTGGTGGAATATTGGTTTGTGGTCCTGGATGTAGAATGAGTTTGTGAACTGCTCCTTGTTGCTGTTGACATATGCCCATATTGAAACGATGGCACCATTTCTGATGGTCTTGTACACTCGCTCCTTCTGATGGTTGAACAAGAATGTTCCATATTTACAGTTGTACAATGCTTCCAATAGTGTTATCAAGAAGCTTTCGTTGAACTATATAAAGGGAAGGGATAAATGATGTTAGAGATGGCAACTTGGATGTCCAATATTAGTTGTAAAACACTAACCTGGAATGTAGTAGGGAAGAGGTTTGTCAATTGCCAGACGGAATCGACAAACATGATAAAGATTGGAGAGAACTCCTCCTCTCCATTGGAATGATAGACGTGTGCACATCGGTGTGTGAACTGATGTCCATAGCTGAGCCACTCCTTTTCAATGAGTACTTGGAATCCTTGGAGAGTTCTATAGTATGGATCAAGGAGAAGCTGTGAGAGTGCCACAAGTTGGCTAGTTCTGTCCCAACCATCACTGCAGTGAGTGAGAATCGATGCACCCTTCTTATCAACCAACTCTACGACCCTGTTTGCTGAGTTGATCAACTGGAAGATGTGCTCCAACCACTGAGTGCCATCGAGGAGTGAGAGCCAGTTTGAACTGTCATTCGCCTGTATAAGTGCGTACATCTTCTTGTAACTGTCTCTCATCACATGAATGTTGCTGTTGGTTTGTCATTAGTAGAAGTCCAAGGATAGATTCTTGTTGTTAAAGATATTGCTTACCCAATGCCCAAGAACTGCAGCTCAACGTTTTGGTAAAGGCTTGTGTCTTCGTGGCCTTTGCCCAGAAGTGTGTTGGCCTTGGCGTTTGCCATTGGCCGAGAATCCATGACGTAGAGTATCTTGGAGTTGGTGTTGGACTTTGTGATTACCTTGAGATATTCTTCGTCCTCGTTACACTTGGACTTGAATATACCCACTCGCGGCTGGCTGCACCTAGATATGGTGGATTGGTGTATCTTGTGAATCCAACATATGGCAGGCACACGCCCCTTCTCCCTGAACGAGGCAATCTTCCTCAGATCGTCGTCTGTGACTGATTGTGGTACAATGAACAGTGATGGATAGGTTGGACACAACTTATAGTCCTTATTGGCATAGGTGATCCTCCACTCCTTTGGAGGGAATCCTTGACGAATAAACTCCTCTTCCACGTTGTATGCTATATCCCTATAGTAATGTTGATTTTTAGTGTATGTTGTTGTAGTAAGTGATGTAGCAAACTTACATTGAGGGATCATATGACTCGGCATTGGCAAAAGCAAATACCTTGTCAATGTCGCTGCTCTCCAGGTAGTCCTTGATACCCTCCCATATGACTGGATCACCAGTGGTGAATGAGCAAACGCGGAAGTCCTTGCAAGTGATCTCAGTTTGCATGCTGTTGCTGATGTGCTTAATGCGTTGAATGGTAGCGATTGGGATGTCGCAATCATCCTTCGTACCAAAGTCGTCGTAGGACGACCTGTTGTATGCGTTGAATATCAGACGGTAGTTGGTAAGGAACAAAGTACCCTTCTTGAGCTGACCCATCACCAATCGATCACCATTTCTCTTGAGAATGATATGTTCACCTGGTATGAGTGTTGGTGATTTACCACCAGATATGTCCATCAATATGTCCTTGATGATTGGTGTTTGGCTGACTGACAACTTGTACTCCAGTATATCCTAATAGGTGGTAAACCTGAGGGTTAGATTAACGATCCAAGACGACAAGGAAACTGAATACATACATTGGTCTCAATGTCGAGATGATGGAAAGACTCAACATTACTAAGTGATATTGATACACCGCTCTTGACTAAAAACAACTCAAACGTAGCATTTGATTGTTCGTTGTTGTCAGCGTCCTCCTCTTGACAGTGCTCGGCCAATAGATGCTTGAGATCAGCGATCTTTGTGTAGTTGCCATAGACAACGATGAAGGTCTGCATGTTGTGATACAGCTTTATCGTGTTCCTGCAACCCTCAATCAATGCGAGTTTACAAACCATTGGAGGTGGTTTAAACTCAACAACTGCCTGTTTGTTGGATGAGGAGGTAAGTGTCAGTATAGTGTAGGACATTGGGTGGGTCATGGTTCTGGGTATACTATACCTCGTTGGGAAGATTGTACGATGCCAAGGTACGATGTCCTTCCATCCAAACTCCTGATCCACACTTTTGATAGTAGAGACAAAAGTGGCCTGCTTCGTGTGCGCTCTCGAATATGGTATGTCCACGCTCGCTAAAGAAGGATATGCTGCTCTGCTCTGGTGTCAGAGGTGGCATGGCACGTGACAGACGGTTCGAAGGTGTGCTGGATGTTTGGGTTGGAGAGGTCGAGGTAATATCGAATGATCCAGATCGCATCAGGTCGGGTGGCTGCTGTTGTTGATTGTGTGTTGATGTGGCACTGACTATGGACTGGATGATTTGATTGACTGTGCGGTTGGGATTGAAGTGGAACTGACGATAGGTCTGGTGTGAGGGGAATAGCACCGTCAAGTTGTAGCCCTCATCTTGACAGTGCTCCTGCTCTGAAGGACTCACAAGCTCGTCCTCATCCAACGAAAAGATGCCTGATGTAGAGAGCTGCTTTCTGGCCCTTGGTCTCTGTTGTTGTTGCTGCTTCTTGGCCTTGAATATAAAGACGGACTCTATGTTCCTGCTATTGCCACTGTTGTGATTGTTGACCTTGCAACTGGTCAACAACTGTTTGTGTTGAAGGGGCAGTAGCATTGTGTCTGACTCTTGAAGGTATAGTCCAAAGCCATCGACCATGTTGACAAAGGATTCCTGTTGTGGGTCATTGCTGGTGATGAGTGAAGCACCCTCACCAGAGGACTGTACGCGTCTGCAAGTAGGGTAGATGTATTGTACAACAAAGTAGATGGCATCGTGAACGGTGGCATTACGGCTGAAACAGAGTGTGAAGAATGATTGGATTGGCTCGATCCACACTGACAGGAAGTTGCTGACGCCCAACAAGAGAGAGGTACGTTGCTCAAAGCGCAAGGAGAATTCAATGTACTCTTGCTTGACGGCCTCTTGTCCCAGCGAGTCATCCATTGCCAGTCTCTTTGTGGAGAGATCATCGGACGAGTTGATGCGTGCCTCCCACCGGTCGGCATCATCCACAGATGGTGATACATTATCTAGCATCTTGATCATTGGTAGCTGACTCTCTATGCATTCGATAACATCCAGTACTCGTTTGTTGTGTGGGGATGTTGTAAGTGGTGATGGTGATGAGGACGATGATGAATGTCTCAGCTTGGTTTGCTGTTGTTGTTGCCAGGCAAGGGCAGACGATGGCTTCTTTGGTGATTCAATGGTGACCAACTTGTTTGACTTGATATTGTCGATGATGTCGATCACACCTCGAGTGGATGGTGCTTGCCACGAGTTGGAGACAGGTGTGGTAGATTGGTCCTCACCTCCGAGCAGTGCATGTCCTCCAATACAATTGCTGTTACTGAAATGAGATGATGATGTTGATGGTGACGGTGTCGGTGATGATAATACTGATGATGGTGATGTTGTAGCAGGTGTGTTGTTGTTGTTGTTGTTGTTGTTGTCCTTTAGAAGTAGTAGTGACTCCAATTGGTTCGAAGGTACGATTGTCTTGTAGTACCATCTTGGATGGTGATAGTTGTTGTTATTGTTGTTGGCCTGCATATCGACCTGTCTCAGCTCCAACTGAGTGCCACTCTTTATACTATAAGTCTGAATGGTCTGATCGTTTGAGAGCCTGATCTCCTTCTTTGATACAACACCACCATGATTGATTGTTGACGATGATGATGTGTTACTATTGTTGTTATTTGTAGATGTTGTTATGAGTGGTCTAAACAACGCATAACCTTGTAGGTCCGATATCTTTATGCTCTTTCCCGTTTGCTGATCGAATATAGTGATGTTGCCAATGATAACACGAGAGTCTACATTGACCACCTGCTTTGAGTCCCATGCAGATATTGTTAGCACAAGGCTATAATATGCATATGGATCTAAATGATCCATCGGGGCTTTGCTACTTTGTTATATATATATATATGTATATTAATAAATGTTATAAAAGAATCTGATTATGATTGTGTATCCTCATCAACAGTGTTGAGACGACCAGGATCATTTGTTCTAGATTCAAGATGGACCTCTGATCTCTGTTGGAAATTTCATTCACTTGATTTTTTGAGTGATTTTTGAAAAAAAAATAAACAAATAATATTGTTGTAATAAATAATTCGGTTTGGTTTTATTAATTGTCGCCAGTTAATTTAAACTGGTATGTGAATCGTTCGGTATTATAATTATTATCGGTTCGGTTATTTAACAGTCGAGTGACTTGAAGATCTTGGCTGCGTGTGGAACCAAACTGGAGCAAACTTCATTGACCAAGAATGGTACTGCAGCGGCAAACTCTGGCGAGATGATTCCCTTGGAGACGATCCAGGCAATGTCATCTTGAATCTTGACGAGGCTGTCCAAGATGATCAAACTTCTCAATGGATGGTAGTTCACCATGTCGTCCTGGATCACATCATTGAGCATCTTGGACTCGAGATGGGCGATGGCGGCGGCCATTGGTCCATACTTGGTGCGGGTTCTAAGCTCGTTGGTCTTCTCAATGTCACGGACATTGAACAAGTTGGCGAGTTGCTTGAGGTTGAAGAAGAGCTCTCTTGGGTTCTGGTTGTTGTTGACCATGGTTGGGGTCTGTCTGTTGTTTGGCTGCTGCATGGCAAGAGTGTAGAATTGGATCATCTCGGCAGTGGTGTCACTGTAGATCAGGTCAAAGTGGTTGCCACCGACCATGTTGTTGCATTGCATCATTGTGTTGACGGCATGCTTTGAGTAGAGGGCCTTGGTGCCAATGCAGTAAGCTCTGGCAAAGGATTGCTTCTGTGAGAAGTGGCCGGCCAACTTCTTGGAGTAGAGATCAAACATGATAGTCTTGGCCAAAGGCTTGAGAAGGTTCATCTGGTTGGATGGTTGATCGAATGATTGCTCAAAAGTCTTTGAGAGACAGGTCTTCAAGGCAACTGGGAAGTCATCCTTGAACTCTCTGTAGCGAATTGGCTTGATGCTTGGCTTCAACTGATCAACCATATCCACCTTGCCAACCACTGGATTGGCCTCCAACTCTGAAGTTGACACTTGCTCATTAATAAAGCTTGCGCCCAAATGTCTGGAAATCTATTTAAGTTTATAATATTAGTATGTGATCTATAAAATATGTGTATTTGGGTAACTTACATTATCAATTCTGCGCAAGGCATATGACATTGAATCTTGGTTGTTAGTGTTCATTGTTTGTGTGTGGGTGTATTAATTAATTAAATAAATAAATAAAAATATTATTGATCAGGTCAGTCAAGTATTATTATATATTTGATGATGATGTATTTGATTTGATGATATAACAATGACTTTAAAGTCATTGTATTTATAGTGATAGATAGACTGTATATGTGATTTAGACCTCCCCCTAAGGTCTACATATGTTGGATCTCCATGGCATGGATTATGATCCAACCACTGTTGGGTGGGCCATGCTTTACCTTTAAAAGGAAGTGACAGTGACAAGGATACACCCCTTGATGTGATATCACTCTTTATCAAATTATATTAAAGAGGCAATTTGGTTGGTCCGTTCGATATATAACGAGGCACAATGATGGGTGGGTGTGATGATTGATCAATGCTACACGAAAGGTCATTAACCTAATGTAGTATATATCACATTAATTAATGTAATATATGTGATGGGTTTGGCTATTAAATGTGATTGTGTTTTTTTTCTTTTGTATGACCTTCCATTGGTCAAAGTATTTGTTTATTCAAAACATATGGTTGATTTGTTGTAAACAGTGTTGGTGTGGTGTTCACCACTCAATCAATCAAACAATCAATCAATTTTTTGGGTGTGTATGAACAGATAGAGATAGAAAGTAGGGGGTGATTTTTGATCACTTTGAATGCCTTTTTGATGGTAATCACCAACAAAACCAGATGTCAACCAAACCTTCGACTGGTTCAGTTTACTTAGCCATAAAAGGTCAAAAGTATGGTCTCTGTTGTAAGGAGTAGTTATAATGATCTGTTAATCACATCTGTGATGATAGTAGTGATGTCATCAAATACATTTGATATCCCATATGAATAGATTTTTAGTTGATTATGATCTGCCCAACCAACCAACCAACCAACCAAGGGACACCTTCACAGATCAACCATCTTCCAATCAATCAAATCATAGAAGTGTTTTGAACTTCGATCTATTAATCTAATCACCATAATCTATCTCCATTAATCTATCTCCATTAATCAATCAATCTATCTCACTAAGTTTGAGAGTAGGTGAGTCTATCATCGATGTTCACATTGATATATTTTAGTATTAACTACTAGTACTATTACTATTTGGCACTAGAATCGTAAGGTTGTGTTAATATTATATGTTTGTATGACTATTATTAGTTTGTATGAGTAAACTTGTTGTTGAGAGTATAGGAACTCTTCCTATTAATACAATGAAATAATAAAGTGTATTTCAAATTCTGAAGAAAGATCTGCCTGTGAAGCACGATCGCCACCATTATTACTCACACATCCCAACATATAAATATAAATATTAATATTTCACATCATGTCAGAGAACGGTCCAAAGTTGAGAGACGCTGCCAAGTCAGGTGATGAGGAGGCTGTCAGGAGAGTATGATGTCACTGCTGCTGCTGAGGCTGATGCTGAACTCAAACAAAGTTGTGTTAACTCATCATCAATCAAACAATCACCTACTATTAGTTGTCAAAGGAGGGTCCATCAGTTGTAAACTACAAGGACAGAACTGGATATACCCCACTTCATATGGCTGCAATGTAATGTGGATCGATCTCAAGTCATTATTGACACAACCTATGTATCTAATAACTGACTCATCATCATCATCGTCATCTCTCACTAGGTTTGGTCACAAGAACATCTGTCAGATACTGTTGGAGAATGGCGCAGATAAAACGATTCCATCGATCGATGGTGAGACTGCTGCTGACGTTGCCAAGGTATGTATCTCTGTTTCTCTGTGTGCGCTCTATGGTGGTACTGTCAATCACTAACACTTGATCTCGTACTATGCTTCCTTCCTCTCACTCTCTATCTCGTACCTCTACCTCTCCCTTTGTATTCATCTTCATTAGGGCATCACAATTGGCAACTACATCAAAGACTTTAAACTATAGACGACAAGCGGTGCACATCATTAACAATGACGATTTGTAATAATAGCAAATAAATCTAAGATAGACTCATCGAACATACACTGTTTATCTCGGCCTGATCAACTCTATGATGATGCATTAGGAATCAGTAACAGCAGCAACAAAAATGACACCCACAAACAAAAGGTCTAATAGAATAGTTGATTGATGTTTATTTATGATAATGTTATAATGGATGGCATGTAAAGAAAGGACAAACAATCAATCAGTCAGTCAGTCAGTCAGGAGCTGTAAAGAGAAAGGTAATGATGTTAGAATACGTTGAAAGCAGCAGGAGATATATAGGAGGTTCATATGAAGGATTGTGATGTGAAATAGTCAGACGTCTTCTAAAGAAGTAATGTAAATCATTTGGAATACCAAAGGAGAAGAAGGTTCAATTAATCTCCAGTGGAGCCTAATACAGAAATGGTTCATCATTGAGAGGGTGTATAATATATATTGATGGGCAGATTGTTGTTGTTGTGTATTTATGAGATTTATATCACTTACCTTTAGATCATAATGTCGAATGGTTTGTGCATCGACTGAACTTTGAATTCATACTATGTGCATGTGTGCATGGAATGTGGTCTTCGCTTCAAGTCAAAAACGAGATACGCAGAACTTGACGTCACGTTACACTCAAAGTTCATGTTTATTGAATGAATGATTGGATGGATGGAGGGAGTTGACATTGTTGTGCAGTGGTTTGGTTGGAAGTGAGTTGCTTGGTCTTACGTGTAAGGGCAAGTTCCAGATCAATAAACATCATCCTATGGGCGACCGTGTATGGTTTGTGCCTCATAGGAATCATCACTATTGAATCGGGCGACTTGTTAATCAAAATAATGGAATAATCCTTGTTATCTCTCTGTTTCCCAAGTATGTGCTGCATTGTAATTGCCAATCTGCCGTTGATTGGTATTACCTAATGCGAGCGCTGCTAAAGAGAGATAGGACTATCCATTCGAAACCCATATTTGTGAGACTAGAACACATCTATCAACAACTTGTTAACACATGGCAACAACGTGTGGATGGTGCTGGTATTGTTGTTGTTCAGTTATCACTGACCTTTGCGGTGTCAGTGGTCTGTTCAGCAACTTCAGCGGTCTTCTCACTTTCATTCGGTCGTAGTTGTCTCCAGACGTGTCTGATCTTAAGATCTGATTGATTGAGTGAGTGAGAGTCAGTATTACCATCACCGATTTGATTGATTGAATGATTTATCCTTACGTAAATCTGCGCACCAAATTGTACCCCACATCAACAGGATGTAGCCAGAGTAGGTGCAGAATATAACAAAGAACCAACCAGTTGGAGTCAGACAGACAATGTCAGCATGGTGACAGTTGGGACGGTAGGCAGAGGGGTTCCACCAGGAATTTGGCGTCCAGATACCATTGTCGACGAGGATGTGACGGAGAAGATCGATGGTAGCGAGAGGGACGGCTGCCAGAGTGAGATAGAAGGGACCATACTTGTGCCAGTGACCCTTGTCGCTGCGACGGCTGCAGCACTTGTGGTAGTGGTACTGGGCGAGGTTACTGAGGATGGTCAGGGATACGGCAAAAGAGATGGCGTGAGCCATTGCGACGGAGCCTTGGGAGGCAGCGATACCAAAGATCGATGCCAGCAGCAGGGGCCAACATCAACTGCCAACCAAGGCTGGAATAGAGATAATGATTGATAGAATGGCAACGTACAAGGGCTTCTTGTCCTTTGGGGCAGCAAGGCGACGCTTCTCGTCCTCCTCTGCTACGGCATTGGTCGAGCAGCAGCCGCTCTCGTCGTTATCTACTAGCAATGATGTCTCCTCATCGCCTTCGTTGTTGTTGATGCACTTGGTGCTGGAGGGAGTGGAGGTGGGCTTGGCTCACACACCACCCTCGCAGTCCATATCGTCCCCAACTCTAGGGATATCTGCAAAAAATGACATTAATGTATTCTATATGTTTTATATATAACTAAATAAGAATTGACTGTTGAAGTGAGTTGAACAAGTGGATGTTTTTATTCATTCAACAGTTCGCTTGCGATTGTAAAAAATAATAATAAATGGGTGGTATCCAAAGTGAATTGGGATTGGTTGGTTTGAATGATTGGGATGATTGGTTGATTGATATCATCGCCCAGTCAACGCTGGGGTTGAAGTCCCTGCTTTGATCCACTCAAGCACCTGATCAATGTACTTGGCAAACAGGACAGAGCCATTGATCCTACTCTTTGAGTCATATATCAGTGCATTGGGATTGTTGTCCGTCCTCAAGTTGAATGTCAGTCCTTGACAAACATCAGGTCGTAGTTAGTGTAGTAGTTTTGTTGTTGATCCTGTATGCCTTTGATGCTCTGTATGCCATATGTAAACTGCATAGCGCTAAGTTCGGCGTCAGTCAACTGATGATGATGAATTACCTCGTTTGATTGAGACTAGGAAGTTCTTGTCCTTCATGATAGAAGCATACAACTTGCACACATCATACTTGTATAACGGTCCACCATCAATAGCAAACATCAATGGTCCTTGTTGTAAGACATGAATAGATTGAGTGCTCCTTGTTAATTTCCATGTTGATTACTCCATCCATACCTTCTATTAGAGCATCAGCATCGTTGACGAGTGTCTGTTTCAAAATCTGACCTACTGGTCAGGCAAGTTTACTGTGGTAACTGACGGTTGCCATAGTCAAGCACGACCTCTATACTGGCATTGGCACCATATCTCTTTAGTGTGTTGCTTTCTCGCTGTGCATTCCTTTCGATGTCTGCTCTTGTGTTGTTGCCATTCATCTTGATCGGAGCCACACCTTTCTTCTTCATATACACACTCACCAACTTCACTTCTTCATTCAACACAATTCTTTTTATCTCTTCACTTATCTATCTTAAGATAACAAAAGTATGTCAGACAGCCCAACCAAACGCTTGCAAACCTTGAGGGATTTGCTCGACAAGAAGCTCATAGATCAGTCACAATTCGATGATGCCCAGAAGAAGATACTCAATGAACTAACCAATCCTTCCCAATCAAGTAAGTACAAACAATATCGGCGCAATCACTTCATTCAATCCTAACATACACACTCAAGGAGGCCAAACTCGTAAGTACAAATAAAGTTAATAATGTTTCTGTATAATACTAATGTTCTCTACAGCTACATACAATGTCAGTACAATAGATGGCCTGCTAGAATGGTTAAAGGTCTTTGGCAAACCAGGTCCAAAGAAACAGAACTACATGTCTACGTATGGGGCTAACTTTCCCTTTGTTGGTCGGGATACTGCTTTGGATGCAATCAGCGATGCAACTGTCAGACGATGGAAGAACAGACATTCGACCGACCAGAAGTCACACCCTATATTGGTGGCTGCAGGTGCACCAGGAATAGGAAAGACAAGACTACTGCGAGAATTCCCAAAGCGTATCAGCTCGACAATGGACTCTGTGTGTCCTGATCATGTTGACCTTCACATTTCATTTGGCAATGGCACCTCCTTTGAAGTAGAGTTCTCCAACACAATCCAGCCCCAAGATCTCATCTCAACTGCGCTCTCAATGCGCATCCTATATTCATATCTCAGTCTAAGCGTGGACTACTTTGTATTGCTGAGTGATTGGCGCAGACAATTCCCGAACATGGCGATACCCCTAAGCACAGCCTTGGAGTGCATCAGACAGGAAGAGAAGAAGAAGTTCATTGCAGTGTACCTTGGTGTCGACGAATTTCAGAAACTTCTCACAGAGTCTAAAGATCCCAAAAAACAGCTACTGAAGATCCTGACACACATCGTTGGAACATTCCAGGCGAGTGCCTCCCCAACCATCTTTCTGGTCACTGTCTTTGCTGGCACAATCTACTCCCCCCTCATGGAGATATTCGCCGCATCATCATTCAAACACGAGAGGATCAATCTCCCTCTACTCAGCAACACAACAAAAAAAAACGATGTGCGAACCATTGTGTGGTCAACAAAGTTCAAGGACTACCTACATTTGGACTCCTTCAAATATGCGCTGATGTTTGTCGGTGGCTGGCCTAGGCTCATCGAGATCCTCTTGGACACAATGGACATGGAGGGCACACCAATGGTGAACTCCTTTGAAGTGTTTCGAGACTTGTTGGTCAGCACCCGAAAGGAGATCAAAAAGTACTACTCCTTCGATTCATGTGTCCACATGGTCCCACACCTCGTTGCTTGGTCAGTCACATGCAAGATCCCAGACAATTGGCAATTGGACAGTCCCATTCCAAACGGCACTACCTTCGAGGAACTCGAGCATATCGGCATGATTACTCATCTTGGCTCACATGTTGCTTTCCCTCTCATCTATGTTGACTGGTGTAGCCATTCCCTCAAAAAAACACCCTTTATCCTATTGTTCGAGCTACTACACAGCTTTGAAGAAGAGAACTTCTGGCAGAACTGGGAGAAATTCTGTGCAAGACTACTACTAATCAAGTTGGTCATGTTTACACATCTGTACAACATTGGGGTGCACCCAAGACTGCCTACCCCTGATCCCAATTCTGTGGTCAAATCTACACCTAACGTCACTCTTTCAGAGTTGTTCACTCCCAGCTCACGCTACACCAAGGAAGAGAAAGGTTTTCAAACAAAGAAGATTGTTCTCAACTATCAAGGTAGGTTATCTAACTCCATTACTGCAAGAATGCATCGTCTAATGCTGCCACTGTCCCCAGACTCGAGAGTCATCAAACTAGATCATAAGTTCCCATCAGGTGATTATAGGACGTATTTCAATCAAAAGGGCTGCTTAGACGGCTCTGTTACAAGAGTCTACCTGAATGCCCAGTCAGCACCATTTGATTTCTTCCTCTTCTTTGAGGACGCAGACAACAGGACACTCATCGCAGGCCAAGCAAAGCTGAAGATGGATGTCACGACCACCCAGCCATCAAACGTGACTGACGATGTTGCCGAAGAATGGTTCAAGTCCATTGAGTCAATCAAAGCTTTCGATCCATCAATAAGCCCAATTCTGTGCATATTCACAAATGATGATGCTGAAGTGGACATGGACCTTACTATCAACACCATCGTGGTCGATGCCAAATCCAGGTATTATTCTCCAATATTCCGTAACATATTGCAGTACTTTACCAAGAGTGACTAGTCATCTATTACTTCCTCATGTACGTGCTGTTATCCTCTGATGCCGACTTTATATTTAATTATTCAACCAAAAGGAATTTCATTATTGAACCATCATAATAAATAATGAGTTCAACAGAACTATTGGTTTTGATCAGAATCCAGTTCAATTTATCGTTCAAGGTTGGGTGTGATGTTGTACACAGTTTACAACCAACAAAAAAAGAGAAACAGAGATATAGAGATAGAGTGATATGAATACAGAATCACCAGCTTCACTGTTTGATGACAATGCATCTGGTAATACATTGTTATCAAGTAGAATCGAGGAGGATCTGACACAGATAATGTGGAGAGATCCAGTGTGGCTACAACAGATACCACTGAACAAACAGACGGTTCTCCTCTACTTCTCAATGTCACAGTTCTACGATAAGCAGTGCAACAATGAGATACTTAAAATGCAGCGTCTAGATCCTTCAGCTTTAAAGTAATGATTGTTCACATTGTTGGTGTTGTTGAGACGACAGACATATACAAACAGACCGTCTAACTCCATACATGTCCTTCTTCATTGTAGAACAATGATTGGTATAGAGTATGAGGTGGTTATGGCACAAGAGCCTATGCTCTTTCTAGTGGCTAAACAGAGCAGAGTGTCGCCCACTGATGCCTCTGTACAGACACTGTACTATATAATCAATGGCACAATATATCAATCTCCAGACATCAGATCAGTGTTTGAATCACGCATGGTACAGTCACTCTTCCATCTGATACACGCCTTTGAGAAGCTGCTCTCAACTGTGACGTGGGACATTGTCGATGGCTACCAGATCACTTTGGCAGCACATCTCAATCAACAGGACAAGTCAAAGCTGATGACCTATACTCGCAAGCAAATAGAGGATATCAAACGATTTGATAACATCATCAATCTACTGTTTCAAAAGGTATTGTTGTTGTCGTTATTATGATCCATTTTCAAGTATACTAATCAGACTCTTGTAGTTTCCACCAATAATGAAACCTCCTGATGCAGCAGCAGTAGCAGCAGGGGCTACAACTCAAGCCCTGTAGATAATGCACAATGTTGGATACTGTCCAACAAGACCAATCAACAATACATTCGGAAAGAAGATCCCATAAATGTGTTGTTATTGAATGAATAAACGAAACGTGATCAGATTGAATGATGCACTTTGAGTCGACGAAAGTTGAACAAATAGATAGAAGAGCAGGTAGAAGATGATGATGATGACCTTTACACGAGTAAGCAACAGCAGGCCATTGTTATCAACAGTTGCCTTGTTGAATAGCTGTGGCAATAGTAGGCTATACACTACATCAGGTGTATCTGCCCATCTTCCCAGTCACAACAGAGACAAGAAGATTCTGATTCATGGTACCGATGCCACTGGTGTTTCTCTTGGTATGATCGCGCGGTATCTACTTGGCAAGTGGTCAACCATTCCTTACTAACTGGACAGTACTTTGTCATCAATCAATCAATAATCCATTCAGCACTCTTCTTGAAACGAAGAGGTATCTCTTCTGAGCTTGTAGATACAGGATCACCATCGACTAGAAGCGATCGTGGAATGATCATTGGAGGCAATGAGATCAGAGCACTAAAGCAGAACGGTGTCTTTGAGTCCATATATCGAAAGAGCAAAGATATCTCTAGCTCAGTGGTAGCGTCACGTGATGGCGACGTATATGGTCAATGTCAGTTTGAGAAGTGTCTCCCAACACTTCCCTTTGCACTGACAGAGTCCACCTACGTTGAGACGTTGCTTCAAGAGTGCTTGTCCACACCTCAATCTGGTGAAGGCATTGTCAAGCTTCGCAGGGGCGAGACCAAGCTCACTCTTCAACAGCCAAAGAACCAACAAGTGTCTACGACCAACAACAAGATATTCGTCTCCTACTCAGAGACCAGCAAGGCAGCATACGATCTTGTGGTGGGCTGCGATCCACACTCCAACTCTAACGACATACAGTCGGTGTCACCCGTTCGCAGCTACATGCTGCGAGACGCTACACCAAACAATATCGCCGAACAATATCCCGAGCAACTGTACCATTTCCGAACAGTGATCAATCGTCCTCAGCTCTTCCCCTCGATTGCGATGCAGCAGTTTGCCACAGAGAAGCGTTTACTTACATTCCCGCTACCCAACGATCGTCTGGCCGTCAGTGGTTCGTTTAAGAAACCACTTCAGTCAAGTCCTGTGGGCGATGTTCCTCGCAACAAGATCTTCCAGACGTTCCTTGACTTTGAGGATATAGGAGCACACATCATCACCGAGTTCCTAGAGTCGGCACCCGAGTCACTCAAGCTGGAGAAGACCGAGTCAAATCGTCTGGTGTCCTATATCTCATCGGCAGGCAATGTCGTAGTGATTGGCGAAGCAGCTGATCGTCTTGCTGGTGGTTCATTCGAGGTGAGTAGTAAACGTAGTACCAACGTCATCAACAACACAAACATGTTAGTACTAACATGATGATACAACAACATCATCCAAACATCGACAGAGTAACTTTATTGGAATTGAGGATGCATACCAACTTGCAGAGCTGATCAGTGGATCCCCAACATCAGTGGACCAGCTGATGGTACTGTTCAACCAACAGAGACAAACAAGAATTAAGAGTATATTGGAGACAATCAATCATCAGGAGCATATCGTTTACAAGGGCGGATGGCAAGTTCGGCTCTTTGGAAAGTACTACCTTAGGAGATACTTCTCTCAGAGAAGTCAATCAAAGAGAATCAGACAGATCACTGGCAGTAATTAACAAAAAAAAAACAACGACCTACGTCATGTGGTGCGACTGATGGGGTGCCCAACAGACACCTTACTTAAAACAACAAATATCTTGATTTTGATCAGGTGGACATCCTTCTCAATGGTCTTTTAATCTTTTCGATCAATCACTTTAAAATATAGATAGATAAGATATAGAGAGAGATAGATATGAAGTTGTTTGTTTTGCTCAACATAATAGCCATTATTGGCCTAGTGTCATCGTCCACCATTAGCACTACCACTTTGGACATTGCTGATGGTCCCCTAGAAGGTCTGCAATATGATACATATCGCGCATTCCTTGGTGTATGTTGCTATTTTCATTCGGCAATCCAATCTTTGAACACGACAATCACTAACTTGCATGCCTCCCTGATCATGACTCCTCAACCACCATACCTAGGTACAATTCATTCAACCACCTATTGGATCACTACGTTGGAAATCACCAGTTGCACCTACACCATGGTCGCCATCCGTATACAATGCCACCTATGAAAGACCAGGTTGTCCACAGGTTTGTGAGATGCCAAATGCAACTTGTCCCAGTGTCACCTCTGAGGATTGTCTGTACCTCAACGTCTACACACCATTGGTGACTGACAACACTGAGCTATTGCCAGTGATGGTCTTCTTCCCAGGTGGTCGTTTCTCGATGGGTGCCGCCAGCACCCCACTCTATGATGGTGGCAGCTTTGTCAATCGTTCAAACGTGATACTGGTCACAACCAACTATCGTCTTGGTGTTCTGGGCTTCCTAGCCACTGATACGATCGCTGGCAACTTTGGATTCGAGGACCAGCTAATGTCGTTACAATGGGTTCAGGCCAACATCAAGTCATTCGGTGGTGACCCTACTAGAGTCACTGTGTTTGGTGAGTCGGCAGGAGGCACCTCATCATCCATTCACTTGACGTCACCGGCCAGCGCTGGTCTCTTCAGCAACCTGATCATCGAATCCAATCCATGGGCACTGCCAGTCAAGACAGCCAAACAAATGTATCCACTGGCCGAGAAGTTTGCCAAAGACCTCGGCTGCAAGGTTACTGATGATGCCTGCATGATGGCCAAGACTGTCGATGAGATCACCATAGCCCAAAACACCAGTGAGAACTCATTCAGTGTTCTACATCCGCTGTTTGCCTTCTTGCCATGGACACCAATTGTTGATGGCAAGCTGATTCTAGACCAACCACTGGCTATGCTTGAGAAGGGTAACTTCAACAAGGTTCCAGTGTTGATGGGCACAGTTCAGGAGGAGGCACTGATCTTTATTGCTTCTGTCTCAACAAACATCAACAGCTTGGAGTATCACGCTGCACTTGTCGACATCTTTGGTAGATATTCAATTGGAATTGATGAATTGTACAAACCCTTGGTGTAAGTTGTCTATTAACGAGTATGCTCGATATCAATTGCGATCACTAACATTTGTTTCTCTAACATCCATCCTAGGAATGGATCAAACTACGAGGGACTTATGACCACTATCGGAACAGACTATATCTTTGTATGTCCAACTCGTAGAGCTGCCGTTGCAGTTGCTCAAGCAGGACTACCAGTGTTCCAGTACCAGTTCATTCACGTATCATCGTTTGATGCCTATGGACCAGCATACCCAATGTGTGTTGATGCCGTGTGCCACGGAATGGAGCTCCCCTACGTATTCAACACGGTCACAGCCACGGGACAGTTCACGTTCACACCAGCAGAGCAACAGCTCTCCTATGACATGATGGCCTACTGGTCAAACTTTGCAAAGACCAGCAATCCAAATGTGAACACTGGCTCTGGCTTCACACCAGCTCAGCCATGGACAATGTACAGCGCTCAGGGTGACTCTACGTTGATCTTCCAAACACCGACTACTCAAACTACAGGACTGAGAGCACATTACTGTGACTACTTTGATACGATTGGTTATGAGATATGGTAAACTACAACCTTCATTCCTCAGTGTTGACCTGACCTTGGTGACACACCTCTTTGTTTGGAACTCGAGTTTGTGAGAATTCCAAATTTATTATTGTTTTCAATTCGTTTCCAATTAATTAAATAATTTAATTTGGTGTGATGAGGGTAATGCTTGTGTTCTACTCACTCACTCCATTATCTGTTTATCCATCATCATACACATAATAATTATTTGTTACATTATATATATATATATTTATATTATGGATAATAATCAACAACAACAACAACCAGGAAACAAAGAAGAGATAATTAAAAATGTTCTTAGTATGTTCCCTCTACTCACAAGGGATCATTACTTGTACTCAACATTGAACCGATGCAATTGGCAGATTGAACCAGCCTTGGACTCATTGCAGAAGCGCCACGATACTCTGGAGAAGGAACAAAAGCTGATCCAGCAGCAGGTCGAGGAGAAGAAGGCTCGTGAACAGGCAATCAAACAGGAGAAGGCACTCAAGGAGGTGAAGGACATCTTTGGCAATGCTTTCCCAGACTCAAAGTACAAGGAAGCCTTGTTCAAATGTGACTTCAAGGTCGACGAGACTGTAGACTCCCTAATGACAGAGAGCCATCTGATCAACGAGGAGAAGGAGAAAAAGATCAAGGAGGAACAGAGACTGCAGGAAGAGAAGATCGAGCGTGAGAGACAAGAGAAGCTAAAGAGAGAAGAGGCCATCGCAGAGATCAGACGTCAAGAGGCTGCTTTGCTCGAGGCAGAGAGACAGAGAAGAGCCGAGGAGTTGAAGAAGAGACTAGAGGAGGAAGAGTTGAGAAGAAAGATCGAGGAAGAGGAGGCCAGACACCGTGAGGAGGAGGTCAGAAGACGTTTGGAGGAGGAGATCATGCGTCGCATGGTAGAGGCCAAACGAAGAGCTGAGGAGGAAGAGGCCGCTGCACAGCGCAGGGCAGAAGAGGCCAGACTCTTGGAGGAGGAGACTAGAAGAATGGAAGAGGAGCTCAAAAGACGTGAGGAGGAGCTAAAGAGGGAGGAAGAGAGACGTCAGAGAGAGGAAGAAGAGGAAAGACTCCGTATGCTAGAGGAGGAGAGGCGTAGACAACAAGAGGAGGAGGAGAGACGCGCCCAGGAGAGCAAGAGGGTGCAGTCCTTGTTGTTGGACCTCAAGAGTCTCTCTGACGAACAAAAGAAGGAGGTGGCCAACTCTGAGCTGTTCAAGGAGATCGTTCGTGACTTCAAGAGCCACTTGACCGTAAGGGAGGATTGCAACAACAACAACAAAATCCCATCTCCCTACATCCCATCTCCATCGCCCTACTCAACTTTTGGCTTCACAACTGCACAGCCAATCAAGTACACATGCCCCTATAGCAACAACAACAACAACGGAAACAACAACAATCCAAATGTCATCAATCCGTTTGCCAGACCACCTGTGCACCCATCCCCCTTCTATATCCCTTCACAACCTGTACAGCAACAAAAACCAGTTGAGGCCAACAACAACACAAACAACCCATTCAACACTTCACCATTCTCCACATCTCCAATTCCGGTCAGACATATAGGAGCACTCCCCTATCCACCATATACTGGTCTCCAACCATTGACTCCAATCATCCCCCAACCAGTTCCAACCCATCCCGTTTACCCTGGTCAGGTGCAGCAGCAACAACTAAAGAATGTTGGTGTTGGAGAGCCAACACCAGCCCCAGTGAACATGTCACCCAAGTCGGCCAACAAGAAGACTACGATTGAAAACCTTTCTTCCATGTTCCCATCGATCTCCAAGGACACTATTGAGTGCGTGTGGATGCAGAGCGAGAACAACATTGAGACAGCAGTTCAGAACCTGTTGGACATCAGTGTTCCAGCCGTCAAGAAGGAGTAGAGGCCTCTACCATTATTATGGATGACTCAGAGACTCTCCCCTCATTGTGTTTAATTAATTAAATAATTGTGTTATTTTTGTTAGTAATAATCACAGTAATCGATTGGATACCGATCGACGATGATTCATCGCATTACATTCTTAATCAATTCAGCAGTTCTTCCCAACTAATAGTGGTAATTTCGATGAATTGAGTGGGGTGTCGATTCATTGGATTTATCAGTCCTAAAAAGGCTGTAATAAAACCAATGTAAGAAAATCAATCATTTATCAAAATAGACAGATAACAACAAAACATTATATAAATAACCTACACTCCAATGAACATGAACTTGATTAAGATACCTCCATATAGTTACATCCACGTCCTGGACACCAACAAGAATGTGTCTAGACTCGAGGTTGGACCCCAAACATTCTTGTGCAAAGAACATGAGAAGATTGCTTATGGTCCAAAGCCTGTATGTATATTACACATACTACTCACAAACACAAATAAACAGAGGACAATAACTGATATCAACAACAACAACAACAACAACAACAACAATATGATCATTATCCATCTAGATGCATGTCATACCAAAACTACACTACTGTATTGTGGAGAATCCAGTGATTAAGGACCCAAAGACTGGTGTCCAGGAGATGGATAAGCATGGACAGGCCAGGCTTCGACATGGTCAAAGAGAGATCAGGTTCGAGCAGAACGATCCATTCCCTCTTTACCCAGGTGAGGTAATGGTCGATAGCAAGATCATGTCCCTGAGCATCGTCTTGGACAATGAGGCCTTGAAGTTAAAGGCTTTGTGTGACTTCACTGCCGCAAATGGCAAGAAAAGAAAGGCCGGAGAGGAGTATCTATTCGTTGGCCCTTCCACATATCATCCAACCGTCGAGGAGCAGGTGGTCGAGAAGGTCAAGGCCATCATTGTCAGACCACATCAAGCAATCAAGCTAAGAGCCAGAATCGACTTTATAGATCGTCAGGACAAGCAACGCAAGTCAGGCGAGGAGTGGTTGATCACCGAGGAGGGTGCCTTCTTGCAGGATCCATACGAGGAGCTGGTCGAGCATATTGAGGCCACTGTACTAGACGAGAAGATATCCATCATCCTAGAAGCAAGAAAGAACTTCAATGACAATGGTATCGAGAGAAAGAAGGGCCAACAGTGGTTGTTGACCAAAGAGGACACGTCCCTCTACATTCCACAGCCAGAGGTCAAGATTGACAGGGTGGTGCCATTGACCGTACTCAACAGCAGTGAGTATGCCGTCATCCAGGACTACCAGGATGAGGAGACCCACGTCAATATGATGGGCAAGAAGAAGATGGTTCGTGGCCCAGCCCTGTTCTTCCTAAAACCAGGCGAGTCGATCGTTTCGTTGGAGAATGTTCGTGTGCTTGGACCAGAGGACGCAATTCAGGTGACAGCTCTGGAGGAGTTTGATGACACAGTCACTGTTGCCGGCCAGATCAAGTCAATCAGAAGGAAGGCTGGAACCAGATGGTATATATATGGACCAGCTGAATGGGTTCCCCCAATTCAAGTCAAGGAGTTATCCAAGATCAAGGCGATCGTCAATTTGGAGGATTTGAACATCCATATATTCTCCCCAATCTATCTATTTTCATTTATAGCAATAATCTTGTATCTGTTGATTAAATTAATTTTTTAATTAAAACTATTAATCCAGAATGTACATTTCAAACAAACTTGAATAGATGATCATCAAAAACAGCACAGAATTCATTTTGTTTGAACAAACACAAAAACAACATTTATTTATCACTACTAGTACTGGTCAATAGTATATATCAAGGTTAATCGAACAGTAAAGTCATCAGCAACAGACCAGTTAAACAAAACAAACATTGAAAGCGACGGTTCATCAACCACTTTATTCTTTTATAATCAATCATTCACATTCATACATTCAATCATTCAATCATTCAATCATTCATTCATTCATTCATTCATTCATTCATTCAGATCATCAATAACCCTTAATATTGTGCATTAATAGCTGCAGCTTCATTGTGAAAGAAGGACTCATTTGGTGCCAAAGACAGTGTCACGGTAGACTGCCATGGCATCTTCCGGACTCCCAAACAGGGCCAGAGCGAGCAGCAGTAGTTCCTCTGGTAGCGACTCAGAGTCAAAGGCTGTTCTACCAGCAGATCACATCATGTTTCGCTTATTAGGTGACTTCAAGGAGCACACCAAAGTAAAGATAGAGATATTCGTAAGAGTATGTTTGTCATTCATGTGACTGGTATTAGATAGATAGATAGATAGATAGAGAAGAGAGAGAACAGCATAACTTACAACATCAACAACAACAACAACAACAGGATGAAAAGATAAAGATTGAAGACTTCTTTGAAGGATCGGATTCAAAGACCTTTCACAATGTACTTGAGGGCCTGACTGATGTATCCAAGTTCTATTTGAACTTGGTAGCGGGTGCATTATTGCAATGGCGATCATCACAACACGTCATCCCAGTCAAGAGTATATCAAAGCCAAAGCTGTACGTATCTCTATGTCTTAGTTGTATATGAATGACTGCTACTGACATGCACACACATCTACTGCTATACAGGGATGGATCAGATACAAAGAAAGATATCACACCTATTGTAGATGAACGATACAAACTCATTGTAGACTACATCTTTTGTATATCACTGCTGATGGTACTCAGTTCTTTGACAAAGGACAACCTGAACGACACGATTGGCAACCAAATCGAATCGATATGCTACGATCACTTCAAGTTGGAGCGCAGCAGAGTGACATCATCGACCTCAGCCACCATCCCAGATCTCTGCGCCTCCATCCTCGGTCAGCTCAGCAAGTATCGTCTTCGTAGTGTCTCATCCAGATTCTTCAAAGAGATACAACTATGTCTGAGCTCAAACACACTGCGTTCAAAGACCTTCTCCATCCTACAAGGTATACGATTCCTTAAGGTCAAGGTATGTAACATCCAGATTGTTCGAGGTAATGGATCCTTGATCTAGACGGACTGACTGACTGACACATCATCATCTTCATTGCAAACAGATATCATCAACACAAAAGTTGAAACAATCACAAGAGTTCTTATCATCATTCTTGGATCTGTTCAAGAACAATAAGATCAAGGGTGATCTGCGACGAGAGATCTCCGAAATCCTGGCAAGCATCTTGCGTCCTCTCACTGAGGAGAAGTTCAGACCAGATGTATCATACACCGAATGGATAGCCACAGTCAAGGAGCTATATGACTTTATCTCCAAGAAAACAAAGAAATCAAAGGATGTCTTGGTAAGTTCTAAATCAACTAACGAACTTGCTATGTAGTTTGCTAATCGTACATATATACATACATACATACAAACACAGACATCATATCCACTATTGTCAATATTATTGTGCTGCTCAGACAAGGAGGCCTTTATCAAGAGTTTCTGGGGTCTGATGGACAATTTCATCAAGATCAAGGACAAACAAGTGAGACCATATGCACTAGAGTCCAGTCAGTATCTACTCGAGTGCTATCTCACAAAGTACTCTGAGCAACCAGAGGAGGTGTCTGAGCGATTGCATCAGTTTGTCAGCCATATATTCCCCACTGGACACTCAAAGAAGGTCACACTAAGCGCCAGTGACTCTTTGAACATCTTCACCGATATCATCTGCGTCATTGCCAACAACAGGTTGGACTTTTCATTCGAGAAGATCATATTCGACCTCCTCAGAGGTGGTGATCCAAAGGATGCCAGTGGCTACGTGTCCAATCCAGAACGAATGATCATTGGACTCCGTGCCATACTCATTATCGATCAGGCTGGTGCCAACCCAGTCACACCAAAGATGCGCTCCTTTAGCAACAGTCCAGGTGGAAGCCCGGCCGCCAGTCCCGTGCCCGATCCGATGCTCTCCACCAACAAGGTGAGGGCCGTTCGACGACAGCGCTATGGCACACTGAACCTCAAGAAGCCAACAGCAACAACAACACCCATTGAGCCCTATATCAAGACGTTGAGCATCTTTCTATCACAGATCCTGGTGGCATTGGATTCTAGCTTTGGCATGCTGTTGACCTCAAATCAAACCAAGCCCCTCAACGAATTGCTGGAAAAGATGCGTCCACCAGGCCCATCCTGCTTGGAACTACTCAAGATAGCCATCACCACAATCCCCATTGCCTTCCCCAACAAGTTGTCTGTTGCAGAGTTGGTACTGATGCTGTCCAAGTACCTGATCCATCTGGACAAGGGCGTTTGCGAAAAGTCATCGCATGTGCTCACTCAGCTAATGACCACACGGCCCGATCTCAGATCAAGCATCATTGGCGGACTTGGCAAGTTTGCTCTCAGTCTTAGCGATAAGATGTCCAGTCTCATTTGTATCGTACTGGAAAAGATGGCCGAGCTTCTCACTCTGTGGGCTGCCTCCAAGACTCGTGGCTTCCAATTGGCATCGGACGAGGGCGAGGACTTGCAGAGGTTCAAGCCCGATGCGATCACAAATGCACCAGACGTTCCATTTGTTGAAGCCGTTGCCATGGTCTTTCTTTGCAGCAGCAGTGGTCGTTGTCGACGTGTCAGTCTTTCAATACTCGATTCCATTCGCACTGTACACGAGGCATTCTTGGCTACCAAGGACGAGGACGAGATTGAAATATTCACACACATCAAAGACATTATCGACGAGAATGGCAATGAGTACCTATATAGACACGCACAGAACCTCACCAACTACTTTGAGAACAAGTACAAGAAGCAGAAATCAGCGCAGGACATTGAACGTGTGATGGAGTCAGAGACGAGGGAGTCACAGCTTCTTTGGAGCGCATGTCTCTCTGACATTGCTCGGTCAGCGTCTGAACTTGTGCCTCTCTCAATCAACAAGGCCACCGAGCTGATTCTGCAAAGAATAAGACCGATCCAACCAGAGGAGAACAAGACACAGTCAGTCACATTGGAGAGCGAGGCCCTGTCAATATGGTGGAGAAACTATATCATATTCGCATGCGCAACTATTCAGATCACGGACAACACTGCCATTGACATCAAAAAGAAGATGACCGATCTTCCAGACCAAGCTCCAACTTCAGCACGAGAGTTGTTCAACCTTATCATCCCCTATCTCAAGTCGACTGACAGGTTCTTTGTCGAATCCACCTTGGTGGCACTGGAGAAGACTCATTCCAAGGTACTGGAGGTTCTGTTCGACCTGCTCAAACCATTTGAGCACGAATTGCACATCACAAAGAAGACCAAGAAGAAGTCGGATGGTCTGCGCTCAGTGATTGGCATACGTAGACACTGTCTAGAGTCACTCAAGCCAGGCGAACTTKGTCAAGCGTGAGAACCYTCAAGCGTTCCTATGTAGAGTTCATCCAAGAGGTTCTACAGTATCTGTTGTCCGAGTCAAACAACAGTGACTATCTCTGGGACACTCTCAATGACATCAGATTCAACTTTTGTGTATTAATACATCGCATTGTACAGCAGCTATACTTTGGAGCAAAGGAGTTCCTGGACAAGGTAGGTTACAGTCGGCAGCATAACATAATCAAAGTCAACATCAATCCTAACACCACATGGCAATGGTTCTACTTTCTAGAACCTCAGAAAGGACCTGTTCAGATTGTTGTTTAGCAAGTGGAGTGAGAGTGAAGAGTTGCTCAGGGAGGACTCTGTGTCTAGGAAACTGTTGGTGTTCCTACAGCAGGAGGAGAAGGAGGTGGCCAAGAGGAAGGAGAGCGAGAACAGAATATTTGAACATGCATCACAGTTGAGCAATGTGGCCTCTCATGCAGTATCAATCATCTTGTTGGGTCCTCAGTTCATCGACACGTTCAAGGACCCAAACGGCGTCATCTTTCAATGGATCAACTCTATGTTTGTCAGCAAGATGAAGTCCAAAGTCAGATCCATCACACGTCAGGCGCTTCAGAACTTTGTCAAGTCCAACCTGGGGCACCCCGAACTCATATATCACTGTGTCAACCAGTGCTACAGTCTCACGGGCAACGTAGCCAATGGCTACTTCGTTACGTTGTCAGAGATGTGCCAGGACCAGGTTCTCAAGTTCTCGTGCAGCGAATCTATCCTCACCAACCTGGTCATATTCAACTCTGGCTCACCATCGTCGTCAGTACGACAGAGTGCACAACAGCTCCTGTACTTTATGAAGGCGTCCAGTACCACCGATATCTACAGCGATGGCTACTACCCCTCAGCGATTGGAAGTGATGTCATTGACACCTATCTTACAGCGCAAGTCAATCTCTCAAAGACTCTGTCTCTAGAGAACCCAGAACTATGTTACGAGTTCTTTTTGGACGTTGTCTATCGATTAGAGTCTGGTGACTCTAGTGCCCACCAGGAACAACACAGCCAGATGCTCAACTATGTTGCACCTTGGATAGAGCAGATGAACCTATTGCACCTGGCCTCTGTCAACTCACAGATGTTGGAGGTTGTGCTACAGGGTCTCGTAGTGATCACCAAGAAGCACACGGCCCACGCACATCTTATTGAACGCATTTGGAAGATTCTGGGACTCATCGAGGACAACATCTCCATCATCATTGACTCCATCCTCAACATCATGGAGAAGAACAGAAACAATGATCTGATCCCAGTGTTCAAGAAGATATGTGTGTTCCTCGGTAGATCATCACCACAGAAGCTGGTTGATTGTCTCGTTGGTGAGATATCGTCCACAAGTGCAGCACAGTCCTTTACAGAGGACGCTGAGGCCAAGACCCTGGGCAAGAGTGTGGCCAAGTTGACAAACAGTCGGGTGGCCATACCACTTCAGGCGCAGACCAACGAAACCTACAATACCACAGCTTCCATCGCACATGCCTTCCACAATGCCACCGACGTTGTCGATAGGACCATCAAGAGCTACCCTCTTACCCGGTTCCAACTGCCTCTCATCTTCCTGTCAGAGGTGTCCTTTGAGGTTGGTGAAGAGTTCCGTGTTCACTTGCCTCTACTTCTCCAACTGATCTTCCTTGGCCTGTACTACAATCACCAACCCGTACATGAACATTGTCGAATGTTGCTCATCAACCTTATCAGAATGCTGGTGATCAAGAAGTATCAGCAGCACGGTAACACTGACTCGAGTACATACGAGGAGGCCGTACAACTAGTGGACTCTCTTCTTCCATCGTCCTACCGCAACGAGGATCTGTCATCAGCGTTCAACTCCAAAGAGCTGTCCACAAAGAAGGAGATTTCCAATCCAAAGTACGTCGTCATTCTCACGAGACGTGTCGTTAACGTACTATCGAATGGCTCCAACGATCTCAAGGAGAACTGGGGCGTCAATGCACTCAACTGGGCGACCAACTCTCAGAACGTTCGTTTGGCACTACGAAGCAATCAGATTCTCCGTGGCCTCGAACCAACAACCACTGTGGATGCACTCACAGACGTCCTTCAATGTCTAGGCAAGAACATGTCGGACATCAACGCCGAGAATATCTATCTCATTGGTGAGATCCAAGAGACACTACTGGTCATGATCAATTGTATACATCCGTCCAAGCTGATACTCTTCCCACAACTGCTCTGGGGCACACTGGCAATGCTGCACTCTGACTTTGAGACGCACTTTAACAATGCCATCAGGATCTTGTCACTGCTCCTTGAGATTGTCAACTTCCAGGACCGAGCCGTCCAGAACGTGTTCCTTGCCTCCATCCCAAAGGAGTGGGACTTCTTCCATGGTATCCAACCAATGGCCATCAAGGGACTGATGTCCAACAACACGTTCCCATTGACCATTGAGTTCCTGAGCAAACTGACCATGCAGCCTTGCGACGAGATTTTCCACCCAGAACCCATTCGGTTCCTGACCAATCTCACCTCGCTTCTGCCACACATATGTGCTAGCATTGGTGAGATGCAACAGGACCACACGTGCTACCTAATGGCCGAGCGACTCTCCATGGTCTCTGAAAACATGGGACTGAGTCGTCTCTCCCACATCTTCCAGAACTACTGCAATATGAACTATCTCAAACAACTGGACCTGTTCTTGACCGATCTATCTGGACCACTGTGCGAGTTGGTGTCCAAACACCCAACACTGGTCTTCTCACTCCTGTTCAACATCCTAGAGTATGGCCCACGTGACTACCAGTATCCAATTCTCAAGTTGCTTACCACATTGGTCAAGGGAGGAATCAATCCAGCAGATACCAAGACATCACGAGTGGCTGACTGGTACGACACAGTGGCAATGTTCATCAATGATCACAAGACACCAAACTACATCGTGGCACAATCATTGCGCTTCATAGAGATATCCAGTGGCAATTCACCAACCAGTTTGCAGCAGATTGACAATGCCAGCATGAAGCCTTCGAGAATGTCAAACGTCGTGCCAAAGAAGTTTACAAACAAAGTGGACAGGGGTACTCATCTGGCACAGGTCACTCTGACAAAGGTACTGGACACGTGCACTCCATCCAGTACGCTTGCCAAGTCAATGTACTCTACGACACAGATATTTGAGAAGTTCTTCTCGTCAACAGACGACTTGCAACCACCTCAAAAGGCATACGATATCGATGACGACGATGACGACCTGTCGTCCTCCACTCAACTCAACAATCTATCCTCTGAGAATGGTGACGGTGATACTGACACTCTGCATTCCAATCCCGATCTGACGTTTGATGGCATGTCAGAGTTCCATCAATTCCCACACTTCCAAGGCTTCAACGATATACTTGAAGGTCTTGGTGATATGTCCAATGCAACGACCACAACAACAACAACATTTGGAGGTGTCAGTGGTGGCAGTGCATCGTCCGATGACTCCATTTCAATGTCATCATCATCAGTATCAACTACCTCCACCTCGTCGTCGTCACAACTCAAAGCACATGTGTCTGCCAACCTGCCACCTTTGAATGCCAACTCCCCACAGATGGGTGCCTCCAACACCACGTTTGGCACGGCCACCTCAAAGCGAACACTCAACAGCTCCAACTCCCCAATAATGTCCCGACACCAAATGCAATTCCAGTCCACCTCAACCCTTTCCACCTTGTCCTACAACGTCACGGCGGCCAAGAGTTGGTGGAACAGCTGCTCGGAGCAAATCGAATTCCAATCGGACAAGGAGGTGTTTGATGTGTTTGTTGCAGCCACACAACTGATGCAACACATCTCCATCGAGTACAAGACTCTTTTCAACCAATGTCTACCGCTAATATCGTCAATATCCACAGAGGTCTCTGCCTTTTCTGTCGACATGTTTGAAAAGTCATCATTCACAATGGCCCACCTGGAGATTCAAAAGTCAAAGGAGATGGCGGACAAGTACAAGAAGAAGCTGGAGAGCAAGCCATCTCTGTCCAAGTTGTTCATGGATATGCGCGAAAAGTCCATCGAGACGTTCAGTCAGCAACTGAATGTCTATACAGAGGCCAGGACGTCTACAAACAACACGAGAGCCAAGTTATTCGAAAATGGAATCTCTAACGACCAGCATCAGATTCAGGTGGCCGAGACCAAGTTCTGTTTCGCCATGTGCAGTCTCTACCAACAGTTGCTGCAGGTTTGGTTGGCCAACCTTTCGCTTCAAGAGCTGCTCAATGACTATGCACTACATGACCTTCACATTGACAAACAGCGAGACGAGATCAAGAAGGAGTTGAACAAGTGCAAGGTGTTGACAGTTCTTATCAAAGAGAAAGAATCAGACCTCTCCAACAACAACAACAACAAGGTGCACAGTCCAACGTCGATAACATCGACACCAGTTTCACTCAGTAGTCCATCGCTATTGGACGAATCTATTAAGCTCAAGGGTACCAAGGAAAGGAAGAGGGCCAGTACACGTACAGAGGACAAGTGAGCGAATGAATAATAATAAACTTAATAGTATTTATAATTAATTATTGAGTTCACTATATATATCAATATTGGTATTAAAAATGTTACACTATATATTATACTAGGGAGGGTAGAGAGGGAGGAGGAGATCCAATAAGGACAAACCTTGGAGAATAATGCATGTATCTTCAACTAACTGGAATTTGGCGTGTCCCATCACTGAAGAACTCCAAAGTTGAAATTGTCTTGACTATCTCTATTGTTTCGGTGTCAATTTGCCAACGGCGAAGAGTGAGTGACACGAGGTTTCCCCCGCTTTTTGAGCTTGTTGCCAGCCCATCAGCCACAAGATCCATTTGTATAGAAGTCCATGGATAATATGGGCCCCCGACTGTCAAGTCTAGGGATACTAGGGATGTGTTTCTGGCAAAAACACTAGTAATATATGTCAAATATTCCGCATTATCATCGTCATTGGGCTCACGTTCTCTGCCGTCATTGGGGGGAGTACGGCCTTAAGTGTGCGCAGAGTAGGCAGATTTCTTGAGATTAGATGATACAGTTTCTGAACCACTGGAATTAAGAGGGAAAGAAGAGGAAGGAGGAAGGAAAGAGGAAAGGGTAGTGTGAGTAAGTGGCAAGGCCATTGAACTAACTTTGACCCTTATACTTTATACTACTTACTATCCTGCTTAGACTTACTCTCCTGGTTGTGCTCATTAATTATTGATAGGTCCAATGACTGTATTTTTATATTGAGGTGATTGGAAAGGCCCTCCAGCAGTGTACCAGGGTTAATTGAGTCGTCTATGGACAAGTGCGTGATACTCTTGTTTGCAATCAATCCATTGAGAAAAAGTTGGGTGTAGTCCTCGTGTTGACTGGATAACGAAGTATGAGGGAATCGAATATCCATATGTTTGAGTACCTTATTTACCCCCAAGGCATCGAAGACGCTTTTTCCGCTCTCTATTTCTGGCACCTGTAGTGGCCCTCGCCTTACAGACCCCAAATGGCTGAATTCTGTCCAAAAAGAGTCCAAAGTACCATCTATCTTCAGCTTTGTCAAGGTTGGTGATCGGAGAAATGTCTCGAGTTGCTGTGGCCTGAAGGACTCACCACCTACACACACATCCAGAAGGACAAGCCGATGGCTTGCGTTTGCAAGTCTGCTCCACATGGTATCAAAGTGACCAAATTGAGGGTATCTCCAACTACACGGGATGTTAATCCTGATGTTTTGAAGGTGAACAAGCTTTGTTATCCACTTGGAGTTAAAGCCGCAGGAGTATCCGCAGATTTCCACAGAAGTTAGGTTGCCGAACTGTGGAAAACAAAGTATGTCCACGGTGGGATTCCAAAATCTTGTGGGGCGACCGTAGTTGAAATACAGTGATTGGATATTATTGGATGGCTCTTCTACATCTTCTTCAATGCCTTTCTCTTTGCGCCATTGGATATAGAATTGCTTTAGGTTGGGGTAATGATAGACCACACCATCGCAAGTTCTACTGCGCCAAAAGTCTGGGAGCACTTCGTCCACATCCACTTCTTCACCAATGATGTCTACCTCCTTCTTAAGCTCCACTGTAACTGTATCTTGATGGGGGCACTTTCCCCACCACCTCCTGCGCTCTGACACATACTGGTCCTCGGCTTCAGACGCAAAGCTGTCGTCGGCGTCGGTGTCATATTCTGTGTCTTCTATGCGCCGCATCTCTTCTTCATCGCTATCGTATATCTCGTCATTGCCATATTTATCGCCAATCTCATCAAATGCGTAATGAGGATCGAGTAGTTCTATGAGGTCATAACTCTGTTCGATAGTGTTGAGGTTGATGTGCTTGATGTTGTTGAATAGGGACCATGCTCGTTGCTCTCCGCGCAAGATGCTACGAATGGTCTGGGACGGAGCGTAGCACATATTTGGTGCTGATCCGATTGCCATTGAGACGATGCCGAACCAACACTTGCATACCATCGCTATAGCGAACATCCAATCTTCAAACCTCACCACCTGTTCGTCATTGACTCCCTCTCTGTCTCTGATTAGCAATGTAGTCAAGATTGTGTATTGAAGCGATAATGGAACGGACTCCATTTCGATGTGAGTGAGTGTGTTTGTTATCAATAGAAGTAATAGAAGAGCGACGTAATGATTAATTTGGTAATTGGTAGGTAATAAATTGTATATCTATCTCCTTTGACAATCAATCACATTTGGATGATCATCCAATTTGAATAGTTTTGTCATAACCCAAACAGATAAATACACAAACACATAAACAAATGTCAAAGAAGGATCAACCAATGAATGATGTTGTGGAGGATGATGAAGATGATGTCGCAGAGGAGGAAGAGGAGGACGATGAAATGGAAGTAGATAAAGACATTGCTGATGATGATGATCATCAAGATGAGGATGACGATGACGATGATGAGGACGAAGATGACACAAAGGGAAACGCTCAGGTCGCATCAGAGGACAAGAAGGAGAAAAAGAAGAAGAAGTCTGCCACTGCTCTGCCAGTGGCTAGAATCAAGAGAATCATGCGTACAGATAAGGATGTTAAGTTAATATCTAGTGATGCTTCACTATTGATCACAAAGTCAACTGTATGTTTGTTTGTTTGTTTCAGAAGTAAAGAGTGTGGACACTCACACATCTTCATCATGATGCTGACAATGCGATAACTACTATCAATGACCAAACAGGAGTTATTTTTAGAGTACCTAGCAAAAGAGGCCTTCAAGAAGACCACTGGAAAGAGAAAGCTATTGTCCTACAAAGAGTTATGTAAGTGTTATTAACCAACAAACTAATATTATATATATATATATAATATATAACACTTTTCTAACGATGCTCATCAACAAACAACAACAACAACAACAGCATCTGCTGTTAAGGAAATAGAAGCACTTGAGTTCTTGGCAGATATCATTCCACCAAAAGTGATCACCTGATCAATAAACTTTCGACAACAACATAAATAGAACAATGCCCAGGTCCAACTGATGTGGGTGTATGTTTTGGTTTGTGTCTGCTGATAGCAAGAGTTTTGACTGAATCAGTGTAACAAAACGACTTCTCGAGCGGTGGTGTTTGTTTGTTTGTTTGATAGAGATAATTGAGAAAGAGAGGTTTACTACTATTTATTATTATTATTATTATTACTACTGTTATTTACTATTATTATTAAGCACACTATAAATATTCTACTACTATCGTTAACTTAACATATATATATATATAAGTGAATGATGGAGGAAATGGATAGGGAGCAAAGTGTAGACAGGGCAATGAGCGAGTTGTTCAAGATTAACAAGATCGACATCTTGAACAACCCTGTCAAGTACGAATCACCAATGATGGACTCAACTGGCTCACCAATGAACAGCACCTTTATTGCATTGTCCACCAGCAGTATCAATAGCAGTAGTAGTGGTGCTGGAGCCAATAAGATATCACCTTCTTCGTCTGCAGAGTGGTCCATCGACTCGGACAAGGACAAGAAGACGAGACGATTCTCATTATACGTCTATCAGAAGCCAACGGATGAACAGAGAAAGCAGATATCAGAGCTCTACGGTTACATGTCACAGAGTGACGGTCAGAGCTATACATACTCACATGACTCGAGCCATGGCATTCTCGGTGAGGATGTGCCAAGTACATTATCAAGGACTACATCTTTGAGCATAAATGATATCAATCTCAACAGCAGTAACAGTAACAACAACAACAACAACAATAACAGCCATAACAATTACAACAACGTTAACAATAAGACAAATGATATCAACCAATCCACACCAATATCCAAAACAACTACCATCAACAATACCTCATTACCTCAACAACAACAACAACAACAGGCACAAGCACAACAACAGATACTTGCCTATCCACATACAGTTGTTCCATACAACCTGCCACCAGCTATTGACTCGATGATACCCGAGCCAAAGACCTTAAAACCACCCGACCCCAGTCAACTTCCACACTCATATCTCTCGACAGTGGCCAAGTACCCTAACTCTTACAGCGAGGCCATTCGCGCCAGTGGAGCGTATAAGCCCTCCTATGTACCACCCGGCTACATTGCACAGCCTGGGGGAGGGTACGCCGCCGATGAATACAACGAAAAGGAGTCGATCCTCAAGCCAATATTGCATCCGCCACTCTCCAGCGCCAAGGACTGGAATGCAGAGTACCAGACATTGGTCAACAACAACAAGATGGAGGGCTATCGTGATCTGTCAAAGTTGGCACACGACTTTGTCTACACTGCAAAGATATATGGCAAGGTTATCATTTCGGAGCTTACCCTGCCGCTACACCTAAAGACCATCAAACCCATCAACATTGGTGGCGTTGCTGGTGGCCACAAGTACATTGCATTGGGCATATTGTTCAAGGTAAGGAGTTTCAAGCTCAAATTGAGTTGGTAGAGAGATTGATCGTTAACTAACAAATCAACAACAAACACACTTCTAATATGTATGTAGCTTGCACTTGATTCACAAGGTCTCTATGTTGGAGACCAAAACGCAATGAAAGCAGCTGGTCATGAGTTGAAGGGTCTTATGAGCTACTACAATGCGCGCGTCGATGGTCTTCATCACCCTTTGATGGCATTGATCGACTACCGAGGCTACAGACTGGTGGCCATGTCATTGTTGCCCATCAATGGCGAGACCATCGTTTATGGCAGCAGTGATGGTGGAATCACTGTGCACAATCAGAACGAACTGTTCAATGAGAAGATGAAGAAATCGGCATCGATCCTCAACATCAAGGAACACATGGTTGGACGAGACAATCCAAAGCTCCTACATTGTTGTGGCGATATCGAAGGACACATTGGCTCCGATGGTCACTTCTACCTGTTGGACTTTGCAAGAGTTTTCCCACCCATTCTCAAACTCAATGATCACAGTCCACCAAGTCATCTATATGAACTCATTAGGGTGAGTGACCATCAATAGAGGTACATTATTGTTACGTGAGTACTTACCAATTCTCTCATCATTATAGCCTGAGTTGGTCAAATCAAACACCAAGCCCTTGTCGTCTGATGCTTTCACTGGTTGGGGAAAATTCGACCCAAACACTCATGAACACAATTGTAAGTGTGATATCACAACAAAGTATAGTTGGGTTGAGAGAGGCTAACACAACAACAACAATAACAAAACTCTCCAATAGATGAGGTCAAGGAGGCATCATATCGATTGTTCCTACAGGTTATACCAAAGTTTGCCAGCTTCTTGCAATCACTGGAGATAACAGATATGAATGAGTTGCATCTCACACAGGAGCTTCATCGTGTGGGCATCAACTGCAGATACATGGGACTGGTTCGACGATTGGTCCGATGTCAGTCACTTCGTAGGATGATGCTGGGTGAGATCTTGGCACGAACCATGAAGTGTGAGATCATGGCACTATTCAGAGGCAAGATGAAGACAGCGGACACACCCTCTGAAGAACCATTCAAGGACGTCGTAGTCACATATTTGAATAGGATATTCAAATACGAACACTCATCCAAGGGAAAGCAATGGCCTGCATCCTTAAGGTATGTATTTAAACAACGACGACAACAATCGTCACATTGTTAATTCTAATTCCAATGTTACAGAACATCCATATCAAAGAAGTTCTGGGGAACTTTCCAAATCATGCCAAAGGATAGAGAGAGCATTTCATTCGAATCTATCCTCAACAAGAGATTTGATGAGGACAAGCTACAACGCCACATTAGATCCAGTGAGCTACTAGAGGAGGATATGCTCATAGATGATGTGGACATACAGGTGGTGATGAAGCGATTCAATCAGCTGACTGGAGTGGGTCTGACAAAGCGAGCCATGAAGGAGATCCTCAAGCAGGACCGAATTCGATTGGTGCCATCAGACGTCAAGAGAATGAAGGCAAAGGTGAAGACACATCATCTTGTTGAGTTTGCCGAAGGAATGGTACTCTGGGACGAGGCCAAGAAGGAGAAGAACAGAGAGAAGCTATGTGGACGACAACCAACACCAGAGTCTGAGAACAGTGATAGAATAGCCGAGCGTTTGTTGACATTGGCCGACGACCACTTCAGAAGTGCCCTGGCACTCTCTCCGCACAGTGGTGAGGTTAGTGCCAACTGGGCATTGATGCTCGTGGAGTGCGCCAGGATCACCCGAATGAACAACCCCAAAGAGGCAGACATCCACTACAGCGCAGCAGAGGAAAAGCTCAGAACGAGTGTATGCGACGGTGGCAAACCAAAGATCACGCTTGACAATGTTCTGTTGGAGTATGCCGAGTTCCTTTGCATTTGGGGCACACATCACCACCTAGAGCTCGATATGAACGAGGCCAATGGACTGCGAAGCAAGGTCTTCAATCGTGCCGGTCGCAAGATAATGGAGGCCATTCAAATCAATCCATCAAAGTTCACTCTGGTCATGCAAAAGGCCAATCACTTGGAGAAGAGCTTCCACGAGTCTGAGAGCTTCAAGGAAGCGGCAGCATACTATGCCGGCTGTGCCGCCATCATGAATTGTTTGATACTGTGCTTTGAGAAGTTGCCCGCCTCACATCATCGTGAGATTGCTGATGCGATCACACAGAACCTATCGCCAATTCAATTGATCATGAAGGAGAAGGAGGCATCCGAGTCCCCCGATCTGGTTCATCGTTCCATCGATGACACATTCAGCTACACGAGCACTGTGTCCTGTCGTAAGGACGAGAACGAGATCAAGAAGCTGTTGGAGATCGATCCATTCGCAATCATTCGCATTGAGATGGGTTACTCCTACATTCGCTACGGATACCTGTCACATGTCTATGGAATCATGTGCTCCAAGCGCAACCACACCAAGATGGCCAGTATCAAGCTTCTGAAAAAGTCTGGCTCCTTGTTCCAGAAGGGCATCGACATGGACCCCTACAACAGAGACATTCTGGTGGACCACATCAAGCGATTCACGTCATCCAGCCAGTTTGTAGAGTTCTATCAAACGGCCATTGGTTGCCCCTCTATCTTGGACTTTGTCGAGGACCGTCTCTTGAGAATCGCTCATATGTCTCTCAAGGACTGCTCGCATCTTCCCATCGAGTTCATTGAGGGAATAATCGAGTATTCACCCAAGGTGAAGATGCTTGTTCTGGACGGATGCACTCAGATCACAGACTCCACAATTGAGTTGATTGTCAAGAAACTACCATATCTTGAGTCGCTCAGCCTCACCAACTGTACAAAAGTCACCACAATCATATCACCCGCTGTCCGCAAGCAGTACTCTGCCACTGCCTCCTCATCAGACAAGCCATTCCCTCATTCGCCAGTGTCACTGGCACATCACCATCACTTTAGTAGTCAGGGCAATCTCGCAGATGCCTCGGAACGCGACAAAAAACAAACACGATTCACTGGCGGTCATCATATTGTTGGCGCATCAATCAACATACTGGCAGCATCTGCACTGGTCACACCACATCAGTCTCAGCTAACGACACAACCCACGCCGCCTGCCAAGCCACTCTCCTTCCTTCATACACTCAACCTCAACAAATGTAAATCAATCACGGACGAGAAGTTGATTGCCCTTGCCAATCTGCAACTACCACTGGTCAACATCTATCTAAAGAAATGCAACATTGGCGATCAGTCCATCATCCAGTTGTCCCAAAATTGTCCCAAGCTAGCGATCATTAAGTTGAGCGGATGCAAGAACATTGGAGATGCCTCAGTCTACTCGATTGCCGTGTGCTGTCTAGGTCTGAGAGAGCTCAGTCTGAACGGTTGCCCGTTGGTCACATCAAACTCTGTCGACAAGCTCATTCGCACCCTTCACGACATTCGTCTGATATCACTGTCCAACACACCAATCGCTGCCAGTGACAACACACTTAGGCTCATTGGCAAGTACTGTAAAGACATTCAATACGTCAGTCTGGCACACAACAACATCATCACAGAGACTGGAGTGTATAGCCTCGTGAGACACAACAGCACGATCCAAGAGCTCAATATCTCACATTGTCCAAACATCTCTGATCATGGTATCACTCACATTGCCCTCAACTGCAACAGACTGCGCAAGCTCAAGATGGTTGGTTTGAACAACGTCACCACACTCAAGGCAATTGGAAACAACTGCTCCGAGTTGGTCGAGTTGGACATATCAGAGTGTCACAAGATCTCCTCGGACCTTGGCTACATCACCAAGGGATGTCCAAAGCTCACCAACTTTAGATTGAGACGATGCTATGGAATGCAGGATCTGTCACTGCTGTCGGCAGATGGAGAGATGCACTCGATGAACAAACTCACTGTTCTGGACTGGAGCTATGGAAACATCGAGTTCCAAACAATCCATTCGATCACTCACTCTTGCAAGTCACTGACCTCGCTCAACATCTCTTTCTGCAAGAGTCTGACCGATACATCTTTGGAGCGCATTGCATCGGACCTGACCAATCTCAAGAAGCTAAAGATAGACTCTATCATCAATATCACCGACGATGGCATCAAAGCATTGTCAGAGGTACAGCCCTATCCAAAGATACAGGTGTTTTCATTGGTTGGATGTCGCAAGATCAGCGATATTGCCGCGCAATATATTCTGGAGCTTCAAGATCTCAAGAAGCTCTCTCTTGGTGGCAGCTTGATAACTACGGCTGGTGCTCAAAGAATCGCCTCAGAGTCCTTTGAGCTGGTCAAGATGAACATTCGCAACTGTCTCAATATCAATCCAGCAGCCATCAGGGAGAAGCATCCTCATATCATTGTGCAGTCCACTCAGAAAGAGACTGCCTACTTCTCCGAGTAATCAATAAATGGAAAC